TGCCCTGCCTTGAAAGCTACTGCGGGAAGGCTATGGCAAGATAAATGAACAGCAAGCCTTCGGTGCTAGACTTAAAGCAAGAGGGTTTTCTGTGTTTGTGCAAAGGGCAACAGCAGTAGCAAGAGAACTTGCTGGGAGTCTGTTTGGGGAAGCTAAGTCAAGTCTGGGCCTATTGTCATGCAGCTCCTTCCTGCTCTTCAATGAAGTCCACTCATAGAACTATGTACTTGCTGACCACAGTGTCACAGTCAGCCCAAAGACACACTGAGACACATCCTGCCCGCTGCGATGCCCTTTCTTCCTGTATGGTAAAGAGGACTGACAGTTTTTAATTACTTCTACCTCCTTAAGGCAACTTTAAAAAAAAAAAATCTGCCTGGTTTTGGGTGCCTTTTTAATCAAATAAAAGTTTTGGGTTTGCTTGTAAAATATTATTTATTTGTATGCTGCATTTCAAGTATACAGCCTTCCAAAGCAGTTTAGAGGAATCTGAGACGATATATACAGTAACAGATTGCAACAGAGGAGCCTTTTTAAACAAAACGTTTTTATACATTTTTGAGTTGTAAGAATTACAACCAACAACCTAGAGTACAGAACATAAAACGAGTCAGACGCCACACCATCATACATAATGAATTTAATTTTTTTGCTGCTGTTATTGGATTGCACTTACTGAGCAGGAATATTTTTCTGTGCAGGATTAGTGGGGTAGCTGAAGGAGTGCTTTACTGAAGTGAGAACTTGAGTGACTATACTGCAGTGGTGGGTGTAAGGGAAGTGTGATTGTTGAGTGTCGTTGTGCATTTTGATTCACTTTGTGTTGTGTGAACGTGTAAGTGAATTATTTTGGTGATTGTACTATTATATGTAGCTTTTGCTATGTTTATGAGGTTGTCAGGATGACATACACCGTAATTATGTTGCATTTTGATGTTGTACCTTCATGCATGCTGAAGTTCTGTATACGATGTGCTGTTGTGGTTCTTATTTATTTTACTTACATGAAGTTTTTGAGATACTTACTGCTGCCTAATTATGTAATCTGACGTGAAATTATTATTATTTAATAATATCGTTAACAATTATCACTCATTTCATTTTGAATGTGAAATTTGTATTGTATTTTTTCTTATCATTCATTTATTTTTTTAAAATAATAAACCACTTTGCAGCCTGAGCACTGAAGCAGTATACAACAAATAAAGCAAATGTGTTACTACGGCTGTTACATCAAGCAGGAAACATTGTAAACAGAATGCATATGGGCTGAGAGATTAACTGTAGCCCTAAAGCAATCTGGTAATGCAGCCTATAATGTGGTGCTTTTTAAAATAAAATAATAAGTATTGGATTCCTTTTCTTTTAAGATAAAAATGAGATAAAATACAAAAAAATATACAAATTATAAAAAAAAATTAAATTATTTATAGAAACTCTAAAAGCAATAAAAACTTTTTCTACAAACTCTAAAAGAAATCAGTAAAACCAGAACTAAGGGGGATGATTGGGAAAAGGAGGAATTCAGTATATCTGTAGAATCTTCTTTCTTTTTTATGTGTTGTATGCTGAAAATCTCTAAAATTTGTTATAAAAATAATAAACCCAAATGAGCAAGTAATATCCTATAAATGACTAGGTCACACTCTTAAACCAAATTATCTTCAGTAGTGCTTACGCATCAGTTCCTAAACTTCACGATGCTAGGCACCTGTCTTAAGTTTTGCTGCGATATATAATCCACTATGAAGTGGTATAATAAGATAAATAAATAGACCTTTTGGCCGTGGTCTTACCAAAAGGTAACCTGAGTGAGGATTTCCCTACCCAATTCCCAGAGTTTCATTCATCTCATTTTGGTCAAAGTGAATTAATGTGTCACTGTCAACTCCTTCTCCCATTCTCACACATCCCTAAGTACCATCAGTTTTCTGCTTTCATTCTGCACAATGGTCCTTGGTTGATCATCTCCATTAAAAGCATAGGTGAACAGCCGTTTGCCTGTTAGTTAATATGAGATGTGTGGGGGGTTTGGTGGAGGGTGGGGGACAGAGTCTTCAGTCTTCTCTCTTTTTCTCTCCCTCTCTCTTTATCCAGTGGGATGTAGGAAGAGGCGCAGATGTCTCTTCTTAGAGGTCTGAACCAACAGCTTGGTGAGGGCCATATGAAATTAACCCGAGGGCCACATACTGGCTATGGATAACACACTCCTGACCTGAAGATTACCAAGAGCTATTGTAGCCTATCAAGCCTCTTAAAAGGTAAAGGTACCCCTGACCGTTAGGTCCAGTCGTGGACGACTCTGGGGTTGTGCGCTCATCTTGTTCTATAGGCTGAGGGAGCCGGTGTTTGTCTGCAGACAGCTTCCGGGTCATGTGGCCAGCATGACTAAGCCGCTTCTGGCGAAACCAGAGCAGCACATGGAAATGCAGTTTACCTTCCTGCTGGAGCAGTACCTATTTATCAAGCCTCTTAAAGGTAAAGGGACCCCTGACCCTTTTGTGGCCGACTCTGGGGTTGCGGCACTCATCTTGCTTTACTGGCCGAGGGAGCCGGCATACAGCTTCCAGGTCATGTGGCCAGCATGACTAAGCCGCTTCTGGCAAACCAGAGAAGCGCACGGAAACGCCGTTTATCTTCCTGTCGGAGTGGTACCTATTTATCTACTTGCACTTTGACGTGCTTTCGAACTGCTAGGTTGGCAGGAGCAGGGACTGAGCAACGGGAGCTCACCCTGTCGTGGGGATTCGAACTGCCAACCTTCTGATCGACAAGCCCTAGGCTCTGTGGTTTAACCCACAGCGCCACCCATGTCCCTTATCAAGCCTCTTAGATCCTGCTTAAGTCTTTGGTAGTGCTGATCCAGAGGACTTGGCCACTTGTTTGTAGCCAGAGCTACGGGGCAAGGGCTAACCAGGCTTTTTGACCCAAATGAAGCCTCCCCAGGGGCGCCATTGAAGCTCCCAGCTTCTCTGTGTGTGTGTGCGCGCAAATGTGCATAGGGTGTGTGTCAAACTGGGTCTTTGACCGGGGTGAAATAAAGCCTAGTTTTGCTCCCGCTGTAGCACATGGTTTTCATACAACGTCCTGAACACTTTGATTTTTGGCTCTGTAAACCGTAATTCACCATCCTGGTGCCCTCCAGGTACTTTGGATATGCGCTGGCTGGGTTGATGGGAGTTGTACTACAAAACATCTGCAGGGAACCAGGTTTATTATATATCTATAGAAGTATTTCTAAATCACAAAAGATAATAAAGTTGTTTGTAACATTAAAACCGCTTTGATACGGTTGTCCAAGGATGGTGCAAACCATGTGCACTCCAATTATACCTTGGTACTGTTGGGTTAAACCACAGAGCCTAGGGCTTGCTGATCAGAAGGTCGGCAATTCGAATCCCTGCGACGGGGTGAGCTCCCGGTGCTCGGTCCCTGCTCCTGCCAACCTAGCAGTTCGAAAGCATGTCAAAGTGCAAGTAGATAAATAGGTACCGCTCTGTCGGGAAGGTAAACGGTATTTCCGTGCACTGCTCTGGTTCGCCAGAAGCGGCTTAGTCATGCTGGCCACATGACCCGGAAGCTGTACTCCGGCTCCCTCGGCCAATAAATCGAGATGAGCGCCGCAACCCCAGAGTCGGTCACGACTGGACCATTAGGTCAGGGGTCCCTTTACCTTTACTGTTGTATTTCCTGATTTCCTGCCCCTCTTCAATAATAGACAAACACTAAGCAGTATGAAAAAAAACTTATTCTGGGCCTCAGAAAAGTGGCCCTTTGTTTTGCATAAACATTTCTAAAATAGATCTGTGCTTCCCTGAGTACCAGCCCAGGCTCAGTGGAACTCTTGCTGTTGTTTCCCAGATGAACGCAGCTGTTTCCACATCTGCAGAATCTGAGCCCAGCCTGTGCGCTAGAACAAGATGCCAAGTTGAAAAGCCAGCGCATTCCGCCGATCCCCGAGCTCTCCTCTTCAGTGCATGGCAAGGAGGGTCCTGTGCAGGCAGCTGGCGGGTGGAGGGATGGAGGGAGGAAGGCAACAAGCAGCGGGTGGTGCCTCGACTTCCTTCGCACAACACATGAAAGGAATGTGGTGGTGAGCTCATGGCTCCTCGCCCCGCGCGCCACGCCCCGCGCCGGGTCCTAGCGCCCTGCGCTCTGTCCAACGAGGAGAGAAGAGCGGTTGGAACCCAGCCTTACAGCTGGCCAATTCCCCGCACTTCCAGAGGACACAGAAATCTTGACTCCCGAGTCCATTCGCCACCCCGCCCCATAAATTATTTGAACCCCCGCCAACCCAGTTGCCAGTGTTTTTTTTCTGGGGGTACGCATACCCCTAAACATTTTGGGAATCTTTGTACTTTTTTTCCTTCAATTGTTTTTATTTTCCAAAAATTTTAAACAAATAAACATAAATCTCAAACCAATCTGAGTGACATTGTTAAGTGACTTCCACAAATCCCCTTAGTTGAATTTAAGTGTATATCATTTTAACAGTTTTCCAAAATAAATTTTTTGGTGAACCTTTGTACTTTTGTTCATTTACTGTATTTATTTCCCCGGATTTTAACTATAAAACGGTGATTTTCTTGAGTCAAAATGAGAGTACCGCTAAACATTTTTTTTAGGGGGGGGGAGCACTGGGCATTGCCATTCAAATGGTGTGTATGCACGCTGCGTGTTATAAGGTTTGGGGCAGCCCTAAGCCCACCCCGCCCCAAACTATTCTACACGATCCTATGTGCGCCACATTGGGAATAGAGTCTCACGGACTAATCTCCGATGTTGTGATGCACCTCGATTCACCATCATCATCAACACCCAAAGGATCAGCATCCACTTCCCGCCTCCCACCGCCGGAGCGCCAAAAAGGACCCAGGAGTCCGGCCATACCCTTCCAACACCAAACCTCTCCGCCACCCCGCAAAGCAAAATCCCGAGCCGCAGGCGACGCGCAGGGCGCGCCTAGAAAGTCAGCGCGAGGCCGCCACGTGGGAAGCTGCAGTAGTCAAGTTACTAGTTCCTGTTGCGCACAGTCCCTGCTCTTTCCCCGGAGTGCCGTCACTCCAGGGTCAGTGCGAATCGTTAAACCGCAGGGTTGTAACCGTGTTGTTGTTGTTGTTTTGGCCCGATCTTGCTTTTGCTTTGCGCTTTGGCGGAAAGGGAGTAGCAGCGCTTCCCAAGGCGCGCCGTGCGTCCTGGGGAGAAAAGCGCACGACCGGAGAGAAGCGGCCTCCCTCCTCCTCCTCCTCCTCCCCGCTTGCCGAGCGCCTCCCTCCGCCACTAGCGACGGGGCCCACCACCCCGGGGCGGGGGCGGAGTGTGGGGGCCGGCGGAGTTTGTTCCGGACGTGGGACCCGCCCCGCAGCGGCTCCCGTTGGCCAAATAGGGAAGCGGAGCGGCCGGGAATCGCCGCGCTTCGCTTCTCGGAGCGCCGATTCGTATCGTGCAGGGAGGAGGGCCCACCCCGGATCTCAGCCATCTTTCGAGGGGCGGCAGGGACGGTAGCCGGCGATGGCAGAGGCAGGGCTGGGGGGCTTCTGAGTTCACCGAGCCGATCCCCCCCCCCGACCATGATGAATCCCAAGGAAGGCGCGGCGCCGCTGGAGAAATACAAACTGGTGGTGGTCGGCGGAGGCGGCGTGGGCAAGAGCGCGCTCACCATCCAATTCATCCAGGTATGGAGAGCCCAAGGCGGGGAGAGCGGGGCCGGGTGGGCAGATGGCGACAAAAATATATATTTAAAAACCTCCCCAAACTTTACCATATGTTTCCGCGCCGAAGTTCGCGTTCAGGTGACACAGGGCGGTGGTGAAAGCGAAACCTGAGCCAAGATCCTGTGTTGTTGTTGATGAGGATGATTTTTTTTTTTAAACTGGGAGGAAGTTTTGCCGCCTTTGCTGGGACGTTTTCCCTCCCCAAAGAGAAGCGTTAAGAGCGTGGCCGCCTGGCTTGAGCAAGTCCCGACTGCCGACGCTGTGTGCACGTTTACTCGGGAGTAATCCCCGTGGAAGTTCGGTGGGGCTCCGATCAAACGTGCGCAGGAACCCTGTCGCCTGATTCCTCCTAGCGGCGGAGGCAGGGATTTCTCCTAAGGTGGCCCTCTAGATGTTGATAGACTCCAGCTCCCATCATCCCTGACCGTTGGCCACGCTGGCTGGGGCTGATGGGAGTTGTAGTCCCACAAAGTTTCTCAGTCCTGTTCTAAGCCGATCCCGTCGCTGCCCCCCTCCCCAAATAACCAGGATCCACGGTGAGAGAGAAAAGGGCTTTGATGTTTGCTGGTGAACTGGAAGGGCGATTGGGGTTTGCTGCTGCTCAATCCTGAGCAGCCCTAAATTCTCCCTCTGGAGAGGCTGAGATTGCGGTCCTCCTGAACCTCCCCTATTGGGAACCAGGTGTTGAGGGGGGGGCAAGGGTGCCAGCTTGAATAAAATATTGGCGAGGGGAGGCAGGTAAGCCCCATCCCGCTTACAAGACATGGCACATGCACACTGTTTGAAAGGCAATGCCAATCAACTTTGGGGGGGCCCTCAAATATTTTATTGGGGGACAAAGGGAGCTTGGCCCCCAGGAGGTTGGGGAAGGAGAGTTATCCTTGGCATGGAATGGAAAGGTCCAAATCAAGTGGAGAAAAAAGGGAGGTAGCAGGGACTGGGACCATCAGCATCACACCGTGCTTGTGAGCTTTCTAGAGGCAGCTGGCTCCTGTTGTAAACAAGGGCTGGGCTGGATGGCATTTCCAGCTAAAGGATCTTGCATGCGAGGGCTGGAAAGGGATCTCTGCTCAGACCCTGGAGAGCCACTGTTCAAGCTGATGTGCCCAGGCTAGGTGGACCAGGCAGTTTCAAATGATCAGATGACCTTTGGCCCCGATGCATTAAAGCAAAGCTTGCATTATTTTATAAATTTGGATCTGATCCAGAAAGGCAAACCTGTTTATAATTTTTTTAAGAATGCAGGGAAGGGAAGGACCAGAATCCAAGGTTTGTGTAGCAGACTGCAGAGATCCTTGCAAATAAAGCCACAGACGTTATTAGCATGCTTCTGTTTCATTTTAGTGGTCGGCTAAGAGAGTAAGAGACGCAGGTGGCGCTGTGGGTTAAACCACAGAGCCTAGGACTTGCCAATCAGAAGGTCGGCGGTTCGAATCCCCGCCATGGGGTGAGCTCCCGTTGCTCAGTCCCTGCTCCTGCCAACCTAGCAGTTCGAAAGCACATCAAAGTGCAAGTAGATAAATAGGTACCGCTCCGGCGGGAAGGTAAACGGCTTTTCCGTGTGCTGCTCTGGTTCGCCAGAAGCGGCTTAGTCATGCTGGCCACATGACCCGGAAGCTGTATGCCGGCTCCCTCAGCCAATAAAGCAAGATGGGCACTGCAACCCCAAAGTCGGTCACGACCGGACCTAATGGTGAGGGGTCCCTTTACCCTTTACCTTTAAGAGAGTATAGAATCATAAAGTTAGAAGGGATCACAAGAGACATCTAGTCCAACCCCCTCCAATGCAGGAATTTTTCACCCAACATGGGGCTTGAAACCACAACCCTGAGTTTAAGAGTCTCATTCTCTATCAGCTGAGCTATCCCATGACGACAATGGAGGAGAGAAGTTCTCCTCCGCAGCCAACATGGGGAAGAAAACCAGGCTACTAACTTCCTAGCGGGATAGTTAAAAAAACGGCCTTTCACCAGATCCATCCCTCCAGCACCCTGCTTTATCTGCTTGCTGGCCAGGGAGTAACAGAAAGCAATCTCATTCTCCTTAGCCAGCCCATTCACTCGCCTGCATGGAATTCCTAGTCGCCTCTGGTGACCAAATTACTGATCTGATGTCAAAGAGACCTGAAGGAACTCTTGTGCTGGAAAACTATGGTTCTCATGGGGAACACAGGATCAATACTGGGGGTAGGGTGTCCTGTTTTGCTCTTATGGAGTAGCAAGGGTCTTCAAGTTCAGTTCTTTCTGTCATCCTTAACATCCTTCCTTCCTTTCTTCCTCCCCACCCCCCAGTCATATTTTGTCTCGGACTATGACCCCACAATTGAGGACTCGTACACAAAAATCTGCAACATCGATGGCACCTCCACACGGCTGGATAGTGAGTATTACTGGGCTGGCGTCCTATTCAGGTGATGTGGAGGCTGCATGCAAATGTTTTGAGGGAGACAGAAGCTTGGGAGAACACGATCCTTGCATTCTGCAATGGGCAGCATCCTTCCTTAGCACTGCTTATAAAGGGATGGAGGGACATCGAGTGTATCATGACCACAGCTTTGTGGGATGGGGCTTTGTTATGCTTTCCCCCATTTCCAGTGTCCTCCATCAGTGGTCAAATGAGGGTGGGGTGACATTCAGTTTGTGTGACAAACGGCTCCATGAGAAGCAAATTGAGGAAGGGAAATTAGACAGAAAGTATTGGGAGAGGAAAATCACCCAACAACAAAGGGATGATTGGGAACAATATGATGTGAAGTGCCATATTGAGAGAGCTCAGACAGGTATAATGTCCCAAGTGCTTTATTGCAAAAAACTCGCAAGAAAGCTGTCCCTTCCTGATGACTTCATCTGATGGGACAGAAGGGTAGCCCATGCTACTACATGGAGGGTTAAAGATCTGGAAGCACTTATTGGGTGTGGGGGAACCATAAAGGAATTTGGAACAACTGTTTTTTGTCAAAGGTGAATAGGAGGTACATGTTTAGTAGGGGTGCATGTCAATATCAGAAGGACATAGGAATGAACGAATGAATTTTTATTTGCATCAGCCACCGGCCATAGCAACAAAACAACAATACAATATACAAATAATAAATATAATGATGTCATAATGCTTTTGGCCTGTTCTGCAAATGTAGTGTAATGAGGTGATAAGAGTGGAGTGTACCACTTTGAACTCCAGGTGAATGTTCCAATTCTGCACTTAAAACCACACTGACAATGACCCTAAACCAGGGGTCAGCAAACTTTTTCAGCAGGGGGCTGGTCCACTGTCCCTCAGACCTTGTGGGGGGCTGGACTATATTTTGGGGGGGAAATGAACAAATTCCTGTGCCCCACAAATAACCCAGAGATGCATTTTAAATAAAAGCACACATTCTACTCATGTAAAAGCACGCTGATTCCTGGACCGTCCGCGGGCTGGATTGAGAAGGCGATTGGGCCAGATCCAGCCCCCGGGCCTTCGTTTGCCTACCCATGCCCTAAACTCTGTAAATAGCAAATTAACCCCACAAACTAGCGGTTTCTCCCTCAGCCGATGGAGGGGGTGGTGCTGGTTGCTTCTTATTTGCAGGGAATATTATGTCTGTCTGTTTTGATGTGGGAGAGCACATGAATGTAGGGCAGGGATAGCCAACATTGTGCCTTCCAAACATTTGTTGGACAACTGATCCCAATACCTCTGGCCATTGGCCCTCCTGGCTGGGCCTGATGGGAATTGGAGTCCGTCATATTTACCTGCCCCACACCTGACATCATCCATGACGTTGGGTGTAGGATAGGTGAGTATGACTAGGCCTAGGCATCATCGCAGACCAAATGGGGAGGCTTGCTGGACCCAATCAGTCCCAGGGGGCCGTCTCTTGTTTCACACCCATCACATTTGGAATGATTCAGATCTAATCTGCTTCCCTTATGATTTCAGTTCTGGACACAGCTGGCCAGGAGGAGTTTGGGGCCATGCGAGAGCAGTATATGCGTACTGGGGAAGGTTTCCTCCTTGTCTATGCCATCAATGATCGTGGCAGGTAAGACCCAAGCCATGGTTACATTAGAAGGTCCTGTCCTTTCAGTCCAGTGGTCAAAGGATGGGGGGGGGAAAGAAGTTTCTGTGGGTTCTGAGTTGGGTTGGTGTGTTTTCTTCTGGTGCTTTTCGGAGGGGGTGTTTAATTTGCAGTTGGTTTAGAATGGTTGGCGCTTCGCTAGGACAGCAAGTTTTGATAATGCCAGGTACAACAAAATATCTCACTGTGCCTAATTAAACAACTACATTTACTTGAATGAAATAACTGTTGCCAGAATGCTCAACAGGACTCTTATTTGTATATTTAAAACATGATATCCTGCATTTCACCACGTAGATCTCAAAAGCTGCTTATAGCAATAAAATACCCAATATATGAAATTTAATTACAGGTAGGTAGCCGTGTTGGTCTGCTGTAGTTGAAACAAAATTTAAAAATTCCTTCCAGTAGCACCTTAGAGACCAACTAAGTTAGTTATTGGTATGAGCTTTCTGAAGAAGTGTGCACACACACAAAAGCTCATACCAATAACTAACTTAGTTGGTCTCTAAGGTGCTACTGGAAGGAATTTAATTTACATTAATAAAACCTCAATTAATTAAGAGGTTATAACATGCACATTTAATCATTTTTAAAAGATGCAAAGATCTAGTTTTGAAATAAAACAGTTTTGCCAGTTAATAGCTTACGTTACACACATACTCTGCAGAATATTTTATATTGTTTATCCTCACAACATCAAAGCAGACTGTTCTAATTTCCATTTTATAGCTGGGGAAACTGAGACTGAGAGTAACGTATTCTAGTCAGTCCAGTAAGCTTACAGTTAAGGATTTGACCCTGGGTTAGCCACACCTGATGTTTCCAGTTCCCCTAACCTTAGTAGTTTTTAACCAAACTTAGAACAGTGTCCTTTTTAGGGAGCATCTTACTGAAAAGTCTCACCTGTGTTCTTTGCTTCTCTGCCACAGTTTCAATGAGATCCACAAGTTTCACACACAGATACTTCGAGTGAAAGACCGTGATGACTTTCCCATGATCCTTGTGGGGAATAAGGCTGACCTTGACCTTTATCGGCAGGTGAGCCTTCCATAGCATTCAATCACTTATCGTGATATCAGTCTCTGCGTGGTGGGACTCTGGGCTGGTACATGAGTTGATAATGTTTTGAACCCTCTCTCTGCAGTCTTAATTTGGGAAACCCATATAGACCTGGGTAAGAATTAAGATAAATGTGTAATGCCTTGCTCTAGGGAGGCTTGGCAAGGCATGAGCTTGAGAGACGAGGCCTTCTTTGTGGTGGCGCGACAACTCATGAATGCTTTCTCAGATTTATTTCATCAGTCTCCCTCTGTGTTTTGTCAGAGATGGGATGCACTTCTATTTTGATGGGGGATTTTGTGTGTGTTTCACACCAGTTTTATCGTTGCTGGTTGTAATGGATAATAGGGAGAAGGAACCATCAGCCCTCCATATGTTGTTGGATTGTAACTCCCATCATCTCTAGCTATTGGCCATGCTGGCAGGGGCTGATGGGAACTGGAGTCCAATAACATGTGGAAGGCCACAGGTTAAGCCATCTTTGATTTAACATCTTTTGCTGCTGCTACATTTGTTTTTGCTCTGCTGCAAGTTCTGACTACATGATGCTAAGCCAAAACATGGCTTAGGATGAACGTGCAAGTGGGTGGACTTCTACAGGGAAATGATGACCACTTTGTACCTCCAGCACTCGTTCTCCTGTTGCCCTGAGTTGAGCCGTGATTTGCCTTAGCAGCTCATCCAAATCTGGGCAACTAATAAATATAATACAGTGGTACCTTGGGTTACAGACGCTTCAGGTTACAGATGCTTCAGGTTACATACTCCGCTAACCCAGAAATAGTACCTTGGGTTAAGAACTTTGCTTCAGGATGAGAACAGAAACTGTGCGGCAGCAGCGGGAGGCCCCATTAGCTAAAGTGGTACCTCAGGTTAAGAACAGTTTCAGGTTAAGAACGGACCTCCAGAACGAATTAAGTTCTTAACCCAAGGTACCACTGTAAAGGACAATAAATAAAATTGAATAATTGCCATTCCCTGGCTGTTTTATATGGTGCGCAGGGAGCAGTGTTGTATTTGACCCAGTTGGTCTCCAAAATTAGGAGAGCTTGCCTGAGAGAAAATTTATCTTTGTGAGCAGCCATGAGTGGGGAAGATTTGGCTGCCACAAGGCACCCACGCCTTCTTACATGCCCCTTCACTATCTCCACATTTCCCGTTCCCTTAAAAAATGTGGGGCAGGGGTCACAAATGAGGTGGATGTGGGTTGCTGTGCAACCAAACATTACAACTACCAAATGGCAGCCGCCATTTTGTTTTCTCCTTTTGCTCCCTCCCTCCCACCACCGCAGCTACACTCTTCCGTCATGTAACGGTATCCATTGCTATTTCTCATCGCTGCTTACTTATCCAGGTACCCAAGGAGGAGGCCCTCAGCTTTGCCCGGGAGAATCGGATCCCGTACATGGAAGCCTCTGCCAAAATCCGCCTCAATGTGGATGAATCTTTCTATGAGCTGGTCAGGGCCATCAGGTAAGCGGACAGGTGACTTGCTGGACGTGCTGTTTCTTAACACGACTAAGTCGGTTGCTTTGAGACAAAAATTTTTTTTGCAGGGGTGTCAAATACAGTGGTACCTCGGAAGTCGAATGGAATCGGTTCCGGAAGTCTGTTTGACTTCCAAAATGTTCGGAAACCAAGGCGTGGCTTTCGATTGGCTGCAGGAAGCTCCTGCAGCCAATCGGAAGCCGTGGAAGCCCCATCACACGTTTGGGTTCCAAACAATGTTTGCAAACTGGAACACTCCCTTCCAGGTTTGTGGCATTTGGGAGCCAAAATGTTCGACTCGCAAGGTGTTTGGGATCCAAGGTACGACTATATAATGAATAAGTAAATACAGTGGTACCTCGGGTTACATACGCTTCAGGTTACAGACTCCACTAATCCAGAAATAGTGCTTCAGGTTAAGAACTTTGCTTCAGGGTGAGAACAGAAATCGTGCTGTAGCGGCAGCAGGAGGCCCCATTAGCTAAAGTGGTGCTTCAGGTTAAGAACAGTTTCAGGTTAAGTACGGACCTCCGGAACGAATTAGGTACTTAACCCGAGGTACCACTGTAATCAAATTGGCTCCCCAAAGCCTGGGGGAAGCAGTTTCCTTTGATAATAACTTCAATATGGAGGCCATTTGTGGCTGTACTGTATTTCATTATTTACTTCAACCTGGTGCCCTCTAGATGTTTCAGATTATTGGGTTGTCTTTGTTTTTGTTTTTATTATGTATCCTGTGTTTTTATTTTGTAATTTATGTTGTGAACAGTCCTGAGATCAATGGGTATAGGGCCGTATACAAATTTAATAAATAAATGAAATACTACTACTGCTGATAATAATAGACTACAGCTTCCATCAGCCCCAGCCAACACAGCTTGGTGAAAGTTGATTTACTTTTATATATATATAACCCTATGCCCTTAGCCTAGGGGTAAACAGGTTTGAGGCTTGTGGCATCTACTTTTACTAGATCCTCAAGATCCACCAATTAGAGTTTTGCTAAATTTGGCCACTAAGTTCAGGGGTACCCAATACGGTGTTATTTTAGATGTTAAGACTTTAACTCTCATCAACCTTGACCAAAAGCCATGGTGGCCTGGGCTGATGGGAATTATAGTCCAACAACAACTGGAGGGCTGCCTGTGACCTAGTCATAGAGTAAAATTGTAGAGTTGGAAGGGTATGTGAGGGTCATCCATCCCACCCCTGCAATCTCAGAACTTATGAGAAAAATTAGCATTTTCCTGAAAATCTGAGCAGGTGATAAGAGCTACGCTGCCTTATTTTTGCTATACAGTCATACCTCGGGTTGACGTTGCTTCAGGTTGAGCGTTTTCGGGTTGTGCTCCGTGATGACCCAGAAGTAACGGAATGAGTTACTTCCGGGTTTTGCCGCATGCGCAGACGCTCAAAATGACATCATGCGCAGAAGCGGCGAATCGCGACCTGTGCATGCGCAGATGTGGGTTGCGTTCTGCTCTGGATGCGAACGGGGCTCCGGAACGGATCCCGTTCGCATCTAGAGGTACCACTGTATTCTCTCTCTGCTTCCTGTCCCAATTTTCACCTCTTTCCTCTTTCGATTTGCAGGAGGTTTCATGAGCTGGAATCCCCCCCTGCCCCGGCTGTCAGCCCTAAGAAGAAAGAAAGCAAAGGCTGTCCTTGTTCCCTGCTGTAAACTGCCTTCCCACACCAAGCTACAAAGCCCGGAAAGGGAAGAAGAACTGCTCAGGTTCCCTCCTAAGGAGTGGACGCGGCAGGATTTCTCCCTTATCTCCACCTCCCCCCACCTCTCACCTCCCTCACCTATGCAACAAGGGCTGGCAATGTGTATTCTGCAGTTGTGTCCAAATACTACAATATGTCTGGCGCAGAGAGTTCCTGCAAACTGGAACAGGTCAGGAAGCAGATAAATCATGTACCCACTCAACACCCACTAAATAGGCAGGAAATAGGTTATATACATGATGACTGGGACAAGGTGCGGGAAGAGCCTTCCTATCCTGTTCCCCCACCTTTCTCTGTTAAGTCTTCAGAGAAAACTGGCAAGAAGGGGAATCTCTTACACCAGGGGATAGGAGTAGAGGCGGACTTGGGGCTTTCAGAGATGCCAAAATTTGGTGCCATGCCCCCCGCCCCATATCCCAGTGCGGGTGAACTGGTCACGCTTCTCTAAATCTGCCTGTGGTAGAAGGCAGAGCAATTTGAGAAATGTGCGTTCATGGGTTTAAATCTGGAAAGAATAGGATAGTCTGGTTTTAGGATGGGTGAGAGAGTGGGCAGGAAAACGAGGCGCTCACTCTTCAATGCAGCCAGAGCCAGCAAGCTTTTTGCACATACACACTTTTATGTACATGTTCAAAGCCGTATTGTACAAATGCATTTAAAGGGGTGTTATCTATTTTTTAAAAAATCACAGCCATCATTATGCACAGCACATGTTTAATAGGAACGGTCAATAAAAATTAAGCAAGGAATTTTTTTTTGGCAACCTTCCAGCGGCTTTGGACTACAACTCCCATGAGCCCCAGCCAGAACACATCCTAGCAGGGGCTGATGGGAGTTGTAGTCCAAAACAAAAATAGGTTAGCAGCATCGCATTAAAGTAGGGGACCCAAAGAAGCAATCTTTTTTTAAAAAAAAGATCAAGTTTTGTGGGGAGGGTGACCCCCCCCCACAAAAACCGTCTGGGACAGAGGGTTGAATGAACCCCAAGGGCTATCTACCCATTTAAGATCCTCTACCTGCCACCTAAAGAGCAAATGGGCATAATGAAATTAAATCCTGCCCAAATGCAAGGCATCTCCCCCCGCAAGCAGTTAAGGGATGTGTGTGAAGGTCACTTCTGCCAATTCCGCTGCCATCCTGCTGCAGATCATTCCAGCCTGTTAAACACCAAAGAGTTACCACCTATTCAAGCACCATCATCTTGTGGCACTTTAAATACGAACAGATTTATTATGGCATAAGCCATCCTTGAATGGAGTCCGCATTGTCAGCTGTAGGAAGTCTTCTCTGTTGGCAATTATATGTAATCTACACATACACATGGTACAGAGGGGTGGTTCTTTTTTGCAAACAGTGGGGCCAAAGGGCCACGAAATGTTAGGGTAGGAAGCTGTGAAATTCTCACATACCCAGAAGTGGTTTTGAATAAAAGGGAGTCATTCCCAAATCAGTGTGTGTTGCTGTTTGTGGTGGCGGCACAAAATTGGGCGGGTCAGGAAGCAGGCAGCACTGAGTAGGCTATGGAGACATTCAGGCTATAATCCGATACACACTTACCTGAGAAACAAGTTCTCCTTGAACTCAGTGGAACTTTCTTCCAAGTAGACATTCATGGGACTGCATTCAGTGTGGTCTCTTGGATATGGTCCATCCACATTTAAAGGGTGAGCAGGCTGCCTTGGGAGTCTCAGGATGTAGCCCGTGGAGCAGGAATGGGGAATTGGTGGCTCTCCAAACACATGAGATCCAGCTCACACCAACCGTGGCAAAAATGGCTAACTGTGAGGTGCGATGGGCGCTCGGGTCAACAGGACTTTAGTGACCAGCATAGGTGCTCAAGGTGATCTATCCATGATCAACCTACACCTGAGGGATGGAGGACAGACAAAAGGAAGTCCTTCACAGGGCACACCACTGAACTATGGCATTTGGGTGGCTTTAAGAGAGGATTGGACAAATTCATGGGTGGGCCCTAAAACACCTGTAACTTAAAACTTAATGGAAAGACTGACCCATATCCTCAGGCAACAGTGTTTTGAGTCTCAACTTCTTCTGTATTCTAATTCCTGAAGAAAAGAAAGGTATTTGTACTGCAAATAAAATCAAACTCGGGGCAGGTACTGGTGGGGCTGTCCTTTGTTGCGATCTTTCTTTCAGAAGTCAAGAAAACTGAATACTGGGTTAAAGCAGGGACACAATGACTAGACTTTTGGAGATTTGGGGTGGAAAAACCTATCTGGAGCAAGGAATGGGGTTTCCAAAGTCTAAACCAGTTTCCCAAACTTGGGTCTCCAACTATTTCTGGATTACAGTTCCCAATATCCCTGACCACTGGTCCTGCTAGCTAGGGATGATGCGAGTTGTAGTCCAAAAACAGCTGGAGACCTGAGTTTGGGAAACCCTGGTCTAAACGGACTTAGATTGCTTTATTTAAGCCAGCGGTTGTGCATTTGTTAGGCAGACACCGAACCAAAATGGGGGACCTCGGTGGGGGACAAACCTCTAGGACATGGGAAATTTTTGGCCCTCCAGGTGTTGCTGAACTACAACTCTCAGCTGCACCAAGGAGTTGTAGTACAGCAACATCTGGGTGGCCAAAGGTCCTGCTCTCTGGCAACACCTGCTCTAGAATTAGGAAGCCAGGTCTCCTGGATGTGTCTCATTGTCCAAACTGCTCACTGCAAATGAACTCTCCCTTGCCACCCCAAAAATAAGGAATAAAGCTGTACAGCAGGCATTTGATTTTTGCAAAGAAAAGTGTTTTTTGTCATTTTGTTTGTGTACACAGTATACAATGTGAGTTTTACATATTGAGAGAAAAAAACGTCTCAGACACTAATAATAAACAATAAAAATATATAGGAACATCCAATAATACAGAACACAAATCCCATTATCTCAGAACAATACCCTTGAGGCGCGAACAAGATACACAGAAATACACATCGTAAAAAAGGGGGCCTTCCAAGATCCAAATTTGGGGCGGGTGGGGGAGGAGGAGAAGTCTTTTCGTCACAGGAAGCTGTGGGGTGTGTTTGTGTGTGTGCGCACACACATTCTTAAACAACTCTGAGCTGGGCCCTTCCAATTCTGGTGCACAGGGTTTGGGCTGCTTGGCCCCTCCGTCCAGGGGGCAAACGCCTTAGCAAAATTTTGCATGAAATTGATGGTGCGAGTCTGTCGTTCCAGGAGGTATCGAGGCTCTGAATGTCCCTTGAAAACAAACCACGTGTATGTCCCCCCATCCCTTCGTTTCCCAAACCCCATGTTCAACTTACTAACCCCACCTCCACACACAGGTTCAAGCTACAGTCCGTCGCCTCTAAGGCCCAACAGCTATCAGTAAACCGGGTTTGCGAGGGAAAAAGCTGTTAAAAACTAAATTGCAAGCTTTTAAAATACCCAAAAGGAAGCCAGTCAACCCTCTTCCCCCCTTTAAAAACACTCCATTCTGAGTGGAGCTCATGTACACGCAAGTTCCACCCCCCTCCATGCACTCTCACAATCACACTTGCCAACCTCTACTCATCCACAATAAATAATTAAGGGGAAGGGGTAGGATCCAGGGGGATGTGGAGAGTTGTGTATATATAAGGGACCCTGATCTAACACAGCCAGATGGGCCCCCAACACATTTCTGTGCTGTCCAGAAACTTAACTGAAGAAGCTCCGCTGGGGCAATGGGACCAACCCCTCTTCTGAGGTGGGATCTGTTTTTTTAAATTTTTAATTAAATTTTCCAACATACATTTATAGTATCCAATCTAAATTTATCACATATTTTCTCTTTTAGACTTCCTTCAACCTCTCTGACAATCATCCATTATTCAAGGTGGGATCTGTTTTCTCCTCCACCCTAGAGTACCTTTTTTGCACTTCCTCCATGAGAAGTGTGTGGGAACCATGATTAAAAAAAATAAATCAAACCGGTGGGTGGGTGCTTTCAGCACCCCCTGCAATGCTGGAATATGCAGCTGCCCCATATGGGGATCAAACCTGCAACCTTTTGACGGTAGAGAAAAGCAAAGAAGAAACAAAAACTGAACCGTGGGGAGACTGGGCTGGTACAGAGAAATCAGAAGTAGTCTCGGGGAGTGGGAATGAGGTAGACGTTGGTTGGGGGGGGGAATCTGATCTAGCAGGGGAATCTACGTGGAGATGTGAGATGGATCTGGGAGGTCACTAGGAAAACCCAAAGGAGAAAACATGCCAAGGTGGCTAACTGGCTGGGCTATGGGTGTGTTTGGGTGATATATGAGAGAGGCTGGCTGAATGACCGGGCTGGGCTGCAAGCGGAAAGTGTGTGAAACAGGGCAAGGACCTAATTGTCTATCTAAAGAGAGTTTATTTTAGCATTTCAGCTCAGGGTTAGAGAGGGATCTTTGCTTAGGAGGCTGCGGGGTGAGGGACACAGAATCTCCCTTCCCCCTCAATAACAACAACAACAATAATGGTGATTAAAAATAATAATAATAACGACCTCCTAATGAAAAGTTTCAGTCCAAACCAAATAACGTCACAGCTACAGGTGAGGAGAGAGAGAAAGAGAGAGAGAGAAACTCCTGCGTATCGTTAAGTTCAAGTTAGTCAAATACAATATGATACATAGACTTTTTATCCTATACAGTATATACAGCTGAGGGGAGGGATGGGGAGCAGAATCCTGCCTTGTCAAACACCACGAGGAAGGGGGTGGAAGGGAATTGTCCTTTCCTCAAAGGAGCTCAGTTCTAAGAAAAGCACAGAGGGACATAACTACGGCCTAGTGCACCCCTTTCCGTGATCCGTGTGAGGGCCAGTTGAGAAAGTCTGAACAGTCTTTTTTTTTAATGGGGGAAAGTGATAGGGATGGGAAGGAGAGAGATTTAGGGAGCCTTGATACAGACGGGTTGCTATGGGTATCGCTTTGCCCCCCCCCCATTTATGGTTACCTATTCAGAAGGGTTATGGGTGGAGAGATGCTCCACATGTCCCAAAGAGCTAGAACCCCAAACTCAGCGGGCAAAAAGAAAAGAAGGGGGGGAGAGTGGCTCGTGGCAGGTCCACCAGCAGCAATCGCCCCCACGGAAATGACTGAGTGAAGAAGGAAGGTGCTCCAGAGACGGCCTGTGGGAGTGGGTTGGGAGGTGGCTCTTTGCAACCGTTTGGTTGGGAAGGGGCAACTTGGCAATAAATATTCCTGTTGGAAGCAATAACAGAGGCAATCGCTGTGAGTGTGTGAGTGGAGTGCCTCTCCCCAGCCTCAACTCAAAGCAACAGTTTATTTGGCAGAGATGGGATGAGAGTTGTCTGCGGGCAGGGAGAGGAAGTGGGGTCTCATTGCCTGGTCAGACTGTGGTTAAAAGGATCTGGGCACTGTGCTAAATACACCCCTTGCCACACACACACTCGGCTTTCCCTAGGGAGAAGCAGAAGTTCCTGATGGACAAGAAGCAGGACGGTACCCTGGACCCTCTTGTGTTTATTCACGCTGCCCGCCAAAACACACGCGTCCCCATTCCCACCCCGTCACCCCAATGAAACCTACGGCTCCTGGATCCCATCCCCACAAGCTCCAGATCCCGGCACCAACACTCCTCTGACCTTCCTATGGGGGTCCTCCTACTCTCAGTCCCCACCAGAGCAGGGGGCGAGGCTGCTCCAATTAGACATTTATACATTTATATATAAATAATATTTCTCTGTACAGCCAGGGCAAAGGGGAAAGGGGGCTGTCCAGCCATCCGCTCCTTTTGATGAGAACCCTCCTCAACGTGTGCTCTCTGCCATCACAAACCTCCCGCGCACCCCACCACCAAAAATAAAAATAAAGAGGCGCATCCCAGGTCCTGGTTTTTTAAAAAAGAAAAGAAAACCTGAAAAGGGAAGGGGTGGTGGTGGTGGTGATGGCGATGGTAAGCTGAGTCTGAACTCGTTGCCTGTGATGGTACCCCTCGACCTTCCTCTCCCCACTTCCTGCTCTGGCTCTGCAGAGGGGCGGGCGTTAGGTGGCCCCTCCCGGGGCGTGGCTCCGGCGGCTGCGTCACGCACATTTGCTCTGTGCCTGAGTCAGCAACTCGCTGAAGGAGTCAAACAGTTTCTCCAGCCACGGCTGGTTGCGCATGCACTGCTGCACCACTTCTTCCTGGCCCAGGTCCTCGTCCTGACCCTCGATCGCCGTTGTCTGCGGAAGGAGAGCCCCACCCGCCCCCCAAGAGAAGGACAAAACGTTAGCTAAGAGGCTTCATTACGCGCGCACATGTGGGCAGCATGGGACTCACGGGGCTTATGAAAACAAACGGATTCCGCAACCAGGCGAACCAAATTCTGCAACCCGGAGAAAGCGAAGTTGTGTTTCGTTTGTTTATAAAAATATTTATATAGCGCTGTGTCGTAAAAACGTAGCACAGTGGTTTACAGCACCATAAAAACATAGTCAAGCAATAAAGTCATAAACAAGTTAGAAGCAAAAGGAAGTTGAAAGCAAACATCAAGAGACCGTTGTGTGCTCTTGATTGTCTGCATAGGCTTGGGGGAATAGAAAAGTTTTCAGCAGGCACTGAAAAGCTGGTATGGAAGGCGCCCGTATGAATTATGCACCTTCATGCAATTCCTCACTCCCTATGCCACTCAATAACTTCATAGAATTGTAGAGTTGGAAGGGTCCCTGAGGACCATTTACTTCAACCCCCTACAATGCACAAGTTCATTCTTGATTTGTTAGATATAGGGGTAGCACAAAAGTAATGCAAACTACCTGTGGCAGATCCCTCTAGCCACTGGAAATCCTATCCTACCACCTCTCTGGCTTTTTAGATTTTACTAGGCCATGATCACAAAGTTACAAGGATATATTTGCAACAACAGGGACAATAAACTTTTTTCTAAAAATAGTAGCTGAATGCTGAACCCAATTTCACGTTTTGCACCTCTATGATCTGCACACCCTGCAGTATATACATCATCCTCAGTTTAAGAGTGAAAGCTCAAAGTTCTACCGTAAGGACTGAGGAGACATTTCACGGTATCACCAACCATACTGTTGTCAACTCACACTGTTATGGGTTAAGACAATGGGGATGATTTTTTTTTTTGGCATTCAGCTAGGTTCTCCTCAGAGTAGAACCACTGAAATTAATGGACCTAATTTAGCCGTGTTCATTAATTTCAATGGGTCTAACTCTGAGAAAACCTTAACTGAATACCATGGATAAGTCAGTAGAGTATGAGACTTTTAATTTCAGGATTGTGGGTTGGAGTTCCACTTTGGGCAAAAAGCGGGTTGGAAAAGATGACCTTGGAAAAGATGACTGAGCCTTGCAATTTGATCTCTTTCTCCTCAATGCAAGGGACACCCTGCCTCTAACAAGGCCAGCATACCCAAGGTATTCCAGAAAGCCCAGCTGCCACAAAAATCTGTTTTTAAAAAAATTAAGAAACAAGTTTCCAGTCACCTTGGTTGGCCGTTTCCCCCCAAGAGCACCTGTCTCCCAGAGAATGCAGCAGCCTCTGGAATTATTTGTGCAAAGACGTGTTTTCATTGCGCCAAATAAGCACAGCCAAGACAGAGGAGTTTGTGCAGCTTGGATTTCACCTCAGACCTTCCCACTCCTCACTTCTTTACGGGGGGGTGGGGGGGAGCTCTATCCGTAGGAAAAAGGGATCCCAGGTGATGGAAGTAAAATGATACGGTTCTTACTCACCTCATCCTTACAACGCAGAAATGTGTGGTACTTGTAGTGGTGAAGGGAATGGTACAGAGTGTAGAAAAAGGACTTCTCCACCTCCACACTGAATTCCTGTCAGCAATAAGGGTGAAGAAATAACAGGGAGAAATCACTTACAAGAAATCACAGCCTACTGCTCACAAGCTCCTTCATTTCACCTACCCGAAGTACCTCAGAATCATACCGTTCCCTCCCTAAATGTTTCACAATAGTCAATAAGTCTGCCTGCCCTTGCTCATTACTATCTCTTCCCTCGCAGCCATGTCTTCCACTTCTGCCTCTGCAAAGTTAATTTCTCCCTCCTGTTGCTATGGCATCTTCACCTCAGCACCCGGAACTTCCTGCAGCGGTTAAGTCAATGCAGTGCCCTCCAGTTGCTGTGGGACTCCAACACCCATCAGCCACAGCCAGCGTGGCCAATCGTCAGGGATGATGGGAACTGGAGTCCCAGCAACTTTTTGAAGGGCTACCCCTCAGCCCAGAGGTTGCCAACCCATGATGCCTGCAAAGGCCTTCACTGGCCCCCTCTGGAAGGGACCCCAGACTCTGAGCTGTCTTGGAAAAGGAAAGTCTCTAGCCCTCCAAGAAAGAAAGCTATGTTGCAGAATGTGCAAATACCCCCCCTTTTTTAATAACAATTTATTAATTTTCCAAAAATAACAATACGGGGGGAAAAAACAGAAAAAAATCATAACCAAATTAAACCATAAATTTTCAGTCCACTTCCCCTCTTGGTTCCATTGTAATATACTTGTTTAAGCACGTCCATAAAACCTTATATACTTAACAACCCAATTTTAAAACCTTCTTCATCTTATTACAAGTGACTTTTAAAAGTTACACTGATGTAAAAATCTGTACACAAAGCTTTAAAAATATGCATTGAACAATTGCCCTTTTTTGTAATAATTTGTCCTGCATAGTTCAATAATTTATTTTGCCAATCTTCTTCTATATCTTCTTCTTTATGTTCTTTGGCCGAGGCTGCTTCCTTCCAAAGGGGCTGGCTGGTCTTGGCCTAGTTTTGTATATCGGAACAAAGTCTTTCGTTCAAACAATCCACCAAGTCCTGTACATCTCAATATCATAACTTCATTTTTTAAAAAAATGTGCAAGTACCCTAATCAGTTTCTGTGAAATTAGCCAGCCTGGCTTCTTCTGCCTTTCAGAGTCGTTAGCCAATGAGTGAAGTTAAGAGCTATGATTGATAACTGAGCAGCTTGGACGACAGGCAAGAGGAATTCCTGGGGTCCTAAAGAGCTTCTGTTCCGGCCCTGCCATCCTCCCTCCCCACCTTTAAGTGCAATTTTCTTGCTTCTCTCTAGTAGTCCTTTCTAGTAGCCCTTTCTTTTTACCTAGCAACCAGGATACATCTTTCCTGTGGTGGGTTCGTCTGAGATCATGCATTCCCTAGAAGTTGTTTTCTGAAAATACTACTTAACAGTAAATGTGGCTATTAAAGAATCCCATCTCCCTTTATTCCCCTCTCCTGGCACTCACCACAGATCATAATCTGCTCCAAGGCTGCCTTCTTCCCCTCTCCGTCTCTATGCCGAGCCGCCCACCACCCTTCCAGAACACCTTCCCTCCCACAAGGCCTGTTCTGAACTTCTTAACCCTCTCTTATCCTAGACAGCTGCTGTTGCTTCATTGAATTTCACCTTCTTTTCCTTTGCTCATTTTTCTTAAGACTGCATGCTTCCCATGCAAAAAAGAAAAAAACGGCAAATGCAAAACGTGAAATATTGACAGAGTGGCTCTGGTGTGTCTCCTGCTGTGCAGGCACTCCTTAAAAATTCCTTGTATGGTTAACTTACAAGGCCACACAGGCGTACTTTATAAGTCTCTCTGTTTTTAATGCAGCTTACTGCCACGTAAGGGACGCAGGTGGCGCTGTGGGTTAAACCACAGAGCCTAGGGCTTGCCAATCAGAAGGTCGGTGGTTTGAATCCCCGCCACGGGGTGAGCTCCCGTTGCTCGGTCCCTGCTCCTGCCAACCTAGCAGTTTGAAAGCACGTCAAAGTGCAAGTAGATAAATAGGTACCGCTCCGGCGGGAAGGCAACGGCGTTTCCGTGCGCTGCTCTGGTTGGCCAGAAGCGGCTTAGTCATGCTGGCCACATGACACGGAAGCTGTACGCCGGCTCCCTTGGCCAATAAAGCGAGATGAGCGCCGCAACCCCAGAGTCGGCCACGACTGGACCTAATGGTCAGGGGTCCCTTTACCTTTACTGCCAGGTAAGCGGGTGCTGGATAGCAGTCTAGGCTTTGTTTTAAGGTTTTGTGCCTTTAACAGCTGTACCTCCACAATCAGGCCTAGCAGGACATGGCTAGGGGTGGGAAACAGCAGCGGTGACAATATTGTGTTATGTCACACACCCCTTGGCAGCCATGTTGCAGTACTCCATGGTAGCCGTTTTGTGAATGGCACCCTCAGCAATCACACAAAATTAGGAATGTGCCTACTGGTCCGAAAAGGCTGGTGATGGCTGCCTTAGCTTACAGATAGTCAATATTCAAGATTCTCCACCTCCCTAGCCCTGACCGAGACCTGAAATGAGTAGAATGACAAGGGAATTAAATAGCAGAACTAAAAAAGTGGTTTGATAGGATGTACTATTTCAGACTGGAGTGGGGGGTGACATCAAATTTCCTTTGGAACTCTCTCCTGTTATTTATTGGGAAGCATCTGCTGAGGACTTTCCTCTTTCAACAAAACTTTCAAGCAGTTGTTTTTGTTACTTTAGTTTGTATCTGTACTGGATTTCAAACTGCTTCTATTTATGCAATTGGGGCAACAGTTCTTACATATGCAATTGCTTTATACATATTTTCATTGCACTGTGAAATTGCCTTGAGATGCTTCATAGGAAGAGATTAATGAATTTAATTGATAATAATATTCAAACCCCTCCCAACAGTTCAAAAATGAAACAATTCCCTGCAAGTGGAAAGGCAGTGGGGGTGAACTAGAATCCTGTTTCCCTAATTAGTTATTTTACCTGCAGGGAATTTTCTTATGAAGGGAAATATTCCAACAATATGATCTCTGCCTGCCATCTGAAGTGGTGAAATCCCGCTTATCCTCTTCCATGTGTCCATGAGGCCCATGCTTCCTCACTCACCCCCTTTATTCCCCTCTCCTGGCACACACCACAGATCATAATCTGCTCCAAGGCCGCCTTCTTCCCCTCTCCTGCGATCTTGTTGCTCCCTCCCTACGATGGAAACGGCCTTCTTGTCTCTATGCCGAGCCGCCCACCACCCTTCCAGAACACCTTCCCTCCCACAAGGCCTGTTCTGAACTTCTTAACCCTCTCTTATCCTTGACAGCTGCTGTTGCTTCATTGAATTTCACCTACTTTTCCTTCCTTTGCCCATTTTTCTTAAGACTGCATGCTTCCCATGCAAAAAAGAAAAAAGAAAAAAAAATGAGAGCTTTCCCACAGACTTCTGGTTGGTGATGGTGAGAACAGGACTGATCAGGCAGCCTTTTCTTAGGTTCTTATGATCATACTACTTTTGCAGGCACCAGAGAGCAGAAAACGACAACAGCAGCAAGAGACCCAGCAGGCATTCTTGTGGCCGAAACCAGGAACGAGAACGGTGAGAAAGAACTATATTCATGTTTGCAAAAACCCCTTATTTATTTTTCAAAACTGAAAGTGGTGAGTTCTGAACATTTGCTCCCTTGAGGATGTTTTAATTCCTCAGAGCCGGAAATGCGAGATACAGACTAAATGAGAAATTCCTTAGAGTTCTGTGGTTTGAAGATGCAGCGCTCAACGGTTCTCATTTCCAAAATAAAAATATAAATATGTTTTAACACACTGTGGGTTCCTGGTGTGTAATCAAAATTGCATATTTTAGAGATTTTCATGCCTTTCTTCTTCCAAATACAAGCAGCGCAGCACAGGATGTGGATGCTATTCATTTTGTTAATGCAGTCTGGTTGCATCCAAGAAAAAGAGTGGTATGAAGGGGGAGGGTTTAGTCTGCTCCTTAGTTTGGAGTGAGCTCCCCTGGCTACATTTCGCAGGGGAGAAATGGCTGCAGGATTTCCCCTAAAATATGTACACTGAACCAGGACAGTGCACTCACTTTTGTGCACATGCAGGTACAGATGAAAACAAACTTAGCTCATTTGTCCATCCCTAGACTGAGATGCATGCCATGCTCTGAATTTTTACGGCTCAAAGGCATGAGGAACTAGAGACCCCACCACCATCATTGCTTGCTGGTTAGAAGAAGGGAGTCTCCTATAGCCTGGACAGCTGAAGACTTGCATGCTGGTGGTTTAAAAATCCATTGTGGTGGAATTCCTGATGGAAGGCAAGCCATCACACTGTCAGCTTTGCTGAGCAGTGCACCGCTGGGGTGGGGTTGGGGTGAAAAAATAACAACAGGTCTTTGGGATGGACTTTGCACTTTACACCTTTGTGCTCCACTACAGAGCTGACCCGCTTGTATAAAACAAAGGCCTCCTTTGGGAGATGGGCGCCATAAAAAGTTCTGTTAAAATGTTAAGTTGGTGTTCCAGAGTGAGCACCGTCTGGGCACAGAACCTCTTTTGGGGCACCCCTTGCCCAACTGGCTTGCTTGATTAAATGAGAAAGAAAAGTCAACACTCTCCATTTCCATTTTGTTCGCTGATGGGAGCATAGGGCCCTCTCATATGCTAAAATGGGAGGTTTTCTCTCCCTCCCCTCAATTCCAGTTAGGGCCTTTAGGGATTGCGCTTCTGCGCTTCCTGGTTTCCTTCTTTTGTCTCTTGCATAAGCCACTGCACGGTTTCCATTCAGAGTTTTCTGTCCATGCCTTCAGACACAGGAAGGAAGAGCGACTGATGCGAGATTGCACTCCAAGCACTGGGCAACTGCATTTTTGGGAGGGTGCTGAAAAATCTTCATTAGACATCCCTAGCACTCTACATAACAGAACTACCATACCCAAGTAACAGGAGAGCAAGAGAGCTGGGGAGGGAAAGAAAGAGAAAGAGAGGCAGACAGAAACCATGGCATGGCTTTAAATAGTGTCAATATTCTCTTCTCTTGGATGAATATTTGAACTGTTAAGACTTTTCTTGGAAGTTATAATTCTATTGCTATTAATCTAATTCTATTATTAATTCTAATTCTATTATTCTAGAGGAAACAGACCACAACCCCCTGGCTTAATGTTTTGTCTGAACCAGGGATGATGACTTGTTCCACTCCCAACAAACCATGATTTGTAGCCTAGGTTTGCTCCTGACGTACTACTTGTGATTTGCTAGGAGTGACATGAACCACATTCCCTGGTTTGGGCCTAACATTAAGCCAGTAGTTGTAGTTTGCCTCCTGCAAGCTGGGAGGAGCAGAGTGATTCATTCGGGCACGGTAAGCTATGGTTTACAGTTTACCATGGCACGCAAACGTGGCCAATATGCTGCAGTTGGTAGAGATTCAGACTAGGAGTGGGGAGAGCCAGGTTCACATCCTCGTTCAGCTATGAAGCTCTTCCTGGGTGACCCTGAGCCTGCCTGCCTGCCTCTCTCTGATTCTAGCCTACGTCACAGGGCTGAGAGGATGAAACAGGAAGAGAGGGACTCTCTCTCTCTCTCCCACTCAAAAAAACAGCATCTAGAACCGTACTCAGTGTTGATCAGTTTGCTGCAGGTCCTTGATTCCATCTCGGCTCCCACCTACCTGCTGTTTGGATACATTCTTCTTGAGTTTGTTGAGTGTCTTGCGGTTATAAGGTTCGCCCCCTAGGCGCAACTTGACTGTGGTGTCGCACGTCTCGGTGTGGAGTTGGGGGAACGTGTGGAGAGCCTCCTGGATGACGGACAAAAATATTCACTGTGAGACAGCAGATTTCACATAACCTGTGGCTGTCAGACTGACCTCCTGTGTCAAAAAGGGCCAGAGGTAGTTTATGTGGTATAGTGCTAAAAATGTAATTAGGAACTATGAGCCTCTGTATCGAGTAAGATACCAATATAACATAACAGTATCTCGGGCAATGTTGCTAAATGAAAAGTCTGGTGTCGTTATTTTCACGTTTTAGTTCTTAATTTTTTATTTTTATGATTCTTAGTAATGCTGATTGAGGATTAACAAATGCTGATTATATACGGATATTCCCTGACTTTACTTCGCTTGCACTCCTAAGGGGTCAACGACAACTTTATAAGCTCCTCAACGGCATCAATGACCTCAGAAATTTGGGGAACCCTCACCTAAGCCACAGTCGCACGACAAATCTTCCGGCCTTCACTCTCTCATGGTTGTTGTGAAGGTAAATTGGAAGGAAGTATCCAAGACAGGGCTTAGCAATAGAGAAAACTACGTATCTAAAATAGGCATTTCTACACAATGCTATCTCAGGCAGGGTGTGGGGCGAAGAGTTAAACATTTTCCACTTGCCCCATTTTCATACCTGTAGCGACGGATTCAGAGATACTCTCTTCAGCACCTTTTTCTTGTGATCGTTCAATATCCCGTCAATCTTTCGCATGGGCGGAAGATAAAGTTCATCTGGGGGAGGATTGACAAAAGAGATTTTAAGCATCACACACAGTGTCCTTGGTGGGTATTTCAGTGGTCAGTTTTGGCTCCCAGCTATGGCGCACTCCTTGCGGAAGCTTGCCTGGAACCCACACTGTGTTCTTTCCAGCATCCAAGACTTTTCTAACATCCCAGGGCTTTAAAAACCATGTTTTGGTTGGTGTTTCCTTAAAGCAAATGAATCATCTCAATGCGTAGCCAATTTATATTTTAATTTGGTTGCAGCTTTGTAAATCAGGATGGGGAGATAGTGGCTTGGATTTCAAATTTATCGTGGGCTCTTATCATACACTGGTATATTTTAAAAAGTTACTGTAATTTTCACTATGTAATTTTTCTAGGCCCTTAACAAGAATCGAACACAAACAAACCTGTGACTAAAGCCAGAAATGTCTAGCATTTTGCACTAAGGGGATCCAATTTTCTGCAGCCAGAATTCTGCGGAGAAGGGAAAGTCACAGAAACATATTTAAAATGCCGCATTTGCTTTCTGATGGTGCGAGAACTCCTGGGCAGGATCTGACTTCCTTGAAAGGAGCTGCTTGTGCTACACATTAATAAGAGAATCATTTCACTTTAAGGAAAACGCCAACCATATTCAACTGTCTCTTCTGGTATTTAGTGCTTTGATTCCTCTGAGAAGCTGTGGCAACATCTCTCTCATTTCCAGCCCCAGAGAAGCATAAGGCTTTAACCTGCAAGAGGTCAAAGCTGTGATTAAACTGTGCAACAGCTTTGGATTGAAGCACAGGCCTGGTAGCTAGAGGCGACATGGAAATTTAATGTGAGGGAGTGAGACGAGGAGTGGATCTCTCTGTCCTGCCTCTGCGCCTACCAAACAGAGCAATTTCTGCATTTTGAGTGGTCATGCTAATTGTTCATTTGCTCAGGCAGAATTTGGTGGGAAAGTGGCATGCAAACAAATATCTGATGATGATGGTGGTGGAAGAAGGCTGGCAAAGGAGGGGAGCCACTGTCAGTATGATTTACAAACTCCCCCAGACAGCGTCTGCATGAAGTCCCCACACCTCTCACCCTCACAGTCAAGAGAAAACTAGCAGAGTGACCAACCAAACCCCAACTGCCAGTTTCCAACTGCCAGTTTCCAACCACCACCTCCTTTCTCTAGCACCAACTATTCTTTGTGAAATACATTCCCAATGAAACTACATTACAAATACTAACAGCCACCTTCCTCCTGCATAAAAATGCAGAGGTGCTGGAGGATGAACAGAGCCCCCAGTCCCCTTCTCAAGAAGCCCCTAGCAGGCGAGTAAAACATTTTACGTGGACTAGTACATTTTGTGGGCTTGTTTACAAGGCTGCTGCGCAGTGTGAAATCTGGCATCTTTATGCAGTGTTTTAAAACCATTATTTACTTGTTATTATTTATTTACAAAAAAAGGCTTATTGTTTGTTTGTTTATAAACAGTAACTTCACTGCAATGCAACACCAAGGCAGCCCATGAGATGCGGAGGTTCCTGAGTCAATTCTACAACAGTAAACCTATTAAAACAACCACCCACGAAGGTATCAGCTAAGTAGCTGGCCTAGGCCTTAAAACAGTGGCTTCCAAACTCCACCCACCCACCCGCCACCTCACAGATCACTTGAGAATTGCTGGTGGACTTGAAGGACCACTTAATGATTTACACACACACACCCCGCCCGTTGTAGCAATTGCAATTCTTAATGGTATTCTTATTGGCCTTTTAATTTCTTACACTGTATTTTGCTGTACTGCAGTCTGCATTCTTCACAGACAGGCCGCAGGCAGTGTTCAAAACTCCCATTGCCCTAGGCACGTTTTGCAACAGGGAATTTCATTAGGGTGAGCAGTTTCTGAGTTCTGGGCGCAGTACTGCGCCTATGATTTCAGATTAAAACTGCAGAGTGGAAGGAAAGAAGGACCTTTTTCTGCCTCCCCACTTCCAGCTACTCTCTGAAGACTGGAGAAGAGACCTTTAAGAATATTAGGGGGTGGGCAGGGGAAGGACTAGACCATATAAAAAATGAACATAATATTTTAGCTGCAGTTCATTCATTTTCAGCTTCGTATTCTTTATATATATATAAAAAAGTGTGCCTCGGCATTCTGTTGTTTAAGGTGCTGCAGGCCTTCTGAATGAAGCTGAAGGCAAGACCACCGTTTGGTAACCCCTGCCTTAAAGAATTTAATGTTGAAAGAAGGGCAAACTTACAGCCTTTACTATGGCAACGAAGAAAAGGAAAGCCTATCATTCAGGCAGCTTCAGAGTTTTCCAAGCAAGCATTTCTACAGGGAGCTAAAGCCTCTGGACCTCCAAGAGGCCAACAATGACATAACAGAGATGAGCAGCTCAGCCCTGCTGGCAGAGAAAGGAAGGAGGAAGCGCAGGGCTCCAGAGATCTCCCGAGGACTGGCCAACTTTGAGCAAATAAACTCTGCCATTTGTGGGGGCAGGCGACTGACCCACAGGGCCGATCAATATACCACCATTCACGAATGCGCACCGTTTGTATCCTCAAGAGCTTGGATCATGTCTGGGTCGAGGGCAGTGCTGACCAGCATTTCCACGTAGCTGCGGTACATCTCCTTCATGGCTCGCGTGTTCAGAATACGGCCCGTCGGCACACGCTCTAGATAGGAGATGGAGAGTTAGCTTAGCATTTATTTAAGGCACTAACATCCCGGGCTTTCCTAAAAACGTTCTGAGGCGGCTGACATAAAAACGACACACAATGAAAGGGCAGGGAAAAGTTACAAATAAAATAACGGAAGAGAGAGCGCAGTCCAGCTTTCATTCTAACTGCACCGGAATTTCCCCCCAACTTGGCACTTCAGATACAGTGGTACCTCTGGTTACGTACTTAATTCGTTCCGAAGGTCCGTTCTTAACCTGAAACTGTTCTTAACCTGAAGACCACTTTAGCTAATGGGGCCTCCCGCTGCCGCCGCACGATTTCTGTTCTCATCCTGAAGCAAAGTTATTAACCTGAGGTAATATTTCTGGGTTAGCAGAGTCTGTAACCTGAAGCATATGTAACCTGAAGCGTATGTAACCAGAGGTACCACTGTACTACTTTTCGTATTCATTTATTTATAACAGTATTTTAAAGTGTGTTTTTTCTGGGCAAGTCCATTTAGGGACAGGGGAATTCCTTCTTTTACTCCTCCCTCCTCACCATCAAGGTCTTTATAAGAATCTCCCTCAGTCTGTCTCCAGGGTCACTAGGAAGACACCAACACCAACACACACAATGTGTGGCTCTCTGAACCTTTAGCTCTTCAGACATCATTGACTAAAGCTCCCATCAGCCGCAGCAAGCGAGGTCAACGGCTTGTGGGAGGTGTAGTTCAGCAACCTTCAGACGGCAAAAGGTTCCTCGCACCTGCTCCGCCTTTGCAGTTTTGTCGCACGTTGTTTACAAGGCCCTTAACTTAGATCCAGGAAGAACTCAAGGACTGCTCAGTGCCTAATCTCCCTGCTCAATCAACAAGGTCACTGAGAGTTGTGGTTAGTTGTGCTCCCCGGGTATTCAGTACTGTGGGCCCTTCCCTGCCAAACCTTCAGGCGCCTGGCAACGACTTTTATCTCAGCAAGTCTCTTAAAGTGCACTCTTCTGATTTTATGGCTGATTTAAACTGCTAAGATTTTAACTACGGAGAGGAGCCGCTCAGTGATACAGCATTTGCCTTGCATGCAGCAGGTCCCAGATTCAATGCCTGACATCTCCAGGTGGGGTTGGGGAATGTCCCCAGCATGAAACCGTGCAGAGCTACCACCAGTTAGTGTAGCTAATACTCTGGAGCCAGTGTGTGGCGTATGGTTAGAGTGTTGGGACTGTGACCTGGGAGGCCGGAGTTCAAATCCCCACTCAGCCGTGAAGCTTGGGGCCAGTCACCGTCGCTTAGCCTATCCTACCCTACAGGGCTGTTGTGAGGATGAAACGGGGAGAAGCAGAACCATGTACACCACTTTCTGGTCCTTGGAAGGAAAAGGCAGCATATAAATGTAATAAAGAAGGGAGATGTTCTCTCCTTTGTATCTATTTGAAAACTCATTGTACCCTGCTTAGAAACTGCAGTGCTAAGTAAGTAAGTGGCAGCAAGTAAATAAGTAAGTAAGTACCATATATACTCAAGTACAGTGGTACCTCGGGTTACATACGCTTCAGGTTACATACGCTTCAGGTTACAGACTCCGCTAACCCAGAAATAGTACCTTGGGTTAAGAACTTTGCTTCAGGATGAGAACAGAAATCGTGCTCTGGTGGCACGGCAACAGTAGGAGGCTCCATTAGCTAAAGTGGTGCTTCAGGTTAAGAACAGTTTCAGGTTAAAAATGGACCTCCGGAACGAATTAAGTACTTAACCCGAGGTACCACTGTATAAGCCGACCCTAATATAAGCTGAGGCACCTAATTATACCACAAAAAACTGGGAAAACTTATTGACTCGAGTATAAGCCGGTTCACCACACCACAAACCTCCTGGTGGGCCGGAGTGTGTGCGCGCGCATGCACACATGGCAGAGGGTGCTTCTCTCTCCCCCCCCAGGCCCTCCTGTCCCCCTGCCACCTAAGGTGCTGCCAAGAGGCAGAGGCTGGTGGTGGCAGCGGCGGAGGAAGAACAAGCAGCCCGAAAGGGCTGCTTTCGGGCTACTCGTTCCTCCACCGCCGCCGACAGCGGCAAAGGCGGAGGAGGAGGAAGGAGCAGCCCGAAAGGACCCTCACTCGAGTATAAGCCGAGGGGGGCTTTTTCAGCATTAAAAATGTGCTGAAAAAGTCGGCTTATACAGTGGTGCCTCCCAAGACGAAATTAATCCGTTCCGCGAGTCTCTTCGTCTTGCGAAGCACGGCTATTAGCGGCTTAGCGGCTATTAACGGCTTAGCGGCTTAGCAGCTTTAAGAAAAAGGAAACAAACTTGCAAGAACTCGCAAGATGTTTCGTCTTGCGAAGCAAGCCCATAGGGAAATTCGTCTTGCGGAACGACTCAAAAAACGGAAAACTCTTTAGTCTTGCGCGTTTTTCGTCTTGCGAGGTACCACTGTACTCGAGTATATATGGTAAGTAAGTAAGTAAACATCAGGCTGTCATAGAAATTGGTTGGAAGGGACCCTGAGGACCATCTAGTCCAGTGTTTCCCAACCTTTGGTCTCCAGCTGTTTTTTTGGACTACAACTCCCATCATCCCTAGCTAGCAAGACCAGTGGTCAGGGATGATGGGAACTATAGTCAAAAAACAGCTGGAGACCCAAGGTTGGAAAACACTGATCTAGTCCAACCCCTTGCAATGGAGGAATATGCAGCTGATCCTTCTGGGAATCGAACTTGCAACCTTGGTGTTATCAGCACCACACTCTAACCAACTGAGCAATCCTTCATGAATTTCTCCCTCTCCCTCTCCCTGAGCTTTCAAGTCAAAAGGCTCTCTCTTCAACTCTACCACGGACAGTTTCTCCCCTCAAAAGCTCTCTGTGGGCCCACAACTCAGTTCAAGGACCGCCTCGTCTTCCGGCACCAATGGATGCCGGGCTGCATCAGTCTACTCACCCTCCTCGCTCTGCTGGTCAGGGCTGGAATCTGAGTCGGAGGAGGACGCTGCCTCAGCAAGCCATTTTTTCCTCTTCTTGGGAGGGGGCTCAGCTTTCACCTTGGCTGGCTTAGGCTTGGGTTTCGACGCTCCGCCGGCTGGGGAAGCTTTTGCGGGGACGGGAGCAGGGGGGTCAGTTTTCTCCGCCTTGGGGGGCTTTTCTACTTTGGCCACTTTTTCCGCCTTGGGGGGCTTTTCAGACTTCTCGACCTTGGGGGGCTTTTCCAGCTTCGGCGCTTTCTCGGCCTTGGGGGGCTTCTCGGCTTTGTCCGCTTTTTCGGCCTTGGGGGGCTTCTCGGCCTTGGGGGGCTTCTCGGCCTTCTCAGGCTTCTCGGCCTTCTCCGGGACTTCCAGCTTCTCAGGCTTCTCAACTTTCGGCAGCACCGGGGTCTTGGGGCCAGACGCCTTGGGCTGGCTCTGTCTCCTGCAGCAGGACAGACATAGCCGTGAGATCCAAATATAGGCTCTGCCTCAGGGGCCAGGTTTGCTGAGGCATCTGTGTGTGTGTGTGTTGGGGTGCAAGGGAGGCTTTAAGGGGAAAAGGAGAAGCGGGGCGACGGAGGGCTGGGGAGCTGAGAGGACAAGGCCAGCCTTATATACTGTCAAGTCTGTGAAAAGGAGTGTTTGCTACCATCCGATTCACAGTTCAAGCTGGAGTCAAGAGGGGAACAGGCCGTGGCACAGAAAAACACAGGCTAGTGAGGAGGGCAGTCATGGTATACCCCAGGCATAGGTAAACTTGGCCCTCCAGATGTTTTGGGACTACAGCTCCCACCATCCCCAGTTAACAGGACCAGTGGTCAGGGATGATGGGAATTGTAGTCTCAAAAAAATATCTGGAGGGCTGAGTTTGCCTATGCCTGGAATAGCTCATTCCTTTGACAGGTGGAAGAGGCGTGGTACGGAGTCAGTTTCATGACTAGGCAGGTGAGAAAACAAAGAGGCTGGGCTCTTTGCTCCTTCAGGTGAGGAGCTAAATACTCTCCCGCGTGTCAGGTAAAATAACTGTAGAAATAGAGGGTGGCAGCGGAGGGGGAGGTAAAGGATCTGAGGAAAAATCTCCCTCAGGCATGTCACCTGAACAGTTTAATACAGGGAAGTGGTTTTTTGTGGGGAGGTGTGATTTTCAGCCATCGAACTCACAATTCTGGAAAAGGGGCACTTCACAAACTGGAATAAATCAACATGAGGAAGTGGCTCAAATGCTTTTTGGTGCTTCTCTGTGAGTGGAACTGGCCTCTCATATGGGAGACACCCCCCCTTCCTGCTCCTTTACCTGACAGCTTGCAGGGGCCGGTGCCAAGGCTTCTTGGAGCAGACGCGGACGTAATCCTTCTTGTTGATGTTCTCCAAGAACTTAACGTAGAGGCGCTGGTACCGGTTCTTGGCATCGCCAAAATAGCCCAGATACTGAGGGGGGACAGGGAAGGAAGGAATTGAATATCAAAATGGGGATGGCGGGGAGAGAATGTCTGCAACACAGCTCTTTCCCACCTCCAGAAATGAGGGGATACACAGCAGAAAAACCCAATCCTTTGCCCACCATATCAGTCAGTTCAAGCGGATTTACTTCCCCCAAGCACAAAAAAGTATGTCTGCCTCTAGCTTACCTCACACCCTTGAGGTGTATATTTTTAGGAACTGCCTTATTTTTATGAAGTTGTTTAATATTCTTACAGAGAAGCGTTGGATAAGAGAGAGAAACCTGGGTGGGAGACAGGTCAGAGTGAGTTTTCCTCAGGGTGTGAGGCTGAGGAAGGTGGAAGCTTTTTCAGGTGAGAGTTGGAAAGGCTCACTTCTTTGTATGTGGGTTGAAGATTAAGGTTTAATTATGATACGAGGACTAGATATATATAATTTTTGTTTTACCATGATTATTATTGGTGTTATTATTAATGTTGCTTCTCTCTCTGCTTCCTCTCTTCTTCTTTTTACTCTTTCTCTAGCTTTTCTTGTTTTTTTCCTCTTTTCCTTTTTGTTTTTCTGATTTTCTTTATTCCAAATATTATTTTACTGTATTGTGGAAACTTTAATAAAATCTTGGGGGGGGGCCTTTTGAGGGAAGTTGCTTATTATTCTTGTTGGTGGCGGTAGTGAGGAAAGTTGCTGCTGCTTCTTCTTCTTCTTCTTCTTCTTCTTCTTCTTCTTCTTCTTGTTAATTGTCCGCCCTTCACCCAACAGTTTTAGGTTTTAATATTGTGTTTTAATGTCATTACCTGCCCTGGAAACTTAATGTAAAAGGCAGAAAATTAACAACTTTATTTATTTAAATATTTATTATTCACTCTTTGTTGCTAAAAGTAATACCAGAGTAGGGTTGCATCAAAACTTTTAATCAAGGAATGCTATAACACAGCAATGCTAATCAATAAAATAAAAGCAATAGGGGGAAAATTCTGCCACAGTCGTGGCAGAAACCTGCTGAAACGGGAGTGGAGAAAGAAACTTATTGGTGTGGAAATATGTATTTCCTCAGCAGTGGGAAGAGAAAGAAAAGAAGGGATATACAAAATGGTAGAGGCACTGGTGGTTAAAACCCAGAAATCAAGCCATTGTGCCGAATACAATTGCGTAAAGCTCATGTAGACCTCCCACTTCTGAAGTTCTTTTGCCCACATTCACTGAAAGTACGATTTTTTTGTATGGTGAGCGAGTAATGGGGGCACTTACATTGCTGGTCGCGCAAAATTGTCGCTGCCCATCCTTTATTTCAGGGGTGAACTTCTGGAGCAAAGCTTTCTGAACCCGCCAGATTGGCGGCGGCTCCCGCCCAGTCTGAAGAGCGAGCTGCAGGAGGGCAGAGAAAGGGGTGATGGTCACAGGGATGGAAAGAACCCCAAACAAGCCTAGCTGCTGTGATGCAACTACTCTGCAGATAAGAAGCTCTGCTGGATCAGGCCAAAGGCCCACTTAGTCAAACATCCTGCTCTCACAGCGGCTGACCAGACACCCATGGAAAGCCTGCAAGCAGAATCTGAGGGCATCAGCAACCCTCTTCGCTTGTGATTTACAGCACATGGTTATAAGCCCAACTTGGGTGGGTGAGGATCCTACTTAGTCCCTCAGAAGGGAAACTAGTGTCAGATCCAATGTAACATTTTGATTTTAAGTACTATTATGATTTTTTTTAAAAAAGCTCATACTAAAACTTACCCAAGAGTAAGAATTCAAGACACTGAAATACGTGAAACGCTTGAAAATGTCATTCACATTTTATGCTTTTAAGGCTTTGTTTCTGCTCCAAGCCCAGAAAGATAATAATATGGCCCGCTTTGATCAATGAATAGAAGATACGGTAAAGGTAAAGGAGCCCGGACAGTTAAGTCCAGTTAAATTTGATTATGGGGTGCGGCACTCATCTCCGCTTTCAGGCCAAGGGCCCAGGCCAATTTGTCTGCAGACAGCTTTTCTGGGTTGTGTGGCCAGTATGATTAAACAGTTTCTGGTGCACGGAAATGGTATTTACCTTCCCGCTGCGGTGGTACCTATTTATCTACTAAACTGGTATGCTTTCGAACTGCTAGGTTGGCAGGCGCTGGGACAAAACAACGGGAGCTAACCACGTCGGGGTGGATTCGAACTAACGGCCTTGCGATCGGCAAGCCCAAGAGGCTCAGTGGTTTAGACCACAGCGCCACCGCAACATAGGAACGGACTTGCTTTTCAATGCAGATTGTGCATGGATAAATAGAATGTTATTTGGAACGTATTTATAAAAATTATGACTTGCTAATAACTGTATGGGATGTGGGTGGCGCTGTGGGTTAAACCACAGAGCCTAGGGCTTGCCAATCAGAAGGTCGGCGGTTCGAATCCCTGCGATGGGGTGAGCTCCCGTTGCTTGGTCCCTGCTCCTGCCAACCTAGCAGTTCGAAAGCACCTCAAAGCGCAAGTAGATAAATAGGTACCACTCCAGCGGGAAGGTAAACGGCGTTTCCGTGCGCTGCTCTGGTTTGCCAGAAGAGGCTTAGTCATGCTGGCCACATGACCCGGAAGCTGTACTCCGGCTCCCTCGGCCAATAAAGCGAGATGAGCGCTGCAACCCCAGAGTCGGCCACGACTGGACCCAATGGTCAGGGGTCCCTTTACTGTTTTACTGTATACTGACTGTAGTAATAGCAGTACTTATTTACCAACATGTCATATTGTATTAAAACCTCAAGCACTTTTTCCTTTCTTGCTTTATTCCTCGCTTCTTTATTTGTTCACTGAAAATTTTCTGAATAAATTAGTAATAATAATAATAATAATAATAATAATAATAATAATATATCCTTAACGCACCTTGAGGGCCTGAACGTCCTCCACGCGGATGACAAACTCATCGCGCTCTCGGAAGATCCCCTCCCCACCGCTCTCTGCCTCTTCTTCGTCCGTCTCTCCACAAATGGCCGCCGTCTCCTGCTTCTTGGCAAGGTGAAGAGGCCGCGTGTCCTCAGGGTCCTCGGGCTCAGGAGACGCCTGAACAGGTGGCTCCTCGGGGACAGGTGGAGCCTCCTTGGGCGAGGGAGCTGGGGAGATGGGCGGCGGGGGTAGCTCTGGCTGGACATCTGCCTCCACTGAGGGAGCTGGGCTGGGGATTTTCTCCTCCACGGGTGGCACATCTATGGTGGTGGGGGAAGTGGCAGGGGTTAGCAAGCAAGCAGGAACAGAAATCCATCTTACTCAGCAGTGGCCTCCTAGCTGGGAAATGGTCTCCCCAGAAAGTCTTGCCTGACACCTTCTCTATAGTCCTTCTAGGGTCAGGCAAAGACCTTATTATGAACCTAGACTAGGGCTATGGTCCTCCAGCTGTGACTACAACTCCCATCAGCCTCAGCAAGAATGGCCAATGGTCAGGATGATGGGAGCTGTAGTCCTGCAACACCTGTAGGGTCACAGACTCCTCCCCTCTGCCCTAGGCTTTTTAATTAATTGTGGTTTTAAATCAGGACTGTCTGTATCACCAGAAAGGGTGGGTTGGCTGGTGTGTGTGGTTTTTTTGCTGTTTTTTATTTGTTTCTTGGATGGTTTTTAATTATTATACATGGTATTTTTAAAGCGTTGTTTTGCTTGCAAGATGCCCAGGGAGTATTTATTGATGCAAAGCTACACCCATCAATTAAAGAAATGGGTACTTTGGAATTTAATTTACCAATCCTCCCTGCAAACCATGCACATATATACTAGTAACTTAGGGATCACACCTCACACATATGATGAAGTGGACTGCAATTCATGAAAAATTCTGCCATAATAAATTCATCAGTCTTTAAGCTCTATGCCAGCAGAACAGGATCCCATGAGAGGTGGTGGATTCTCCTTCCTCGGAGGTTTTTAATCAGAGGCTGGGTGGCCAACTGTTATGTATGACCTAGCTGAGATTCCTGAATTGGAGGGAGTTGGACTACATGACCCTTGGAGTCCCTTCCAACTTTACAATTCTGTGTTTCTATGTGTATTCCTTATGTTATTCTTTTCAGAATGGAACATTTTTCAGAAGAAAAGTTTAGTAGTGGAAAATCCCCCAGAAAGTTTTTTCTTTTTTTAAAAATTTTTTTTAATCATTTTTACTGATTTTCCAATAAAAATCCCCCAGAAAGTTTTCTGCCTGGAACTGGATTAGTAAATGTGTTCCCTTTTATGCTGACAAGAGCAGGGCCTTCTTGATTATTATTTTTTGCTTCACATCAATACTGCATAAAATTATCTAGAGTTTGTGTTTTGAGGCAGGGTGGCGCTTGGGTCTTGCAGGAAGGAGAGACATAACTTGGTAAGTAGACAGGTTATTAGGAAAATACAAGGGAGCATGTGTGCAATGTTTAGAAACTCAGATACAAAATCTAATCGCCAAATGGCACCTTAAACCTAGGCTACGGTCAATTCAAGCTTCAAAGAAATATTTCAGATCCCTCTCTAAGTGACATTTTGCTTTTCCTGATTGCCAACCTGGCATCCAAAGCTGTGTGGTTGCAATTGCACCCACGCCAGGTGCAAAACGCGCCTGGCTAATTTCTAACACTGCTGTGTGCAGCAGAAGAGCATTTGATCAGGAAGAATGTCTACATTCAGGATGCAAGAACTGTTGAAAGAATGCAGAAAAAAATGCATACTAAATATTAGATGGAAGTCTATCCTGCTCAGAAACTAATGCCCTCCCGAAATCAAGAAATGAGATAGGTTATGTAAATCAGGAGATAAACAACGGGCCGGGACCCAACTCAAGGTTTGGGCAGGGGACGGGCGCTCACCATTGGGTTCTCCCTCCTTGCGGTCGGTGGGGTCGTAGAGCGCCGAGATGGCTGAGGAGATGCTCTTCTGGAGGTCCTGGTTCTTGCTGACAGAGTCCTCCTCGTCGGACGAGAAGGAGGGCAGCGTCTCCAGGTTGCGCTTCAGCTCCTCATCCAGCCGCTTGCAGGGGCTGGTGCAGCTCATCACGAGCCCGGCAGGGTCCCCTTCGGGCCCATCCAAGCCGCCAGGCAGCATCGGGGGTGCCATGCTGAAGGGAGGCGGCGGCTGGGACGAGGAGGATGAGGATGTGGCTGACGGGGGACGGGGCGTCTTGGAGGGGCTGCCTGAAGGCGCGACCATGGTAACCGCCGTGCCGGGGGCCCCAACTGTGGCAGCCGAGGAGGTGGAGGAGGCAGAGGAAGGCAGCGTCTGACGCTTGCCTGACTTAAGGAAGTCCAGGAAGGAGGCCATGAACCCCGACTTCATTTCAGGCTGCTTCTCTTCCACTTCTTTGATCTTCTGTTTGATCTTCTCTCGGGTCTGGCTGCTATCCAGACTGCTCTCTTGAGCGGGCTGATGAGATGGGGTGGAAGCCTCCAACTGAGACCCCTCCAAACCTTTGGGGACTGGAAGTTTGATCTGAGGAAAAGAGAAGGGACAGGAATTGGGGGAGGGGAGGAGGAGTCTCAGGGAGACTTCCTGGACTCGCCCCCCAATGTTGGCTTTGCGTCTTGACTTAACCGACCTCCGTTTTTCTCTCTCCTTTTTATTTTATTTTTAGGGTTTCACCATTCACCAGCTTTCTGGACCCACCATTTTCCAACCAAATCAAGATACATTTTGCATATATCTTCACCATTTATTCTGCTTCCAAAATTATGGGTTTCTGAGAGCTCTGGCTTGGTTTTTGTTTTGTTTTGAAGGAGCTGGGTGGCAGATGGAAAGGGAACAGAGTGAGAGAACTACAGGATGCCCAGGAGTCAGCTCATAAGAAGGAAGCGAGCAACAGGAAAGCTCTGTGCGGCACTGGAAGCCACCCTATAGCCAACTGGAAGCCCCACCCTGCTCATCTCTGGCTTTGAAGCCACCCCACTGTAGACACGGCCTATCTTCTCCACTCACACGAGGACTAGAAACCAAATTTTTGAAAAACAAAACCTGAAACCACTAGGTACCACATTCAGCAACGAATTCTGTGCTTGAGCGAAATGCGTGGCTTGCTCAAACACAGATCTAGCAACCGGCAAGCTCGCCTCACTCACTAGTCTTAGGAGACATGCACAATGTACTGAACTAGTTTCACACACTCCCAAGACATCAATCTGGTATCCCCACCATCTACCAACCCTGCCATCCTGTCCTAGTAGCATCCTGCACTCTAGAAACCCAAACTCTTGCGCCAAGAAACAGCCATGCTTATGTTAAGTGTGCAAATAGTAACAGCTTGCAAGGCTATTTTATTTATTTTCAAACTCCACTTAGATTTTAAAAACAACCAAACAGCTAGGTGAAAGGATTCTTTTTTTAAGTACGCATTCCCTAGCAGTGTCCTTAAGAAAGAATTCCCATCTCATCTGCCATAATGTGTGTATTAAGCTGCTGAGTGAGGCTTTCCAGAGATTTGGGCTGGTGCTGTCAGTATGCCCACTCATTTCATCTGCCCCTAGGGAGGTGGAGGAAGTCCTGAAATCGGTGCCTGGTGTCCATGATGGACTGGACATGTGGAAGGATCCACAGCTTAATCCCTACAAAATGGAAGAACTGTTGGTCAAGGGGTCTGCTGATCTGGTACAGTGCTTCTGGATCTGGCGCTACTCCTGAATTTCAAGCTGGTGGAAACAGGATTTCAGCAACTTGGGATAGTGCACCAGGTGCATCTCTTCCTGGAGACCTGGCTATGGTGATGCACGTCCTAGCTTATATTCCGATTGGATTACTGTAATGCTTTCTACGTGGGCCTGCCTGCCTCTGAAAAGTGAACTGCAGCTTCAGCGGGCACAGAATGCGGAAGCCAAACTACTGTCTGGCGTAAAGTGTTCTGATCGCACCACTTTAGTGCTGTTTCAGCAGCCCTGGCTGCCTGTTTTGACTCAGGCCCCATTCAGAGTGCTGGCCTTAACCTTTTAACACGCCGGCCTCTCAAAATTCTCCACCCTAACTGGTGGCAGGACGATTTCGCTTGATACTGCAAGCTGCCTTGAGGGTTATTTAATGGAAAGGCAAGGAACCATCGGTTTTAATGAATCAAATAGGAACACCGTTAAACTGAAGATTTTACAAGAGGAGCAAGGCCTCTTGGGTAAGTTCCTTTTTTGCAATAAAGAACAGGAAATTTTTACGGGCGCGAGACCCAAATATTTTTACCATCAGAATACGCCACTAAACGTCCATGCTGTGCACCTCTGAATGTGCATGGTGTGTTGGCTGCATTTCAATGGCTGTTTTTCAAGAAGTGGCAGTGACATGGTTTTCAGGAGAGACAGCAAAGGTATTAAGGAGTAGGTGCATGATATTAGGCGTCATGCTGTCGGGCCTGGCATCAGCGCCCTGGGAAGGGCTCGCTGCTCAAAATCTCCCTTTTCGTTCGAGGGTGGGTGGAACGAGTTCTAGGCGCTGTCATTTTAATTTCCCAGAGTGCTCTCAATGTAGGAACTTTACATGGTGGCTACCAGACGACCTCTACCAGACGGCTATTGCCATCTCTAGCTAAGCCTGCTAAGGGGCCCCACTGGTGTAGGAGAAAATAGAGCCCTCCTCAAACCCAGAACCAACCAGCATGGGGTTGGGAGAGCGGTAGCAGGCCATAGAGAGGAGGCGTGCATGCAACACATGGCAAACCCTGCCCAAGACACGATCTGGTACCTTTTGCATCTTTGCAAACCTCTCTGTGCAACAATAATGGCCAAGATGGGGACAAATAAGCAAAGGGAATAATGAAGAAGGCAGCAAAAAAAACCCCCCAACAACAGCCCTGTGCACATTAACTCAGCATAATCCTGTGCGAATTAACTGCAAAGCAAGCCTCACTCACAGTGTTCAATATAGGTGTGCCTTGGATTGCAGAGTAAAAACGCAACCTCCGTGACGTTTGCCAGACTTAATGCAAAAGTCTGTAAGTGCAAGAGCACAGAATAAGCTGTTCAATAGAAGGAGGAGCTTTGGATGCTGAAACAGCTATGCAAGGCAAGGTTTATGGGTGGCACAGGAACTTTAGATGGTAGATTTAGAGGTAGGGAGGAGTGTGCCACTTTCTGCCTCCAAATTCACTCTCTTCTAGTTTTGTTTTGTTTTTTTAATGAACAGGAGAGCAGCAACCTTTAGAGTTGCCACTTCAAAGTGTGAAATGTGTTAAGACTTGCAACTCTGAACAACTTGCTGCTTTCCACAACATTAAGCACAGAATCTGAATAGTTTCTGTATTCGCATGCTAGCGTGCAATGGAGGGAGGGGTCTTTTTCAGGCCATGGGCTGCATTCTCTTAGGGGCAACCTTCTCTGGGCCACATGCCAGTCATGACTGGAACCCTAAGCAAAAAGCAAGCACAGCCAAGTGCCCCGGGACTGAGGTTCTCCCTCCTGGCTGAACAACACACGGAAAAAAGACCCGGCTGCAAATATGTACCATGTCCATCAAACTTTCACGGATCCTTCCAGCCAACAATTCACCTACCCACTCCATATATATGGCTATGCCGCCACTGTAATCCACACAGAAGAGAATTATGAGAGCCATTTCACATGTACCCATGGTACGGTGGCTGCCCCCAGAAAACCCCTCCAGTGTTTGCATGGAGAGCATTAAGTATAGACATCAGTGCAACGTATCTATGGGAGCTGTTCAGACAGCGGTGTGTTTCCTGGAAAGCAGGCTGAAACACTCCTGCAGCCCTATGGAGCCCAGATTGCACACAAGCAATTTCCAGCAGCAAGCACAACACTATAGGTACATATGAACGGCGCTTGGCAAGTCAAGTAGTAGTTTACTGCCTGTGACAGATTCTCCAGAGCCAACAACACCAGGAGCCTCAAAAGTCTGCCTGCTCCCTTTCCTGTACGCGAGTTGGGGCCACAGCTCAGCGCCAGAACACCTGCTCTGCCTGCAGAATGCCTTGGCGTCAGTCCTTTGCATCTCCACTTAAAAGGGACCAGGCAGCAAGTGATGGGAAAGGACCCTGGTCAGATAACACAAATACACTTCAGCTGGTGTTAAGGCAACTCCCTGGGTTCTCTCACTAAGCCCACTCTGCAGAAGCCAGAAACCACACGTCCCTACAGCTCGTTTCTGCCCGTTGTCTGTCTCTAGTCTCAGAACCAATCTCTTTATTTTTCAAATTATTCTTTTCCCGCTGCAAGTCAGGGATGGGGAAGCTGTGTCCCCCCCCCGGGCTTTGGGTGGATTGCAGCCCCCAAAAGCCTCGGCCGAGGCAGGTGGGGGGGTCCCAATCCAACCAGCCTCTTAAGGAGAGGGGCCACAGCCCTCCCACCCCCGCCGCCAGCCCTGCCGCTTAAAAAATGAACCCCGCTGCCTCCCAGTCCCCGCTTACCTTGAGTGGTTTGAGGGACTCCAAGCCTGCTCCTGGCTCAACCCCCTCCTCCCCGGCTTTCTTGCCCCTCCCTCTCCCCCGGCCACGGGGCTTCTTGGTGCCATCGTGAGCCACGCCATGGGGCGGTTCAGTCAGGGGCCGGATGCGGGGCCTCCCGCGGGGTCGGGGCGGGCCCTCCCGCTTGGGCTTGGTCGGCTTGCGGCCGCGGCGCTTGGGCCCTTCCAGGAGGCCGCTGTTGGGCGGGCAGAAGTCTATGTCGCCCATGGGGCTGAGGCTGGTGCGGTTGGTCCGGCAGCTGGAGATGAGATCCGGCAGCAGGTCCGGCAGGCGGCGGCTGTTGAGGCGGATGTCGGCCGGGACGTCCTCCTTGTCCTCGTCGTCTTCGAACTCGTACTCCTGGGCGTAGTTCTTCTTGGGCGGCTGGAAGGGGGGCTCCCGCTTCTTGAGCAGGTGGAAGGACGAGGTCTTCAGCAGCTTCTTGGGCTTGGACGAGCAGAAGATGGGCGACGTCAGGCCAGACTTGGACTCCGAGACGGGGGCCGTCCCGTGCTGCCCTGACTGGATCAAGCCCAGCTGCTCTGTGTTGACCGTCGAAGGCAGCTCATGCTTCACAGAGACAGAGTCCAGCCCCAAGTGCTGCCCATCTCCGCTCTCTGACTGGCAGTAGCTCTGGTAGCCTTGCCCCCCTTGCATCATGTCGTAGCCTCCGCCTTTCAGGCCCTCTCCCCTCTCCATGCCTTGGGTCCCGTCGTCCGGCTTGGGGAACTCGTCTCCGGCGCAAGGAGGGGGCCCGAACATGTCCTCCATGCCCGGGAAGAAGCTGCGGTCCTCATCTTGCAGCAAGGAGTCCGGGAAGCAGATGGAGGTGAGGGGGACAAAGCGCTGCTTGGCCCCCTGCGGGCTGGGGCTTTCAAACTGGTCCTTGCCCTCCAGCTGGCCCTGAGGGACCTGCTGGGAGGAGTCGGGGTCCAGGCCAGCGTCGGGCAGGAGGTGCTGCTGGTTCTGGACCGAGCCACTCTGCCCCAGGTGGGACTCCAGACTCAGCTCGGGCTCCAGGAAATCCTGGATCTCCTGAGACTGGGAAAGGTTGCCTTGGGGCATCACCTCCATGCCCTCTGACTGCATCCTCTCCTGCTGCAGCTGGCCCTGGAGCTGTGGCGACTGCTGCGGCTCCAGCAGCTGCGCCTCCATGCTCTGCGAGCGCACATGCGCCTGGTGCAGGTGGGCTTCCAGCGCCTGCATCTGGAGCTGCGGAGAGGGCGCCTCGGCCTGGTGCATGCGCTGCGGCTCCATCAGGTGGACGTCCAGCGGGGTGCGCACCTTCCCGCGCGAGTGCAGCTGGCTCTGTGTGTGAGTGAGCACCGACTGGAGCAGCTGGGATTGTTGTTGCTGTTGCTGCTGCTGCGAGAGGGAGAGCGGGGGCAGGTCGGGAGGGGAGTCCAACATCAAAGCACCCCCCTGCTGCCCGGGCATCATCCCGTGAGGCTCCATGGGGTGCGGCTGGGGGGCGTGCTCGGGGGTCTTCTGCAGGTATGAGTGTGCTTGCGATATCTCCTTGCCCCCCGTGTCCATGTGTCCTCCCTGGAGGTGCTGCTCGACCGACTTCTTGATCTCCTGCCCGTAGGAGTCCATGGAGCCGGTTTGGTGGCTGTAGTGGACCACGGAGGTGGCCAGGGACTCTGGCGTCGAGCGCGTGTGCGAATACTCCTTCTGCCGCTCCCCTTTCTTCTTGTCCTTGAGGCCCTGCAGGGACATCTCGAGGCCTTGGTTGTCCAGGTTGGAGTTGGTCCGGATGACGCTCTGCAGGTGGTAGCGTTCCTCCGTCTTGCTCAGCTCATAGCCCATCCCCTTCCCGGCCCTCTCCTCGCACTCCACCATGCCCTCGGGGGGCACGCGGGGCGGGCTCTGTGACTGCAGCAAGTGCTGGATCAGGAACTCCTCGTCCTCCGTCCGCTCCGAGGACAGCAGGTCCGAGTCGGTCTTGGATTTGCCATAGGAGGCTGCCCTCTCCAGCCCTCCCTGGGAACTCTGGTAGCTCTGGGTGTGGGCCGGCTGCATGAACGAAGGAGACAGCACGGAGGTGAGGTACTTCTGAGACTGCCCGGGCGACGCCACGCTCTGGGGCCGGTTCGTGGTGGGCGACTGGAGGGGCCGGATGATCTGTGAAGGGCTCGAGTCCGGGAGGCTCTGACTGTGTGAGTAGCCGATGGACTGGCTGTGCCCTGGCATGGCTGGCGAGTGGCCGGTGCTGTAGCTCAGTGACGGGCTGGCCGTGGGCATCCCCTGCGAGTGCGCCGGCACGTAGCTCGGCGTCTGGCTAACGGAGACATGAGGCTCGGCCTGGACACTGTACGACAGGCCTTGGAGCTGCTCTGGCGAGTAAGTCTGATTCTGACAGGTCTGCAGCCCTTGCCCGCCCTGCCCGGCCTGGCCCTGCTGGGCCTGGCCTGTCGTTGAGTAGCTCTGCGCCTTGCTCACGCTTGTGAGGTCTTGGGCCTGGCTGCTGCTGAAGCCTTGTGAGGCCTGGCTGACCGACGACAGGTTCTGCGGCTGGCTGACTGAGTAGCTCTGCGTTTGGCTCATAGAGAGCAGGCTCTGGGGCTGCCCGGGCGAATAGGCCTGCGACTGGCTCGCGATGACGGAGCTGGGCTTAGGAGTGGATGAGCTGTAGTTGCTTTGGCACTTGGGCGTGGCGGTGGAGCGTGGCGGCTGGCGGGAGGCTGAGTAGCTCTTGGACTTGGAAGAGGAGGCCGTGCCAGAGTAGCCGGGGGACTGGATGATGGGGCGGTAGCTTTGGGAGGGCTCTTGCCGCGTGGCCTGGGAGGTCTTCTGCTGCTGCGAGCCCTCGCTGCTGGCGGGCGACTGCTCGCCCAAGGGGCTGCACGATAGACTGGAACGGTGGGGCATCTGCTGGTAGCTGCCCCCACAGCTCAGGTAGTGCTGGAGGGAATGGGCGGCGGGCAGCTGGGGCTGGGCACTGGAGGGCCTCTGGTAATGCTTGATGACACTGTCCTGGCGCGGGATGGCCCTGTCGATGGAGGAGGCGGGCGAGCTGGAGAAGACGGAGGTGTTGTACAGCTGGGATGTCTGGTCGGAGGGCCCCAGCGAGGACGACAGGAGGTTGAACTGGGAGGGCAGGTGGCGGGAAGCCGACTCTTGAGCGCTGCGGTACGCTGAGCTCTGGGAGGGCAAGCCCGTGCCCAGCACTGCACTGCCCAGCCGGTCAAAGCTGAGGGAGGAGGGGACGCTGGGCTGGGAGGACTTGATGTGCAGCAGGGGGTCATGTGGGGACAAGAGGCCGTTGGAGGTGGGGCTGAAGGTGGCATCCTGCAGGGTGAGCGAGGAAGTGACCGGGAAGCTGCGCCCGCTGAAGGAGGCTGGGTGCTGGTAAGCGGAGAGTGCCGACGAGGAGGGGAAGGTGCCGGAGCCTGGGAGGGCCCCCGAGATGAAGAGCTCGGCGGGCGCTGGAGTGTGCATGGCTGCAAGAAACAAAAGCAGCGGATTAGTTGGATTTCTCGGCACAGAGCTGCAGGATTTGCAAGGCACTGACACGGGAGGCGGGGGGTAAAGGCACGGAGCTTGGCCTACTCACAAGAGGAGGAGTAAGCTGTGCCCAAAAAGTCAACAAAACACGCTCCTGAAAGGCATGTCGAGGCAGGCTGGCCTTGCGCCTCATTGTTGAGACAGGGTTTCTGCGATGCAGGATACAGCTCAGCAATAAGAGCATGGGATTTGCATGCAGAAGCGTCCATGTTCGCTCCCGATAAGATCAGGAGCAGGTACAGATTAAGGGAAAGGCTCCTTGCCTTGGGAAGATGGGATCAAGAGTCATCACCCAACGCTACAGGCGACCCCTGCTCAAGAGACGACACTCTACCACCTGGTCCCTCCCATCAGAGGTTGTTGTTGTTAATATGCCGCCCATCTCCCATCTGACTGGGTTACCCTAGCCACTCTTGAGTTACTTCCAACACATATAAAAACATAATATAGCACCAAACATTAAAAAACCTCCCTATACCGGACTGCCTTCAGATGTCTTCTAAAAGTCAGTTAGCTGTTTATCTCCTTGACATCTGATGGGAGGGCTTTTCATGGGGCAGGCACCACCACCCAGAAGTCTTCTGCCTGGTTCCCTGTAACCTCACTTCTTGCAGAGAAGGAACCACCAAAAGGCCCTTGGAGCTGGATCTCGGTGTCCGGGCTGAACAATGGGGGTGGAGTCGCCCCTTCAGGTATGCAGAGCCAAAGCCGTTTAGGGCTTTAAAGGTCAACACCAACACTTTGAATTGTGCTTGGAAACATACTGGGAGCCAATGCAGATCCTTTAAGACTGGTGTTATATGAACATATAAGGGACATGGGTGGCATTGTGGGTTAAACCACAGAGCCTAGGACTTGCCGATCAGAAGGTTGGCGGTTCGAATCCCCGCAACGGGGTGAGCTCCCGTTGCTTGGTCCTTGCTCCTGCCAACCTAGCAGTTTGAAAGCACGTCAAAGTGCAAGTAGATAAATAGGGACCGCTCCGGTGGGAAGGTAAATGGCATTTCCGTGCGCTGCTCTGGTTGGACAGAAGCGGCTTAGTCATGCTGGCCACAGGACCCGGTCACATGTACACTGGCTCCCTCGGCCAATAAAGTGAGATGAGCGCCGCAACCCCAGAGTCAGCCACGACTGGACCTAATGGTCAGGGGTCCCTTTACCTTTACCTTTATATGAACATAAGGATAGAAGAGTCCTGCTGGACCAGGCCAAAGGCCCACCTAGTCCAGCATCCTGTTCTCACAGTGGCCAACCAGATGCCTGTAGGAAGCCTGCAAGCAGGACATGAGCACAAGAGCATTCTGCCCACTGGTGATTCCCAGTAACTGGTGTTCAGAGGCATAGTGCTCTGATAGTGGAGGTAAAACAAAGCCACCAGGTGTTTTGTACACCAGTGCATCAACAAAAGCCCTCTCGTGAAAGCTCAGCCCAGCCCACGATGAGCAGAAGGCCCCTGTCCTTTCTGTGCCACCAGAAGGTGTGCTGGGGTAGTTACCTGTTTGCCAGGATGGGGTGCGGAACTGGGAGAGCAGGGAAGAGGCAGAAGGGCCCGGCTGAGGTGCCCGAGACTCCAGCGCTGAGATGAGATTCATGACAGAGGCGTCCGGGGTGGCACTGCTGGCATGATGGAGCCCTGTCTCGAACAGGCCAGAGAGACCTGGGGGGAAAACGAGAATGAGAAAGGAGGTAAGGGGCCGAAATACAGCAAGAAAGAAAAGATAGATCCGAAGTGGAGAGGCTTTTTCTACCCGAGGGCCGCATTCCATTCGAGGCAACAATCCAAGGGCCACATGATAGTGGTAGGTATGGCCAGAGGCAAATCGGGGCAGAGCAACAAATGTAAAAAAAAAAAAAAAAAGCCAAAACATTTTCATTAATTTTCCAAATTTCAACAAATCAACCACAAATTAAAATAAATTCAATTTTCCAAAATAGGTTTCCTGCAGTCTGTTCTCGATGTGTCCATAATATTGTCTTGTTGCTGCTTGATTTTCCCAATTATTTCTAATTCACATTCCACTCCCAACAGTTAACCTTATATTACAATATTTTTTGTCATTTTTAACTTCTTTTCTTTAGCCATCAGCTATCCATTTGCCAATTCCTGCACGTACAATATTATAACATTTCAGATATCTAGAAGTGAGTTTGCTCATCAAACTGTCAATCCACAAAAGATCAATAATTATTTCTAAAATAAATTTCCTTTCCTTCTTTCTGAGTGTATGAAAACCTAATAGTTCACTTTCTTTAGATGTTTTCCCTTTACTTCTTAACTGCACAGCCCACTTTGTCCAAGATTTTTCCTGTCCCATCCTCTTTAATTTTCAGTCCATGTAAATTTTATCTTGGCAAATTTAATCTTTGTAAATAAAATGTGGATTTTATCTTTGTACTGTAGACTAGTTTCTATCCATGCCCCCCTCTGTCTTCCATCCAGGAAACACAAGGCATTATCAAAGTTCAATGACATTTTCCAGCAGGACAAAACCTTTCTGCGTATGAAGGCAAGCCAGTGAAGAGTGTGGGTCAGGGGACAGAGAAGAGAGTTTTGAGGGCCGCAGTTGGTCTCCGGGCCTGAAGTGCCAAATCGCCTGATACAGAAGGAAGGGGAGTACCACTTTGAACAGACAGGAGAGCCTCAAGACAGACAGTGGTACAGAGCAGCAAAAGGATGAAGAAACATTGGTACCATTAGAAGACACACCAACCACAGAGGGTTGGGGGTGGGGTTTTTTTTAGTTTGTTTGTTTTGGTGGCGAAGGGGAGACTCAGCCAAGAGCGAGGCATGCACAGACAGAAGGGGGAGAAATGAGAAGTTATAGACAGCTAGGCAGGTGGCTGCTAAGGGAGAGGGGAGAAGTCAGAAAAAGCAGGAAATGAAGGACAAATGAGGAACTGAGACAAAACTGACGGGCTGGAAGGTCAGAAAACTGGCTCTGGTGGAAACCCATAAAGTGAGAGCCAAATTATAATTTACATTGGCCAGACTGTTTCTTTTTGTGTGATGAGCACAGGCACGTTACTGTATTTTTCCGTGTATAAGACGATATTTTTTCCTTAGAAGTAATAGGCAAAAATTGTGGGTCGTCTTATACACGGACAGCAGAGGGAGGACGGGCAATTGGTGGCAGCAGCCAGCAGGAGATTGGCAGTGGCAATTGGGCGTGTGATTGGTTGCTGCGGCAAGGCCTGCTGATGATTGGCTTTGGCAACTGGGTGGTCTATTTACGACAGCGGCGAGTCGTGCGTGCAATCGGCTGTGGTTGCATCAAGTGGGCAGGTGGGCTTTTGGCGGTCAGCGTGCTGATGATTGTTGGCCGTGGCAATCCCCCCAAAAAAGCTCAACAACTCTGGGCAATCTCCCCCCCATTTTTGCTGTGGTCCCCCAAAATAGCAGTCGTCTTATAAATGGGGAGGTGTTATACATGGAAAAATACGGTACTTCTTGATCGAAATCAACAGCAGTGGGGACTGGGAAAGAGAAGCGTGGTTTCTTTGTTCTAGAAAATTAATAGCTTTGGGCGGAGAGGCCGGGAAAGGGCATGGAGAAAAGGATTAGATCCCCTTTCTCCCAGGCCACAGTTCTGATCTGGATTCCCATCCTCTGCTTTGGGTTAAAAGAGAATGCCCTGCGCGCTAAGCACATTTTAAAAAATGCTGTAAGAGGAAGAGCCCTTCTGGATCTGACTCATCTAATTCAGCACCCTGCTCTCAAGAGCAGCCAAACAGACCTGAGTTCAGGAGCACCCTACTCTCTTGTGGTTCGCAGCAATTGCATTTCAGAAGTACCACTGACTGCATCACTGTAACCTGAATTCGCCCCGAAAGTGTAGGGCAAAAGGAGTGCAATCAAGGTGAACCAGGGGAAGAGAACTTAGGCATGACGGTCATTCGCACTTGCAAGAGAAGGACGAACGCACAGCGAGAGGGGAGAGGAGGAAGGAAGGGGAGGCTTGGTTAAAACACATGTGCATAAAGAGAAACACCAATGGAGAGAGAGAAACAGAACCACAGTACCTGCCGGGTGGTGGTTTGTGGCGTAGCCCTGCAGAGGATGGGGGGTGGCGTACGCCTGGCGGTGTAAGATATCCGTGTCTGGGTGTGAGCTCCGGGATCCACCGTACACCAGGCTGAAGGACAAAGACACAGAGAAAAGACTTGGTCAGACTTGGCAACTTCTCTGGGAATGTGGCTGAAATGTGGCTGAGATCATCTGATGCACTTCACACAGTTTGGACATCCTGATTATATGCACAAAAGGTTTCATGCAAAGCTTATCAGCGGAAAGCCTGGTAGTGGCTGAGGTCAAGGAACCCAATTATATGGGATTCTTTAATTTCGAGTGCACAGAAGTGCGGGGTCTAGAACATGCACTCTAGAGTTCAGGATCCTGCTCGGCTATTAACTTTCTAGGTGACCTTGCGCAGCCATGGGCGTGAGCTCCTCACCCATAAAATGGGCACACCAATGCCCTCATTTGAGAGGAACGAAATAATTACATTAAGCCAAAACACGCTGCACGTTCAAAAGTGACACAGTTGATACTGAAACACCACAGGCACCAGGAGGTTTCGCCTTGCTTTGTTTAGATGCTCGGAAAAAGATCAAGGCACCTCCTCCCACTACCCCAAGCATACTCCCCCCACTCTATCCTCTTTCATTAGCAACTCACATATGCAGGAAAAGAGACTGGAATGTGTAACCAGTGATGCATGATGGGAAATGTAGTCCCCACCTCCTGGTTTCCCACAGCCTCTGCATGTGACCCGCATCCCTTCCTCTCCCCTGCCTTGCACAGGGAGACGCAGCTGTCTAGCCCAGCGGCCAAAACGCAGCAATCGCAGCTCGCAGAAGAACGCCCCTCTTTCCTGACCTGCTTCCTCAGCTGTAGGTGCTGCTGAGATCTCTCTCTCTCTCTTTCCTTATCTGCAACCCAGCCAGTTCAGCCCTGCTTCTGATGCTGCTGACTCTTGTCCTTTACCTGAAATTCTTCTTCTCTTCACACACATACACACATTTCCACCTTGGATGATTTGTAGAAATATTCTCACACACATGCACTCTTTAAAAAAATGACCAGGTCAAGAAAACTGAGAGCTCAAAAAGCCTTGCTTCCAGCTCCCTGCTCTAAGCCGCAAAAATCCCCTTTCCCAGGCCCTGCCTCTTAAGCACCTGCTCTAAAGCACTGGATTTCACCACCCCTTTAGAAGAAAAAAAGAAAAAGAAAAAGTCAATACTCTCCCATTGCCCCCACCCCAAATATATGTGCCCAGCTGACAGTTCGGCTGCTCTTATCAGAAATCACAGGTGCTAGAGCTCCCAGCCGCTTGGATTTAACACACTTAAAATTTAATCCTATACAGTGGTACCTTGGGTTACAGATGCTTCAGGTTAGACTCCGCTAACCCAGAAATAGTACCTCGGGTTAAGAACTTTGCTTCAGGAGGAGAACAGAAATCACGTGTTGGCGTTGGAGGCCCCATTAGCTAAAGTGGTGTCTCGGGTTAATAACAGTTTCAGGTTAAGAACAGACCTCTGGAACGAATTAAGTTCTTAACCCGAGGTACCACTGTACAGGCTACTCCAAAGTAAGTCCCACTGAAGTGAATGGGGTTAAGAGAGTACAGCACTGCACTCTAAACCGCAGGCAGCTATTCACTTGGGGCAGTAAATAATGTGGCAGAAGGGCTTGGTATGCCACACAGGTTTGCCAATATTTATTGGGGGGGGTATTCCTTCACAAAACACCCGCCACTCTCCCAGCTTTCTGTACACAACACCCAGGCCATGCTCTCTTTCTTTCCGCACTCCCTTTGGGAAACACTTCATGTGCCTAATTATGTACAACGCTGCCACTCCCCTCCTCCCAGCGCCAAACCAACCTGCCACCGTTACTTATTTTCTGAAATGTGGCACATGCCTCGACACACACGCACAATTATGCACGTGCCGTGCAGGAAACGCAAGCACAGCTTTGGGACAGGAGAAGCCACGTGGGGTGTGCACCCCTCTTTGCAGGGAGGAACCCAGGTGGTACAAGGGATCTTGGTAGCAGCAGCGAGCGCGCCTGTCTCAGGAATGCAGCTACCTGCTAGCGGGCGGGGAGACTCGCAGGGAGCTACAGAGGTTGCAATGCAAAAGCGAGGCAGGGAGGGCAAGGAAGGAGGCGGCTGGCCATGAAAGCAGGCAAACCCCCCTTTGCACACAGCATGCCTGCCTGCAGCCGAGGGATGGACTGCACTGTAGCAACCACGAGAGGGCCATTCTGCGAAGGGTTACAGGAAACAGGAAATAAGAGAGTCTTTCATTCACCCTCCTCACTGTCTCGCTTGCTACAGAGCACTGTGTCAACAAGCTGAATGGAAAACCATCCCGAGGCAGAGAAAGAGAAAGACGCACACAAACGTAAACACAGCTTGCCAGATCAGGCCAGTGGCCCGTCTAGTCCATCGTCCTGTTCCTACAGGGGCTGAATAGTTGCCTGGAGAGAAGCAGCAAGGAAGGTTTGGGCACAAGAGCACTCTACCCTCTTGTGATTTCCAGCAACTGGTGTTCAGAGACACTGCTGCCTCCAACTGTGGAGGTAAGAGCACAGCCGTCATGGCGAATAGAAATCAAGCCTCCCTTGGTGACGGTTAGCACAGAACAGAGAACTCTCCCAATTCTGCACTAAGCGCCGATTCCTCACTTAAGCACAGTAGCTGATGGGGAAAGCCCTTTCGGCAGAGATGGCAAAGCAAATGCATATCATACCAGTGAACTCTAGTAACTAGGCAGAAAGATTCAGATGATTGGATCCACACATGCGAGACATGCTCCGTTCGGGTGTCTGCAGAAGGAGGTAATTTTGCTCTATACCATTTTCAGTTGCGGTATAGTAACACTTTTAATTTGCAGGAGTGCTTTACGACCTCTGTTAAATTCACTCTCACAACAATCCAGTTAGGCAGGCCACTGATGTTCCCACTGCACAGAGCCTGGGGATTGAGTCTGAGAGTGTGTGACTTTTCCGAGGCCACACAATAAACACAAAACATGGGTCAACACTTGAGTTCAGGCCCCCCCAGGCCCAAACACCACCTATCCTAGCCCTCTCCCTGCTCAGGACACTGGATCTTGCCTACAAGGCCTGCCACTAATAAGCTACACAGCTCCTGGCAGAAGGAAAGAGGTCGCACCCTTCCAAAAAACCCAGATGACATAAGCAACAGCTGATAAACCACTGGACCTCTGGGAGCTACGAGAGGATGCTGAGCAAGTCAGTGGGTCTTCTTTATTGAGATATTTATTAATATTTTTTTAAATATTACAATATTTAAATATTACAATGTTGTTTATTGAGCAACAGTTTCCCTCACCTGCAACTGAGGAAGACGAGTGACCCGTTTCCCAGAGTAGCTTGAGGATGATGAATGACGTTACGGACAAATCCTTTGTGGCAGAGGGCTACAAACCTAACCCTGGACCCACTTGCACTATACATTCAAAGCAGTATCATACCACTTAAAATTGCCAAGGCTTGCCCCAAAGAATCCTGGGAACTGTAGTTTGTTAAGGGCTCTGAGAGTTGTTAGGAGACTCTTATTTCCCTTACAGCAGGCAGAGACAAACTCCGGCCCTCCAGATGTTTTGGAATTACAATTCCCATCATCCCTGCCTAACGGGACCAGTGGTCAGCGATGATGGGAATTTAGTCTCAAAACAACTGGAGGGCAGGAGTTTGCCTATGCCTGCCTTACATTGGGAGGCTTACTGTTAAATCACACTAAAAACCGCAGCTCTGTGAAGAGAATAAGAGTCCCCTAAAAGCTCTCAGAGTTTGTAACAGGCTACAGTTCCTAGGATTCTTTTGGGGGAAGCAAGATCTGTTAATAAAGTGGTATGATATTGCTTTAAATGTAGCCCGTTTTATTGCAAGAAATGCAGAACAGCAGTAAAATATCATTAGCATTAAATGCAAGCACCATGTTCACACAAACAACACTAGTTGAAACTGTTAAATACCGTTCTCTTCACTTCTAATACAGAGAAGCTGAAGTTAGGAAGGAGAATAATATAGACTACAGTTTAAAGTGAAATAGATATCCCTACTCCTGGATTGTTTACTTAAAAAAACACACCACCACCTATCAGAGTTGGACACCACCCCCCCGCTTTCCAGGAAACCACAACCTAGAATACTACCAAGATTTCTTCCTCTCTTGCGGGGCAACCTTTCTACAGGGATTGCTTCCAGCATCATACAGGTGGGAGTTGTGGTTATTGAGGGTTTGTAAGGAATTATTTGAGAATACACGACATGTGATTGGAGCCTAAGATGCATGTTCAGCTGTCTGTAGTGGGGAAAGGAGGAACAGCAAAGATGGGGTATTCCCCACCAGGATGCAGCCAGGCACCTGCAGAAGTGTGCACCTGAAAATTTTAACAGCAAATAAAAGGTTACAAATGAGCATGCTTTGCCACCCTGTCTTTCTTAATATGGTATGCGTGTGCGTGGAGAAACAACAAATAAGGTGGAAGGAAACAGGAACAGAGAAAGGTGGTTGGCAAATAAAGATTGCAGGATTTTCCCCCCAAGGAAAGGAATCAACTTGAGCTTTGTTCAAATAATCCCTAGCCCCATGAGAACTAGAAACTTGCAGTTTTTGAGAAACACACATACATGCAGGATTCCATGTAAGCTAATGGAACGTGCACTTAAGAGCTCTGGAGCCCAATGATAGTCATAAGGTTTTGTAGATGCAACTGTACAGAAACACATGCATCGTTGTCCCAACCACTTAGTTCCTCCACAGAAGCTACATGATACGCAAATACAATCATTGCAGGTGAAAATGCATTGCACAAAAAGCACCCACAACATAACTGAAAGGACAACTGGCCCGATGTTCTACTTGCAGAACTTTTGTATTACAATCCATGAGTGCAGCCTGCAAGTGGACTCCCTAAATGCAGGTCTTGCAGGTGCAGCCACAAATCCAACAGCTATTGGTTAATTGTGTTCAAATGCCTGCAGAACAAGGTGTGTGATCCATGCAAAATGATGCACAGGAATAAGCAAGCCATGGACACAGGAAGCGGAGACGGTGGGGAGCGGAATTAAGTTATGGTAGGATGCATCTCAGGGAGGGCAAACACAAATGTGCATGTAGTGCTGCAAGTTCAAGGGTAACATCAAGAGATTGCCAGTCCAACAATCCATATGTGGCAGGATATAAACCATGGGTAGGAAAACTAAGGCCCGGGGGCCGGATCTGGCCCAATCGCCTTCTAAATCTAGCCTGCTGACGGTCTGGGAATCAGCATGTTTTTACATGAGTAGAATATGTCTTTTTATTTAAAATGCATCTCTGGGTTATTTGTGGGGCATAGGAATTCATTCATTATTATTTTCCCCCAAAATATAGTCCAGCCCCCCACAAGGTCTAAGGGACAGTGGACTGGCCCCCTGCTAAGAAAGCTTGCTGACCCCTGATATAAACACACCACACAGCTTTCTAGTATTCCCAAGTGCAGGAATACAAGCTGGCAACGGACAAGAGCTGTGAACAGTATGCACTACTGTGCAAACACAGTATTTAATATTGCGTGCTGGGCACAGTCTCCTGAGAAACATCTGTCCCGTAATGATGATGCAAAGATGGGTTTCAGCACCTAGCGAAGTCTCCAAAGCTGGTAGAGTTGGATCTCTGCGCTTGGGCAGCCTGCCTAGTAGCTCCTTCGCCTTTCTCCTTATCTGAAGCTGCACAAATTAGGCAAAATAAGCAAAACACATGCAAATCTGCATCATTTATGCAAGTTTTCAAACTCCGCTTTTCTTGACAGAAAATCTGAATTGCCTCGGAGAACGTTTTAAAAATAAAGGTATGGCACACAAGTCCCAGCAGTGGGGTACTCTCTAGATGAACGCCACACACAACTGTATTAGAAAGCACACTAACTTTATCTGTTGCGGGTTTGTGTGGTGGTGACAGAATCATCACGCTATGAGACAGAATATATAACACTCAGGTGGACACACGGTAGTCAAAGCGTAATTTACGAGAGAAGGAGCACTCACCCTGCAGGCTGAAACATCTACAGGAAACGCACCCCAAAGCCAAAGCCTACACACTCAGTATCACTGCCTTGTGACATAAGAGCATCACAAACCTGCAAAGGAGAGTGTGAGCTTTTTAAAGTCAGATGCAGAGTTCCAGAGGCAGGTTTGGGTGTGAGGTGGAAATTAAGTCTAAGAGAAACACGTCAAAAACTTAAGTTACGAATGAGGGGGACTCAACAGACCAAAGTACAAAGCTCCACTAGGAAACAAAGCAAAGGATGTTATAGGCTTGATTCCTCGGCCAAAAAGTTTGCCCACCACACCAACTCAGCCTCTTGCTGCCTCCAAACAGGCCGCTAAACAGCCACTGGTCTAGGTTGCTTGTGATTCCTAAGGAAGGCCAGAAAGCCTCTGTCAACTGGAAAAAGAGCACTTTCCACTTAAGACTACTGATGAGCCTGACATCAAAGATTGTGCATGCAGGCTGGCAGATAATACAAACTTACTGGGCGAGCAACTTTTACAGATTTATTTTCAAGACTGCCTCAAAGTCATTCGCAGACACAGCCACAGAACCAACTCACCTCAGGCCCAAAGACTACCTAGAAAACATGCCCTCCAACCTGGAAACTCTGATTGCTAGCCTCAGACAGGTAAAGTCCTACTGCACTGGGAGCAAAGGGAACAGAGACTTGACTGAAATGTATTCTATGTACACACAGATGCACCTTGCAGCAGGGGCAGAAGCTGCTGTCCCATGCCCAGTACCAAATACATACCTGTACTTTCAAAAGGAAATGAAGGTGATCCCAATCAGCTTCTAAAAGGTCACCCCCACCAAGACAGCAGTAAGTAAGAAAGGCCAAGAATTCTCCATGTTTTGACATACTGATGATGAGCCCCCCACCTTAAGCCACAAACACAACTGTTCCACAAATGTAACTGAACTGCACAATAAATATAGTTCATCCCTCAGCAGCCCTTGTCCCAGGGGCAGGAGGAGAAAAAAGGAGGAAGAGGGTTCTTCAGGGAGACAAGCTGAGGAGAAGCCAAAAGCTTGTACGCACCAGAGGATGGCTCCTTTGGGGTAGATAATGCAACAATAAATGTGAGAGGTAATAAATGTAGCCTCCTGATTTGCTTCCTGTATGTCTGCATGCACATTGTACATTGGAGACAATCTGTGCCCAGGTGGTCTCACTCTGCTCCTTGGCCCATTTGAGATTAATGTATAAATACATACGTACATGTCTAAAGCCATGACCCCTGCAAATAAACACTGGAGCAGTGCCCCACTAAGAATCTTTGAGGTGGCTTGTCTGGAATCTGATACCTCATTTCTCCACCTTCACTTGACCCCAGTTCCCCTTCCCAGAAAACTCTAAAGCGCTGCCTCTGAAAATCCCCTATTCTTAAAGCACTGGACCATATACTGCAAGGGAAGCCAGGGATTCTGAGCCCCACCACCTTGCCTCTCCCATGGTCCTTCACTTGCTGCAAGGGAAATCCATAATGCACACTGGACACAAGTATGCACATTTAAGTGTGCATGTGCTGGCACACACGTGTTCCAGCAGCACAAGCATTCCAGCAACGCACCTGCGTGGACCACTGCTACACTAGCGCTCTTCCCATGTGTGGCAGCACACGCAGTAAGTGCATTTATACGAGATGGATGGCGGCCTCAGGGAATGTTTATATGGGTTAAGCGCTTCTTGTGGCCAGTGTCACATTTAAATGAATTCTCAGATTGCCACTTTCTTATCAAAGGCTAACAAGCATGAGGGCTGCCTCAAACAGTTTGCACAAGATGTGTGGAAGTAACACGGCACAACACGCCATCCTTCTGCACTCCTTACCTGTAAAAGCACTACTGGGAAAGGGGATGAAGAAGAAGCAAACTGGCCTCTGGTGCAAAAAAGAGAGAGATGGAACTCCTGAATGTTGTGGGAAATGAGCAAGAAATTGGGGCATAGAAAGCTGCCTTATTCCGAGACAGCCTATTAGGTCCCCCCATCTCAGTGTTGTGTACATGGACCAGCAGTGGCTCTCTGGCCTTTCAGATATGGGGTCTCTCCCAGAAAGTCCTACCTGGAGATGCTGGGGATTGAATCTGGGACCATCCACATGCAAAGCAGGTGAGCTATGACCCTTGCCGCTTACTGGAAGGGAGTAAAGACCATTCCACTCTTGCTAGGTTCTTTAGAGGAGAGGCGGAATTAGGGATACAGGACTCCTTACAGAAAGAGAGCAGGAATTATTGGAATCAGCATTCTTGGGTTCTCCTAGCGGGCAGCAAGGCCTAATACAGTCTTCATCAACCTGGTGCCCTCCAGGTGTTTTGGACTACAACTCCCATCAGCCCCAGCCAGTCCGAGTTGTATTGTCCAAAACATCTGGAGGGAGCCTGCCCTAATTTGTCAGAGCAGAGGTATGAAAAGGGTATAAGGATCCAAATAACTGGGTTCTTCAAAAGGGAGGGGGCAGGGCTATTGTATTTCTCTCTGAGAGAGCAAGTGGGATGTGTCTTGTATCAATGGGGATGCGGATTTGTGTAGCCAATCTTCTCCCACTTTTCTTAGTAAATGGGGTAGGTCAGATCTGTACTTGGTGGAACTCCCCCACAAGTTATTTTCATTCCTAAGAAGCATTCCCAGGAACAAATAGCCAGAGATCTAAAGTTCGAAGATTCAAAGGCCTCCACCCTCCTCCACTAGGTCTCAGAGATTCAGGTGGCCAACTCCCCCCTATTGTGGCTCTCTTCTACGGCTGAACGATGCCATCACAGGCATAAACCACACAGAGGATATGTGTCCCAGTTAAGAAGCACAGCATAAAGAGGGTCACAGGATATTTGCCCCCCCCCCATCTGAGCCTTATTTCACAGGGAAGTCTCTGGAAACATAGGGGGTTCCCAATGTCCTGCACTTCCTTCCTTCATTTAGAGCGTACCTCCCCAAGCCTTTTACAAACACCTCTATATCTTCGCCTCCATCCCCCAACCAAAGGGCTTATCCTATATTCTAAAACTTCCAACACCAGATATCCACACACAAATTCAAAGGAACCTCACTCTGAACCACACTGCACAAGGGGGTACATACATGTCACCATGTGAATAAAAGAGGGGGAGATTCTCCCACTTTGTGAGAAGCCCTGGCTCAGGATTTCTCTTCTGGTGCCAAGAATGCTGAAATGTGGAGAGAGGTCCCCAAATGCAAAGCCTCCTAAAAGGCAGGAGGGAGATCAGTTCTGCACAGTCCTCCTAGCAAAGGAGAACAATTCTCCAAGGAAGGCTGATTTTCCCAGGGCCACGTTCCCTGCCCCCCCCAAACACGGATGTAGGTGGGAGTTGCAAAAGCTTCTTGCATCGTATGAAGGAAATCCAGGGGATGCAACGCCAGCATCATGGAAGGGGATAAGGAGTGTCCCCCACCGGACACCTCTCAGCGTGTGTATCCCTAGGGGCAAGGAAGCAGAGGACCGCCCCCCCCCCAAAAAAATCCCCACCACACAGCGCCTTTTCTCTCCCCCTGCTCCTTTCTCACCTGCATGGAACTGAGCAGTTTCTCCCTGCAGAGGTTGCCGGGTTGCCTTGCACGGGGTGGGGGGTGGGGAGCCCGAGGATCCTCACCTTCCCTTGCACCCCCCCTTACCCTTTGCACACACACTCGCGTGTAAAACACCCCCCCCCCCACTTCCAACCGCCGCCGCGGGGAGCCGTGCGCCTCAGTGGCTCCCCCATTCCTCTGCATGGCCTAGAGGCCTCTTCTCTCCCTCCCTCCCTCCCCCCACTTTGCACAAGGCAACCCTCCCGACGCGAGGAAGGTCCCCCCAAATGCCTTCGGGGGGGGGGGCAAAAAGCGCACATCCTCGGTTACTCCTGGCCTTCCCTCGGGCCCCCACCCCGCACTCTGCACCCCGCTTCCCCCCACCCATCCACCACCCCGCTTTCCCAGGCCCAGAAGTGGAGGCCCGCGAAGGAGAAGCAGCAGGCGAGGAGGGGCTGGCTGAGGGGGGGTTCCCTCTTTGACCCCCCCCCACCCAGCGCTTGCCCGGGACTGCGAGAGGGGGGGGGGTTGTTTCTCCCTTTCCCTCCTCCCCCCTCCCGTCTCCCCATCCTTCCCCGTCCGTCGGCCTGACCTGGCCTTGGCCGAGCGCTCGTAGCTCCATCCCGGGCCGGCGCCCAGCGGATCCCCGAAGCCGGCGCTGGGGTAGTTCCTATCCATGGGGAGCGGGCGCCGGGGAGCGGGCGCCTGGGGCCGGCCTCGGTCCGTCGGCCCGTCTCCGCGCTCAGTCTGGGTCCCCACAGCGCCTCCCCGTGCGGCGGCGGCGGCGGCGGTCGACGGGGGGAGGAGGGGGGGCAATCGGGGAGGAGACCGTGGAGGGAGGGAGGGAGGCAAGGAGAGAGAGGGGGGGTCCCTCCTCCGCCTCTGCCTCCGCCTCCCCCCCTCGGCCGCGGCGCTCCCCGCCGCCCCGCCCCGCCGCTCGGCCTGGGCTCAAGCCTCGGGCTGGCGCTAGCGCTGAGGCGGCGGCGGCGGGAGGAGGCGGCGGCGGTGGTGGTGGTGGCGGCGGCGGCGAGCCTCTGGGAGGCGGCTCATGGTGCAGCCATGTTCGCTGGGCGTCTGTCTGCGCTCCGCTCCGCTTCCTCCCACAATCCCGTGCTGAGGAGGAGGAGGAGGAGGAGGCGGTCGGGCGGGCGGCTGTGAGGGGATGGTGGGCAGGCGGGGAGGAAGGGGCAGGGGCGCCGGAGATGGAGGGAGGGAGGGAGGGAGAGTCTGCACGCAGGAAATGGAGCAGGAAGGAGGAGAAGACGAAGCGGGGAGGGGGGCGCAAGGCTGGACGGAGAGGGCGCCCGCAGGGGCCGAAGGACAAAGGCAACGGCGGCGGCCGGAGCGGGCAATGGCCGAGCCGGCCGGGGTGAGGGGAGGGGAGGTGGACGGGCGGAGGGGAGATGTGGGGGGAGCTGAGGCGGGTCGCGGTGTGGGGGGGGGGGAAGGAGCCAGAACAAGCGGGAAATGATGGAGAGGGGGGCAGGTCAAGTAGGGCCGGCGGGGTGGGGGTGGGGGGCAGAAAGGGCAGCAAAAGCTGGGAACTTTTTCTCCCTTTATTTTTGCCGAGGTCTTCTCCGCTTTACTTTCCACGTGTGAACTTAAAATGCCGACAAGATGGGCCAGGAAGTTGGACCGCTTTTTGCTGGGAGTTCGTGGAGCGCGCGGGGTAGCTCTCCACGCCGTTTCCTCTCGCGGCTTTGTGTTTTGTTTTGTTTTTAACTCCCCACCCCCGGTAATGTTTGAAGGGCATTCGCATATCTTAAAAAGACGCGGTGAACTCGGCCTTCGCAGCACTGATTGGCTAAGGCTTCTCTCTTCCTCCCCCCCACCCCACCGGGCGTGTGTTTTCCGACACGTGGGGATGCCCTTCAAAACGTTACGGCGGAGACGAGAGTCAAGCCTTGGCTGGTGGGGAAGTAGGAGATCTGTGCAAGGGCACTCAGGGTTGCTTCACACAAAGCTGTAGGGAAAGGTACAGCAATGGTTCGCGCCGGATGTTTGATCCTAGCCCTGTGCACAGGTGTATAGAAGGCAGGTGTATATGACTTCAGAGACACTACTTTCTCGCGCCCAGTAAGTGGCTTCAATCTCACGTCCTGTGTACACACTATGGCAACAAGGAGCACACTGCAAGGACACAGTGAAGCTAAACTACGTGCCCAAACTAAAATACTAAACTCCCCTCTGTGCTCTGTCCATATAGTTACATACACAGATCAAAATAGACACTCGCACAATTTTCATAAATGACAGTGTATGCCAAGGTGGCTAACCTGTGACACTCCAGATTTTATTTTATGTTATTGGACTACAGCTTCCATCATCCCTAACTGTTGGCCATGCTGGCTGGGGCAGATGGGAGTTGTAGTTCAGTAATAGCCCCCTCTGCGTTATACCAATGACATGTGAAAATTATTGGCTTCCTGATGCACTCCTGATTATCACTCATATTAACGTGCAAAAGCAAATGTAGAATCTGACCATGAAGCCTTACAAGAGAGCAAGTTGCACAAATGCATGGCCAGTCGCTTCTCTCTGAAGGTGAATTGGTTTTAAGACGCAATGGTTAATAGACCATAGGCAGTCGACAGCTTCGGCTGGAGGAAGGATGCAGGTCAGTTAAAAGACTTTAGCCCAAGATAAAAACAGGACTCAGGCCTGAGCAGACCATTTTCAGCTCAGACTTGAAGTTAAATGGCCTGTAGCTTGCTTGGTCTCAGACACAGCAAGCTACAGGCCATTTAAATTCAGGCCTGAAAGCACCCAACTCATCATCTTAAAATGGAAACGGGGAGGGTAAGACCCAAGCCCTGTTTACTGACTGCAGTAGAGCAGCATTCTGATTTTGCCCAGAAAAAAAGCGTATTCAAAAGAATCTGAGTCTAGTTTTCAGAATGTTACAACCCCTACACTCCCTGCAGGTATTATGGCTACAAAGGAGTGGTTTAAATCTGTGCCTCCATTCGCTAATTGCCAGGGACTCCAGAGGTTGAAACCTCATGGCCTGAAGCTGAGATACACCCTAGCGAGGCACCTGGGTCTGTGGGTGCTCAGCCCACTATAGGTGCAGACAGAAACAGTGGTGTGCAATGTCAGCTGCTGCGATTGGAAGGCTGTACAAAGTCTCTGGATTGGCCTGTCCCTCTGCTGTCTAGCTGTCAGCAATGTAATATGTTCCCTGTGCCTCACTCTAGCTGCTGACATCAAAGAGTTTACTCAACTGGAGAACACACTCACCAGGTTGAGATTCAGATACAGCTCTTCCACCCCAACTCCCTGGCTTGGCCCCTGCATGAATGCTTGCCTAATTGCCTTCCCATTATTAGCTTTCTGGTGCCTGCCATTATGTTAATTTTTCAACTGCTTTGATTGAGTAAACCACCTTGGGTGCTTAAGCAAAAAGTCTGAATAGAGGGGGGGTGCCCAGAATTGCATCTCTTTTCTCAAAGCTGCAGTTGTGCATCCCTGTGTGTAATGTAGTGGGGAGAGAAGTAAAGTTTGTAAATGCTGTTCCTAGTTTTTATTTATTTGGAAGTCGTAATCAAGGTCCATTCAGCGCAGAACAAGCCAGTGAGAGTCCTGCCCCTTAACACACAAACACCCCAAGAACTTGGACATGGCAGGTGTGTGTGTGTGTGTGTGTGTGTGTGTGTCTTCTGGTTGTGAGAATTCACTGCCACAAGATGTAATAATGACCACCACCATGGATGTTGTATTTCTTTCACCAGTCTTTACTGGAGAGACAGCAGAAAGCTGAAAGGGAAGGGCGGAATCTCAGCGGTAAACTTTGTATCGTGTTGTATTCAGAACACAGGTTCAGTTTGTTGCATCCTCAGTTAAATGGTCAAGTAGCAGAAGACAGAGAAGAGCTGCTGCGAGCCAGAGTTGACAATAGTAGGCTAGATGGAGTAACAGCCGAAGGCAGCGTCATATGCCTAAATTTGGTACAAACTAGCCAAGAGATCGTAGCATAGTTGTGGCTCTTCTGTACTATTCGGAAACTTGGAACAAATACATCCTCAAGTGATTAAAACCTTGATATTTGGAATACGTGTCACTCAATATACTAGACTACTAGTAAAGACTAAACACAATATACTGCTTATCTCTATCCCTGTTTCACAGCTGTGGTTGGTGCTTCACTTGGGAGCAAGCCAAAGCACAGATATGATGGAGTACTATGCTGTGTTTCCCCCTATTATACACCCTTTCCCAAATCCTCACATTGGCAAAGAGTGCTGCAGTACCCCAAGACCACCTGAAAACTGCTGATGGTCTTGGTGAGCTGCTTAACATTTTTTCCATCTGTCGTAGCAATGATAATGCACTGTGCTAGATGCTGTATGATTTCGAATTGTATTTTTATTGCTTCTTTTATGTTGCATTTTATTGCATTGCAATTTGCATTTCATAGAACAGTATAATACACTAAGAACACAATTTTAAAGATCAGTATGTTTAATGCAGACCCAGGGCCCAAGAGATTTTGGCATCGGAGGTGAATCACAAAATTCCTCCCTCCCTCACCAGGGAAGAACGGGTGAGCGAAGGTCTATAACACAAAGGGGGGAGGAATGAAGATCCTCATCAGGATCTGCTGGCTCTGTGGATCCTTCTGCCTGAGGCGGTTGCCTCATGGGTGGAGCGGCCTTCTGTGGACCACCCGAATGAAGCTTGCAGACCATTGGTGATCCAAAGAGTACCATTTGAGAACTCCTGTGCTAGAGCAATGTCTCAGCTGGCAAGTCCTGGGCAACCTGGTATCCTATGGCTAGTTTCTTCCCAAGAGTAAGCGAAAACTGCCTGTGCCAAGCCCAGACCCAAGAGCTATTCAGACAAGAAGGACAATGACAGAATAGTTCAAATTTTATTTTCTACAAATGCCACAATAAAAGATTCACAGATGGCTCAAGTTATTTTGGTACATTCTTGTCCACACAGCAGCGCTATCTTCTCTCACAGAAGCATAAAGGTGTGTTATACTGTGCTCAGGGTCAAGCAAGCAACACTTCAGGACATGTGAGTGGAAAAGGATGGATAGATATGAGTTTAGCATATGTGCATGCAAACACCTTGTGCCCATTTTACTGGATGATAATCTTCCCTTCCTGGACATCCACACAAATTTGTTTGACTACAGCTGCAGGCAGTGCATGTAAACATAATTTGCTCCTCCTTACATCACCATAGAGGTGTATTTGCTTTCTACAGCTGGTCTGTATATTCTCACCAACCTATGTCTCCCCTTCCCTTTTAAACACCTTTGCATCTGCCTCTAACCTGCCTGCCCACTGTATTTCTTCCTCATTCCTTAATTTTTTCTACACTTCTCTAAATATATGTGGGGGGCGGGGGTGTTCAGCTTGCATTGCAAAAAAGCCCTGCTTGAAGCCCTGGAAAGCAACTGCCAATCACAGCAGAAAACACTAGGTTAGAAAATACTGATCCGATACATGGCTGCTTCCTGTGTGCCCTATGTCATTGTTAGATATGGACGGGATGTTCTCTAGATCAGGCATTGCTCCATTGAGGATGCAGGGGCAGAAGGCCGAGCTACCACTACTTATACTGATGGAGAGACTTCATACCACAAACCAACCACAAGGGCAGATGTTATACACTCCTCTTCCCTTCTGCATCTTAATAGTGCTCTTGAACACACCCTAAAGGCCCTAAGAGTTATTGTTCAAGCATACTCTGAGAATTATTTTATCGGGCATGAAAACAAGCAGGTATCCCATCCACCCTCTGTCAAACTCTAGCTAGCGCATGCAAGCCATGACAGAAGAAAGACACAGCTATAACAAGGCTTGTTCACATGACACAGGTGGTGGGCAGGAGAGAGGGATTTGTGTCAGAAACCTGCGCAAATGCTGGATTCGGAGCTGTAAAGTTGGTGATTCATTTTTATGCCAGAGTAGCGAAGAACAGCCGTATTATTCACATTTCAGATTCTTATTCCTCAAACAATATAATGCAGCTTTCTGTCTTCACACACACACACACACTTTTTCTCTCTGTACATAGTACACACATATATGCAATATACATAATTCAGTGGTCCACACCATATTTGTGTATGTGTCCCGTCCCCCCCCCCAGGTATGCTGCAGGTGAATTCACAGTGTTTTTTTCTGCACATAAATTGGCGGGGAGGGGTGTACACTTTCTTCCAAGAGTGGTGATCTTGCTGTTGACAACTCAGGTTGGTGGGGCAGTGTTGGTGCTATTCCTGGGGTGGGGAGTGGAGAAAAAGAAAAATAGAGATTCTTAACAGTGAGCAAGAAGCCATACAGTGGTATCTTGGGTTAAGTACCTACTTAATTCGTTCTGGAGGTCCGTACTTAACCTGAAACTGTTCTTAACCTGAAGCACCACTTTAGCTAATGGGGCCTCCTGCTGCCGCCGCGCCACCGGAGCCCGATTTCTGTTCTTACCCTGAAGCTAAGTTCTTAACATGAAGCACTATTTCTAGGTTAGCGGGGTGTGTAACCTGAAGCGTATGTAACCTGAGGTACCACTGTACAATGACAGTAGTAGGTGATGCTAATTTGCTTAAAACATTCATGCAAGGTTGCATCATATATTCAGGACAAACACCCCCCTTTTCTTTATTAATAACAAGGAAAACTGACCTCTCTCTCTCTTGGCCTAGTACACAAGAAATGGTGAGCCAGGCAAAAACTTCAGAGCAGAGACTGGCGAGTGTGTCAATTCCTGTTTTCTAATCCAGTTCATTTCTCCACATTTCCATACAACTTTGTGATTTTGTTTTTTAAAAAAACCACAAGTCATGAAAATAAAGCGGCATTTTCGTGTGAATTTCTCCAAAAACACATCTTCGGGTGCAGTTTTTTTTTTACATACTCATTTTTGCAAAGCAGTCTTCCCTTATAGGATGCATTTGGGGTTTTTTTGCAAGCTATTTTCATGAGCGTATGCATTTTAATGCAAAGTTACCCGAGTATATGCATTTTTGGACCCATTCCTTGGCTGGAGAACTGCATTGCAAAATTTGGGGGTGTGCAAATTTTGAAGCCTAGCTGTGTTTTGATTCATATATTACAGTCATACCTTGGGTTACAGACGCTTCAGGTTGCGTTTTTTCGGGTTTCGGCAGTCACGCATGCGCAGAAGCGCTAAACCACGCTTTGCACATGCACCGAATCGCAACCCGTGCGCACGCAGATGCGACGCTGCGGGTTGCGGACGTTGCAGGTTGCGGACGTGCATCCCACATGGATCACGTTCGCAACCTGAGAGTCCAATGTATTTCTTTTTTTTTTATAAGATATTTATTAGGGTTTTTAAAACATTACAATAAAAAATGGAAAAAAGAATACAAAATAAAAATCATTAAAAACACTCAGATTTTCTTTTGCTTATTTTTCCTTAGCTTGTTTCCCGGACCTCCTCATACCTCCCTTTTTTGTATTCCAGTTCAGTTTGTTGGTTCAGGAAATCCTTACCCTAATATTTCAGAAAGTGTGAGCTGGGCAAATTCACGTATAAATACAAACTGAATTCCCAGCTGCCTGTGAGGCTACTTAGGAGGAGAGGGGAATGCATGGAAAGCACTGCTTGGATCAGGGCCGGGCTGAGCAGGGACAGGAGGAAATGGATTGCTGCCTTCTGCGCTACACTTTTACCGGTTCATAAACATACAGTGGTACCTTGCGTTAAGAACTTAATTCGTTCCGGAGGGCCGTTCTTAACCTGAAACGGTTCTTAACCTGAGGCATGCTTTCGCTAATGGGGCCTCCTGCTGGTGCACGATTTCCATTCTTATCCTGGGGCAAAGTTCTTAACCTGGAGCAACCACTTCCTGGTTAGCGGAGTTTGTAACCCGAAGCGTCTGTAACCCGAGGTACCACTGTACACACAGCCGTTAAATTGTTCACAGTAACAAAAATACTCTAAAATAAAGATAAATTAGAAACAGCAGGATAGTCCCTGGGTTTTAGCTAAGCCCAGCCAGAGCCAACAGAGAAAGTTACATTTCGTGAAGCCGCTCCATGCTGCAGTAACTGCCTAGCATAGTAGCATTCTGTCAGTTGCCGTCATGTCACATTAGTTTCCCACCCTTCCTGCAAGGAGCTCAGGGCAGTGCACATGGAGCTAGCCCATTTTTATCTTCACTGGGTAGTTTAATGCTGCTGCAAAGCTGCAGCCGAGATGTGGAATCTTCTGCCCTTCCTCTATGTGGTCTGGACAGACGGGTTTGTTTCCCACTGACCCAGCCCATTCGTGATGAGCGTTAAGACCCAAATCCAATTCTCCAGCCACTTCCGCCAAACAAGCTAGAAGAGGGCCATAGCTCGGTGGGAGAGCACCTGCTTGGAATGTAGAAGGTCCCACGTTCAATCACTAGGGAGGGCTGGGAGAGAATCCCTGTCTGAAAATCCTGGAGAGCCACTACCAGTCAATGTAGACCAGCATCTCTCAACCTTGGGTCCCCCAGAGGTTGTTGGACTACAACTCCCATCATCCCTGACCCGTGTCCTGCTAGCTAGGGATGATGGGAGCTGTAGTCCGACAACCTCTGGGGACCTAAGGTTGAGAAAAGCTGGTGTAAACAAGGCTGAGCTGGACGGACCATTTCAGCTTTCTGTCTTGCACACTTGACACAGACTCTGGATGCAGCTTGGGCTCGGAGTAAGATCTCAAAAACTCTTGTACCTGTTGTAAGGTGGAGGAGGTGCATCGTGCACACCTGAAGTTTCCAGCACTTGCTCATAGGATGGAAGTCCCGGTGCTGACTCTGGCTTTGGCGCCTCAACAAAGGTGGCAAGGGGCACCGCAGGATACAGGTCGCTTTGAGTCCTGATGAGGGAAGGAGATGAGTCAGAATGGTGAGAGCATGTCACAAAGCACTCCTATGGACTCTGGTTGCTTGCTGACAATCTTAGTTATATCATCATAAAAAACACACTGACTTCAGAAGGGCTTCTCATGTACTGCTTAGGAAATAAATACTTTCTTAAGCCCAAGAATTACAGAAAGAATGATCTAGGATGGAGATGGTGGACTGCCAGCCTTCCAGGTGATACGTGATTCCAACATCCATCAACCAATGGTTGTTGGTAAGCAATCCTTAAAATGCCTCAACTACCAGCAGCTGCAGTATTTATTTATTTTAATTATTATTATTATTATTATTATTATTATTATTATTATTATAATTATTGTACCTCGCCCATCTGACTGGGTTGCCCCAGCCCCTCTGGGCACCTTTCAACAAAATATACAAAGACACAACAGAACATCACACATTAAAAACTTCCTAATATGGGGCTGCCTTCAGACATCTACAGAAGGTCATCTAATTCGTTACCTCTTTGACATCAGGCAGGAGGGCATTCCACTACAGAGAAGGCCTTCTGCCTGGTTCCCTGTAACTTACTTATCGCAATGAGGGGACCGCCAAAAGACCCTTGGAGCTGGATCTCAATGTCTGGGCTGAACGATGGGGGTGGAGACGCTCCTTCAGGTATACAGGGCCGAAGCCGTTTAGGGCTTTAAAGGTCAGCACCAACACTTTGAATTGTGCTCGGAAATGTACTGGGAGCCAATAAAGATCTAAAGTCCAGTGTTATATGGTCCTGGCAGCTGCGCACATTCACCAATCTGGCAGCTGCATTCTGGATTAGTTGTAGTTTCTGAGTCACATTCAAAGGTAGCCCCACATAAAGTGCATTGCAATAATCTAAGCGGGAGATAACCAGAGCATGCACCACCCTGAAGACAGTGCGCAGACAGGTAGAGTCTCAGCCAGCAAACCAGATGGAATTAATTCTATTTACTGTATTTTTCACTCTATAAGACGCACCAGACCACAAGACGCACCTAGTTTTTGGTGGAGGAAAACAAGAAAAAAAATATTCTGAATCTCAGAAGCCAGAACAGCAAGAGGGATTGCTGCGCAGTGAAAGCAGCGGTCCCTCTTGCTGTTCTGGCTTCAGCGATAGCTGTGCAGCCTGCATTCGCTCCATAAGACAGACAAACATTCCCCTTACTTTTTAGAAGGGAAAAAGTGAGTCTTATAGAGCAAAAAATACGGTATATCAATTTTATTTATATTATTTATTTAATACCGCCCTATACCCGCAGGTCTCAGGGCAGTTTATAGAATAAAATCAAAATATAAAACCACAAAATCCAAAATAAAAATATAAACAAGCTAATAACCCCTCCCCCCAAAAAAACCCCACATTTTAAAAGGGCCTAGGATGTAAATCTGATCAGCCAAAGGCCTGGTTAAAAAGGAATGTTTTTCCTGGCGCCTAAAGGTGTATAATGAAGGCGCCAGGCAAACTTCCCTGGGGAGAGCATTCCACAGATTGCAGAGAAGCCATGTTCTTGTGTTGCCACCCTCCGAACCTCTCGAGGAAGCACATGAAGGAGGGTCACAGAAGATGATCTCAGGGTCAGGGTCTGGGTAGTTTTATACTAGGCGGTCCTTGAGGTATTGCGGTCCTGAGCCATTTAAGGCTTTATAGGTCAAAACCAGCACTTTGAATTGGGCCCAGAAACTAATTAGTAGCCAGTGCAGTCGAAACAGGACGGGTGTAATATGCTCAAACTGTCTTGCTCCGGTGAGCAACCTGGCCACTGAATTTATATCCCATCCTTCTTCCCAAAGGAGCCTAGGGTGGCAGGGCAGGGTTGTGGTCTGGGAAGCCTCTGCTAGCTGCAAACTATACAAGTCTCTGCATCCTTGTGCAGGTACCAGTAGTTTGCCTGACCTGCTTGTGATATTGACTTTGGGCTGTTATTTGACCTTGGGCTCTAGACCTAGGCTGATCTTCTCCGCTTGACCTTGGCTTGTTTGGATTCCATGGCACTTGCAATCCTGCCCTTGTTGGCGAATGTTTTGCTAAGAGGCTTATACAGTCGTACCTTGGATCCCAAACGCCTTGGTTCTTGGACATGTTGGCTCCCGAACGCCGTAAGCCCGCAAGTGGGTGTTCCGGTTTGTGAACGTTCTTTGGAATCTGAATGTCTGACGGGGCTTCCGTGGCTTCTGATTGGCTGCAGGAGCTTCCTGCAGCCAACCAGAAGCCGTGCTTTGGTTCCTGAACATTTTGGAAGTCGAACGGACTTCCGGAACGGATTCCATTTGACTTCCAAGGTACAACTGTACCTCCTGGAGCTGGGACCCCAATGTCGAGGGCACCGACTGGAGTGTGATCAACTGTGGGAGATCCACTCAAGGACTGTCAGGGGCTGGCTGGCTGAAGAGGAGTGATGGGAGGCACCAGCAGGGAACCCCCCCCTGAAATATACTCGGAATCAGACTGCTGCATTTTTGGATCCTATTCAACTCAGTACATAACACCCCCCAAGGGAAACTCCAGAGGAGGAAGGCTCAAAGCCAGGGGATTGGTGGTGGGACACTTGAAGAGAGGTCAGAGGGAGAAGATTGTGAGGAGGGGCTGGATGCTGAAGGGACAAGAGGGTTTGGGAGCAGAAAGAACCTGTGTCAGGGAACAGTTCGGACTCTGAGGCTGAAGCAGAAGAGGGAGGTCAGGCTGCTGAAGAATCTAGGGAGTCTCCCACTCCCCCCCCATCGTTCAGCCCAGACACTGAGATCCAGCTCCGAGGGCCTTCTGGTGGTTCCCTCATTGCGAGAAGTGAGGTTACAGGGAACCAGACAGAGGGCCTTCTCGGTAGTGGCGCCCGCCCTGTGGAACGTCCTCCCATCAGATGTCAAGGAAATAAGCAGCTATCCCATCTTTAAAAGACATCCGAAGGCAGCCCTGTTTAGGGAAGTTTTTAATATTTAATACTGAATTGTTTTTAACTCGATTGGGAGCCGCCCAGAGTGGCTGGGGAAACTCAGCCAGATGGGCAGGGTATAAATAGTAAATTATTATTATATTATTGTTGCAACAAGCTCTCCTCCACTGTGGTCTCCAAGAACGTGCAGGATAATAAGGAGAGAAGAACAGAGACCACAGGTACACAGACACCGTTTGAGACTGCTTGGGAAACATCCAGGAGAGGAGGAGCCTTAGAAGGGGCAGAAGGCAGGGACCTTCAGTCCTGGCAACTGCTCCCCAGGGGCAAGACCTACTGGGAACTGTTGCTGATTTGTATGCTGTTTCCTTGAATAAAGGAGGGACGCGGGTGGCGCTGTGGGTTAAACCACAAAGCCTAGGACTTGCCGATCAGAAGGTTGGCGGTTCGAATCCCCGCCACGGGGTGAGCTCCCGTTGCTCGGTCCCTGCTCCTGCCAACCTAGCAGTTAGAAAGCACGTCAAAGTGCAAGTAGATAAATAGGTGCCGCTCCGGAAGGGAAGGTAAACGGCGTTTCCGTGCGCTGCTCTGGTTCGCCAGAAGCGGCTTAGTCATGCTGGCCACATGACCTGGAAGCTGTATGCCGGCTCCCTCGGCCAATAAAGCGAGATGAGCGCCACAACCCCAGAGTCGGTCACGACTGGACCTAATGGTCAGGGGTCCCTTTACCTTTACCTCCTTGAATAAAGAGTTAACTTCCCCTACAATGGAGCCCTGCATCGTTCATGCTGACCCTGACTAGGACCTCCTGATTTTGAAAGCTGCCTGGAACTGCTTCTCATTCCCATGCATGCATGCCCCCCAGAGCACCTATACTTGGATCCTGATCCGTACCTGGAACGGCTCCTCTGCTTCCTCCAGTATTTGATGTAATACATGCCCACAATCACAAGCATGACTGCAGACACCAACGCTCCTACGAGGCCAGCCACCAGGCCAGCCACGTCAACACCAGGTCTTACTGTGGAAGCTGGAGAGATTGAGGGAAGATTAGTAGAGATATCTGGTGTCTGCCTCCGCAAATTGCTCTAATAGGAGCCCTGTTGTGAGCACTGCCACCATGATTCAGAGGGGCTTCAGAGATATCAAAGTTGCCTTTTCTCCAGGAAGTACAATCTGCCCTCCCTTGCTATTATGGGCTGCTTGTGAAGCGGCCGTGGGAAAACACTGAGGCAGAAGGTCGTCCTTGGAATTCCTATTTTAGAAGGGACAACAACAGGAGATGTTTCGGCTGGGAATTTAATAAGAGTTCTGGGGAGGATCTTTGGCAGAGTGGCCTGTGCAGATAAGAAAAGGGAAAACACCTAGTAAAAGTGAACTATTGGGCTTTTTCACACATGCAGGAGGAAGGAAAGGAATTTGTTTTAGAAATGATTATTGCTGATTTATTGTGGATTTGAAAATCACAAATTATCAAATCCACAATAAAGCAGCAATAATCATTTCTAAAATAAATTCCTTGCACTCACTTGTAGATATTGCCAGTGCTTTTTTTCTGGGGGTATGCATACCCCTGAACATTTTGTGAATCTTTGTACTTTTGTCCATTTACTGCATTTATTTTCCCTGATTTGAACTATAAAATGGTGATTTTTCTTGAGTCAAAATGAGAGTACCCCTAAACAGTTGTTTGTTTGTTTGTTTTTTAAGGAAAAGGGGACTGGAAATTGCAAATGGTAAAATATTGTACATGCAGGATTTGGCAGGTGGAGAGCTGATGCTTAAGGATAAAAAGTTCAAAAAACTATTGTAAAATAAGGTTAACTGTAAGGAACAGAATGTGAACTAGAAACAACTAGAAAAATAAAGCAGCAACAAGAGGAAACCTTGGACACACCAAGAACCAAATGTTCACTAGACCCTTTTGATCCCCCTTTTAAAATGAAGTATAACATGCTTTGTATTTTCCTTGTAGGACAGCTGGGGGTGCTGCAAAGCACAGTGGCGATGAGAGCCCACCAACTTATTTTGCAGAGGGCCCAATCCACAGAGTGTACTGGGCCTTAAAAACCCTGTTGACACCCCTCAGCTCAGAGTAAGCCCCTGGCGCAAGTGCCAAAGTCTGCTCTTGCTTTCCCCTACTGAAATTTGGCCTGGGATAGCTCAGTCGGTAGAGCATGAGACTTTTAATCTCAGGTTTGTGGGTTCGAGCCCCACATTGGGCAAAATAAATTGGGCGCGTGGGTGTTTGTGGCCTGTTTGCTCCTCAAGGATGAGCCTCTGGGAAACCGAACAGGAGTTTGTTTCCTTCTGTCATTAGCTGACTCACAATATAAGAGGGATGCCTGGGAATTTCCCACTGCCATTTTCTACCCTTACTCACTTGCGCCTCCTTTCCCGTTGTGTTCATAGATATCCCAAAACAATTTCTGAAGAGAGAACAAAAAAAGGGAGGTTAACATGGCATGATAGCAAATACCATATTTTTCGCCCTATAGGGTGCACCGGCCCATAGGGCCCACCTAGTTGGGGGGGGGGAATAAAGGGGGGGAAATTATTTCCCCCCCAGGCATGGGGCTGGGGAGGGGGAAGCCCGAGCTTCCCCCAACCCCAGAACAGGCTGCTATCTGCAAGCCTGGGGAGCCCTGCGGGAACTGCCGCGGGCTCCCAAGGCTTGCGAATAGCTTCCTGAAGCCTGCAGCGCCCCGATCCCTCTCGCTCTCCAGGCTTCAGCGAAAGCCTGCATTCGCCCCATAGGACGCACACACATTTCCCCTTCATTTTTGGAGGGGAAAAAGTGCGTCCTATAGGGCGAAAAATACGGTAACAGCCTTCCCGCCATTTTGAAATCCACGTCCTGAGTTCTGGTGGTGGTAACCACTGGATGCTATCTGCACTATACATTTAAAGCAATATCACGCCACTTTAAACTTTCATGGCTTCCCCCCAAGGATTCTGGGAATTGTAGTTTGTTAAGGGTGCTGAGCGTTTTTGGATACACAGTTTAAAAGATTTACGGTTCCTTTAGCTAAACAGATCTACCGAGATTTGACTTCTGAGGACGGGGGTTAAGTTAGCCTGTTGTTTGCGGCCAAGAATGCCAAGAGCTACAACACACAGCTACAACCCCCAGAGTGATTTTACAACCAGTTCCTCTCCCCAGGAAATTCTGGGAAGTGTAGCTGCGGGAGGGGCCATTTTTTGCCCTGGTGAGGCCCTTCTTGGTGGGCTGCTGGCTCCTTACCTGGCAAGGCCAGGTGCGACTCACAAACACGTACTTATTTTTGAAAGTGTTGTTTTGCACGAATCTGGTAAATTGGAAAACATGCCTTTCTGACTAAGTAAATAAATGGCCATTTTGCCCATTGTGAAACGTGCTTGACACTTTGGCTTTGGCTATTTCACCGTTTCACCGCAAAATGAATTCCCCCCCCTTACAGGTGCATGCACTTACAGCTAAGAAAATACTCGTGCACATGCCAGCAACAGACTTCAGGTTTCCATAATGAACAGAGCGAATACACTCAATCAGTTATTGCCTGCCAAAGGTAAAGGGACCCCTGACCGTTAGGTCCAGTCATGGACGACTCTGGGGTTGCGGCGATCATCTCGCTTTATTGGCCGAGGGAGCGGCGTACAGCTTCCAGGTCATGTGGCCAGCATGACTAAGCCGCTTCTGGCGAACCAGAGCAGCACACGGAAACGCCGTGTACCTTCCCGCCAGAGCGATACCTATTTATCTACTTGCACTTTGACGTGCTTTCGAACTGCTAGGTTGGCAGGAGCTGGGACCGAGCAACGGGAGCGCACCCCGTGGCGGGGATTCGAACCGCCAACCTTCTGATCGGCAAGCCCTAGGCTCTGTGGTTTAATCCACAGTGCCAGCTGCATCCCCACTGCCTGCTACTCAAGGTTTAAATGGAACCGGCTTGGGTGTGGACTGAAGCACACTCAGAAACATGGCATATGTGCCGCCCACATGTGCAATGACACCCTGGTGTGCACACAGCCTAAGACTGCTTCTCCAGCAATGCTGCCTTATTTCCACACTTGTTGTTTGCAATACGCACTCTAGAGGGCATCAGTCTATCGCAAAAGAAAGTCCTTTAAAAAAGGCGGGAGGGGAGACAACATCAAATCCCTCAGATTCACGAAATCAGCTAACAAAAGTTCCTTTTGCACTAAATTAATCTTTGCCACAGGACTCTTGGCATTCTTGGCCGCAAACAACAGGCTCACTTAACCCCCGTCCTTAGAAGTCAAATCTCGGTAGATCTGTTTAGCTGAAGGAACCGTAAATCTTTTAAACTGTGTATCTACCCCTATGCAACAAGTTAATTTTAATACAAAAGGCGTTGCCTCTCTTTGAGTCAGGAGCTGAAACCAGTCCAAATTCTGAACTGGCTGCGAGCACATAAGAAACTGTGCCATGCAATCCTACGGACACGCAAAACTGCACAGCCCAAACCTCTGCTTGCAATTACTTGGGAGATTTGTCATATTAGTAAGGGATAGGGCAGTTGGCAGCCGTGTCCTTTATGCTGGAGAAGGATTAAAGCAGGAACAGCTTCTCCTGCCAAGGTGCAGCGCTGGGGAAAGTGGCACCTCCTGGCATTCACCCTTCTGCAGAATTCAATGCTGAAGTTGTCAACATGGTGCCTGTGGGCGCAATGCCACACCCAGAGCCCACAAAGCCCCTGTACCTCCCCTCCGCTCACTGTCCCCTTCATCATCAGGTGGTAAAGATAGCTACTTTCCACCCCTTTCTTGAAAAGTACTGAGAGCTGGAGGAGGAAGTTCGAAGAACAACACTTTCCCACTTCCTCTTTTAGCGCTATACAGTGGTACCTCGGGTTACAGATGTTTCAGGTTACAGACACTTCAGGTTACAGACTCTGCTAACCCAGAAATATTACCTCGGGTTAAGAACTTTGCTTCAGGATGAGAACAGAAATCGTGCTCTGGCGGCTTGGCAGCAGCAGGAGGCCCCATTAGCTAAAGTGGTGCTTCAGGTTAAGAACAGTTTCAGGTTAAGAACGGACCTCCGGAATGAATTAAGTACTTAACCCGAGGTACCACTGTACCATGAGGAAGAAAGTCGGGTGCCGCAAACAAACGCACTCTTCAAAACATCAGAGCAAACAATGACTATTTCACTATAAATGGCAATTACAGAAAGGCCCAATATTTCAAAACGGTGGGCGATGACAACCCCTGAGCACATCCATTTTTTAAAAAAGCAAAGGAGGGGGAAGCATGAAAGAGCTTACATATCCCTAGCGTTGTATGGGAAGTGGTGTTAAAACGGACCGGTTTATTGTGGCATGAGCTTTGGTGGCAGACAAAAATACACAGGTTTAAAAGGGGGGCGGGGAGAGACATAGACAGTAGAGGCAAATGGTAATGAAATGCAGAAGGTGCAGACTGTGACAATTCAATTAAAGCTGAAATATAAGCGAAACCAGTTCAGCCGCCATTTACAACAGCAGTAATTGTCGATTAACACAATCAGCTTAGCATTGCTCAGCTAATTAGCACCTGCAGCGGGACAGGAAACCACGGCCTCAATTGCTGCAACAGACTCGCCCCTCTAGGGCTGTTTAGGTCTTCCACTATCAAGGGCGAATACTGCGATAACTAACCTCTTGACTACAGTAAAGGAAGGTTACACGTTATTTGCGGTTCTTCTGGTTTCTAAACTACAAACAAATCACCTCGGGCTACAAGGGTTCTGAATCTCGATTACCATGAAGTAGTACTCTGCATTTAAGAACGGGCTGGTGTGAAATAAAGATGTAATATGTCAATAAACATGAATGCTACAGAGAAAACAACACAGCGCTTCCTCGAGATAATGCTAGCTGACACAAAGATAAGGAGCGAATAAGCCAGTTCTATTGTCTGTGTCTATGCCCTCGCAGCACCAGCAAAAAAACTTGAAAAAGTGCACAAGGGTGCACACGTTATCTTTATAAATAGCAGTTTCCCCAATTAATTCTGGTCCTGCAAATGCTTCCACACAGAAACCCAGAAAACAAATTCTAAGTACAGTGGTATCTTGGGTTAAGTACTTAATTCGTTCCAGAGGTCCATACTTAACCTGAAACTGTTCTTAACCTGAAGCACCACTTTAACTAATGGGGCCTCCTGCTACCGCCGTGCCGCCAGAGCACAATTTCTGTTCTCATCCTGAAGCAAAGTTCTTAACCTGAAGCAGTATTTCTGGGTTAGCGGAGTGTGTAACCTGAAGCGTATGTAACCTGAAGCGTATGTAACCCAAGGTACCACTGTATTAACTGAGCCAGTTCAAGCGCTGGCGACCTGCCACTGTGGCATGTGTTGGAGCATTCATACATTCAATTCAGTATTTGGGGATTTAAGGGGACTGGTGCAAAGAAGGACTGGGAACCTGTGGCCCTCCAGATGTTGTCAGATTGCAACTCTCATCAGCCCCAGCCGGCATGACCAATGGTCAGGGATCATGGCAAATGCAGCCCAATCTCTGGAGGACCACGAAGTCCTCATCACCAGACTAAAGGGATGCACTTACTAGAGAAATGCTCTCAACCAATGAGAGCAGAGGGCATAAGCTTGGGGGAACAGTGGCGGCTGGTGCCTATTTAGGACTGCTGGGTCTGAAGGCAGGGAGGCCAACTCTAGGTGGTGCTAGAGCCACTGAGAGCCAACTATTTCTCATTTTTGTCGTCTTCCACCTCCCTGCCAAGCTGTGCAAGGGAAACACTAAGATGATGGAGGAGAAAACTGACAGCCAGGGCCAGCCCCTGGACTGGTTGCAAGCAGGCAGGCAGGTGGGGGTCTAAGCTGAGGCCTGGATGCAGTTGGCAATGGACCAGTCTCCATTGTGGGGGAACACAGGGACTGAGGAAAGGAGAAGGATCTCCTGGTGTGGATGGCAAAGAAAGGGATGAAAGGCCTTGGATACAGGAGAGAGTGTATTTAGAGAGAAGGGAGAAATAATATTGGGCAGTTTCTGCCGAGAATCTACTTTGGCTTCTCTTGCGTTTAGTTACATGGAAATGTTGGAAACTGCATAGCCTGTCAAGATAGGAAGAGACACAAAATCTAAACATACAAAGGAGAAGATACCCCAGAAACCACACAAATACACACACACACACACACACACACACACACGTCATCTTGAATCACCTTCACAGTTCAGAATAGGGTGGTGTTTAAACTGATCTCACACACACTGATTTCCCAATTTGATGCAGCCCTTATCACTCTCCCCCCAGGAAACTGAGATGCAAACGAGCCCCAGCCTAGTCACGGATTTATTTCAGCAATCCATCTCTTGCTGCTGCTGGTTTCACTCCCTGCCTGCCCTGAACCATCCAGAGACCAGGACATAGCTCTGTAATAGGAATCCTGAGGCCTGTTTGCACGTGACTCTTTTACTATGCTAGGAATCTACCTGCTCCAAATTCCCTAGACGAGTCCTGACATGGAGCACTGTAGTTCATGACAAACGATGTTCCCTGGTTTTCCTTGGCTCTGAAGCACCAGGGCTTTATTGTCTTCTAAGGGAAGCATGGAATCTTGTCCCCGCTTCATGTATGAGGACCCTGACCACACATTGAATGCAACACAGAATCACAACTTCCCTCATCCTCAGTTTACATCAATCACAATTTCAGTTTCCAAATGTACAGCAGGTAAAGCATGACTCAGAGCTGCTTTTTGTCTGCTTCCGCCCTTTCAGTTTTCAACTTCATAAATCTAGGTGCACAGACGATGGCAGGAAATAATATTTTAAATGTGCAGTGCAGTCAGTGTGGTTTATTAATTTTTTTAATATAAAATGTTGGGCCTAGCATGGGGGGGAGGGACGCGGGTGGCGCTGTAGGTTAAACCACAGAGCCTAGGACTTACCGATCAGAAGGTCGGTGGTTCGAATCCCCGCGACGGGGTGAGCTCCCATTGCTCGGTCCCTGCTCCTGCCCACCTAGCAGTTTGAAAGCACGTCAAAGTGCAAGTAGATAAATAGGTACTGCTCTGGCGGGAAGGTAAACGGTGTTTCCGTGCACTGCTCTGGTTCGCCAGAAGCAGCTTAGTCATGCTGGCCACATGACCCGGAAGCTGTATGCCAGCTCCCTCAGCCAATAAAGCGAGATGAGCGCCATAACCCCAGAGTCAGTCACGACTGGACCTAATGGTCAGGGGTCCCTTTACCTTTTTAGCATGGGGGGGGGCAGAATTGGTCTGCCCCCAATATTAAACTCCTTTCTAGAGAACTTAGCAATTAGGCTTTACCCCCATGTCTGTATAAACAACAACCCTCTTGCTATTAATTTATTTAATCTCTTCCCGGAAAAGCAGAGGTCCTGGTTTTCGAATGCTCTCTCTCTCCCCCTCTGCAACCAGTCCACTACCTTAGTAAGCCTTTACGTTTGTTGTACGATGGCAGACAACTACTGTATTTTGATTTGCTTCTTCTTTGCTAACCACATTCCTGACATTATAGCCCTTTGGCAGGTTGCTAGAAAGGCTATCAAATTAAAACTCCAGTTTTACTCTAGTCGCCCTGGTGCAGTCATGAAGACACGTTGCTATGTAGCAGGCAGGTGTTGCTAGGTTCTCCTTTCACTCAGCAGGTACAGACAGCTGCATCAGATTTTAATTTGGCATTTATCCCTGTTGGCCCTGAATCATTTCCCCCTCTATAATTCTGGGTGTGTTTTTTGCGACTACCTAGAAGTGCAGCAGAACAGTTTAAAAATCTCTATGCTAGATGCTATGTTGCTCCCAAGCCCAAGGCTTTCCCCATACTCAGCTGTTTGGAAGTCGTCCTCAAAGACTTCGCGCATTTCTTCGTAGTTGCAAATTTCGTCTATGCATTCGCGCTGCAAGTCGCCTGGCGTGAACAGCTCAAAATCCCAGTGGTTATAAAGAGGCTTACGGCTCAGGAATCGATGTGCAGTAGAGTCATCCAGGATCACTGAGAATAGAAACCATAAGATATTATCCCGGAGTTTAGAGAAGGCAAGATGTCCTAGGACAGTGATGGTGAACGTTTTAGAGACCGAATGCCCAAACTGCAACCCAAAACCCACTTATCAAAAAGTGCCAACACGGCAATTTAAACTGAATACTGAGGTTTTAGTTTAGAAAAAAACATACATTAACATCTTTTGTCTTAAAAGAAAAAAACACAATAACAGAGCTTTCAATGATACAAACAACTTTTTTTAAAAAAGGTAAAAGTTTGCATTTGGCATGCTTCTGAACAAGTAATGTGATTTTTGCTGTTGCACGCATGCTGATAATTTGTCTAACCTTGCTGAACTCAAGGTGGCTTACTCTTGAGTAAGGAACGACAAACTGGCGGGAGGCCCTGGCGCATCAAAAGTTGAGGCCAGGACAGAGCAGCAGTTTCCCAACACAAGCCCTCCTCTCCTCCTCCCCCCAGCATGGCCCCGAGGGTGAAAATGGTGCCCTAGCAGTGCTGGGACCATGCTGGAAGCGGCCAGGAGCCTCCTGCAGCGCTGAAGCACCTGTTTCACCCCCTAGCTATGGCCCTGCTGGGGCAACGGCGCGCGTGCCCACAGAGAGGGCTCCATAGGTTCGCCACCACTGTCCTAGGACCAAGGGTCATTTGTTCTCTCAAAGAAAGGGGAGTTGTTGCTACACCAAAGTGGAGAACCTTTGACCCTGTGTGCCCTCTGCCCTGTGCTCCCCTACAGAATTCTAGGGACTGTAATTTGTCAAGGAAACACACTTGTTAGGAGCCCATGCCTTTCAAGTTGCCCCGGGAAAAATGGGACATGCGTATGAGATCTCAGTGGCCATTGGGGGTGCCGCAATATCGCGCTCTCACCCCGATTTTACGTAGTAAAAAGTTGGACGGTATGGGAGACTCACATTCCTCTCTGCAGTTCCATAGTGGTTTAACAGCCAATCCCTCTTCCCAGGGAACTCTGGGAGGGGGAACTAGGGTCTCCTAACCACTCTCAGCACCCTTAGCAAACACCAGCTCCCAGTATTCTTGGGTGTGTCACGCTGAAGTCCTCAGTTATTTTCACATACACCAGCCTTTGCCAACATGGTGCCCTCCAGATGTTTTTGACGACAACTCCCATCAACCCCAGCCAGTTAACATACACTTTCCACCCTCTAGGGGACGTTGCATATGAAGAGGACTGAGAATGGCAGCATTTACCGTATTTTTCTCTCTATAACACTCACATTTTTTCTCCTAAAAAGTAAGGGGAAATGTCTGTGCGTGTTATTGAGCGAATGTGTGGTCCCTGGAGCCGACTGGCCTGAGTACAGGGGCAAAAATCAGATCGCACGGAGGAGGGAAGGCTAAAGAGAGGAGGTTGCTGCTTTCCTGCATTCTGCCTCAAGGTCTTACTGCCCACCCTCTCCTGTTTTCGGTTGCTGTGTTTGCTCAAACGCAACAAAGAGCAGGGAAATCCCCTGCCCTCCTGGCAAACAGAGGGGAAAGGAAAGGATCGTGTCCTTCCTTCTAATTCCTTCCTAGTCACACTGCGCACATCAGCTCAGGTTCCGTCGGCTAGGAGCGCAGCCGACAGCCACCACCTCCTCCTCTCCGTGCTCCGGTGCTGCTGCTTCGTCCAGCATTCCATGGACTCGCAGGCAGCCGGAAAACATGCAGGTGGGAGAGAGAGAGAGGGCTGGCTTGGGGGGGGTGGGAGGAAACTTTTGCCTTCCTTTCCTCCCTCCCGTTAAACCCCTCTCCTGCATTGTTAGCCAGCTGCTTCTCCACACACCCCTCCCCTGCTCCTTGAGCCTTCTGTGTTTTTTCTTCCCTCCCCACTTAAAACGTGGTTACAAAGCACGGATCCACATGGATCCTCAGGATCTTTGCATTGGGCTACCCCAAACTCACCGTCAAATCACATGTCTGTGGCCACAGCATGAAGCACAAAAATGATACATCCACTGTTTCATTCAGAATTTTTTCCCCTTGTTTTCCTCCTCTAAAAACTATGTGCGTGTTATGGTCAGGTGCGTGTTATCGAGCGAAAAATACGGGATTTTGCAGGTATAGCAGAGGCTTCTGGGAGGTCCAAAAGGCCTGGGAGCTGACAGCTGCACCCATCAGGTCCTTCTCCTTTCTTCAAATGTCACTGCTTGCTTTGATACTTTCCCAACCTTTCCAGGTGAGCTGTTTTAGACACTAGGCATGAGGCATTGTTGCTTTTTTCGTTGCTCACAGTCACATGCCTTCATTTCCTGGTTGAATGACCCTTCGTTAGAACTCAAAAGCTTATTGCACACAGTTTGAGGAAATGAGATGCCCCCCCCCATATATTGTATTCATTGGAAAATGTGGAATGTGGTTCCGCAAGGGTCCAATGCACTCGCTGGTTATTTGCTTGCTGTGACGTCTGTGTTTAGGAATGAGAGGGGCAGTGCAGGGAGCTTGGGCTTCTCATTGCTACCACAGCCAGTGGGACAAACCTCTCATTGGCTGGATGTAGATTTCTTAAAGACAGTAAGAGAGCTAGTGGTGGTGTGCAGTGGTTGAAGTGCTGGAGAAAGAGGTTCAAATCCTCACTCAGCCATGAAGCTCAGTGCAGGACTTTGGCTAAGCCCAAAGCCTAATCATAGAGTTTCTGGGGTGGGAAGACATGGGTGGCTGGGATGAAAAAATCCTTGCATGATATCCTAGCTGCCAGTAGGAAGGTAAAGGGACCCCTGACCATTAGGTCCAGTCGTGGCCGACTCTGTGATTGCGGCGCTCATCTCGTTTTATTGGCCGAGGGATCCGGCGTACAGCTTCTGGGTCATGTGGCCAGCATGACTAAGCCGCTTCTGGCGAACCAGAGCAGCGCACGGAAATGCCGTTTACCTTCCCGCCGGAGCGGTATCTATTTATCTACTTGCACTTCGATGTGCTTTCGAACTGCTAGGTGGGCAGGAGCAGGGACCGAGCAACGTCGCGGGGATTCGAACCTCCAATTTCTGATCGGCAAGTCCTAGGCTCTGTGGTTTAACCCACAGCGCCACCCGCATCTCTTGGGAGGAAGGTACAAACGTCAATAAAGAAGGCTTAAGAAAGGCCTATTTAGGGGGAACTCGTTCTACTTTACAGCTCTTATGTAGGCATTTTCCTCACTTCAAATAACCTTAAAAAGTCACCTGTGACCTCCAGGCTCTTTGTTCCTTTAGACTCTGCATGCACAACATTTTCTTTTACAATCGGTGAAAAGCAAGTTCTTGGTTTTTTCCACCTAGTCCACACACACAATCCCTGTTGCATCTTTGCCCCTGAAATGTGCTCCTCGACAAAGTGGATTCATCATTCCCAGAATAAAAGCAGATGGATTCTGCGTTATCCCACAGTGCGATTCCTTTTGAAAACAGATGCAGGCAGTCCTGGCAAGGGTGTGTGTGTGTGTGTGTGTGCGTGCGTGTGCGCGTGTCCCCCAACCCTCAACTTACCTTGATCCTCTGGAGTCTGCTGGTGTTCTGGCTGCTTCTGGAGTGGAACGGCAAAGCTTTGGCTGAGGGCTTGGAACAGCAAAAGAAGACATGGAGGACTCCACATGATGCGCCCTGAAAGGAGGACATGAGACAGTGCCAAAGATCTGGGTTCAAGAGTGTCCTCCAATATATATTCTGGGATAACACCACCCATTCGCGTGATACAGTAGCTCTCTCTTATCTGCCAGCCTTCACTTACGAAAAAACAACAACACAGGCATTAGACACAACACACTGCTGGTATTATACAACTGGTTCCTCCTCACAGAGAAAACAGTTGCTGCTCTACTGTCTGATAGCATGGGGACAACTGCTGGGAACTTGATAAGAGCCCAATATAACAAGAAAGCTGGAGAGACAGAGTCGCTCCAGCAATTAGGCAGGGCGAAGCAACTGCCTCAGGCAGCTGATTTCGGGGTGTCATGGAAAGGCAGCAAGCTGTTAGTAAATTGATTCATTATTGTTGTTTTTACTGCTGGGGAGTGAGGGAGGGGAGGTGGGGTTTTTCTGCCACTAGTACCAAAATATCTGGCCTTGGGTACTGTCTACTTTGACAGAGAGTGGGGGTTCCTTCTTCGCCTCAGGCAGCTAAATATCTTGGGCCAGGCCTGTGGAGAGGGAATCTGCCAGGTGGTTAAAAAAGCATTACCAATGAGGAGCCTAACCAGGTAATTGGTTTTATTTTTTAATCATTTTCCATTTTAAATTGGATTCCCAACTGGGTCTGGCTTACTCCCGGTTCCTGTTAACAGAAGTCTGATCTGTAGAAATCAGCAGGCGAAGCACTTCATAGCATGGTGCTAAACATTAATACCTGCTAATTGCTGCAGATGAAACTGCAGTTAAAAGAAAGCTTACCAGGAGCAGGTTCAGAAGCCGGGAGTTGTAAATGTGCTGAAATACAGAAATTTATTTATGCATTTCTCATTACTTTTCTCCAGGTACCTCAAGGCTCTTTCCCCATTTTATCCTCACAACACCACCCACACATGGCTTCCTCCACAGAATCTTGGGAACCTTAGTTTGTTAATGGTGCTGGGAACTGTAGCCCAGTGAGGGATAAACTACAATTCCCAGATTTTGGGGGAGGAAGCCATCTGCTTTAAATGGATAGTGTCTGAGGTAAGTTAGGCTGAGAGATGATGACTGAACTAAGATCACCCAATGAGCATCATGGCTGAGTGGTGATTTGAACTCGTATCTCTGAGGTCCTAGTCCAAGACGTGAACCACTGCACCACACTGGTTTTCCTTCTGAGGGCATTTACAACCTGTACTATAGTGTGAACCTAAGCACGTTCACTCAGAAGCCCTATTATGTCAATGCCTGCTTGCTTCTGTTTACTCAGAAGTAACTCCTCCAAAGTCTGAGTTGAACAGAATTTGCTCCCAAGTCTGTGTGCATAGGATTTGCAGCCTTAGATGGACGGAGGAGTCAACAACTTCAAATAAGGCCACGTTCACATCATAAATTCAAAGCGCTATAAATTCAAAGCACTTTAAACAATTATGGCTTCCCGCAAATAATTATGGGAGTTATAGTTTGTTAAGGGTGCTAAGAGTTGTTAGGGGATCCTGATTCCCTTCCTGGTGCTACAATTCCCAGAGGTCCCTCTTCATGGGAAACTCTGCAAAATAGTATTTCTGGGAAGGAAATGGGGGTTTCCTAACAACAGTTAGGGAAACCCCCATTGTTAGGAAACCCCCATTTCTGGGAAGGACACACTGCTGGTATTATACAACTGGTTCCTCCCCACAGATAAAACAGTTGCTGCTCTACTGTCTGATAACATGGGGACAACTGCTGGGAACTTGATAAGAGCCCAATATAACAAGAAAGCTGGAGAGACAGAGTCGCTCCAGCAATTAGGCAGGCAAAGCAACTGCCTCAGGCAGCTGATTTCGGGGTGTCATGGAAAGGCAGCAAGCTGTTAGTAAATTGATTCATTATTGTTGCTTTTACTGCTGGGGAGTGAGGGAGGGGAGGTGGGGTTTTTCTATCTCTGGTACCAAAATATCTGGTCTTGGGTACTGTCTACTTTGACAAAGAGTGGTCAGTGGAACTGACCAGCAAGACAACACAGGAGGCGTGGTAATTACGCTCCTTAGGAGGAATCCGAAACCGGAGTGTGTAACAAAACAATAACCCTATTGCCACTCTCCTGCGTGCCCATTCTTAAAGAGAAGTCCTTAAGGGAACAGGGCAGAGCTGTTACTCAGTCGTTTTCAGAAATCCACCATTTGAAATGGCACGAGCTTGGCTTTCTGCCCCTACATTTATCAAGCAAGTTAATCATTCGCAGCCTGAACTTGTGCATATTTCCTCCAAAGGTCATCCCACTGCGCCCTGCAAGGCTTGCTCCTCCGGGCTGGCAGAAAGGCACTCTCTGTCGTGCCAGGCTCTGCACGATCCAAGAGGCGTGTCCTCCCAGGATCCTTTGCAAAGTCACAGATAAGTGTTGTAAAGTAATTATCAGACTGCACACAGCTTTGTTTTTTAAGTCTTTAAAAATAATTACTGCCCTAATGATGGCTCGGGAAGCCTTTAGGAAGGAACTGACCCTGGACCTGCCTCCAAAAAAGAGTGCTTAGGATTTCAGAAGTTATTGGCAAACAAGAGTGCTTAGGATTTTTAGAAATTATTTACAGCATAATCAAAAGTGAAAGAAAACCAGCCGCTTCCCCTTGCTGCCCAAGGATATAGTCCCAACGGTTTGCGTCAGACAGACTCGAGCATCAGCAAATAACGTTCCTGTTAACAAATTTCCGCACTGTAGTTTTAGGGGATGTTTGCTAAGGGGCCACGGGTAGAATAATACTTAACATTCATATAGTCTTTTCAGAGCGCTTCACATAACATCCTCTCCTAATCCTGACAACAACCCTGTAAGGTAGGCGAGTATTATTATCATTCCTATATTGCTCAGGTTGCCAACTTTTACCATTTTTTAAAAAATCTGTGGGGCTGTGAGGATGAGTCCTCTAGGTTAGAGAGTTTCTACTCCAATAAGCAGCGACGTAGATTAATAACGGGATTAATAATAATAGGGACGCGGGTGGCGCTGTGGGTTAAACCACAGAGCTTAGGACTTGCAGAGCAGAAGGTCGGCGGTTCAGATCCCCGCGACAGAGTGAGCTCCCGTTGCTCGGTCCCTGCTCCAGTCAACCTAGCAATTCAAAAACACGTCAAAGTGCAAGGAGATAAACAGGTACCGCTCTAGCGGGAAGGTAAATGGTGTTTCCGTGCGCTGCTCTGGTTCGCCAGAAGCGGCTTAGTCATGCTGGCCACATGACCCGGAAGCTGTACGCCGGCTCCCTTGGCTGATAAAGGAAGATGAGCGCCGCAACCCCAGAGTCGGTCACGACTGGACCTAATGGTCAGGGGTCCTTTACCTTAGATTAATAACTACTACAGTCACATCCACACTACACATTTAAAGCACATTTATACCACTTTCACAGTCATGGCATCTCCCCAAAAAGATGCTGGGCTTAATCATCACAGTGCTACAATTCCCAGCACCCTCAACAAACGACAGTTCCCAGGATTCATGAATGTTAAAATGGTATAAGAGTGCTTTAAAGGTATGGTACAGATGAGTGACCATAGAGAATACAATCCCAAGTAGGGATGGCTGACCTGTGACCTCCTGCCCTCCTTGACTATTGGACCCTAGGTAGGGTTGATGGGAGTTGCAAAAAGTACCTGCAAAGCCACAGGTAAGCAGCCCTGATAGACACTGTCCCAGGGAGACTATAACTTCCTTTCAGACAAACCAGGTTAGGCTGCAGTCCCATGCACATATTTCTGGAAGTACTGTATGCTCCTTTGAAAACAATGGGGCTCACATCTGATTAGACATGCAGTATTGTGCTGTTAGAGCACAGTTTCCCAAACTTGGGTCTCCAACTCTTTTTTGGACTACAACTCCCATCACCCCTAGCTAGTAGGACCAGTGGTCAGGGACGATAGGAACTGTAGTCCAGAAGCAGCTGGGGACCAAAGTTTGGGAAACCCTGTGTCAGAGCAACACAAGACTAAAAAGATTCAGCATCCTGTTTATTGAAGCATTCTGATGATTCTTTCAAGTCTGGAGTAATTTGTATGGAGTCTTCATACAATCATTATTATAGGCTGATGCTGAATTTACCTTTGTCTAACTCTAAGCTTCTGATCAAAAGAGCTACAGAAATGTGAAAACTCTCTAAAAGTTATTTTTCCTGTTTCAGAGCCAGGTCCAGGAAGACGTAGCAATTCCTTGGACCGCAGAGGCACAGAACGAAAACCAAAACAAATCACACCCCGTTTGGAAAGCAAAGCGCCCTTTTTTCCTTTCTTTTTTTAAGCCAGCTTGGTTTCCAAGCTGCCTGCGTGCTGCCAACTCACCTGTGCGGAAATCGCAGGTGGAAAACAGGTACGCCGGTGACCTGGATGAAAGCACCTGGCTGTTCCCAAAGAGCCCCTCGTTCTGCTCTCCTGCAGTAGAAAGTCAGGTGGGAATAGCTGCAAGACGACCCCAGTGTCAACGGTTAGAAGGGAAGGGAATAAATGACATATAGCCTCAGTCCATGGCAGTCCAGTGCAAAGGAAAAACTCTCCGGAACAAAGCTGAGGTCTCCTGGAGAGAATCAGGAGCTGCCGGAGAGCTCCAGGTGAATGTGGGTGGGTCCAAAGGTCACGTGGTCAGAGGAGAGACAGGTAAAGCGGGGGGGGGGAGAGAGAGAGCAAGTCGTAGAGACTTCCGGAGGTGGCGCCAATGGTAATGGCGGATTCCCTCTAATCCGGAGGGAATCTGCTCCACAGAAATTGGGTCTGACACCGCTTCGGCGCAGCGGGGACCCCTTAAATCACAGGCGGGTGAAGCCTGTGACCCTGGGACTCGGCGGGCACTGTTTGCGCCCCCCCAATCTGCAAAGGAACCCGGCAACGAGCTCCGGAACAGAGCGGGGAAGTGGCGCTGTGCTGTGAGTCGTCTGCTTCTTCTGTGGAGTGAAGCCGCGTAGGGACAGAATTGGACTATAAAAAAGAAAAAAAAATCTATTGAATTCGGTACAGAGCAGGAAGGGCTAAACAGGAAGTCACCCTTCCGTTCTTTTGTAAATAGAACAAAGCAAAGACTAACAAATCCCGGAACCAGGAGGAAGGGACGTTGGATAAAGATTGGACTTGTTTATATTTTTCTTTTTCTTTATTAATAGAATGTTTTACAAAGTTGATGAATGATAGAAAAATGTTGGAAGAAATTACCTGGCTTTAGTAAAGATGCATAAAGAATTATGAAAGAACATTATGAACACAAGAAGTTGGTAAAGTTAAGACTTAAATTTTAAACTTTAAGGTTTATTTTATTATAGAAAGATAGGATTAAATTAGTCGAGGGTAATGTAATGATAGAATTTTTTCTTTTTTTGAAACATGGAAAGGAAAGGATTTGCTGGGATAATTAACAACTAGAATACAAAGGAAGAGAGGAGGAGGAGGTCTAAGAAAGAAGGTAATGACAGTTAAGGATCTGAAAATAATGAACTTGTTTTGTTTTTTTCTTTATTTTTTTTCTGTATCTTCTATTTTCTCATATTTTTATTTTTATTTTTTATATTTTTATCTTTACTTTTTGTTTTTGTTTTGTTTTTGTGTAAGCTTTGTATTTTTTGAAATTTTAATAAACATCATTTTAAAAAAAAGAGAGAGAGAGAGAGAGAGCAAGTCGTAGGAGGAGTCTAAAGATTCCATTGCCAAAATTCCTGTGTGAGTGTTGCTTTGTAAATTTGTCTAGCCACTTCGACAGAGAGAGCCTAAGCATACACAGCCCTCACGGTATAATAGAAATCGTCGCTTTACTCGGAAGTGAAGGCATCTTTGTTTAATACAGCACAAGTTCTGAGGCTTTAGAAATAGGTTCCAGGGCTAAGGTGTGAAGTGAGCTGGCTGCCCTCCCATTTTTCTCTTTGTTCGAGGCCAGTTTCCTGAAGCAAAGGCACAGCTAAGCCACACAAGCAGTTGTACACATACAGTCCATTTTCTATGAGGATCCATCAGAAGCGTGGTTGGTCTTAAGGCTGATAATATATCACATCCAAAGTCTGCGTGGGGATCTTTTAAGAGAGCTGAAATGAAAGAAGCAGTGCAATGTTCAGAGGCTATAAATAGTACAGTATTCTGCGTATGCTGTTTGGCGCTTCCCCCTCCCTTGCCTGAGATCCTTGGCCTTCTCCACATATCCCTTTTATTGTGTACAGCCGTACCTTGGTTGACAAACACCTTGTGAGCCGAACGTTTTGGCTCCCAAATGCCGCAAACCCGGAAGTGAGCGTTCCGATTTGCGAACGTTCTTTGGAACCCGAATGTCCGGCGCGGCTTCTAATTGGCTGCAGGAGCTTCTGAACGTTTTGGAAGTCGAATGAACTTCTGGAAGGGATTCCGTTTGACTTCCAAGGTACGAGACCTATTGGGGTGTTCCTGCTATGAGCCCCTCTATCCTACACTCAGAACAATATATCCTAAAGATACCAGCGTTTTCACTGACCTTCATTCCAAGGAAACAGGAACCCTGGGTAAGCACAGGAGTCTCTCACTGCTCAGAGACCGGGGTTGCATACAACAGTCATATTACTGACAAGCTGAGGTAAAAGGTAAAGGTAAAGGGACCCCTGACCATTAGGTCCAGTCGTGGCTGAGTCTGGGGTTGCGGCGCTCATCCCGCTTTATTGGCTGAGGGTGCTGGCGTGCAACTTCCGGGTCATGTGGCCAGCATGACTAAGCCGCTTCTGGCGAAGCAGAGCAGCGCACGGAAACGCCGTTGACCTTCCCGCCAGAGTGGTACCTATTTATCTACTTGCACTTTGATGTGCTTTCAAACTGCTAGGTGGGCAGGAGCAGGGACCGAGCAACGGGAGCTCACCCCGTCGCGGGGATTCGAACCGCCGCCCTTCCGATCAGCAAGTCCTAGGCTCTGTGGTTTAACCCACAGTGCCACCCGCGTCCCTGACAAGCTGAGGACATACACCTAAAACAACTGGGGGGGGGGATGTGTTAATTATGGTGATGCTGAGTTGGATACGGAAGCTAAAAGTACCGCATTATGAGTAGGAGAAGGATGTGGTCAAAACACTTGAAAAAGCCCCTTCCCTATTGTGATGACATGCTTTTTTTCTTACCCTTTTGCTCACGGTTTCACTCCTTTTCAGCAAGACAGCTGTTACGGTCATAACCTGACCTATAATACATATTATGAGTTCCACTTCCTCATGTTTGTGTCGCTGAAACCAAATATTGCTCTTCAGTTTCCTGTACGGTCTATTTACCAAGCAAGGCTTGGTACCAAGGGTTTTCACATCGCTGAGCTTTATGTTTGCTGTGGTTTATTCCCCCCACCCTGCCCCACATCTGACTTTGATGTCATAGAGGCAGGTACCATGACGCAGGGAAAAGAACCCAGACTTAGCTCTCCCACTTTCCATTTTACCTTTCAGCCCCCAATAAGCATATCTGAACCTCTTCTGGGTTCGCTTTGCTCATCTTCCTTTGGTGCGCTAAGACCCTGAAGAACCCTAAACAAGCTATATTTCCCAGTGTTTTTTGGGGGTAGCCGTGATTGTTTCAAGTGTTAAGATCATACTTTAAATGTTTGGTGCAGTAGCAATGGAGAAGCATAACAGAATGACTCCAAAAACAGAATGATATGTGGATGGTCCAGTATAAATCCACCACTTTGCACTATTCTTGCACGTAGGTAAACGGTAAAGGGGCCTCTGACCATTAGGTCCAGTCGCGGATGACTCTGGGGTTGCGGTGCTCATCTGGCTTTATTGGCTGAGGGAGCCGGCATACAGCTTCCGGGTCATGTGGCCAGCATGACTAAGCCGCTGCTAGCGAACCAGAGCAGCGCACGCCGTTTACCTTCCCGCTGGAGCAGTACCTATTTATCTACTTGCACTTTTATGCGCTTTCGAACTGCTAGGTTGGCAGGAGCAGGGACCGAGCAATGGGAGCTCACCCCGTGGCGGGGATTCGAACCGCCGACCTGCTGATTGGCAAGCCCTAGACTCTGTGGTTTAACCCACAGTGCCACCCACGTCCCTCATTCATGCACCTACTAGGGCATAAAAATGCACCTACTGTGCATAAAAATGCATATATTAGTGAAAATTACACACACAAATACATTACAGTAGGGGAAATGACTTTGCAAAAATGTGCTTCTTAGGGAAAACTGCATACAAAAATGTGTATTTTAGGATCAGCATTAAAATCCTGATGAATTTTCACGAGAACTTTAAACAAACATCAATAAATCACAAACTAATGTGGAAATGTGAAGAACTGAATTTAAGATTGGGAAAGTGAAGTACCGAAATGGACAGATTTACTCATCCTTAACCAAAGCATCTCAGATTGCTGACTAAGCAAATCAGATCTCATCGTGCTGTGAATCTCCATGCTCCCGCCAAACTTTCGTGTCAGCCAGTTATGGGGAGGCACAGATCAAACGATCAAAACAATCTACACTGTCAGCTGTTCTAATTGTCTGGGTGGAGAGATCACTCACAATCCGGTAGCTGTATTCTGTCAGCAAGCTGGTGTTGATTACACCTGTACACTGATCTTAATTCTGCATATTTCACTGTGGAGAGAAATCTTATTTTTTGGCAGGGATCCAGCTTGTGGCTTTTCTGTATTACTGATGTGTATAGTGTTTCTGTGACAGTTGTTTGTCTAGAAACGCCAGCACTTTCCAGTTTTGATTGCTCAATCAATCAGCCGGGGTTTTTTAGCCTGGGGGGGGGGGGGAGAACAGTGAGCCATAGGAATGGATTGTCCTTCCTTATAGGCTTTCAGTGTTCAAGAATCTCTTGAGGTCTGTAGTGCCAGGAACATGAGCTGAGACATAAGTGGAATGTATTTTGTCTGTGTTTTTGAATAGCACCTACCGGCCAAGGTTTGATTTTTGAAATTAGATAACACTTAGGGCTGTTTCAGACAATTGTGTGCATCACTCGACCTCGGTTATCTCTGACTACTAACTACCACCTGATGAGGACTTGCAGCAGAATGTGTCAGCTGATTCCACTGAATTGTGTTTTAAGGCAACATATAATGATATGACAGTCTGTAATGGCTCATTCACACATATAAAGAATGATATTTGATACTCTGGGCCATGGGCGAAGCCAGGATTTTTGTTGCGGCAGGGCCTTTTGTTGGGGGGGGGGGAAGAACCTTAGCTATGTATTTTTATTGATTTTTATTGATTTAAGGGGGCGCAGGGAGCAGTATCTGCCCCTCCCTGCCCCCCCGTACAAATTCCAAGTTCTTTTCATGCTTTTCTTCCACAGTTCCACCCCTTCACACTCACAGGCATGCCTAATTCATGTTTAAAGTGAAGCAAAATCGATTTAAAAACACACAACAAAACCATGCATGCACACACCTCTCTGTTTAGCTGCACAACGGAAGCTCAGCACAGAGGCATAAATTAGACTAAGGGTAACTTTGTTTCTGCCATTCTTCTTTCTTTCATCAACACCATTCTGCCCCTGTCCCCACCCCCCTTTATATTGTTAAAGGTGTCCCACATCTCTAAGCAGGACTAAGTTTTAGGAGTACAGTGGTACCTCGGGTTAAGAACTTAATTCGTTCTGGAGGTCCGTTCTTAACCTGAAACTGTTCTTAACCTGAAGCACCACTTTAGCTAATGGGGCCTCCTGTTGCTGCCATGCCACTGGAGAACGATTTCTGTTCTCATCCTGAAGCAAAGTTCTTAACCTGAGGTACTATTTCTGGGTTAGCTGAGTCTGTAACCTGAAGTGTATGTAACCCGAGGTACCACTGGTATTTCCTTCCAGCAGCTAAACCAAACGTTGGCAGGTGCAGAATTGATAAGATGCCTTGTTAGTGACGGAGCCTTCTGTCCCCATCAAGACTTCAAGGAAGCAAATATATGGCTTTTCATCTATTGTCTGAAAAACATGTCCAAATCATTTGATAACCAAATAGCCTGTGATTTCATGGAATTGTAGAGTTGGAAGGGACCACGAGGGACATCTAGTCCAACCCCCTGCAATGCAGGAATACCCATAGAAGCTAGTGGCGCGGGGTGCCAGGGTGCCAAGTTCTGGAGGGTGCCAGGAAAGAGGCGGAGGCTGGATGCAGTGCCTCCCAGCATCAGCTTGCCGCCCTTGCCCGCCTCCGCCATGCTGTGCCAAAGCAGCGCCATGCCCGGAGCCTCCATCTGCCGTGGCCAGCTGAGCCAGGAGGCGCCGTGTCCAGCCTCCACCTCTTCCCCTCCAGAGGAGCCGCCCTCCAGCTGCTATCTGCCTCCTCCAGCTCCGCCATCCTCCCTAAAAAACTCTGAGAAATGGGGGGGGGGAATTAAAGAAGGAGGAAAATGGAAATTGAAACCATACGAAGAAGTGAAACAGCATGTTAATGATTGGTTACATTATTATCAGGTGAATGAAGTGTTTAAACAAGATATCAAAGAAAATGGTTTCTGTGAAAAAGAATCGAGGTTTCAACAAGAAATATTGAATAATGATTTTAAAATTCTGTCAAAAATGTATAAATTACTGCTTGAATGGCACTTGAAAGATGAGGAGGTAAAATCAGTTATGATTCATTGGGCAAAAGACTTAGGATATAATATTCAGTTAAGTGATTGGGTCAAATTATGGAAAGAAGGTTTAGGATTTACTGCATGTAATGCATTAAAAGAAAACGTGATGAAGATGATGTATAGATGGTACATCACACCAGTTAAGTTAACAAAAATGTATAAAGTCAGTAATAAATGTTGGAAATGTAACGAAAAAGAAGGATAATTTTATCATATGTGGTGGGAATGTAAAAAGGTGAAATGCTTCTGGGAGATGATATATAATGAGTTGAAAAAAATGTTGAAATATACTTTTATTAAAAAACCGGAAGCATTCCTTTTAGGTATTGTTGGAAACGATATAAACAGGAAAGATTGTAAGTTGCTTTTATATGCAGTAACAGCAGCAAGAATATTATTGGCCCAAAAATGGAAGCAAGAAGAACTACCAACATTAGAAGAATGGAGGTTGAAATTGATGGACTACGCAGAATTAGACAAGCTAACAGGAAGGATCCGAGACCGGCGGGACCAGAGGTTTACCGAAGACTGGACTAAATTTACTGAGTATTTGAAAAGTATTTGTGATGATCAGATTACGTTTGTAGGACTACAAAAAGTTCTGTGAGGAGTAATTTAAGAAATATTGTAAAAATGGAAAGGGAGAAATGATTTGTTAGAAAAGGTAAAGTTAAGAATTGCAGGAGAAATAATCAAGATGGAAGCCTGTCAGAGATGCTGAAGGAAGTCCAAACAAGGACATATGTATAATAATTTGTGTGGTATGTCTTAAAAAATTTTGTATGCTAAAAATAATAAAAAATATTATTTAAAAAAAAGAGAGAAATGGGGGGGGAGCCGGAAGGAGCTGTGCACCACGGCGCCGGATATGCTTAAGACGGCCCTGAAACGACTAAACCACAACAACAACATAAGAACCACTGCATTAAATGGGGTACGCCCGGGGCATAGGACTGCCAGTGGGTGGCTGTGTGATGAGTAGAGGGAAAGCAGTAGACTGGGATTTTGTGTGTAGATAAGTAACAGTAACAACAGCTTTTCACTTGGATTTTAGAAGATCACATGATTTAAAAGCGAAAAAAGATCCTATACTTAAAATATCGTAATGCTCCTAAAACATATTATCGTATTTGACGGTTAAAAAGGTAACTCATCAGTTGCAACTCGTGAATGGCAGATCGCAACGTCCATCGTCTAGTGCACAATCAAGTCATAAGTAGGTTCCACTAGGTTATGTAGGACTTCTTCCCACATAGGTTTGTATTCATATCTGTTAGTGTTGTAGTCATAGACATCACAGAAGAGAGCAGTGCTGCTTTTCTAGACAAAGAGGTGCCGGAACTTACAATGAACGCCTCCCTTGTTCTCTTATAATGGCAATGGTGCCCACCTGAGAAGTGCTGGGGGGGGGTAGCCCTACGGATAAGGGAGCCTCAGACCCAGTGTAACTCTCCAGGCTTCTCTTTCTGATCTTCAAGACCACCTCCCATCTTCCTAGGCCACACATCTCACTGGTCCCTCTCCACATACCCCTGGAGTGCTTTTGCCTACACCTACCTCACTGTACAGGGACGCAGGTGGCGCTGTGGGTTAAACCACAGAGCCTAGGATTTGCCAATCAGAAGGTCGGCGGTTCGAATCCCCGCGACGGGGTGAGCTCCCGTTGCTCAGTCCCTGCTTCTGCCAACCTAGCAGTTCGAAAGCACGTCAAAGTGCAAGTAGATAAATAGGTACCGCTCCGGCGGGAAGGTAAACGGCGTTTCCATGCATTACTCTGCTTTGCCAGAAGCAGCTTAGTCATGCTGGCCACATGACCCGGAAGCTGTATGCCAGCTCCCTCGGCCAGTAAAGCGAGATGAGCGCCGCAACCCCAGAGTTGGCCATGGCTGGACCTAATGGTCAGGAGTCCCTTTACCTTTACCTTACCTCACCGTACAAGTCACAGCCGTTGCTCCACCCACTTTTTTCTTTCGGCCACCCGTATTGGACCCCTGTCCTCACATCCAGCACTGGCATGTGGCCCTCAGGCTGGAAAAAGCTCCCCCGCACCCCTGGTATACAGATAATCCTCCAGAGTTCCTTAAGTCAATATGTACATTTTATCAATCCTATTTGACTTCTAGAGACTTAAGGAAAGAGGAGGTGAAATGAAAGCCAAGGAATAGCAACTCTAGTAAATAAGCATATACACTACGTTAAAACAAACACCCAATGATATAAGTGCATCACCAAAAAATTCCCGACAGAAAAAGAGCAATGGGCAAAATAGGGTCAAATATCAGAACATAGGGAGTGACCCTGAAAAATACAGAAATAAGACTCGTATATAGGAGGCCCTTGAGTAAAATGTTAAAGTTTGATACTTTTCATATATGTATATATACTGTATGTATATGTATACACACACACACACACACACACACACACTGTATACATATATGTGCGTGTGCATGTGTTCAATACTTTTCTCATAGATATATATATATAGTATATATAATTTTATATATATATATATAACTTTCATATGTAAATATTTTTATATACATGTGGATATGTATAAGGGATACGTATATGTGTGTGTGCGCGCGTGTGTGTGTGTATATATATATATATATATATGTATGTGTGTGTGTGTGTGTGTGTGTGCGCGTGCGTGTGTCTTTCTTTCCCTTTCTCTCGCTCTCCCTGAAGGCATTAAACAATAATAACACCTCGGCTTGCGGCCTCCTTTCTGCAGAGGAACCTCAACGCCGCGGCCCCTCTGCCTCCCGCACCTTGTTTCCTCCGTGACGGGAACGCTTTGGCAAATGCACAGCTCCAGAGCGGCAGGACTTCAAGGTACTTCCGGAGGTTGTGCACTTCCTGCTTCCGGATCCCTTGGCCGAGGTGGGGGAGAGAGAGAAACGTTGCCTGTTTTACGGTAAACCCCCCACCCCCCACCCCTTATGCACGGCAGAGAGGATGTAGGTTGCGACCAGGGTGTGGGTTGGGACCAGGAGTTGGTGGCGGGGTTGCCAAGTTTTGAACTCGTCGCTGCAGCTGTGCCTTTCGCACTGAATAATACCTGGTCTCCGTTCCTTGAAAAGCTTCGCCGGCTGAATTCCACGTATCGCTATAGATGGGGAAGGCGCAAGGGCAGGCCTGCTGTCGTCGTTTCCTAGCCAGTAATATTATTTATGAAATAATAATAATAATAATAATAATAATAATAATAATAATAGCAGCACAGTGATACTGGTCTAAGGTTGCCAGAGGGAGGCGAGGGCAACCCCGGTTCTTGCGAGAGAAACATTGGCGGCAGAGATGGATGGAGATGGTGAAAGAGCAACTTACGTTCGTGTTTCTGGTGTTTCGGGTTGCAGGTGCAAATAAGGACTGGAAACTTGCTGGGGAAACAAACCGTCTTGGGAAGAGATGGAGCTTGTGGCGGGGGAGGGGTGAGTGGTGGGTGAGGAGTGTGGTGGCCAGGTGAAAAAGTGGCCGGGGCTCCAGCACCTGAAACCATTGCGTAGAAGAGACGGTTTAAGGTTATAGCTGCTGGCTGACATTTCGCCCTTCGATATGATTAAAAGGGGTTGCATCTGGGCACCCGGAAGGGGAGCAGGGAGGTTCACGGAGAAAGAAGGCTTACAAAGGTGCAATCAGAAGGAAGCCCCACTGAACTTTCACTTGCTCCTTGGTAAGTGTGTGTGTAGGATTGCAGCCTAGGGTAAATAAGTCAGAGTACTTGTGAGCTAGATAAGGCTTTGAGCAGTAGAGGAGAACGCAGTTGTCAAATCGGTGATATTGAGGTGGGAAGTGTTTTAAAATTGGCAGAGAGGATATTGTGTAATGCAGCAGGTGTGCAAAATGGAGATCTAGTGCAATGGCAAGGAGGAAGCTAATAATTTATGAAAGACTAAAATGTTGGAGGAGGTTATAGTGAGTTGTCAGATGGGGTGTTTTGTGTCTTTCATTGAGGGATACTGAACTGTGAGACTTTCAGGTACTATGCTGCTGATACCTCTCCAGAACTTTTTAAAAATAGGATTCTTAATGTTTCTAATCCTTGTATGAATTGCTCTGCCGTGGAGTTTGAGATTTGTTGTGTGCTGGGGATTTGAAGTCAGAATGGTCTTTGGGGAAATGGGAACACAAGCAGGAATGAAGTTGTCTGGGAGCAATTTCTTGATATTAATTAGTGATATCATTTGATGTTTCTCCTGCAAGACTTAAATTCTGCTGCAGACTCTTATCCCTGTATTTGTTTGGGAATAGCAGCTAGTACTATCACTGGTAAATGCGTTTTGGGCATTTGTACAGGAAGATAGCATGGGGAGCAATTATTTCCCCACCGCTACTTGGGAAAAGGGATTGAGGGTGATGTGGCGGCGATTCTCAAGTAGAGGGTTTTAAAAAGCTACCAGATGTTTAGATCATTTTAGTGATTGTATGTGCTGTTAGGGAGGGACCAGTGATCAAGGATGGTGGCACTTGTAGTCCAGTAACCTCTGGAGGGCCACAGTGCCCCCCCCCCCCATATATAGATGCTAGCGAAATGGTTAGCTAACCTCCACTAGGTGGCAGTTGTACATCTTGTGCCATTAAACAACAGAAGAAACCCCTTCTGTTGCTGGTTTTTTAGGGTGTATCTGACCTTTCCTTCTTGGGAGTGTGGCTCATAATGAATGTATTCCCCCGCCCCCATGTGAAGAGGGGTGAATTTCAGCGGTCTCAAAACTTGGTATGACTGAGATCCTAGACTTCAAAATAAGGAGAACTTGAGAGCTGGCATCCCATCAAAGAAGGCACATCTGAGAACAACAGGCTGGGTTGTGGGACAATTGGTAGTTGATACCTTGGCATGACAGTGAGAGCTCATTGGTATTTAGGATGAGCAGGAACAAAAGAATAGACAGTTTCATCCTGTTTGTTTTAACACTGGGGAATTGCAGGAGGTGCAGCGTGTCTTTCTGGGGGGGTGTAAAGCTGTACCTGTTGAAAATCACTCTGCTGCACAATAATTAAGGGTACAGGAACCCGTAGCAAAATATTTTATGAATGGGACACGAGTCTGCCTGTGGTAGATTTGGGAATATAGCAGGGGGATAGATTTAGAGATGTTAAAAGTAGCATTCTTGAATATCCAGAAAGGAATCTTTGAATCCTCCAGTTAAGAAGGTGGGTGCAGCCTGTTGAGCCACCCCATGAACATTTCCTGAGCTTTCTGTCCATCTACCCCATTCCCCCCTTCTTAATTCTCCCCATTCCAAACCTGTGGCTCTTCTAATCTGCATCCGTATCCAACACAGTCCATGAGCTTTTTTGTGTCTAGTACTGCATTGGATCAGGCCCTGACAATGTGCTTAACCAAAACATATCTTTATGAAGGCAGGGAGGAGCTGCCGGCTTCTTCCTGGATTGCCCATCTAAGCTGGCATGACGCGCCATGGCAAGAACTGCACAGCAGGAGCTGTTTACACCTACCATGAAAAGAAAAAGGACACAGGTGAGGAGGCTGCTTTCTGTAGGACTCTGGATTGAGACTTGAAAGGTGTCGTCAGTGCTGTAGGGGGAGCCTTGTGCTACGATGGCAGTGGTGGGGCGGCAGGTGAGGACCCAAGGATTCTGAATGAAGGGGAAGCCCTGGCTAGGTTTGGGAGAACAAAATTGTGGGTTGGGCCGACTAAAACCAGGACTGTTGCTAGATAGGGAAGTTGAAGCAGTACTTGAATCTACAGGGGAAGCTGGGGGTGGGGGTGGGCTTAGTGAAATCTACAAGCCCTACTACTACCCAACTCTCCCTAAGGAGACCTACCACAAAAGCTTGGGACCAGCAGCCTCCCTTTCACCATCATGGAATTTGAGCACTGCTCCAGGGCTAGTGCAGTGAGAGAATAAAGGTCAAAACAGGGAGGCAAATCACTGGTACGTTTGCTTATAGCCAGGTGAGAATTGGGAGAAGCTCCGGGATAGTCAAGAGTATTGGGCACACCCTGTGGTCTGATTTAACACCACCCAGTGTTTCATTGAAACTCAGGTGGAAATTAAGCTATGCAACTCCAAGCTAATTCCGCCTTCTCTCTCTATTGCTGGAGGAGATTATGGGTTGCCAGCCCTTAAACTGTTAGCAATCAGGTGAGCAGTCCTGAGCAGGTCACTTGACAACCTGGGCTTCTCTGGGCAGATATTTACTAGCTGTTTTCCCTTTCTGGATTTAGAGATTTAGCAGAGCCACTTAGGCAGGCAGGCTCTTTTCATTAATGCGGCCTTAATGTGACCATTGCTCCCCCCCACCTTTCCCCAGCTGCCTCTGGATACGGAACCCAGAACGTCCGTCTGAGCAAAGATGCTGTCAAGGATTTTGACTGCTGCTGCCTCTCCCTGCAGCCCTGCAAGGACCCTGTTGTGACGTAAATATCTGGCAAGGCCCATGGGAGAGTGTTCAGTGTATTAAACCGGAGATCTGCTACACTACTTAACCACTTGCCTTTTTTGTAGTTCGCTAATAAAGCAGTGGATCTCTAAATCTGCATCCAACATGCATGCACACACACAAAGTTGCTTCTTTCATTGACTCGCAGAGTTAAGTGAAATTATTTGTTCACCCGCTGTATATGGCTGTTGAGATAATAATATTTATGTTCTTTTTCATGCAAATTCCTGTACAGTTGTATCTTGGATCTTAAACACCTTGGCTCCTGAACGATCAAAACCCAGAACAGAGTGTTCCAATTTTCGAACGATTTTCAGAAGCTGAACATCTGGCGCTGCTTCTGCGGCTTCCGATTAGCTGCAGGAGCTTCCTGCAGCCAATCAGAAGCCACGCTCTGGTTTCCGAACGTTTTGGAAGTCAAACGCACCTCCGGTACAGATTCTGTTTGACTTCCAAGGTACGACTGTAGAGTCAAATTCTCTTCTGCCGCTGGGAAGTGGTGATTACATTCCCATTTCACAGATGGCAAATTGTGGCTAACTTTTCCTGTCCATAACTGAGCAGGAACTTGAACCCCAACCAAAGTTTATCACTATAATGTCCCTTCTGCTGTAGAATGATATATTGGTTTGGTGGCATGACCTCCCAGGTGTACCCTTGACCTGTGGGGTTCATATGGATACTCCTATGGTGCTCTGCAGCTTGCATGGGAGCCTTTATGGAAGTGGCATTTAATTGTGATTCTCCTCCTGCCTGTGTCCCTCTCCAGCCCTGATGGATACCTGTATGAGAAAGAAGCCATCTTAGAGTACATCCTGCACCAGAAAAAGGAGATTGCCCGGCAAATGAAGGTAACAGGAGAAGTGGCTAGTATGCTAATCTGAAGAGCCAGATTTGTATGTTCACAGCTGTCAGCTGGTTTAATAGATTGGTGAGAGAGCACTGCATCAATATTTTACAAAAGGGGAGGAGGTGGCACTCAAGAGAACTGGTAAAATGAAATATAGATGCCAAGCCACATGGAAACAAGGCTAGTTGAAGTAGAGATCTTTTTAATCTGGTACATTTGTTTTCTCCCCTGCCTCCAAGGAGCTCAGGATGGGGCTTCCATCTTTGTTAAGAACCTGTGTGAAATAGGCTCGCCTCGTGTAGCACCCTTCCTTTGGGGATGCTCTCCTGTGTGCCTTGCTTCTGACCCAGTGCAAGACAGCCATAAAGGGCAGGGAAGAGGGCGCTTAAATCATCACTCTTGTTCCAGTGCCTTCAACAGGAATTGCCTCTAAGAACCAGGAGCCATTGATGCCATCTGCCCAGTGGGGCTTACAGGTCTAAGGGGAGGACTTCACAGAAGGGTATAACAGAAAGTGTAGTGAGAACTTTAGAACTGTGATAGAGTGTTGTTGTTTTTTAATTTTAACGTAAAGTGCTTAAGGTGGTACTCTGTGCTTTTTGCTGATTTCTTTTCATGCCCAATGCCTGTTCTCTCTCTTCACTTTCTCACTTGGATCATGGCAAGGAGTGTGCCCCTTCCGTATTTCAGCAGGAGAGCTTTGTCTTTGTCATGACAGTTTTTATTCCTGTGCAAAACTGCAGGCCTATGAAAAGCAGAAGAATGAGAAGAAGACGGAGTTGGCAGAGTTGAGCAAGGCTGCCAAAGAGTCCAAGGTGAAGAATTTCCTCGACAAAGAGATGAGCATTGTCAGCAAACCTCTCAACCCCTTTGATCGCAAGGCGGGTAAGTGCGGAGGAGCGGAGGATTTGGGACAGGGCCGAGCGACAAAAGTGTGAGAAATAAGAAAAGTGTAAAGAAAGTGAATGGCACCTCCCAGTTACTCCTTAGACAGAGCCATGTACATCTTACCTGTGCTTCATAGTAATATTTCCCCCACCCTTTTCCGTTCTGGTCCTATCTGTTCGACAGCAATGAAGTGTTTTTAGAGATGCTCTTTGTTTTTCTTTGGGTTTTGGCAGTGCCCTAAAACACAGCACTGTGGCTCGAGTGTCACTGGATCACATGCTGTCCACAGTTTATCTCCCATTGCCACAATCACACTGGTTTTTCAGCCTGGTTTAAAGTTCTTCCCACATCTCCACAGCGCCCCCTATTCTTTGTAGCTCTCCGGCTGTCAGCCTCTTTGAATATTTGTCTCATACTCACACAACTCCTCATGTGTGAAGTGAAACTCCTGGGGGAATTGTGGGTGGCTGCAATGAGGTGTGAACCATTCTCCCAAGCATGGAGCAAAGAGGGTTGCGTGGTCCTGGGTACCTGCTGAGTTTTGTTGTGATGTTTAAAGCTTTTGCTGGGGGTTGTGGTCAGCTGGATTACTAGGGTTCAGCTTCAGGGATGCCTAAGTCAGTACGTGCTGGATCCTGTCAAAAACTCAGCAGGGCCAGTCTGCAGGTGAGCTCCAGTGTCCCTAATCTTGTACAGTAGGGTTAGGGAATCTTTTTTTCACTTGGAGGGCTAGATCTTTATCTCCCTGCACCCCTACAAGCTAACTGACAGGTGGGTGGGGCCACCCACCTGTCATTCATCTGACATCACGATGTGTTCAGGGGTCTGATAGGTGGGAGGGGACTGTTCCGCCAGTGCATTCCCCACAAGGAGTGAAGCAGCAGGACTGAACTCCTTGCTCACTAGCTGGTACAATCCTGTTCTCTTCAGGGGTCTGCTGTGTCAGCATGTTCCCTGAAGGGAACACAATGGCAAAGCAACCCGGAAACTACAACTAATCCAGAATGCGGCAGCTAGACTGGGAGTGGCCACCGAGACAATATAACACCGGTCCTGAAAGACCTACATTGCTCCCAATACGTTTCCAAGCACAATTCCAAGTGTTCGTGTTGACCTTTAAAGCCTTAAACGGCCTCGGCCCACTATACCTGAAGGAGCGTCTCCATCCCCATCGTCCAGCTCAGACACTGAGGTCCAGCTCCGAGGGCCTTCTGGCAGTTCCCTCATTGCGAGATGCGAAGTTACAGGGAACCAGACAGAGGGCCTTCTCAGTAGTGGCGCCCACCCTGTGGAACGCCCTCCCATCAGATGTCAAGGAAATAAAAAACTATCTGACTTTTAGAAGACATCTGAAGGCAGCCCTGTTCAGGGAAGTTTTTAATGTCTGATCTTTTATCACTTTTTTATTATTATCATTAATTCTGTTGGGAGCCGGCCAGAGTGGCTGGGGAAACCCAGCCAGATGGGCAGGGTATAAATTAATTAATTATTATTATTATTATTATTATTATTAAGCAGCACTCTACAGGATTGAACCTTTCCCCCTGCTTGTTGGCTGATATCCTCCAGTGGCCTCCACTGATAGGCAGGTGGCTGTGATTTGGGAGAAATGTTCGCATGGGCCAAGACTGGCCTGCATGTTGAAGGTTTTCTGCTCCTGCTATACAGCCATGTCTCCCCACACACCACCTTAGATTTTCACCTCTTTCTTCGGAAACTATGGGACTTAATAACTGCCCTGTTCTGTGGATTACAGGAGATGCTCAGCCTGGACCCAGCAATGAAGAGAAAGCCAAGCAGCTGCCCAGCTTTTGGATTCCTTCGCTGACCCCAGAGGCCAAGACGAAAGTCATTCCGAAGCCAGTGAGTTCCTTTTGTCATTCCTTTTCCCGGCTCACACATTGCCCCGTCTTCCTTAGGGAGTGTCTGCACTACAAATATAAACCAATTTACCTGTCACAGTGTCTCCAACACACCCAGAAAATTGAAACTCTTGGAATAGAGAACTTCTGTCATGGTCACAAAACTGCACTTCCAGAGTTCTTGGGAGACGTCCTGAGGCGTTAACTGCATTGAGCTGGTTGCTGTCTTTGAGATTAGGAAGATACTGTCTTCCAGTTGAGATGGTCCTTTTTTGTCATTTGTTTTTTCCCTCCTGTGTGGCTGTGGAGTTGAAAGGTATTGAAATTGAAACTGAAATACTTTATTGTCACTTGTACAACTTGTATACAGTGAGATTACACGAGCACCCTCCACTCAGCTCTCTTAGTCTTAATTCCCCTCGTTTACTGACGCACACCCACCCAACCCGAAAGTCAGTTGCCCTGTTGTTATCTTTTCATTCAGCAGCCTAACAGCCCATGGATAGAAGCTGTTCTTTACCCTGTTGGTGCGACTAATCATGCTTCTATATCTTCTGCCTGATGGCAGGAGATTGAGAAAGTGCAGGCCAGGGTGTGAATCATCCCTGAGAATTTTCCTCACTCTCCTGAGGCAGTGTTCTTCCGCTATTTCGTCCAGCGGATTCACGTGACAGCCCATAATATCTTGTGCTGTATTCACCACCCTCTGTAGGCACTTCCTATCAGTTCATGTCAAACCAGCGTACCACACCGTGCTGCAGTATGAAAGGACACTTTCTATTGTGGGACCGGTAGAAGGAAATAATCAAATCAGAAGAGGTCCAACTAGTATATTCCGCTGCTGTGAAGCTGGCAGCACAACACATATGTCTTCTAAGAAGTAAATGCAGATAATTTCATGGAGGCTTACTCCTAGGTGAGCGAGTCCAGGACTGCCACCTAAGAGTGTTCTGCAGGCTTAATCGGCAAGTAGACAGCTCCTATTAGCCCACCTCCAACATGGTCAGGGATTAAGGAAGCTTTAGTTCAGCAACATCTGGAGGGCCATAGGTTTTTCACTTCCAATGTATTCTGGTGAGCAGCAGCAAAGGATTGGGTTGGGTAACCTGCACCTTCAAAGGTACCCAGGAAGCTCCGCTCAATCCCAGTAACGTGAGCTGGAAATTTTTCCCCAACAGGACATTTTGCTGCTACACATTTCTATGAACGTCTTTGATTTCTGAAAATGCATTGTTTCCTAAAACTCGTTTGTAATACAGTGGTACCTCGGGTTACATATGCTTCAGGTTACATTTGCTTCAGGTTACAGACTCCGCTAACCCAGAAATAGTACCTTGGGTTAAGAACTTTGCTTCTGGGTGAGAACAGAAATCGTGCTGCGGCGGCAGCGGGAGGCCCCATTAGCCAAAGTGGTGCTTCAGGTTAAGAACAGTTTCAGGTTAAGAACGGACCTCTGGAACAAATTAAGTACTTAACCCGAGGTACCACTGTATAATGGATACAGTTCTAGTAAAATTACACAGTTTCAAAACTGGAATTAACTCCCCCCCCCCCCAGATGACCAACCGTATTATTTAATTAGCTGACTACACAGCTGTCTGTTGACAAACCAATTTCCAATGCAATGCTTTCTTCTTTTACTTCCTTATAATGTTTACTTTTTATGCTGTTCAGCTGACGTGTCTTAAAAGTGATTCAATTAAAACAATTTCCTACCAAAACTTGTAATTTGCTCAACCATCTAAACTACATAAAATCTACTCTCTTGATTTCCAAACCCCCCCCCCCCATAAAATATTTCAGCTACGGTACTTTTGGCTATGGGGGGTTGGGAGAATGAGATATAGTGCATACTTTTAATTTTAGATTTGATTACTAAAGCCAAATGAAACACTAAACTACAGTAGATCGTAATAAATTTTAGTATCAGAAGAAAATTCCCAGAAAATGTTCTGATACCTCTGATTTTTCTAAAACCCACATCTCACCTTTTTTCAGCATTTAAAGTCATGACTGTTAGATTTCATCACTATTTCCCCATTCTTTTTATACAAAATGATAATATAAGTAACTTGCATCGTACTCTTACTTTACTTGCATGGGGTGAGGAATAAATAAATAAATGGGGAGAGGAGGAAACTCACTTTCCAGTTACAGTCGTACCTTGGTTTCCGAACAGCTTAGTTCTTGAACGTTTTGGCTCCCATATTCCACAAACCCATGTTCTGGTTTGACAATTATTTTTGGAAGCTGAATGTCCAATGGGGCTTCCGTGGCTTCCGATTGGCTGCAGGAGCTTCCTGCAGCCAATCAGAAGCTGCGCTTTGGTTTCTGAATGTTTTGGAAGTTGAATGGACTTCCAGAATGGATTCCGTTTGACTTCCAAGGTACGACTGTATTTATTTCCCCAACCCACCTGCACACTGCTGTGATTGCAGGCTTCCTCAGCCCTCGCATTGCCTTTCCAAAGCCAGGTAACCAGCCCTCCACCTTGCAGAGGCAGGGGGCCAGTTCCAGGAGTCCCTGGTTTTATGGTTTTCTGCATGGACCTCCAGAACCAAACCCTCACATAAGATGCAAGTTACCTGTATTAAGGTTTAAGCCGAAATAATTTTTTCCAGCCGCGCATTAAGTTCCCCTTCCCTCTGCTTCAAAATACTTTCATAACTTTATATTTGAATGTCCTGTGCAGGAGGTAGGGTGAGGGAGCCTTCTTATTGGCCCGAGTTTTTTCTCTTCTGATAGATTAAAAGTTAACCTTAGGGAGGGGAAGAGTTTGGCCACGGGGAAGTTTCTGTTGAGTTTTGTTCACTTTGATCAGCGCAGGCTGGAGTGTGCCCAGTTCGCTGGCCATGAGTAGCTTCTGCTTCCAGGTTTATTCCCAGGATTTTAATACCTTGCATTTCAAAATCTTCAGTATCTTGAATATTTGACCAAGCTCTGTAGCGTCCTGGAATTGATGGGTGTGTGTGTGTGTGTGTGTGTGTGTTTCAGACAGAGTGTCAATATTTGCTCTAACCCATTTGCCTCTATTGTTTCCAATTCATACTCTGCCTCTCAACTTGCCGTGCTCCTTGCCATTCCAGGACAAGTGTGTGTACTGTCCCATGAGTATGAAGCCCCTGAAGTTGAAGGACCTGATCCCGGTGCACTTCACCCCAGTGGATGCTAGCGTGGATCGAGTAGGGCTGATCAACCGGCAGGACCGCTATGTGTGTGCCGTCACACGAGACATGCTTGGAAACTCTGTCCCATGTGCTGTTCTGCGTCCATCGTGAGTGATGGGATGGGACATCTCAGGAATGGGAGGTCTTTTTAAAAAAAGTTTTTATTTATACTTTTCAAGTTTATACATTTCATTAGTTTTACAATCAATTTAACATTTCAAAATTTGACTTCCTTCCCCCCTCTTTCTCCGGTTCCTTAATTATTATTTTTTTAATATCTTCTGCATATCCGATATCATTTCACTTGCTCATTTAATTATCTACTCTAAATATATGGGACACGGGTGGCGCTGTGGGTTAAACCACAGAGCCTAGGGCTTGCCGATCAGAAGGTTAGCAGTTCGAATCCCCCCGATGGGGTGAGCTCCCGTTGCTCGGTCTCTGCTCCTGCCAACCTAGCAGTTCGAAAGCACGTCAACGTGCAAGTAGATAAATAGGTGGCGGGAAGGTAAACGGCATTTCCGTGCGCTGCTCTGGTTTGCCAGAAGCGGCTTAGTCATGCTGGCCACATGACCTGGAAGCTGTACACCAGCTCCCTCGGCCAATAGAGATGAGCACTGCAACCCCAGAGTCGGCCACAACTGGACCTAATGGTCAGGGGTCCCTTTACCTTTACCTAAATATATACTCTTGTGAAACTGCAGGTTGTCACAATAATCCTGCTAATTTTTTAATCTGTTTACAATTTATCTGTAAATTTTCAGTAAACCATTTCCATTCTTTTATAAAAAGTTTGTCATCTTGATTTCTTATTCCTCCGGTAAGTTTCGCCATTTCTGCATATTCCACGAGTTTTTGTATCCATTCTTCCTTTACTGGGACTTCTGCTTCTTTCCACTTTGGGACAAGTAGCATTCTTGCTGCTATAGTAGCATACATAAATAAATTTCTATATGATTTAGGTAGTTCTGTCCCTAAAATTCCCAAAAGAAAAGCTTGTGGGTTTTTTTTAAATAAAAGTTATTTTGAACATCCTTTTCAGTTCATTGTATATCATTTCCCAGGAAGTTTTAACCTTACTACAAGACCACCACACATGATAAAAAGAACATTCTTTCTCTTTACATTTCCAACATTTGTTCAATTTAGATTTATACATTTTTGCCAATTTACTCAGTGTTAGATAACAATATATTATTTTCATATAATTTTCTCTTAAATCATAACATTATGTAAATTTTATAGGGGATGGGAGGTCTTCTGCATGTATGCGAGATATGGAATGGTTGTAAGTACTGTAGCAAAGTGTGGGAATCCAGGCCTTATACTTAGCAGCAAATAATAGGTGTGTCCTTCCTTCCTTCCCCAAAGGGGCTCTGTGGTGACTCTGGAGTGTGTGGAGAGACTCATCAAGAAGGACATGGTTGATCCAGTGAATGGAGAGAAGCTGACTGACAAGGACATCATCGTTCTACAGCGGGTGAGAGTGACTGTCTAACCTCCTTCTGCAATCCTTCATAAACTCCCAGTGCTGTATCCAAGGTGTCAAAAGGCATCATTAATTCAGGGTTGATTTCACCTTCTGAGAAATTAATCCCATCCTTACTTGTCACCTGTGGCATTGCAGGAAGAGCCATTCCACAATGCTGAAGCTCTTCAGCTATGCTTTAGGAATCACTTCTTCCCTGCCCCGTAGCCCTGCCCCATGTGATTGAAACTACAGATGATCAACACATCCAAGTTTTCCTCAGTATTGCTAATCCCTTCAGTACAGTGGTGCCTTGGTTCTCAAACACCTTGGTACTCAAACAACTTGGAACCCAAACACTGCAAACCCGGAAGTAAGTGCTCTGGTTTGCGAACGTTTTTTGGAAGCCAAACATGCTCCGTTTTGAGTGCCACACTTCCGTTTTGGGCATTACGCTGAGATCTGCCTGTTTTTGCTATTTATTTCATGTTTTTTCTTTTCTTTTTGCAGCTCTTTTTTGTTTTGTTTTTGTGACTGTGTGGAACCCAGTTCAGCTACTGATCGATTGATTGTGTGACTGCAGTACATTGTTTATAGCGTTCATTTTATGGAGCAATGGTCTTATAAGATAGTAAAATTCATGTTAAATTGCTGTTTTAGGGGTTGTTTTTAAAAGTCTGGAACGGATTAATCCATTTTGCATTACTTTCTATTGGAAAGCACGCCTTGGTTTTGGAACAGACTTCAGGAATGGATTAAGTTTGAGAACCAAGGCACCACTGTACTGTTGGCATGCTATGTTCGCAGGATAACCCCCTGAACTTAGCTTCAAGCAGCACCATCAATTTACTCCAGTCATGTATTTGTTTACAACGTAAGCAATGTTCAATATATTCTCCGCAAGCCAAATCCAGAAGCGTTCTGCATTATTAGGGACTCCCAAACTACTTAACACGCCCCCCAAATATCCCTAAGATATGTGAATTTAGAGAACTCGACAGTCCTAGCCATTTCTATCCTGCAGCTAGCCAGAGATCCAGTCTCCTGTGTGTCAACAAACACGATACAAAAATAAAGGGTTGTGTGCTAATGCTAGTCATACAACCAGTGTTAGTTGGATACAACCCAAAGCCTTGGCGATCCCTGAAATTCTGCATGCCCCGTTGCCCATTTATGAAGCTTGAAGTCATGTTAAACTGATGTTTCTGTGTTTTTAATCTTGGGCAAGTTACAAAACATTAGTTGCCAGTGCTTTTTGACACATGGGCAATAATAATTCTGGTTGCATCTCTGCTTAGATCTTGTTGTATTTTGGCCCTCATGCAACAAAAGACAAACCAAGGTTTCATGGCAACATGGCAGGGAGGCACCTGTGGAAGGGAGGCATAAGTGGAAGGGAAGCTTTAGTTGGGAAAGACACAGATTCAGGAGAGAGGAGAGATCACAGGAGCTCCCTGTGATGTCTGGAGGTTGCTTTTTGTAAGGGATAATGAAGGGGAAAGGGTTAAGCATCCCTCTCCAGGCTCCCAATTTCCCTTTGCAAATGCACCTCTCACATGCATTAGCATCACAAGGCGAGATTGGGAGACTCTTGCTTTGCCTTATTCATCTGGGACTGGGAATCAGGGCCTGTTGCATGGCTTCACCTGGGATTTGAGCATAGCTGTCAACCGTCTCTTATTTGGCGGGAAAGTCCCTTATCCCAGCGCTGTGTCCCGCTGCTGTCCCTTATTGATGTCCCTTAAATTTCCCGGGTTTCAAAGGAAGCAGCTCCTCTCCCTCCCTCCCTGCCGGCCAGGGAGGAGGGAGGCTCCAACTGTGTTGCTTAGCTGCGTTGCTCACCCAATAAGGAGTCTAAGAACAACTGGGGGATGGAGCTTGCATGCCTTGTGCTGATCAAATCGGCCGCATTGCCTGGGGACTCGCCTTTGCTCAGCGCTTCCCAGCGGAGAGGTGACGGTGGTTTCCCTTGCTACATCCCCTTTGCCGGGTTGCTGTGCTGTGGGAACCACCACTTGAGGCTTTGTTTGGCTGCTGGCTGGGCTTTCTGCCTTTGGCTCGGAGGGGCTCAGAAGTTGAACATACCTGTGCTCAGAAAATCCCTTATTTTGGCTGCTGATCCCTTATTTTCGAGGCTGCTGGTCCCTTATTTTCAAATCTGTAAGTTGACAGCTATGGACTTGAGTCCCAGAACCTCTCAACGTGGCAGATAAGCACTCAGAAGCAGAACAGAGACACTGTATGTCCCCCAGGTAAAGCAAATTCCAAGGTCTACAGCTGCTGCCATCCACCCCCGTCTTCTCTTCTTCTAGGGTGGCACAGGATTTGCAGGGTCAGGTGTGGAGCTGGAGGCCAAGAAGTCCCGCCCTGTTATGCAAGCGTAACATGTTTGTGCGACTGTCTTGGTGGAAGAGAGGAACAGCCAGCATGCCGCTCTAGGCTGCCCAAGACATGCTCCCTGAAAGTGACGAACATTGCATTGGTTGGACTAGGTTCAGTCTTTTCTGAGCCCTTGTTTGGATTCGTTTACGGGCCAGTTCACTTGTGTTTATATATCTCCGTTCATCCCACACTTGCATTTCTGCCACTCCCTTAACCACGCAAAGTCTCGTTTCATTTTTAAGTTGATTAATGTTTTGCCACGGTGACAACGCACTTTAAAGATTCTTTGTAAACAGCACTGTGTCAGGGTGCAAGTCAGTGTCTGCTGTGTTTTGATACTTGCTCTACATGTTCAAAAGACAGAGAAACGCCCCGCCCCCCAAAAAAGCACCAGTGCTGGTAATAAAAGCCAGAATAAATGAAGTTATTAATGCAAGGACAAGGAGACTTATACAGTCTACTTGCAGTCTTATACAGGTCTACTTGGAAGTAGACCTCCTGGAGTTCAAGAAGACTTACTCCCAAGTAGGGCTGAGCAATATCTGGTTTTCAGCATCATGCTATATCACCAGCTAAACATCACAATTTACTGGTATATCACAATGCCTGAAATAAGGGTTGAGCTACGTAGAGGCATTGGCTGCCTTCATGTTTTTTTCCTGCAGTGTGACTTCTGCTGGCACCTGCTCTTGTGATTTGCTTCCCCCTGCAGGAGGCAGGGAAAAGATGAGCCGCCAACAGGAACCGAGAGAAGCATTGGCTGGCTTCACGGTTTTCCTCACGTTGTGATTTTTGCATAGAACACAAGACGATTTGCTATATATTGCCAGGTAAAAAAATTATGAAACCGATACCGCAACATATCACCCAGCCCTACCATCAAGTAAGTGGGTTGTGGGCTGTTGCCTTTGTAGAATTTCAGAACTGTGGTGAACAGCTCCACCTCCATCTTAAACTAGTATGAGGATTAGGAAGTGTGTCCTTTTTGAAACAAACACTTCTAGGGGGGTGGGGTGGGAAAGAGCTCTTCTCTCGGCTTAGTCCTACGTAGCCTTGTTCTCCCTTTGGCCCTCCACATTAAGTATTTCCATACCACATAAAAATCAAGGAGTGGGTGGGGAATAGTTTTATTAATAATCCAGAGTGTTACAGTCATGAGGTCACAGCTCTTGGTGGCCCTTCAGCGTCTTGACTGCTTCTTCATAGTCTTTGGCGCTGGCGATACTTTGCTGAAGAAACTCCACAAACTCCTCCCGCGAAAGCTTGCCATCCTAGAGAGGAAGGGGAAACAGAGAGGAACCACAGAACCTCAAGAGAGCAATGCTTAATCCAAGTCACAGGGCAAACTAGACATTACAGCGCAGCTGCAGGCAACACGCCCGCGACTGGTTTTACATCAACAAAAAGTAGCTTGTGGGAGGAGATTTAGTACACACTACTCGCTGTTGGTTTTCTGCTCTCAGTTGACCCTCTTCAGGTCATCTGCGCCCTCAAGTGGGTCCCAGATGAGTGTTAGAAAGGTAAAATGGGCTTGTGGGAAGCACTGTGTGTGTGTGTGTGTGTGTGTGTGTGTGTGTGTGTGTTAGAATTTTGCCCCTTAGAGGAGTAGGAGCCTATCTGAGGGAGTCAGTGGGTCCCTTGAGATCCGCAAACATGAACACAACATTAGCTCTTGCAGAACAGATTGAATGCCACAATAGCCAGGGGAGGTGGGTTGAGCATAACGTTTAAGCTGCCGCCTTCTGTTCGTCCTTTGGAGTGTAAGACACAATTTTGTAGTGTAGCAAGCTTCACAGTGCTTTGTCGAGGTGGGAGTGTGCAGGCGAGCAGGAATGGAGTGTAAGAGAAAACCCACCCAGGTATGCCAGCCACCACTAGGTTTCTCAGAAAGCTTAAGCAGGCCCTCATACCAATAAATAAGAACAAAATTTCCTTCTGGAGTGTGCTTTGTCCCCCACCCCACCCCTTGGCCCTCAGTTGCGGGAGGATGCCCTAATGTACGTTCCTCTCCCGCTCGGATCACAGCTCGTCATGATCCTTTGTCAAGTCTTCGCCGTAGTTGGTGGCCTGGCTCCCCACAAACATGTTCCAATTGTCCAAAATCTCTTCCTTGGTTATTTTGTCATCCTGTGATGGGGAAGGAAAGGGAGGAGGAGAGAGAGAAAAAACGGGGAGGCAAGCAGAGAAGGCAGAATTACAACCCAATTAACACCCCTGGTAATTTTATTCTGAACTCCCCACCCCTAAATTGCATTTGCCTTGTTAGTAAATTACGTATTAAGGGACTCGATTATGGGACTCATTCGAGTTACCTGTTCAAGATTTGAAGAAAGATGAGAGAAAACAGGAATGTCACCATCACATTTAATAGTCCCTAGCTATGTCACACACAGGGACGCGAGTGGCACTGTGCGTTAAACCACAGAGCCTAGGGCTTGCCTACCAGAAGGTCGGCAGTTCAAATCCCCGCGACGGGGTGAGCTCCCGTTGCTCGGTCCCTGCTCCTGCCAACCTAGCAGTTCGAAAGCACATCAAAGTGCAAGTAGATAAATCAGTACCGCTCTGGCGGGAAGGTAAACGACATTTCCGTGCGCTGCTTTGGTTCGCCAGAAGCAGCTTAGTCATGCTGGCCACATGACCCGGAAGCTGTACACCGGCTCCCTCGGCCAATAAAGCAAGATGAGCGCTGCAACCCCAGAGTCGGCCACGACTGGACCTAATAGTCAGGGGTCCCTTTACTGTTTTATGTCACACACACCCCATTCAACAACCAGGAAATACAGAAAGAACTTTGTATAAAACTTACTTTCTACCCTTCCCTCATTTTAAGACTTACTGCAATCCTATGTGCATGCTTTGAGAATGTGTGCAATCCTATGTGTGTAGGATTTGTTCCTAGGTTAAGTGTGTCTAGCAGGGATGGGGAACCTGCAGCCCTCCAGGTGTTGCTAGACTACAACTCTCATCAGCCCCGCCAGCAGTTGAGGACGATGGAATGGGGTAATCAGCATTTGCAGGGCCACAGATTCCCCATCCCTTGTGTATGGGATTGCTGTTTTAGGTCTTTAGATAAACTCTGGAATTTCACTACAATATGCAGAGATGGCCACCAACTTGGGCAGCTGTAAAAAGGGAGCTAGTCTTACCCTCTGTGAATTCTACCTAACAATGCCCACAAGTCCTGATGGCTATATTAGAGGCTGCGTGTCTCAAATACTAGTTGTTGGGATCAAGGGCAGGAAAGCACTATTCACTCATGCCCTGCTTGGGAGACTTCCCATGGGCATATGGCTGGCCAGTGTGTGAACAGGAGCCTTTGGTCCGATCTAGCACGGCTGCAATCCTTTACCAACCTACCTGGTTATACACAGCACTGAACTCCATGGGACGTACACCTGTGTAGGCATGTATTTTTCTTTGAGGAAGAGAATTGTGGAGGGTGGTCTAAGGGGTGCTAATTCGGTTACTTGCAAGCTTTCCTCCTGCCTCTTTATATAATGGACAACTTGGGAGAGGAACCTGGGCAGCTTGCCACAGCCTTGGACAAAATGTCCACTATATTGGAAGGCAGACAGATTATGCTTCCTCCTAAATCCTCAATGTTCCGATTTAACTCTTTACAAATTTAGGGCTAGATTTAACTGCCTTCCTTCTGCTGTTCTAGATGACTGTTTTGGGGTACTAATACACATTTTGGGGTATTAACACATGCCCTTTTTGTTTGCAACTTTTACAGAGATAAGCGAAATAGGTTTACTTCTGCCCTATTAAAATAGCCAGGAAGGACTTTTGAATGGTATTTGGCCTATATATTTGTCTGGCATGAACAACATTGCTAGATTTCTTCTTTCTGCTGCAGTTTACCTCATAAAGGGAATTTGATATTTTAATTGTACCTTAGCTTGCTTCTGTCCTTAGTTCATGTAAGTACCATATATTTTTAACTATGTGCAGAGTTTAAAAAAACCCTGTATGGTTATCACTTGTTTTTACCAGGTCTGTGACAGCCTGATAAAATTTGTATTGCATTTTAAGCCCAGCAGAATAGTTTGCTCCCCATCAAAAGATACTGCAACCCCAAGTGCAAGAAAGCTATTTGAGATCCCGTTTTCTACTCTCCCTTGGGCAGAAGTGCAAAGGGTACCAAAAAGGTATTTTCAAAGCATAGTTAGTCCAAATATTAATGAGCTCATTTGATGGGCAAATTGAAAATCTCCCTCCTTAGGATGAAATCCGTTTCTTGTCTGACATTGGGGAACTGGGGAAAAAAACCCCATCAAAGGCAGGACTGAACACTGTTGATCTAGATTTCTTGCTCCAGAAACTGGCTTTGTTTATAGCCTTGAGCCACTTACCAAAATGGGATACTCAAACAGGAAAGCTCTCCCCTGCTAGTCAAAACTGAGCCAGACCTGTACCCATAGATAGAGTTTGACTGCGTGCTTTCCCCCCAGATCAAGCCCATTAGCTCCGACTTTCCAGAGATAAGAAATATGTTCTGTGGTTGCTTAGCAACCACAGACCCATTTCCATCTTTCGCAAACCAAGAAATACAGCCTCTGGTTTGAGGCGGAATGGCTATGACAAGCAACAGCAGGAGTTCTGGCTAGGCCAGGGTCAGGAATGGTGTGGCACTCCCCCAAAATAATGGTTCTCCCTTCATTCGGATGAGAAAGTATGGGGATGGCAGCTCCAGCTGTCAAGAGTCTCGCTTCTGTTTTTATGTAAGGAAGGCAACTATGGGAGGAGGAAATTTCGAGTGGGGAAAGTGCTTAGGGGAGGGGTGCTTAATCCTTTCCCTACCTGCCATTTCTCTGCTTCTGCTCATCTCCGCCAAATGGGCTCGCTCCCTTGCAGTGTTATAAAGGTGCAGGCATATGGACAACCCCATGGGAAGCAAGCACAATTTGGAAGCAGAGAAATAGCTGGTGGGGAAAGGATTAAGCATCCCTTCTGCTGAGACTCATCCATTCTAAATTCCCACTTACTGGACAAGAGATTTAGAGTGAAAGTCACCCTATCAGTACTAGGAATTAAAAAGCTTCAGCTCATGTTACCTGCACATAGGTGTTCATCTCTCCTGTTCTAATACTTCACCCCATCCAACTCTGCCTGTAACTCACCCATCTTTCTCTCTTTTCCTTGTCTACTAAAAGCAAAACAATCCTAGTGCCTTCCCCCTCTGGTTTCCTTTCCGTGCCTGGTTCTACCCTCACCTTATCCTTGTCCGACTCGATAAGGAGGTGCTTTGACTCCACCTCGGCGTGGTCATAGTCTGTTGGCAAGATCCAGTGCCCAATCTCCTCCCGATCCATTTTGCCATCTTTGTTGAGGTCCCGGAAATCTAAGAACTGTTGACGCTCTGTCTTCACCCAGTCAGGTTCGGGCTCCCCTGTTTCAGGACTGTACATGTCGCCTGGTCAGAAGACAGAAAACAGTTTGGTGTAGTGGTTAGCGTGTTAAGACTAGGACGCGGAAGACTGCGGTTCAAATCCCAACTTTGCCAAGAAGCCCACTGGGTGACTTTGGGCTGCTCAGTCTCTCATCCTACCCTCACAGGGTTATTGTCAGAATGAAATTGGGGAGGGAATGCATACCACTTTGAGATCTTTCGAGGATATCAATGGTAATAATAAGCAAAATAAATAAATAAACGTGTTATTTTTCTAAAAGACAGTTGCCACCATTATTTGGGAAGACCAAAGCAAGTGGCCCCTCTCTCAAGTCAACTAAGTCCTTGTTCAATAAGGGGCAGGGGCCAGACAACCTTTTCCCTCTCCCCACAAGAAACCTCCCCCAGAGAAACCAACAACTTAGCTGAGAGAGGCAAAAAGGCCAGACAATGACTTTGGACAACAATGGCACTGTTTAATAGCATATATGAAAATGGAAGACAGCCTTTCACAACTACCAGCTACACTCAGCATGATTCGGAAAGACTGACTCGATTCGTCTTAGCAAATCAGCTAAGCTACACGTTCTACCAAATTTGGAAGGTTTTTTGTGTTGCTGTTCTTACTGTATAGGCGCCTCCAGGTGGCATTCTATTCAACACTCATCATCTTGATTTACTTGCACAATGCTTATGTGGAGGTTAGACTATGCCCTGTCTTCACTGAACATTTTGTTGTGGTTCTATGGCAGCAAGCATTCCTCTCAATTTGCTTGTGGGGTGTTTACATGTATTCCCATTAATCATCCCTTCACCCTACTTTTGCATGCCATTTCCTTGTTGCTTCAAACTGCAAAATTTCTGTAGTTGTTGAATCCCTCCTGCAGAATACTGACAGTCTGGCAGAACCCTACTTCATTTGATTATTATTTCTTTTAAAAAATAAATATTTATTTTCCTATGTCCTAAATAACAATTATTATGCTCTGTCCTACGACCAGGGCACTTTCCTAGGAGCCAAATTAGGCAGGTGAGCAAAGGAACAAATTCTGTGCATTCACAGCCCTTCTACCTTACCAAGATATTCTTCTACTTCAACAAAGCCATCCCCGTTCTTGTCGATGTCCTCAATGGTTTCCTGCAGGGCGGAAAGGAAAGCAGCTTACACCAGTGTGGTGGATCATGATAAAAGGAGATACATCTTCCTCCACACACAGACCTGTGCATGGAGGACAGCAGAGCCCTGCCAAACTCAAGAAATAACGGCAACCATTGCAAGAGGTGATTTGTAATCATTGCTGCTGTTTGGTATGGGACGTCCGCAGCAACGTGGGAAGGTCCTGAAAAGTGAATGCGATGGAGTTGGGGAGGACTAGAGGGTTTCTTGCTATGCAGACTAGAGACATTTCTCGTCACTTGCTCCATCCAGTTCAGTATTGCTTGCTCTGACTGGCAGGGTCTCAGGCGGGGTTCTTTCCCAGCCTTGCCTCGAGATGGCAGAGAGATTGGACTTGGGACCTTCTGCCAAAGTGCTCTGCCACTCAGCCACAGCTGCTTTCCACCTGCTTTAGCAGTTCACCTAAAAGGATGTTGTGGTAGTGGTGGGGTAAAGTAAAGGTAAAGGGACCCCTGACCATTAGGTCCAGTCGTGGCCGAGTCTGGGGTTGCGGCGCTCATCTCGCTTTATTGGCTGAGGGAGCCGGCGTACAGCTTCGGGTCATGTGGCCAGCATGACTAAGCCGCTTCTGGCGAACCAGAGCAGCGCAAGGAAACCTTTTACCTTCCCGCTGGAGTGGTACCTATTTATCTACTTGCACTTTGACATGCTTTCGAATTGCTAGGTTGGCAAGAGCAGGGACCAAGCAACGGGAGCTCACCCTGTCTCAGGGATTCGAACCGCCGACCTTCTGATCAGCAAGTCCTAGGCTCTTTGGTTTAACACACAGCACCACCAGCGTCCCAGTGGTGGGGTAGCCTCCCCCCCAAAAAGTCATGGCCAGTTGTGGAGAGGAAAAAAGAGGTTTTGGACTGGGTTCAGGGAAACAAAGAGCAACACAAAATCCCTGCCATCTAGGCCTGTGAAGAGCTTGTCTGAGGCCTGGGGCAGTAGTTCCTGGTCGACTGGGACGCATGAGGTGTTCTTGGCATGGCAGCGATAAGTCCGGTAGACCCCTCTGGCAGGAACCCCCCAGCTGGCTTATTCCTCTGAAAGCCACAAGGGAAGAGTCAATTCAGGGCCATAGCTGTCAACCTTCCCTTTTTTTCCAGGAAATTCCCTTATTCCAGCACCGTTTCCCGCTGCTATCCCGGATTGTTAGATATCCCATAGACTGTCCCCAGGACAGGTGAGGCTGCTGATCCCTTATTTTCAAATCTGAAAGTTGACAGCTTTGTTCAGGGCCCTGTAGTTTGTTAACGGTTTATGTGAATTGTAACTCTGTGAGGGTTAAACTACAATGCCCAGAATTCTTTGAAGGGGGGAATGCATTTTGAATGTGCTTTATAAAAGCATAGCGTGTGTGCAGCCCTAGTCTACCAGAGCCTTCTCCTCCCGCCAAGAGTTCACCATCTCCAGCCTCACCGTCACCACAATGTCCTTCATGTAGTCAAACGCTTCGGGATGGAGGAAGGCCGTGAACTCCTCCCTTGTCGCGGTCATGTCCCCATCCTTGTCAGCTGCCTTGAACCGCCGCTCATCCCGGGCCAGCATCTTCCGGTAGGAGTGCTTGTCTTCCAGATCGCCAAACTCCTCTCCTAACGGCATCAAAGGCAAGAAGTATACGTGAAGCCCAAGGGTGCCATGTCATGCACAGGCATTCCCACTGTGTGGGGTGGGGGTGGGGAGCAAGGGCTTGCATCACTGGTTCTCCCCCCGTTGGGAGTATAGCACCTGCAGCAGGGAGCTATTTCTGCTCCCTGCACGAACTAGAACCCTGACTTTCCAGGGTTCTAAATCACAGTGGGATTTTACACGACTAGGTGACAGTTCTTGCTGCAGATGTTCAGCTTTCCCCCTATGAACCTGCCAGGACACTGTTAGCATTTCACTCCTCCATTGCTGGATGTGTGATTGTTATATCACATGTCTGTGTTTACTTCCTAGGCTTGGGAAGTGTGAGAACGGAAGCTAGTCTTATCTCTTCCGTTCTACTGTACTTTTGTACTTACTTTCTCTCTCTCTCTTGGAGAAGAGGAGAGACGCCATGATTGCTTTGTGCTGTATATACTGCTTAATAAATGCTTAGAATGCACACACCCAAACTCCACTTCGTTTCTGCTAAACTCTGCTGATAAGAGTGTGCACATAGTCTTCAAGATATGTGTTGCTGGCGTGCACCGGGACTGATGATTTATAAGTGTCCCAGGATTGCGCTTCATCAGGAAGACACCAGAGAGGTTTGTCTCATCCCGGGGGCTGCGTGTGACCCCCTGGCGTGTTCCGACAGACCCATGATAATCATCCGAGGCCGTTCTCAAGGGCGGCCCAGAGGGCGACAACAATAGAACAAGACTTCTGTGGTAGCCCCTTGTTTAATGGAATGCTCTCTCCTGGAAGGCCTGCCTGGCACCAACCTTTTCATTGTTTCAGCAAAGGTTCCCCCCCCCCAACAGCTGGGCAGCACCAATGATATGACTGTGCTGTTAAATCTGTTTTTTTAATAATGCTGATGGTTAATGGGGCCAATGTAGCCCTCTCTCAACCAGCCGTCAGCCCGTGAGTCCTCTGTGCATTTCTGGGAGATGAAACTGGCTTCTCACAGCCAGCCAGCTTGCTTCCTCAGAGCTGGCACTAGGAGCTCACAAAATTGCCAGAAGCAGAGAGAGGCCAATGTTTTGCCCTCCCTCACTCCCTCCCAAGGCAGCAAGCCAGCCTTGGGAGCCCTGGCCAGCTACAACTAGGTTGCTAGCAACAAGTGATGGAGAGGAAGCAGATTAGCTTGAGTCCTTGTCCTTGTGCCCATCAGCCAATTTCGCTGGGAACTTATTGGCGTAAACAGATCAGAGAGCATTTGGAGCCTGTTATCCCCAGATAACTGGACATTTAAGACAGAGCCAAGCTAAAATCCCTCAGGAATCTAAAAGGCCTTCCCCCAACACCAGAGAGGATTTCTGAGATTTTCCCTTTTTTTCAGCTTGCCCTCTTAGAAAGAGGAACTTTCTTCAAATATCCTCCACAATTTTGGTGGGGGGTGGGTGCATCCCCCTCTCCCAATGTTAGGGGGTGATGTTAGGGGGGAAAGCATGAACCAGCATTTTACCATCCACTCCAGTTTCTTAAATAATGTAGACATATTTTGGCCTGGGGTCTCAGGCTGCTCCACAGCACTACTTGGACACAAGATGCTTTTATATATGCTGCAATGCCAGCCATTCCCTCCCGCTAAACAGCTCTTCCACCTGACTCCAGAGCTGAGCTAGAACCTGCCGAAATCTCCCAGGTGGCCTACATCCACTACACACCCTTCCCACTCTCCTGTGCGTACACACAGCACTTCCTCCGCCCACACCTTCATAGAAGCCATAAGTGGCGTTCTTGAACTCAGTCCAGGTGATGTGGCCATCACTATTCTTGTCATAGTCCTTCCAGTTCTTGTTCACGTTCTCGTAAATGTAGCGGTTTTGAGTATGCTTGATCCATTCCTTCAGCTCAGGCTGAGTCACAAAACCGTCCCCATCCCGGTCGATGCGATCCACGATCTTTCTGCAGAGGGAAGGTTCAAGAACAAACAGGCTTAGAGAACAGGGAAATGGCCAAGGTATGTCCGTAATACGAATATGAGAAAGGCCTTGCTAGATAACTCCAAAGGCCCAACTAATTTAGTCCAGCCTCCTGTTCTCTCAGTTGGTCACCCAGATGCCTTTGAGAAGTTCCAAAACAGGAACTGAACACAATGGAGCTGTCCCCATTTGTGAGTCCCAATAGCTAGTATTCAGAGGACCCCTGGATAGTTAAGTCCAGTCAAAGGCAACTATGGGGTTGCGGCGCTCATCTCGCTTTCAGCCCAAGCGAGCCAGTGTTTGTCCACAGACAGCTTTCTGGGTCATGTGGCCAGTATGACTAAACCGCTTCTGGCACAACGGAACACCGTGACAGAAACCAGAGTGCATGGAAATGCTGTTTACCTTCCCACCACAGTGGTACCTATTTATCTACTTGCACTGGCATGCTTTTGAACTGATAGGTTGGCAGGAGCTGGGACAGAGCAACGGGAGCTAACCTGTCACAGGGATTCGAACCGCCAACCTTCTGATCGGCAAGCCCAAGAGGTTCAGTGGTTTAGACCACAGTGCCACCTGCATCTGGCATAACCCCCAGCCTTTAAAGATCTGCATTCACCCAGCTTCCATTTTCTAGAGGCAGACAGGCCATGTAGCTTCTGCCACGTTCCCAATACACAAAGTAAAAGTTGTTCTCCGACTCTGACAGGAGCCGTCCACCCCGCCTTCCTGTCTCTGCCACCTTGTTTTCTTCCTCCTCTCACCCCTATGCATTTTTTTGGGTTATGGGCAACTCCTGTGATTGGTCAGAGCCAGTTGCCAATCCGGAGCAACTGGGGTCAAAAGCTCTTAAAAATGGAACATTGCCAACATTCTGTCATCCTTCCTTGTCCTTTACCTGCCCTCTGACCACCCAAGATGCTGCATTACTCACGAGGAGGACCCTTGTTTGGTGTGAATGTAAAGCTAGATTTAGCTAGTTTTCTAAAAGTGTTTTATTTTTTTCCGTGCACTGCTTTTCCTTTTCCTTTGCCGTCCTCTTTATTTAGTTAAACTCTTAATTTAAGTCTGAATAAAGTTTAAACTTTATTTAAAAGCTCATAAAATGGCCTGTTAGGGTTCAGCTGCCCACAAGACACTGGGTTCTATCCAATCTCAGGCTGCTTACATACCATGTATTTGAAGTGTAGTTAATGAAGGGTGCTGGGGGGTCTAGCTCTGTGAGGGGTAAACTACAGTTACCAGGATTCTTTGGAGGCTTTTAATGGATGGTGTGTACCAGCCTCCATCATACTCACAGTGATACCCACTGCAATTAATGGGCATGTGATAGATATAGATAAGATAGATATGATAGAATCTTTTGAGGGTTGGATTCTATCATCTTACTGTGAGTGCTTATGTTTACGACCTCACAATTTATCTATTTATTTATTTAAGTGAATGGGCATGAAAAATGTCAATGCTTTAACTTCAGTGGGTCTTCTGTGAGTAGAACTTGACTGAATGCAACCCTTTCCCCCCCCTCTCTCTACTGTTCCAGCATCTCTTTGGTCCTATGCTATTTCTCTTTGGGTCTAAGGAGAGTGGACGAAAGCAAGCACCCTGTTCTCTGGGGGCGGGCAGGTATGTGTTTGATGCTCCCTCACCTCAATAACTCATATTCATCACTTGTAGGCCTTGAGAATGGTCCTTGCATCAAAGTCAGAGGGAGAAGAGCTGGTGGAAGCAAACTTCAGCTCAGAGAGGCAGGAGCTACAGTTCCCGGCAGTGAACTCCACAGTTTAGCTAAGCACTGGGTGGAGAAGTACGTCCTTTTGTCTGTCCCCAATCTTCCTACATTCAACTTCATTAGATGGTCCCTGGCTCTAGTACAGTGGTACCTCGGGTTACATACGCTTCAGGTTACAGACTCCACTAACCCAGAAATAGTGCTTCAGGTTAAGAACTTAGCTTCAGGTTGAGAACAGAAATCGTGCTCTGGCAGCGCGGCAGCAGCAGGAGGCCCCATTAGCTAAAGTGGTGCTTCAGGTTAAGAACAGTTTCAGGTTAAGTACGGACCTCCAGAACGAATTAAGTACTTAACCCGAGGTACCACTGTATTATAACAGAGGGAGAAACCCTAACCCCCCCGTCCAGTTTCTCCATTCCTTAAGATATCCACTCCTTAAGATACACAGTATTCTCATCAGGGGTGCAGGTATAAGGGGCATCTGCTTGCAGGTTAGCACTAATGGGAATTAAATCCCTCATTATCTTCGCAGCCAACCTGTGAGAGTTACTTGTCCAAGGCCACCCAGGGCGCTTCATATTCAAGAGACTTCAACCCGAGGAAATTTTTTATTACACTTAACAGCCCACGCTCCTTCCAAGGAGCTCAAGGCAAAGGACACGGTTCTCCCCTCTCATTTTTTTTTAAATCACCTCAATCCTCTGAGGTACATTAGGTTGAGAGGAAGTAACTGGTTCAAGGACAGCCAAGAAGCATCATAACTGAGGGGTGTCCTCAGTTGTAACTTAACACCCTAACCACACCACCACATTGGATTTGAGGGTATTTATTTATTTATCATTATCATTAATTAATTTACACCTTGCACCTTCCATCAAAGGAGCCCATAAGTGGATCCCATAATGAATGGTAATCGGAACTCAAGTCTTCCCAGACCAAGAGATCATAAGGGTTTCAGAAAGTCCTGAGGTAAACTGGAATTTTAGCAGGGGTTCCTCAATTTAAAAAGCCAGTAATGGTGAACATGCTTCCTTGGAAACTAGTGTATCCACGGTTACCAACCTTACCTTGCAAACACACACACACACACACACACACACGCATGGAGGTGTTTCACAGAATATCCTCTTAATTCACACAGGGCAAGTGGTGAGGCTCAAAAAGCCAGGCCAGGTCCCTGTACGAACCAAATATGTGGCCTATAATATACCCTGGAAACTTCTAGAATTCACAGCAGTTTCCTGTGGCAGACATGTTGGGAGTGCTTTAGCACAGGAAAGGCCTGACTTGAAGCAGGACATTTAAAAGCTACAGCTCTCTTCACTATGCCACCACTTGCTCTCCCCGTCCAGGCAGAACGCCTCACTGCCCAGTCAGTTTTCTGCTCTGCCGGGCAGAAAACCTGATGCCTTAAGGAAACTAGTTTGAAATGGTTGGGAGGTCTCGTCTCTAAAATTAAGTTTTGGGCCTCTCTGGAAGAACACCAAAGACTGGCTTAGTGGGAACACAAAATCCCTCTTTGTGCATCCAGATGAACGCATGTGGGCATAAAATGTCGGGGGTGGGGGGACAAGCAGGTGCGCACGCCCTACTCCACCCTGGACATTGGGGGCACAGACTGCCCACACCCCAAACTTTCCTGCATTGATCAGGAAGGTCTAAAGCAGGAGTCAGCAAACTTTTTCAGCATGGGGTCGGTCCACTGTCCTTCAGACCTTGTGGGGGGCCAGACTATATTTTGGAGGGGGGAAATGAACGAATTCCTATGCCCCACAACTAACCCAGAGATGCATGTTAAATAAAAGGACACATTCTACTCATGTAAAAACACCAAGCAGGCCCCACAAATAACACAGAGATGCATTTTAAATAAAAGCACACATTCTACTCATGTAAAAACACCAGTCAGGCCCCACAAATAACCCAGAGATGCATTTTAAATAAAAGGACACATTCTACTCATGTAAAAACACACTGATTCCCGGACCGTCCACGGGCCAGATTTAGAAGGCGATTGGGCCGGATTTGGCCCCCGGGCCTTAGTTTGCGTACCCATGGTCTAAAGGGGCTTCTAAGCATGTTGAGCAGAAGACGCTTAGATACCCATTTAGACCTTCCCTCTTAACACGGAGCAGGTAGGACCATGTGTTCCCACCCCTGAACACTTTATGCCCATTTACACATTTGAGGAATGTGTGACAGGGCTTCTGCAGCACTCTTTCGTGTGTGTTTGGCCAATAATAAAAAAGAGTAACACGGTGAAAGCAAGTGCTGTCTCTGGTCAACGCGATGAAATTTAAGGCACTGCACACTTGTCAGATTGTTGCGTTTTGCATAATGTCTTGTCTAATTGTAATGGGGTCTTTGTATTATGCTATTAAGCAGGAGTGGAGAACCTGCGGCCTTTGAGATGTTGCTGGACTGTAACTCCCCTCAGCCCTGACCACGGGCCATACTGGAGTTCAACATCTGGAAAGGGTCAAAGGTTAACTGCCATATCAACAATGCGCTGGAAGCCATAGTGGCAGGCAAGTGGCAATACAGTGGTACCTCGGGTTACATATGCTTCAGGTTACATACGATTCAGGTTACAGACTCCGCTAACCCAGAAATAGTACCTCGGGTTAAGAACTTTGCTTCAGGATGAGAACAGAAATTGTGCAGCAGCGGCGCGGCGGCGGCAGCAGCGGGAGGCCCCATTAGCTAAAGTGGTGCTTCAGGTTAAGAACAGTTTCAGGTTAAGTATGGACCTCCGGAACGAATTAAGTACTTAACCCGAGGTACCACTGTACTCAGGTGCTCCGAAACTGCCTGCGAATGACATCGGGATGACCCACATTCTGTATCAAGAACACTTGGATTATGCAGCCTGTCTAAATCAGCCTTCCCCAACCTATATGTTTTGGACTATAACTCCCATCATTCCTGACCTTTGGCTGGGGCTGATGGGAGTTGGAGTACCAGGTTGTGGAAAGCTGACCTAAATCAATGCTAGTTAAGGTTGCTTGTTGTGCGAAATTTATTCTAGTTTCACTAGCTTGTGAAGATGGGCAATGTACTATGCAAGGCACTAAAGCCTTACCCATAGAACATGGGGAATGCTACTCACGTGTGTCCCCCCCCCTTAACCCATGAGATGCCATCAACCACACACATCTAGAAGCTTGCTCCTCCTCCCTCAGCTCCTCAAGATGCAAAATTCTTCACCCAACAGCAGAGTTCCAATTACCCAAGCCGCTGTTTGCTTTCTTCAGGAGTCAACTGGTCAAACGTTTTGGCATCTTCCTTGCCCAGAAAGGCTTCGTGATCATATTGGAAATCTTGGTTGTCGTCGTGAGGGTGGTCGCTCAAGTCTTGGTTATGGTGGACGCGGTCCTTTTTGTCGGGGGGAGGCTTGGCCAAGACCCACGTGAGGCACACAGTCAACAGGCAGGAGGAAAACAGCATCTTCTGCCAAGCCATTGTACACAACTTGGGAACAAGGAAGAAAGGTCGGTAAGGAAAGAAAACACACACACGGTGCATATATAAATCATCAGCCAGCCAGCTTTGCTCCAAATGGGTCTACACTCCACACCGCTTCCAAGACAGGAAGGTGACAAGGGAATATTAGCTGCCATCTGTTGGCTTTTGGGATCCCATGTGCCCTCCCCTATGGTTTGACTAGCCTTTACCAGGCGCCAAGCCTTTAGTCTAGCAAGCCCTGTCCTGTGGAACTCCTTGCCAACAGAAGTTTGGCAGGAGGGCCTCTGCTCATTTTCAGGTGCCTTCTAAAAACTGTGCTACTCTGGACTTTCAAATCTGAGATTCTTTCACATCCAGCTTAAACTGATGTGTTTCTTTATTTTCACTGGAATACTGTATTTTTTGGTTGGTATACTGCCTTGTGATATTTTGTAGAATCAAAGTTGGAAAGGGACCCTGAGGATCTTCCTAGTCCAACACGCCCCCCACCGCAATGCAGTTGTCCAGTTGTCCCATATGGAAATCAAACCTGCAACCTTGGCATCAGCACCACACTCTAACAAGCAGAGCTATCCAGCAATATTTTCATATGAAAGTGCAGCCTGGAAATATTCAAAAACAACCTAAAAAAAAAGTCAGCCTCCCTGTTTATCTTCTTATTTACACACACAAACCAGTCCCGCAATACTTGAATCCTTGTTCCCAGAGTCTCCCCACTACTTTGATTGCCATTTACACCCTGATACAATCCTGCCTGAGATATCTTTGCTCCTTAGCTTCACCCCCCTCCAACATCCAAAGGTCTTCTGCTCCCTCAAAAGGCTCTGTGCCTCCTCCTTCACTGCCCCAGATACTTTGAACTGCCTCTGAGTACACCTGTCCTGGAGCCACCTCTCTCATTTCATTCAAACGCCCTCTCAAAATCCACTCCCCCCACAAAGCCTTTGGCGCACACCCCTGGTTCCCATGCCCTGCTACAACTCAGCCCATAACTAAGTCTAAGCATGTGTAACTGAAGCAACCTACATATTGCTTCCCGATTTACCCCTTTCTCCATCATCTGCCTGGGGCAATTTTAGCTTGTAAGCTCCTGTGGGCAGGGACCTGTCCTCTTATACTCCGTAAAGTGCAGTATAACTGTCGGTGGAGAAAGAATGCTATTCCACTTCCTCGCATGCCAGGAAGCCCCATTGCCTACATTTCAAAATCGTCTGACTTAGCTCAGTTGATTGGAGCATGGTGCTAATAACATCAAGGCTGCAGGTTCGATCCCCACATGGGACAGCTGCATATTCCTGCAGGAGGTTGAATTAAGATGATCCTCAGCGTTCCTTCCAGCTCTCCAATTCTATGATTCTCAATACTTGCTACATGCTTCATCCCACTACACTCCTTTTAAACAAGTATTTATTTATTACAGTTTCTTCCTATTATTTATATAAGCATTTATATATTGCCCTCTCAGAAATGCAGCAATATTATTAAAAACAAAACAAAAGCATTAAAAGCAGGACAAAACAATTACTAAAATCACTGGCTACTAGAGAAGATTTTAAACAACTGCACAGGTCTGTTGGGGGGGAGGAGGGAGTCTTCAAGAGGTGGCTGAAAGTCAAATGTGAGGATGTCTATGGAATCTCTACTGGAAGAGTATACATGGGGGCAGCAAACACCACAGCCTTCTCAATATTTTCCCAAAGAGCTCAGTACTACATGCATGGTTCTTTACCAGAACAAGCACCCCGGTTTCATCACCACAATGCCCGGTGAGGTAGGATGGGCTGAATAAGAATGATTGGCGTAAGCTCATCCAATGTTCAGTTTTGAACTTGGTTCTCAGTCCAGCACTCTAACCACTAGATTTAGGTAGGTAGCCGTGTTGGACTGACGCAGTCGAAATAAAAAAATAAAAAAATAGTCCAGTAGCACCTTAGAGACCAACTAAGTTTGTTCTAGGTATAAGCACAGTGGTGCCTCGCAAGACGAAATTAATCCGTTCCGCGAGTATCTTCGTCTAGCGGTTTTTTCGTCTTGTGAAGCAACCCTATTAGCGGATTAGCGCTATTAGCAGTTTAGCGGCTATTGAAGGCTTAGCGGCTTAGCTGCTAAAAGGCTATTAAAGGCTTAGCGGCTTAGAAAAAGGGGGGGAAAGCGAAAAAAAATCTTGAGACTCGCAAGACATTGCGAAGCAAGCCCATAGGGAAATTCGTCCTGCGAAGCGCATTGAAAAACGGAAAACCCTTTCGTCTAGCGGGTTTTCCGTCTTGCGAGGCATTCGTCTTGCGGGGCACCACTGCACTTCTTCAGCTGAAGAAGTGTGCATGCACACGAAAGTTTCTATACTTAGAACAAACTTAGTTGGTCTCTAAGGTGCTACTGGACTATTTTTTAATTTTGATTCTAACCATTGTCTCTCGAACACCATAGATAAGATGCCCCCAAGCTCATCAATTGTTCCCACTCTCCCATACCAAAGAAACAAGGAGCTTCCACCTTCTTTGATTCCGTTTCACCCAGCCATGCACGCAAGTTTCTCTTTTAGAGAGCGCTGGGAGTTTTGACCCACAAAGAGAACCCAGGAGTCCCGGCTTGTAATCTGTTCATTTTAACCCAGAACACCACTGGATCTCTTGAGCTCTAAGGACCTGGAGTGAGAGATGAAGTTCTGAAACAAGGACTGCGCCTGCTATTTCGAGGGCAAACTAAAAAAAGGAGAAGAATAAATTCAGTAATCCCAGCAGCATAGGGGAACTAGGCCAGTTCCCAACTGTGCTGCCCAAAATACAGAATGTTCAATTCCTGGAGGCATCTGAATTAAAGCTGTCCCCACTTCGCTGGGAACAAAGCTTATTGAGGATGAAAGTGACAGCAGAATCAGAACAACACATTACTTCCTGGGCTGCGGTACAAAGAAGACACATCCGATGCCAAATTATTTAAACCACTAGGAAAAGGCAACTTTGGGGCTCGAAACAAGCTGTACACCACTCCACTCCTCCATCTCCCAACTACTGCTCTTCCCTAACCCACACCTGCAGACTACCGCGCCGCTGTGAAATGTGCAAAACTAAAACCGAGCCCTTCCAGATATACAAAGCAACCTGCCTTAGAAGGGAAGCAGAGCTAACATGCCAAAGATAGAGAGAAGGAAAACACAAGCGACTTTCTCCTCCAACACTGCAAAGACTTTGGAAGCCACAAGTTTAGACAAAGACAGTGTCTCAGAATAAGGCGACACTGATAACTACACTCCGATTGAAGAAAGGAAGGGAAGCATGTCTAACCCCAGGACAAAAGGGGGAGGGGGATTGGCATCTCACATCAGGAAACGGGCCGGATGGAGAAGCGGGCTATACGGCAGGGGTAGCCAACGTGGTCATCCCTGACTATAGGCCATGCTCGCTGCTGGGAGATGCAAGACTCCCCGAAAGCACCACGTGAGATGTCCGTGGCATAAAGGATGTGGGTCCGAAGCAAACTTCTGGGCCAATATAGCCCCCCTACGCCGCCCCCAAAGAGTGCCTCTACTTTTGCCCAACCTCAAGCACCAATTCTGACCCAAGAGCCGCAACAACCCAACGCACAGCGCAGCCACGCTGCTCTTTTCCGAGGGACACGAGAGGCTAGTTGTGGGGCTGGCGGGGGCGGAAAATCACAATTCCTTCCGTCCACCGCGGCAGTCTGCAAGCTCAGCACCTATCAGGATGCCCCGACTAATTGAATCCGCCGGGCATTGCACCCTGCAAAAAGGGAAAAAAGCACAATCCGTGCATTACAATGCCCGCGTGTCTCTCGCGTTTTCCGCTCCCTATTAAAGATTCCCCCCCCCTTCCTCAGGGTCTCCAGCAGGCCCCTTCCCCTCTCCTAAGTCGAGGCGCCCACCTCTCCTCCGCGCCTCTGAGCCCCGCTTGCCTGCAACCCCGCACCCCACAGCCCCAGCATGCAAACCTCTTGCAAGAGCGCCTCTCCCCTCGCCCAGCTCACCAGCAGCCGCAGCCCGCGCGATGGATGCTCCCTCGGCAAGTGCCGCCCCGTCTCATCTTCTGCCCGGCTGGTGTCTACCCGCCCCGCCCTCCTGCCCGCCAGGGCGACGCCCCCCGTCCCCGCAGAGCCCAATCGGAGGCCGCCGTCGGCCCAGGGGCGTGGCCGAGGGGCTCCGGGACTGGCCGGCCGGCGCCACGTTGACACAAAGTTCCATTCTTCCCAGTTTTTTTTCCCCCTTCCTCCGCCCCCCCCCAAGTTACAGCGAGGCAGGGCGGGCTCTGGGTTCCTCCGGGCGCCCCCTCTTCTTGTCGACCAACGGCAGAAAGACACCTACCCCTGCCGCCACCCCCCAGGGCTGCTCCAGCCCCAATGATCCGCCGCCGCCCTTTAATCCCCCGCCACTTGGCAATCGCTCTGGGGTTTCAGTAGTTACGAAATGTGGGCCTGGGGCATATGGACGGGTGGGGGGGTGTGCAGCCTTAAGCACAGCGACCTTGCAAACCCCATTGAATGCAATCATGGAAAATCACCGGGCTGTAGAGTTGGAGGGTCATCTAGTCCAATGCAGGAAACTCAAATCAGTTTTGGTTTTTCCCTCCTTGGGTTGGGCTTTGAGATACTCAGGAGCCCGTTAACTTTCAGCTCCCATCCCATGATGCCTCCCTTTCACCTCCCAGGAAGTTTTGCTGCCCGAGGCAAAGGACAAGATAAGATAAAAGTAAGGACACACACATCAACCTGATCTGCACACATTGAAACTGATCTGCTTGGCATTTTACCCTTAGTTTGACACTGGCACCGGGAGCGGCCTGAGTCAGTCCATTGTTTCTGTCTAAGCACAGTGATGTGTACTCTGACTTGCAGCAGCTCTCTAGGGCAGGGGTCAGCAAACTTTTTCAGCACGGGGGCCGGTCTACTGTCCCTCAAACCTTGTGGGGGGCCGGACTATATTTTTGGAGAGAGAAAAAATGAACAAATTCCTATGCCCCACAAATAACCCAGAGATGCATTTTAAATAAAAGGACACATTCTACTCATGTAAAAACACACTGATTCCCGGACCGTCCGCAGGCCGGATTTAGAAGGCGATTGGGCCGGATCTGGCCCCTGGGCCTTAGTTTGCCTACCCGGATAGGGTATCAGGTTCAGAGTTTCTGGGACCTTCTGCATGCAAGGCAGAGACCTTACCCCTGAGCTAGAGGCTTAGAGGGAACAGAGCAGGGGTTACCACCTGTCCCCCCAGCATCCAGCAACCACCCAACACTTCGCTGTCCTTCATAGTAAGGATTAAGTCCTTGCCATCAGAAGCCGAAGGAAGGAAGAGAGGTTTGATCTGAATAGGTTTAGGTGGTGCTTAAGTCTGCATAGAATAAGTCCGATATTTCTGTAGGATTTACCCGCTGCCTTGTGGGACATCTACGGGAGGCAAAACAGCTAAGGATTAAAACCTACACAAATCCAGAGTGGAGTCCCTAAGACAGTTGGATGGTGCTTTGTACACCCCCCTCCTGCAGCCAAGCTGGTGCTAAATGTATTGCTCTGCTTTCCTTTGGACCACATCAGCAAGGCTGAGGGGGGGGTCTTGTTGTCTGGGCAGCCCCGGACCTCCACACACACTGCCCAGTAGTGCGCCCCCGAGAGATCACTTCAGTGCTGCGAATGCATCAAAAGCAACGCAGGAGGCAGCAGTTACGAGTTGCCAGTCTCTGCAGCCACAGCAGGTGCTGTGATTCTCCAGTGGCTTGACTTCAACCCTGGAGGCGCACTCTATTGTCTCTCGAAACGGATGCCAACTCTCGAGGATTTTTGAAGTGTAGTGGGTTGAATGTGACAAGACTCAAGTCGGTTGCTAGTTCCTTAGGGATGTAGGAATTAGTTTTATGGCTTGTCAGATCACTGGTCTGTCTACCTCAGAACTGTCCATCTACACTGGCTAGCAAAGGCTCTGCAGGGCTTCAGGCAGAGGTCTCCCCCAGCCCTGCTCGGAAGTGCCCATATAACATAACTGCTCCATAGATATTATTATACAATTCCATTCACCATATAGATGGGTTTATGAAGCATTTCTTTATCCTGCTGTGCTGAAGAAGAATTCTACGAAACAGTGGGCACTACGTCTGTTTGTGGACCACTTCGGCAGCGTCATAAAACAAAGCTTTATGGCTTGTTTTCATCAGATGAGAATCTGACCCACTGCTTCTTTCAGAGACTTGCATAGTCTACAAAGACTTTCAGAGACTTATAAGACTTATGTTGATTTGGTTCTATGTTTTCAACAGAATCCATCAAGAGTGCACATTTTGTGACTTTGAGAGATTTATGAGATTCTGTTTATTTGGTTTTTCATATTGTTCAATGTTCCGTATAGATTATATAAAGAGTTTATATTGATAGTGCGCTGTTGTACTTGGTCGTCGTGTTGCCTTGGATATTACTGATAAAGGTTTGCAATACAGGGGTTTACCTGTAATTGTTTGGTTACTTAAAGTAAAACAAGGCAGGAGCCTCTTTCTTTTTTGGGAAACGGGTTTGTTGCGCAAGATCTCCCAATCCACTGTACTTGTGCAACCCAAGTTTGCCATCGTGTGAAACAGCAACAGCTTAGGAAGTGTCCTGACTCTGTCCCTCCCAACCCCACTTCTCCCTTCCATATGTACAGATTAGTTTTGGAAAGCAACACTGATTCCAAAATGTGTGCGGGCAGCCATTTTGCTTCCCAAACCGTGGGACTGCATCTTTCTGCCCTCCAAAAGTGTACTGATTCCTCTTCTGCCTTACTTCTTGTCTGCAAATGCTCATCCACATCCACCATTCTGGATATGTGGATCCAGAATGTGGATACCACAAAGGTGGTAGAAAAGCACATCACATCATTATGGGATGGTGGCCATTGGGGACGTTTTATTGTAGAATTGGGTCAGAGAAGGAAGATCAGAAAGAGTTTTGTTTCAGATGCAAGGCACCCTTTAGAAAGATTGATTTTTTGGACTGGAAAGGACCTGAGCTAGCAAGAGGGCAGCAGAGGAAAATGGCTTGGCGCTTCCATCAGCTTCTATTTAAACAAGGGACGAGTGCCCTGGTGCCAATACCTCCACGCCTCTCTACTTGACCTTCAGGACTCGACACAATCCGCACCGTTTCCTCTGGCACACATCCTTTTCCTGAGAGGTGCCCCTCACCAGCCGTGTAAGGGTGTGTGTAGAAACTAGGTTACCTGTATACAGAGGCAAAATGGGTTCATTCGCTGCTTTGTCGCTTTCTCTTCTGTGCCCCCCCACACCACTGACATGCTGCCCCCAGAAGGCTGCCCCCAGTGGTACCTCAGGTTACAGACGCTTCAGGTTACGGACTCCGCTAACCCAGAAATAGTACCTCGGGTTAAGAACTTTGCTTCAGGATGAGAACAGAAATCGCGCGGCGGCGGCAGCGGGAGGGCCCCATTAGCTAAAGTGGTACCTCAGGTTAATAACAGTTTCAGGTTAAGAACGGACCCCCAGAACGAATGAAGTTCTTAATCAAGGTACCACTGTACCTTTCTCCAAAGTACCCTGCTATTTATTTCTGAGTGAGAAACAACAATGAAGGTGTAGCCTTCAGGCTACACAGGGTGTATGCATATGTAGCAAGTAGTGGGTGCTAATGGTTTGTGAGCAGAAGGTATTTAAAGCAGCAGAAATGCCAATATCCGGAAAAAATGAGTGGGAGGGGGGACGTTTCAACCTCACAGGACGCTTTGTAATTCACCTTAAGGTGGGCATTTCTGGAACAAGGAACTTCAAAGAGAGGCTGCACCTGTGAAGCTGCCGATTTCACAATTCACCAAGAGGTTTAATGCTCTGTCCTGTGGTAAAAAAACAGCAACACTACACATGCAAATTAGCTGGCCAATGACAGGATCTTTGCGCTATCAACTCCAACCCATTTGTGTGGGGTTTCTGTGAACAGCCACTTTAACATAATTATCCATGGCTGCTTTTCTGCGTTTCATTCTTTTGCTGATCTCACTGTTCTCAGTCCCACCCGTGCCCCAGCAACCTTGTGTATAGGTAAAGGTAAAGGGACCCCTGACCATTAGGTCCAGTCGTGACCGATTCTGGGGTTGCGGCGCTCATCTTGCTTTACTGGCCGAGGGAGCCGGCGTACAGCTTCCGGGTCATGTGGCCAGCATGACTAAGCCGCTTCTGGTGAACCAGAGCAGCACACAGAAACGCCGTTTACCTTCCTGCCGGAGTGGTACCTATTTATCTACTTGCACTTTGACGTGCTTTCGAACTGCTAGGTTGGCAGGAGCAGGGACAAGCAACGGGAGCTCACCCCGTTGCGGGGATTCGAACCGCCGACCTTCTAATCAGCAAGTCCTAGGCTCTGTGGTTTAACCCACAGCGTCACCCACTTCCCTTAACCTTGTGTATATCAGCCTGCAATTTAAAACAAGGCTTCATGCATCTGATGAAGTAGGCTGCAGTGCTCAGGAGCAAGCCAGCAGTAAATCACACAGAGTAAGTGAGGTTAAGGCTTTACAATCGTGCCTTGGTTGTCGAACGCCCTGGAACTCGGACGTTTTGGCTACCAAACGCCACAAACCCCGAAGTGATTGTTCTGGTTTGCGAACATTTTTTTGGAACCTGAACGTCCAATGGGGCTTCTGTGGCGTCTGATCGGCTGCAGGAGCTGCCTGCAGCCGATCAGAAGCCGCAATTTGGTTTTTGAACGTTTTGGAAGTTGAACAGACTTCCAGAACGGATTCCTTTCGACTTCCAAGGTACTACTGTATTAGGAAAAAAAAGACAATATGCACAGGGGTGCCGGGCCCAATGAATGCAGCAACTGTTCTTTGGTAGGGCTTGCCCCTATGAGGTAGCTGTGGAGACTGAAGGTCCCCCACTTCCACAGCTGCCTAAGTCCCCTCCTCTCCAGGGTTTCCCCCCAAGCATTCTGAGACTGCATCTGTGTGCCTGCCTTTGCTACTCCCACTTCATGCCTCTCCTGGTCCTAGGAGACCAGGAGAAGGGGAGCTGGTCGCAGTAGGAGGAGGAGACACCCATGACTTTTCACCAACCTGACTCATCTCTGCCTTTTGGCCTCCCTCCTATCACAATCCTGCTTCAGCTTCTGTCTCCAATTCTGGATTTCCTCTGCCACAGACTCTCCCTGCTCACTAAACCCTGTTACCCCTTCAGCTTCCGACACCGCCTCTTAACATTGTCATTTGCCTCTTGCTCTGTTATCCTCCCCTCTCCACAGTTCCTTGGGGCTATGCTCGTTTCCCTTCTCTCAGGAAACATCTCTTTCTGGAGAAACATCTCTCTGGATCTTGGTGGCAGTCTCAACTGAGCTCCTGTGTTGTTGTTGTTGTTTAGTCATTTAGTCGTGTCCGACTCTTCGTGACCCCATGGACCAGAGCACGCCAGGCACTCCTGTCTTCCACTGCCTCCTGCAGTTTCGTCAACTTCATGTTGGTAGCTTCGAGATCGCTGTCCAACCATCTCGTCCTCTGCTGTCCCCTTCTCCTTGTGCCCTCCATCTTTCCCAACATCAGGGTCTTTTCCAAGGAGTCTTCTCTTCTCATGAGGTGGCCAAAGTATTGGAGCCTCAGCTTCAGGATCTGTCCTTCCAGTGAGCACTCAGGGCTGATTTCCTCCAGAATGGAGAGGTTTGATCTTCTTGCAGTCCATGGGACTCTCAAGAGTCTCCTCCAGCACCATAATTCAAAAGCATCAATTCTTTGGTGATCAGCCTTCTTTATGGTCCAGCTCTCACTTCCATACATCACTACTGGGAAAACCAGAGCTTTTACTATACAGACCTTTGTTGGCAAGGTGATGTCTCTGCTTTTTAAGATGCTGTCTAGGTTTGTCATTGCTTTTCTCCCAAGAAGCAGGCGCCTATTAATTTCGTGGCTGCTGTCACCATCTGCAGTGATCATGGAGCCCAAGAAAGTAAAATCTCTCACTGCCTCCATTTCTTCCCCTTCTATTTGCCAGGAGGTGATGGGCCCAGTGGCCGTGATCTTTGTTTTTTTGATGTTGAGCTTCAGACCATATTTTGCGCTCTCCTTTGAGCGCCTGTAGTATCGGTTGTTTCCACAAGGTGTCAGACTAGCACCACCTTCCCTGGCCCACAGCTTCAACTTCTGAACCTGTTTGCACCCATAACCCAATTCACTTTGTAGCTACTGGGGATATTGCCTTGTTTCTTTATATAACCGATTATGACCCTGCAAGCACCGTTATTCTGCCTAGAGCACCTTACGCTATGGAGAAGCTCAAAAGCAGGCATTGAACACTGTAAACATTCCCACAGATTTAATTTCTGTCTTCCTGACTCCAGCCTAGAGATTAGCAGTTTGTGGCTCTCATTCACATGCTTCTAAACTCCAATTCCCATCAGCCTCAGCCAAGATGGCAAATAATCTGGGACGATGGGAGTTGGAGTCTGAGGAGATCTGGAAGCCACAAGTTTCTCGTACCTGATTTAGGTAATTCCTGGTTTTTTAATTACTCTGAATTCAGTTTCGAAATCTTCAGACATCATTTGTGCCCTGTAATTTTTTTCATACTGGAATTTACAACTACTTCTGCCCCTCCAGTTGGATGCACTCAGGCCAGGATCTGGACCCACAATGGGTCTCACGCCTGTGGGGCTTTTTGGGATTCTAGCCACAAAGAAGCATCTTATGTCACTGAGCTTTTTTTGGAGGTTATCCTCAAGTCAACAGCCCCTGTTTAAACTGGGAAATACCTCCCAAGTATTTGGCTTCCTTATATAATTCTCAGGTTACTCCTGTTTACAGAGAGCTTTAGAGGGAACAGCAGAAGTACCCACCCCTGCTATTGGTTTCCTCCCTTTCAAGGAGCTTCAGCCTTTGGTTTCCACCCTCAAGATTAAATGAATCACCATGGAATCCTATATCTGTCTACTCAGAAGCAAGTCCTGTTAAATTCAATGGGACTTACTTCAACGGAGTCTCTTAAAGGATTGCTGCTTTCCTGAAATCAACCATCAGCAACTTCAGTTTCTAACCATGATTCTGTCCCTTTAGAAGTGGGGGTAGGTTTCTGGCAGGGCTTAATTGCTTAATTGTATCAGTTGTATTTATTTATTTATTTATTTATTCATTCATTCATTCATTCATTCATTCCCCGCCCTCCCTGGCCAGAGCCAGGCTCAGGGCAGCTAACAGCAGTAAAATTACAATAAAAACATAATGGGGGGGGGGGACCAATTTAAAATATGGGTTTAAATACAATTTAAAATGCAGCCTCATTTAATAGTAGCCCATAGATCAAAACCATAAGGGGACGGAAACATAAGGGTCAGACTGAGTTCAAACCAAAGGTCAGATGGAACAGCTCTGTCTTGCAGGCCCTGTGGAAAGATGTCAAGTCCCACAGGGCCCTAGTCTCTTGTGACAGAGCGTTCCACCAAGTCGGGGCCAGTACTGGAAAGGCCCTGGCCCTCGTTGAGACCAATCTAACCACCTTGCGACTTGGGACCTCCAAGGTGTTGTCATTTGTGGACCTTAAGGTCCTAGGCCACATAGGGCATCTCTGCATAAGGCTAAGGAAGGCCTCTGCCTGAAACCCCGGGGGCCTGCTGCCGGTTGGTGCATGCAGCAGTGAGCCTCATGGAGACAGATGGTCTGCCTTTGGTGTGAGGCCGCTTCCTCTGTTTCCATCTCCTCTGTTTGGTTGCTTTTAACTCGCTTCCCAACTCCCCCTCCCTGACCCACAGCGCAACTTCCCACCCCACCTCGTCTCCTGATGTGCTGTTCCTCGTCTCAACTCTCTTGACTGCTCCCATGCCCGCTGCTCCTTCCCATCTGGTTCTGTGGTCCCGTTCCATTCCTACCGAGAGTGGGGACATGGAGGGTCGGGCGCCATCTGGCATGCTCTTGCCAAGCTTTCCCAAGGGGTCTTCAACACCAGCTGATGGCATCCGCTCCAGGCTGGAAAGATATCCTTCCCTTCCCCCCCCCTTGCCGTGTGCCCTCACTTCAGCTGCATTTTCTGGGCCAGCCCTGGGCAAGATAAGCCCATGGCCCACAGGGCAGGTGTGGAACTTTCCAGCGACAGAATTCAGACTTTGCTTGGGGGGGAATTGGTCTTTGTGGGTTTGTGTGTGTATAGCAAAGGAGGAGAAACTAGGTTGCCTGGAGCACAAATTGGACAAAGCTCAAAATTTGTGGGGATTAAATTGACCAGGGGAGGGGAGGGGCATGTTAAGAAAGTGTAGCAAGGCAGAGCATGGGCATAGCAGGATTTTTGTTGGGGGGGCAGGCCTTTTGTTGGGTGGGGAGTAGAACCTCAGTTTACCATGTATTTTTATTGATTTTGGGGGGGGGGGGGGAGCTGCCGTTCCCTGCCCTCCCCGACTATGCCCATGAGGCAGAAATGTGAGTCAAGGGTGGAGGTGTGTGAATACGCCCGTTTTGGTTCCTCTCAGTTTCTCATTTATTTCCTTTTTAATTTGTATAGCGCCTTTCTAAACACACAAGGCAGTTTACAAGCTGAAGAAACAACAAATTAGGCAGCCTCACAGCAATCTGATCCAGTACAAAAAAGCCGAAATAACCTTAAAATAAACAACTTATATCAAATAAAGCAATATCCCATAATCCATTGCAAAGCTGAAAAAGGCCTTATGTGCAAATGCGAGGAAGTTAGTCAGGCATGCTTCGTCTTATATTATCGTCAAGAGCTTAAGCAATCAAAAAGCCGCTCCTGAAAACATTTGCACCATTTTAGAAATAGGAAAGTAACACTGAAGCTCTGTAACGGGGACTGCCTGCGCATTGTGCATTTAAAACACATGGCTGGTTGCTGCCCTTTCTAGCCCTGACCTGGTGCCAGGTATGGAGTAGGTTTTGTCGTAGGATGAACCCCGCAGGTCGAGGAGCCAGAGGAGCAGGCAGGACTGTGTTGATACCCGAGGAAGAAGCTCTGGAAATGTCAGAAGAGGAGGTGGAGCAGCCCCACAGGCCTTGAGAATGAGGCCTCCAGAACCTTTAGGTCCAGGCCAAAGAGCAACAGCACAGTATGTGTATTGGGATCTAGAGTCATTGGGTTACTTGTGAGGAAGGGGTCTACCTGTGAGTAAGCAAGCCCTGATAACCTCTTCATGGCCAGCAGTGGTGGTTTAAGGCCTTCTTCTTGAGCCTTCCAGTGCCTTGAAACAACAGGCCTCCGGCTTCTTGTAGCAGACTCTAGTTTTGCCACCCTTACTGTGTTGTACTTTGTGAATTACTCTGCAAAAAATAGACCTTCAATGGTTTCTTGACCTTGCCTCTCAAGCCTAGTTTAGGGCTGCCATATTTCAAAAAGTAAAAATCCGGGTACAAAAGTTGTTGAGATTTTTTTTGCAAAAAAAGATGTTGTTGAGCTATTTTGTTAGGAAATTCGCCGGAAAACCTACACTTCTGACATGGGTTGTCATACGCCCGGGTTTTCCTGGATATTTTAGGAAATTCTGCCCAGACACTTATTTCCAAAAGATGAATCCCAGATATGTCTGGGAAATTCCAGATGTATGGCTGACCTATACGGCTTCCCTATGTTTGACCTTGGTCTGTTTGCACCGTGCTACCCCAGAAACCTTGTCTGTGTTGTTGCGTCCTTTGGTGAGAAGCTGGTTTGGGGCCAGATGGGGACCCCTGGAATGTGACAGCACCCCATAATTCATCAGAAGTCATTTCCTTGATATTAGCTTGTGCAAATATGTGCCTTTGCCCATAGAGGCTTTCAAGGACCTAGCAACACCCCAAGATAGTTGCTTCGGGGAACTGACTTTTAGATGCCCTGATTATTTGTTTACTATGAATGTATTCTTATTGCAAAGGCAAGAGGTGTGGGGTTTTCTCCCTCAGGTGCTAAAGTAACGTGGTGAGCCTTAACTGGCTCAGGCGGGTACTGTTTGCTGCTGTGCCTCAGGCTGCAAAATGTATCGGGCCAGCCCTGGGGGTGGGTCCCACGACCCCAAGCTTGGGATTTTGGCCAGCCCATGGCTCCAGTTAGAGCAGCCTTTTCCAAACTGCAGGCCTCCTGATGTTTTGGGTTACAACTCAACTGGAGAGGGCACCAGGTTGGCAAAGGCTGGAGGAGAGGGGCACACTAGCAGAACGGTAGAGAAAGCCTCGGGGGTGGGTGATGGGGAGAGATGTATTTTCCAATCCCTTTGATTTGACGTGCTTGGCACCCCAACACCCCCCCCTCTCCAGGACCCTGAGAGATGGTTGGGGGAGGGCAGCGGCAGCTCGCTCCGCCGCGCTGGATCGCCCCAGCCCAGCCCCTGCCTCACATCGAAGTGACACGTGCTAAGGATCTGGTTTGGGGGAAGGGCTCAGGCCTTGTGACAGCAAGCAATGGGTGCCACCTTGCATTGGCCTCTGCTTGGAGGTTCCTTGACGTGGGGGGGGCGGTGTGGAAGCAACGCAAGGAAATATTTCCAGCTCCACCAGATTTCCCCAAAGAGGCCTGTTTGCTGCCTTTCAGCCTTGTGGCCCTCCTTTTTCCTGTCTGGCCCTCACCTTATGACACCCCTCCCTATCTAGTTGTGACTCTTGTTTCATATTTCTGAACCTGGACCTATGGAAATCACTGGCTACTGTTAAAACTCCTTCTTTCTCTCTCCATCTCTGGCCTCAAGGGATGTGGCGGAGGATTTTCTGCTAACCAAATCCACACACACAGATACACACACACACCCCGTCCAAACTGCTATTTCTGGGGCAGCCTTGAGATGCATTAGCCGGGGTAAAAGCATGCCTTTGAACAGAACCACCTTAAAGTCGCAATTAACGAAATCAGGGCCCTGTCAGTGGCAGGAGATAATCGGAAGCGAAGGAGCTGAGGGGAGGGGGCAAGGGAGAGCAGCGAAGGACAGGGAGTCAAGGCAGGCTCCCCCAATTCACCGTGGGGGCAGGCTGAGGATATATTCTGCAGAGCCAAGCATGGGTACCTAGGCAGCACCGCAAGGGGTTTTGAGGTCTCCATAACCTGTAACTGGACCCAAAGAAATATCTGGGACTCGGGGAGTCCAGGCCCCGATAGATTTGGAGACGGCTTGCTTTTGCATTTCTCAAGGGGGTGGCGGCGGTGCGTGCAGAAGGAGCAGAAGCGCGAGGGACTCTGTGCTCCAGACTTCCTCGGCAATCCGTTCCCTCCAGGCATCCTCTCGCCCACCCCTTTCCCCATGCCACTTCCACCCACCCATCCTACAATCGTGTGTGTCGCCGGGCAGATAGATCGGGCCTGACAGTCCCTGGCTCCCCCCAGGCCCCCTTCACACATGAGTCAATCTGCTTTGCATTTTTAATTGACGGCGTGTCGCAGCAACAGAAATTTGTACTTAGCTCGCCCCCCCTCCCACCCTTCCGACTCCCCGGGCCGCCATGTGGACAGCCTTCTCTTCTTCCTTATCTTCACAGAGATGCTTCCAGTTATGCTGTGCACCACGAGGTCCCTTCGTATTGCTAGAGAGCCCCGATTTTTTTTTAAACTCCCTCAGTTTTAGCCTCACAGTGATGGTCTCTGCCAAAATGCCCAGGATGCTCTCTTTCTCTTTTCTCTGCTTGGTCCTGATGTGATAACTGCCTGCATTCTCTCATTTGGGCTTCTCAGTCCTGACCCCAGGACACTGTTGTTTTCCGCCGCCCAAAACCATCCGCTCTGATGAGCCCTCTTCAGTGCTGTTCAGTCCTGCGGCTCATTATAATTATCGTTATTTCATACCAAAACTTTAAAATACATATTTTAAAAGGATCATTTACCTAAAGTCCCTAGCAACAGTATACCTTTAAATCATATACAGTGGTACCTTGGGTTACAGAGGCTTCAGGTTATAGATTACAGACTCCGCTAACCCAGAAATAGTACCTCGGGTTAAGAACTTTGCTTCAGGATGAGAACAGAAATGGCGCGGCGGCAGCGGGAGGCCCCATTAGCTAAAGTGGTACCTCAGGTTAAGAACAGTTTCAGGTTAAGAACGGACCTCCAGAACGCATTAAGTTCTTAATCCGAGGTACCACTGCATGGTCATATAAAAGATCCTATTTTAAAACAAATGTGGCACTGTGGTTAGGCTGTTGGGTTAGGACCTGGGGGAATTGGGTTCAAATCCCTAGTCAGCCATAAAGCCTGCTGGGTGACCTTGGGCCAGCCACTGTCTCTCGGCTTAACCTACCTCTCACAGGGTTGTTCTGAGGATAAAATGGTGGAACGGAGAGCCACCCTGAGCACTTTTCAGGGAAGGTGGGGGATTTGAATGTAATAAATAAACACCGTGCTGAGAATATCCATCATTTGCATCTTACCAGTTTTCTTTTCGTTTCACTATACAGCAAGCATTCCTGTCTTCATTGTTTGTGCTCTTCCTTCCCAAATAACATGCCATGATGTCCCCCACTTTCCTTACCGCTGATCAGTTTTAGGGAGATTATTGCTTCTTCGTGATTCCTTCCGTAGTTCTTAAGCATATTCTGTCCATTTGTCCCCACAGGGTTCATCATTAAATTCTGACCCAGTGCTAATGAGAATTACAAGGTCTCCTCTCCCACTTGGGCTGTTTGGACCATGCCTGATGTTTGGACCATCTCCTGACTCCCTTTTCTCTCTTGTAGGTTCTTTGGTCTTAACCCATCACCACCATTATTGCTGGTTTTGGGCTACTGGGTCCTTATGTGCTGTTCCCAAATAGGGATGGATAAATCTGTCAACTTCACTTTCTCTGTTTCTCATTTATCCAGTTTTGATTTCAGTTCCCCACATTTCCATGAGAATTTGCAATTATTATTTTTTAATCCGTATGAAAATCAATTAGAATTTAGTGCAAATTTATCCCAATACACACATTTTTGTGCCAAACTTTGACTAATTTACACATTTTTGCAACTTTCCCTAATGTATTTTTTGTGGTATTTTCTCCAAATGCAAAAGGTTGCGCTCATCTTCCCCCTAATATATGCATTTTTGTACGAATCGGTTAGGGAGGTGTAACACAAAATTCAGAGAAGTACAATTTTCATTTTTTAAGATTTTATGATGACGTTAAAGTCACTATCCAGTTTAAAATATGAAATAAAATAAAAAGGGGAGGGGGAACCAGCTGTACAAAAGCAACAGGGTTCACAGACATTATCTCATAAAGCACTCAGTGAATTATATGCTATAACAAAAACTGACCTGATACAGAAATAATGCAAAGCAAATGTTATGAGCAGCAAATAAAGCCATATTTCATTGGGATTTGCCATCCCTGTAATTGGCCTGTCATTATTAGTAACAATTGGCCACTAAATGGAGGCCACTAAATGAAGGCACCATGAGATAGCCTTAACTATGTCAATCTCCCAGAAATAATAATAAATATTACTGTATTGAACCAAATAGCTAAAGAAAAAACCCAAAGATTCCTTCCAGTCCTGTGCTACTGTCATACGAGCAGCTGTTATTAGAAAAATTATAAGTTGTTTCCATATGAAGTCCGATCAAAAATTGATAAAAGACACAGCTTGGAAGTTAAAGTTGACGGTACACCTATTATTCCCAAAACTTCCTTCATTACCTCTTTCTAAAATTTGTGTACATGTTTTCAAGACTACCACGTGCACCGATAAGTCCCTCTTTCATTGCATTCTCCCCAACAAATAGGAGAGCGGACTGGAGTCAAGAACCATTGATGGGTTATTTTTAAGGCCTTTTTCTTGGATATTTGCAAGAAAGGGAGGTTTCAAAGGATAGCTGTGTTGTGGTTCATGTACTGGTATGAGACATATGAATTCAGTAGTTTCTCATTAAAGTACAAAGTCAGATTGCTTCCGCATCCCTACCAGAGTCCTGTCCTAATTGCCTACTCTTTTCTTCTTCAGCTTGTTTCCCAGACCAACCCTTTCCCTGTAGGCCAGGTTTTCCAGCTGTTTCTTGACTACAGTTCCCATCATCCCTGCACACTGGTCCCGCTGGCTAAGGATGATGGGAGTTGTAGTCCAACAGCAGCCGGAGACCCAAGCTTGGGAAACCCTGCTGTAGGCTATCTTCCTTCCTTTCGCCTCTCACAAATTTTCCAGCCTTGACCCAACTGGATTACTGTTTCTGTTCTTTGGTTGCAAGTTGGTAGGTTCTGACCCAATGCTCTGACCCAACCTGCTTTGCCTCTCTTCTTGCTTGTTTTGTTTAACACCAGTGATTGTTAGTCAAAATGGATGGCTACCAGCCATGATAGCTACTGTATGTACTATCTTCGCTGTCGGAGACAGTATGGCTCTGAATATTAGTAGCTGTAAGAACAAGATGCTGGACCAGATGGGCTTTCGGCCTGATCCAACAGGACTGCTCTTATGTTCTCATAGATACTGCCATCTTCAGAGGCAATCTGCCACTGATTACTAGTTGCTAGAGGGAGCACTGAGGAGGGTCCTAGTTACAGGCTTCCCAGAGGCATCTGGTGGATCAATTTATGGAAGTTGAATGCTACACATTACGTCTGATTTAGCACTGCTTTTCCTTTCTCAAGGTGTTCAGTCCTGACCTGATTTCCCCCCTCCCATTCACTTCCTCCCTTTTGCTCTAGCTAATTAGTTGTGATCTGTTGCTGCTGCTTGACCCGCAATTTCTGTCTTTCATCTTGAAACCATGCCCCACCGCGCTTACCTGCCTGTCGTCTCCCTTAGGCTAAGTCACGGATCTCTGGCTCTTCTCAATCAAATCCAGTAGCCTTTGCTGCTCTCCTAAGGCCCTAAGGATTCGTTCCCTCTGTTCCCAGCTTTGACTTGGGATTGAGATTTATGGATGGAAGAGTAGGACGGGAGCAAAATCTTCCCTTGGGTCTCTGGCTGAAATGGAATCTGGTCTAGCTTGTTGGTTGTCTGAATGAAGATCACGGCATAATACATTGTTGTTGTTGTTTAGTCGTTTAGTCGTGTCCGACTCTTCGTGACCCCATGGACCAGAGCATGCTAGGCACTCCTGTCTTCCACTGCCTCCTGCAGTTTCGTCAAACTCATGCTGGTAGCTTCGAGAACACTGTCCAACCATCTTGTCCTCTGCTGTCCCCTTCTCCTTGTGCCCTCCATCTTTCCCAACATCAGGGTATTTTCCAGGGATTCTTCTCTTCTCATGAGGTGGCCAAAGTATTGGAGTCTCAGCTTCAGGATCTGTCCTTCCAGTGAGCACTCAGGGCTGATTTCCTTCAGAATGGAGAGGTTTGATCTTCTTGCAGTCCATGGGACTCTGAAGAGTCTCCTCCAGCACCATAATTCAAAAGCATCAATTCTTCGGCGATCAGCCTTCTTTATGGTCCAGCTCTCACTTCCATACATCACTACTGGGAAAACCATAGCTTTAACTATACGGACCTTTGTTGGCAAGGTGATGTCTCTACTTTTTAATAGTACAATAAAATAGTACATTAAAAGAACCTAATTGGTCATTACACAGGGTTGGGAATCAGCACTCCTGGTTTCTCTGGGAATGACACTGAATGTTTCTTTAGTCTGCCTTTATGCAGTAGGCTCATTTCTACACACACTCTCACGGGCCTCTGTATTCTTCATCCGGGCAACCAAGAGTCATGATCAAACTTCAGGGCATATTCCAGCCAGGCAAAAAGACAAAGGAGGATGTGAAGCAAGGCTGGGACGTGGCTTAAGGAGCATCTTGAGGAATAGACAGAGAGGCCTGGATGTCTCAGGTCTGAGATTCCCCACCCATGCTTTAGAAGACTTGAGTATGAGAAGTGGCGAACAAGGACTCCTAGGTTCTCAGTGAGAGCGGATTCTCTAGGGCTTATGTGGCAGTTCAAGACGGAGGAGAATGTTGCTCAGTCCACATTTTTAAGCAAATGGACCTAATTTGCAGCTCCTAGGCTAGTACATGAATCGGAAAACAGTTACCCTTTGGCTTTTTCGACCTGCCCCAAATTTTGTGATTCGGTTTTCAGCTCAGAAACCATATGAAAATGTGTATTTTTAGGACCAACTGCATTAACAGATGTGTGTGTTGGGAGCCAATATGTGCATTTCGACAAACATTTTGCGATGAAATATGTATCTATTTATGTATTTTCAATAATACTGAATTTTCGTATGGATTAAAAAAATTAACAGATAGCGGGAATGGGAGAGGAGAGGCTTAATTCGAACAAACAACACGTGTGAGGTTGACACTGGCTGGAACTAGACGGAGCCATCCATCCCTGTAATTTGGCTGGAATAAGCGGGGCCTGTGTGAACTTGGTGCTCAGAGGCTGATGGCCTAAGAAGAAAGGGGCTGGGAGCAAAGATTCCTGGCTTCTCATTTTTTCCACCCCTGCAGCCTTTGACTTGAAGGTGGAGCTCGCGCCTCTCTCTATGCCGCCTGTCCCATTTCCCCCCTCTCTCCCCATCCCCCGTAGCCCTGACCGGCTATGACAGGCTCCTTCTCTATGATTTCTGCAAGCAACGGCGCATGGTCGTATAGCTGGGGACTTCTCTCTCTTTTGCTCTCTCCCACCCCCACCCCAGATCCATTGGAGGGAATTAAGTTCAAATCTGACACGACAACTTAGCACAAATGTCACAGCAGCATTGCATCTCTCCCCCCCCCCCCTTGGCGCATCCCTATCCTCCAAACCACCACCCCCCCGTCTCAGTGCCCAGGAATGATATTTATTCCTGTACAACGCCCGCCCAAAAGCCATTCTCAGCGCCAAAACAAGAGCGTGTGGGTATATGGGCATTAGGCGCTGCAGAAAGAGAGGCATAAAAACCCACTGTTGGGAGGCCATGTAAACAGGACGGCAACGGACCAAAGGCCGGGGCGAGATCTTCTAAAAGTAGCCACGGAGAAAAAAGGGGCATTTGAGGGGGTGCCTGACACGATGCGAGGGTAAGGAACGGAAGGGGTGGAAACTAATAGGTTTCGATGGTGGAGTGTAGCCTGGCCACTGGGTGAAAGGGGGAAGAAGGAAGCGGGCACAACGTGGTGGGCACTGCCTAGACAAAGGGTGTGTCGTAGTCACATACCCAAAGGGGGTATCCTGCTAAGATTCAGGTATCGCGAAAAGAAGCTTTAAGGTCTGGGGTGCCCAAGCTGGGAAGGGAAACTAAAACTGGATAGGTGGGGAACAAAGGGAAGGTTTGGGGAAATTACGCCTGTAAGCTTCCATGCGAGGTAGGAACTTGGCTCCTGGTACTGGGGCAAAGAGGGGCAGGGGAAGAGGTTGGTAGGTCTGGGGGCAAGAGTGGGATGAAGCTGTTGTTCTCGAACTGCTTTTCTCATTTCCTAGCACAGAGGAAGCACAAAACGCCCGTCGATTCCCGAACTGCGAGACGGCTTGGTAGAGTTCCCTCTTGGGTGTGTGGACAATTTCCCTTTTCTTTCTTCCAGGCAACATAAAGCCCAGGTTGGGTTTGGCAGTGTCTCAAGATGCAGCCCAGCAGCCCAGTGAAATCCCATCGGTTCATGGCATTGAAGCAATGTGCAGGATGACAGCCCTTGAGAATATCGCTTTCTCTCGCCAGTTCACAAATGTTCTCTTTCGTTGCAGATGGATCGAACCCACTTTGTTCTTAACTAACTAAGCAAGCAACTGGTACTGACCCGGATATTGCCAGGCACTGATTGTTTACCATCAAGTTCTGCTCTGTTCTGCCTGATTGTAGTTTTCAGAACCAGAGGATTCCAGGTAATTATGGTTATGTTAATTACGTTAATGACTACTGTGTATAAAAACAATCTATGTTATCTGGGCAAGGGAGTGGAATATTGGCAAAAAAATTACCAAAGAATTTCCGGGAGAAGGCAGCTGTTTCAGGGGCAGAATTTTTTGTTGGTACTCAAACACATCCAAATATGTTGTGGATCGAAGCACTTAGGAATGGATTGTGGATTCTATAGAAGCAACTACTCTTGGGACAAAGGCGAGAATGGAGCTCAGTCCAGTGGATAAACCGATTTAAGGGACTAGGACTGGGGGAGACATTGCTGCCTCCTATATCCTCGGAGTGGGGAGGATATATGCTTGAGGAAGTGAACTGTTGTATAACCTCAAATCCCGTGCTTTGTTTCTGCTCAAAATGCTGTTATTGTGTGATTCCCTTATGCCATGCTTACTTTTGCTCCGTCAAACCTTTCCCTGATTGTGTCCGTAATTCAAACCCTGCTTTTTCCTTCCCAAATTTCCTCATCTTAGGTCTGAAAGGATCCTTTACTTCCATATTACTGTGCAATGGGACAGGGAGGGCAGCCATTTTGGGTGTGTGTGTTTATCAGTCTGGGAGCAACCCTCACCCTTGCTAGTGTGGACTGCTACAGTTGAGTTTGTGTGTGCGAGTGTTGGGAAGCGGGTGGCCGGCTTCCCAACTGAGGGTGAAGAAAGAGGTTGTCTGTTCTGAGGAAAATGGCCGTATGAGGTTTTGAGGTACCTTTGTGAGATGGAACTCTTGAATCCAGAGCTCCTATGGGTTTCAGGTGGGGGTTGAAGGAAGAAGACGAGAAACCTGAAAAGTGAAATCCCTACGACTTTTTGAACGATATATGTGGGGATAGATGAGTGTTTCCATGTATACTTATAAAAGGGATGTTGTGTGTTTTCCGAAAATGGTGTGTGTGTGTGTGTATGTGTGTTGCCCTTGTGTGTCACACGGGCGAGCATTTTGTTATCACCTCAGTGGGTATGTTCGCACATGATGGAAGGCAGGCATGTAAGTCAGTGAGAAAACTATGCAATTTGCGTAAGTTTTGGCTTTGGCGGCATGTACCGGAGTCTCTCTGTGTCTTTATATAACATCTGCAATAGGTTTTTTCAGAGTGGCTGCCATAACAAGCGCATGCAACATGGCGGGGGCTTAAATGGAAGAGGCTGCTACGTTTCTGAATGCATGCATGAGGTAAACCTTGAGGTGTGCCTGTTGATTTTGTACCGATAACGGGGCTCCCAATCGTCTCCCATGGAGGTGCAGATGAGGCCCATTCCTTCTTAGCTTGAGCAGCGTTTCTGCCTTGGCACCATTATTGATGCACTAAATGGTCTCTGCCTTCAGACCATTTAGTGCATCAATAAAGGCTTGTGTGTGAGGAACACACATATAAAGAAAAAGGCGTGTGTGTTCCTGTGCACATTCTGCCCCTCAAAGAGGTCAAGTCCTAGGACCAGCTGACCTTCGAGATGCAGACTTAAATTCTGGATATGTGCGCACACAGTCTAGGCTCTGCATTATTGAATCTGCTTCTGTGATATAGGATAACTTTGCCACAGCAGAAAAGCAGAGAAGGGGAATTCCAAGAATGGTCCGTGGGGGGGGGGGGGTCCGTGATGTAGATCCAATCTCTCCAAAGCTAAGCAGCCTGGGCCCAGCCTGTACCTAGATGAAAGACCAGCCGGGAAACCCATCTCTGCTGCCTTGATTGTAGTGGAGGCAGGGCAGGAAATATAACGACAAATAAATACATCCTGAAGACTAGTTATTTGCTTTTTTTCCTGATTGAAACCTTAAATTCTAAAATATGGACCCAGACAGCAATGCAGCAGAAAGCCTGTGGATTTTGCGGGTGTTTGTGTGACTGCTGCTTCGATATTATTGTGTATCACGTCAGTTTTTTGCATTGTGTGCCATGGAGAAGCTGTGGTGGTGCATATCAGGTGTGGCCTGTTCCTGGATGGGTGTGCCCAATGCATTCTGGGATATTCCCCATGATTTGGTACCCCAGCAGCAGCAGGGCAGTTCTGACCATGCCTACTCAGAAGTATGGCCTACAAACTTCAATGGGGCTTATAAGCAAAGTTAGGCTAGCCTTCTAAATTTCCAACGCCAGCCAGATGCCCTTTGGAAGCCTGCAGGCAGGGCATAGAAACAATAATAGTCTGTTGTTGCTCCCAGCAAGCGTTATTCAGTGACAAGCTGCCTCTGAACCTGAAGGGTACATCTAGCCATTGTGGCTAGTAGCCTTATCCTACAGAAATCTGACTCATCCCCATTTGAAGCCATCTAAGCTAGTGGCCATCACTGACCATGGGTGTTGCTCAGGAGTGGCCCAAGGTAGCCTGAGCCCCACATCTTTTACATTGGATATTTGTTTCATAGCATTTAAAGGCAAAAAAAGAAACCCTTTGCTTTCAGAGTAGCTCGGCTCACTGCAAATTGCAATGCAGCTGAGACCACAGCTACACTCTTAACATGCCCAGAGGTGAAGACAGGGGGAAAATTCAATTCAGTTCCCATTAAAGGTGAATGTACTGGGTTGGCACTTCCCCCAACAAAACATGAAGCGAAACACCATGAACTTTCGCAATTTGCAGTTCTCCAAATTTTGCAATGCGGTCTCCAGCCCAATGTATACAAAAACACCAGGGTAAAGTGTGAAGAAAATGAATGCATATATTAGTGAAAATAACAGACCAAAATGCATTATATTAGGGGAAAGTGCTTTGCAAAAAAAATGTGTAATAGACACATTTTTGTATGCAATTTTTCCCCATAAGGAGGAATTTACACTAAAATGCTGGTGAATTTTCACGATTTGGATTCCCCCCCCCCAAACAAATCCACAAACTGATGTTGAGATCTAAACTTAGGATTGGGAAAAATTTGAAATGGAGAGAAACCGAAACTGACAGATTTGCCCATCCCTATCTACAGGCAGATTTATTGGTTGATTAATTACATTTTTATCCCACCTTTCCTCCAAGTAGCCCAAAGAGGCATGTGTGCTTCTCCTCCTCTCTATTTCAGGATGACCCTGCAAAGTCTACCCACCAACCAATTTGTGTCTGACTTCTTTTTAAGTACCTGGCAATACCCCAACTGCCACGGCATATTGAGACAGAGAATTCTGCAAGCTGATGTTCTCCTTGACCTTTTGTAAGAAAGGGTCCCGTTTACATTCTCAGCGAGGCAGGTGGTGCTGTTGGTGGTAGTAGGAAGGGGAGAAAACATATAGCAGCGCCTGGAGGCATGATTTTGATAGCCTAGAATACAAAAGGTGGATGAAGGGAAAGTCTGGCGAGATGAACAATAGCAGGGCTGCCACAAAATTTTGACGCAATCCAATGACTTTTCTCTTTGAAAGCATACCAAAAACCAAAATTTTTGATTCCCCCCCCCCCCACCGCAAAGGTGGATGAAGATCGAGCACAAGAATGATACTGAAAGGTTGATAGAAACCAGTTTCAGGGTGTAGAATTTGCTGTTGGATAATGTGGAGTCATATGTGCATTATTTTCTTTGTCCTGGCTTCTCCAATCTGAAATTACACGTGCGACTTAAAAATGTAGCAGTTCCATTGCTTTGCTGTGCAGTTAAAGACATTTGTGTGTGTCTGTTTGCAAGGTACAGGGGGAAGCCTCCTTTATTAGTTAAGAAAAATATAGCTCAAAAGTGGGGGGGGGGAGGGAAGCCCCGCGAACAACAAGACACTGGCGTGATTATTCGGTGCAATGAGTTTTCATCCATTCTGAAGTGCTAATGATGCAGGCATGTAATATTTCTGTTTGGAAAAATTAAACAATAAATTTTGAAGCAGAAACTCTGAAATACCCTGTCTTTCAGGGGATCGGACAAATTTTACATGAGGTTGTGTCTTTCCTCTCTTATTTATAACCCTGATGTTTTTCTGATTCTGTACTGCACTCATGTTCATGTGTGCTTAGCTCCATCATATTTTTGGTCCATTTTGTATCCCTTTGCTTTTTGATTTGGACTATGGCATATCATAAAGTATTATGAATGCGTTGCCTGCTGTAGCTGCGCCTTTGCATTTGTGTTGCTCCTACTCAGTGAGCTTTGCATTATTACTCTGTGTTAAACTGAGTTGTAATGGATATTTTTTCATCTATATGCTATCAGGTTCTGTTAGCTGCTGTTTGTCTGGTATGCGACGTTTATCAGTCCGAAAACATAGCGACTTTCAGATGAATGAATCCCATTCTTGTAATTTTCCTTTTGCATTTGTATTTTCAAATTGCTTTCATCTTATCCCAAGAGGTTTGTCTTAAGTGCATTGTTTCAAAAGGTTCAGATAGGAACGAATGCAAACTTGCTTGAATTAACTAAGCTTTCTGCTGATTTGATTTGTGATTTCCATCTGTCGCTTATGGGGCTATATTGCACATTCATCAACACTGATTCATCAATATTCTTAATTTTACTGTGCCTTTTATTTTGCTTTCTTGCTCTTTTACAATAGCACGCTTCAAGCAACATAGCCTCCAAACTCAAAATTTCTGTATAGCTCAGAACTTGGTTAAATCCCTCAGATTGCCCCCGGAATAGCCAGACTAAATGTTATTGCAAGAGATCTGTAACCAGCATCTCCTTTAAAAGGGGGGGCTTCTTGAGAATATGGGGGTCTAAATTTGGACAGGACCACCCCTGAAGCTGCTATTTGCCATGCAGGTGAAAACATACAGGTTGCCCCTCCCCTTGTCTGACCAAAGGTACTTTTCACATAGAGAAAATAGAGATTGTTTTCAACTTGGCAGAACAGCATGAGGATACAATTAAGCCCCTCCCCTAGTGCCGTGGTCCCGATCCAATTCCCAGGCCTTCCCCGATGGCTGTTTTGGACTCCAACAAGCAAAGAGAAACTGTTGGGGAGCCTGATCTCTAGGAATGGAGGAGAAAATTGATTCCGTTCGCATTGAATGGCAAACTTTCGGGATTCGCACTTTCTGAAATAGTGTGCGAAGTGAAACACAGCCATCCGTCGAAAAATTCATACTTCTCCCTTCAAAGATGGTGGTGATTGTGATTTTATTGTTTATTAAATTTGTGCACCGCTCCTCCACCCGCAGATCTCAGGGTGGCTCACAACATTAAAAACACGGCACAAAAACACAAAATGCAGGATAAAAGCAAGAACAAAAAAACAACAAGCCAGTAAATAAAGATGCGGAACATGCTGGCAACATCCGCTGACTGCTACTTGGCCCAGGCTGAACAGAGCTGCTCCAATAGGGGTACAGTTTCCTCCAAGAGGACTCTGGTCAATCAGGGTTCATGTCCCTGGCTGGGAATTGTTGCTTGTGCACATGACGTTATCAAAGACTCACATGTTCCTTCTAGGCTGGGTGTGTGTGTGTGTGTGTGTGTGTGCAGGGATGTACCTCCAAGCCCATCAGCCTAACCCAGCCTTCCAGCCCTATCCATTTGGCCTGAGACACCGTTTTGGGCAAGCAACATCCACCTGCCCTACACCTGACACCAGGTGTGGGGCAGGTGAAGGTAGGGATTGGCGAAACAAGACTTTGTAGGGACGGCAAAGTCCTTTGCCAGCCCTGTGCTTGGTAAGCCTCCTCCTATATTTGGTACGAATTGTCATGTGTGCAGTCATGTGTGCAGCATATGCCCTGACCGTTGTGCCAATGTGTGTCTGGCGGATTTGTGTTCTCTGCATGTCGCTGTGAGGCACATTCTCTTGCGATGCGTGTATATAGGCCTTTCCTAAATACAGGGTGCGTGCAAAGGACTTTCTGATCCTTACTTCGCTTTTCACATACTAATTCGGCTGGCTTCGCCCTGCCAAGAGGTGCAGTGAGCTGCCGTTGTGACCCCCCACTTACTTGGGATTAACCCCTGCTGAACTCAGCAGGATTTGCTTCTGAATAGGCACTGTTAGCGTTGCAGCCTTAGATCGCCAAAGAAGAAGAAGAAGAAAAAGAAGAAGGAGGAGGAGGAGAAGAAATCAAGATTTTTAAAATTTATAGCAGATGCCTTTTTTTTTATTTCTGCCTTGGGCAGAAAAATTCCCTTGGTCCGCCCTGTCAATTCTTCCAAATGTATGCTAATTTAAAATAACTATATAAGTCATTTATATGGGTCACCTGATACTTCGGGCAGCTCACATCGTAAAACGATAAAACACAAAACCATAAAGCAACAAACTGCAGCATAAAAAATAGGCAGCAGCGAGCGAGAAGTGAGCAACAGAACCAGTTTTACAGCCGGACTATAAATACACAACATGTAAACAGTGGTTCAAAGAGAAGTTAAAACCAAGCCAGGGATACTGTGTGTGCATTATGGTTTGCTCCCTCCTGGCATCTGAGGTTGAAAACTTTGCCCAGAGGCAAGAAGCAAACATTTTAAACTTGGCCGCGAGTCTGAAGCCGTCAAGGGGGAGAAAGAAACCTCAATGTACGAAGGAAGTGCTATTGTCAAATCTGCAAAGGAGCCGTATTCAAAATACTTGCTACCCTTTACATGTGCTTTGTAAACTGAGTACATTTCTTATTTGTGAAGCCCAGTGTGGTATCCTGTGCCTTTGGTCGCTTCCAAACGACCTCTTTATCGAGCATTCATCCTGATTTGTATGCACAATGTTTGCAGGCAGGTTAGACAAGGTCGGTGATTTATTGAGCATTCGTTTGTGAGTGGAGCTTAAGGTGATGTCGCGTCAAGCAAATGTTACCCCGAACTTTGCAGTGTGTTTCCTCATCGCTTTTCCTATTGTGGTAAAAAAAAACCACCCCCGGGGTGTGTGTGTAGGAAGCACTTTCATTGCACGGAAACTCCGATTCAGCTTTAATTGTCCAGCCTGAATTTGCCTGCATGTGATTGAATTCAACCCGAAAACAGCGACTGTCTGGAAGCACCCTATGTTGTGTAATGTGTTTTGGCATCCGCATGCTATGGTATCCACCTAACACTGTAGTCTGGGTTGGGGAATATGACACAATGTGTTTTTCTCTGTATGCCGAGTCCTCAGTGCGCAGATGTGGTAGTGACTTCAGAGCAAGGGTGTACAACCTTTCTGCTTTGTTTTGTTGCAATGGCCGCTATGAGCTGGGCCCAAACCAGTGGTGGTGAAGACCAGAACCAAAAGCACATATGAGACCACTCCTTCCTCCTTTTTCTTGCTTTTTCTGACATTCCTTTTTCTCTGTCCGTCTCTTCCTTTTACACCCTGCAGGGGAAGGACAGATCTTTCGCTTGCTGACAAGGGGGCCGAGGGCCCCCCCAAGTTTCAAGGAGGGGGGCTGGGTCCCCTCAATATTTTGCAGCAACATGTGCACACTTGTGCATGCATGACATGCGCACGTCACACAGCATGTGTGCGTGTATATGACGCGAGCATGTCGCACGCACTGGGTGCCTCAGTCGTGGGGACAGACTGGCTTGCCTGCTCACTGGAGCCTTGCGCTGAAAGCTTGCAGAAGGCCACATGGAATAAGCCCAGTGTTGGGTCTGCACACTGCTGTGACGCACCTGTTCAGGAATATGGTTGTGAGCTTTCTGTAACTGGCGGCCGGTTTGTTTCCAGGACTATTTCAAGGTGCTCATGCTAGTTTTAAAACTGTACAGTACATGACTTAGGCCCCAAGATTGGCAAGACCTCTTCATTCCCTACAGCCCCTCCCAGGTGTCATGTTCAGCAGAAAGGGGGGGGTCCTCTTGGTAGTTTGTTTGTTTATTGAATTTATATACTGCCCTACATAAATTCAATACAGCCCTATGGGGGACCCGGGTGGCGCTGTGGGTTAAACCACAGAGCCTAGGACTTGCCGATCAAAAGGTCGGCGGTTTGAATCCCCACGACGGGGTGAGCTCCCATTGCTCAGTCCCTGCTCCTGCCAACCTAGCAGTTCGAAAGCACGTCAAAGTGCAAGTAGATAAATAGGTACCGCTCTGGCGGGAAGGTAAATGGCATTTCCGTGCGCTGCTCTGGTTCGCCAGAAGCGGCTTAGTCATGCTGGCCACATGACCCAGAAGCTGTACGCCGGCTCCCTCGGCCAGTAAAGCGAGATGAGCACCACAACCCCAGAGTTGGCTGCGACTGGACCTAATGGTCAGAGGTCCCTTTACCTTTATACTGCCCTATACCCAGAGGTCTCAGGGCAGTTCACAGAAAAGATCACAATATATAAAATCAGAATAAGAACAATAACCCAATAATAACCTCCACCAAAAAAGAGCCACATTTTAAAAGGGTAAAAGGATGTCGATCAGGTCAACCAAAGGCCTGGTTAAAAATGAATGTTTTTGACTGGCGCCTAAAGGTATGTAATGAACAGGGCTGTCTTACCTATAGGCGCTAGGGGTGTGGGGCACGCACCCGGGCGCCAGGCTCTCAGGGCGCCAGGCCAAGAGTATGGGGCCCGAGAGTTGAGTCTGGGGAAGAGCCCACCTGCCTGCCGATTGGAGCGCTGCGGCAGGCTCTTCTGCTGCGGGTTGCTCTGCGCCGCGAGTTTGGGGGCAACCGAGCCAGCGAGATGCTGAGGTGGCTGGCCAGCTCTGCTCTCCTGCGTGACTAGGACTGGGAAACCGGGTGGGGGGTGCAGGGCGGATCTTTGCACCCCGGCATCGCATATGCTTAAGACAGCCCTGGTAATGAAGGCGCCAGGTGAACTTCCCTGGGGAGAACATTCCACAGACAGGGGGCCACTGCAGAGAAGGCCCCTTCTTGTGTTGCCACCCTCCGGACCTCTCAGGGAGGGGACACATGAAGGTGGGCCTCAGAAGTTGATCTCAGTGTCCAGGTAGGTTCATATGGAAAGAGGTGGAAACCTACCTTAGAGTTTTGGGGTGTTGGTGGCCCAGGAGACGGCATTCTCTGTGGCAGCCCCTGACTTCTGGAATCCCCTCCTGGCTGAGGTTGCATCTGGCTTCTTCACTATCAGTGAACATTGAAGACACACCCCTTTACCCTGGCCTATGACACCTGTGATGTGTGTTTTCAGGGCCCACCCTATTCCTGCAACTGTCATCTGTTTTAAAATTCTGAAATTTAAATTGCTATAATCACACCCCCCCCACAGGATGTGCTATGGAGGGTGGGGTGGGAGGTTGATAATAATAATGGTCAAGAATAGATATATAAAGTGACGGAGTCAATCTCTTGGCTCTCCTCTGATGCTCTTGAACAAAGTTCATAAAAACCTCAGCTCAGCCGGTTAGAGCGTGGTGCCGATAACGCCAAGGCAGTGTTAGAAACTGAAATATGAAAGCTAGCAGCTAAATGGCACCTTAAGCCAGGGGTCAGCAACCTTTTTCAGCCATGGGCCATCCACCTTGTGGTGGGCCGGACTATTTGGACTATTTTATTTGGGGGGGGGGTGAACAAATTCCTATGCCCCACAAATAACCCAGAGATGCATTTTAAATAAAAGCACACATTCTACTCATGTAAAAATACCAGGCAGGTCCCACAAATAACCCGGAGATGCATTTTAAATAAAAGGGCACATTCTACTCACGTAAAAACATACTGATTCCTGGACCATCCGCGGGCTGGATTTAGAAGGCAATTGGGCCGCATCCGGCCCCCGGGCCTTGGTTTGCCTATTCCTGCCTTAAACCTAGGTTATGGGCGCAACAACGGAATGTCTAGGCGCGCTTTTTTATAACAAGAATACAAAGCTGAAAATGAATGAACTGCAGCTAAAACTTTTTCACGTGCTCTAGTCCTGCCCCTGCTCACCCCCCTAATATTCTTAAGAGGGTCTCTTCTCCAGTCTTCATAGAGTAGCTGGAAGTGGGGAGGCAGAAAAAGGTCCTCCTTTCCTTCTACTCTGCAGTTTTAATTTGAAATCTTAGGTACAGTACTGCCCCCAGAGCTCAGAAACTGCTCGCGCTAATGAGATTCCCTGTCGCAAAATGCGCCTAGAACAGGGGTCTGCAACCCGCGGCTCCGGAGCCGCATGTGGCTCTTTTACACCTTTGCCACGGCTCCGGGGCGGATACTAGCGAGGGGAGGAGGCGCATTGTGCGCCCCGACACTCCCCACTGTGGCGGGCGCTGTACTGGCTGTGACGTCGCATGGGGGCGGTTCGTGCGTTAGTCACGCACCATCCCGACGTCACCTTTCCGCCCGCCCACCCACTACATTGTAAGGGGCATGTACACTGGTCACTGCATTGAAAGGGGGCATGTACGCTGGTCACTGTTTTGAAGGGGAGTGAAGAACACACACACACACAAAAAGGTAACTTGTTAATTTAACGTTTATTTCTATGAGGAGGAGTAATTCTGAGAGGTCAAACAAAGAAATAATAAAAAAGTGACAAAAAAGTTATTTTTATAATGACGAGTTTTGCGGCTCCCAGTTTTTTTTTCTTCGGAAACGGGTCCAAGTGGCTCTTTTTGTCTTAAAGGTTGCAGACCCCTGGCCTAGAACAACAGGAGTTTTGAACGCTGCACCAAGGTTGTGGGTTCAATTCCTGCATTGCAGGGGGTTGGAGTAGATGGGGTCCCTTCCAACTCTACAACTCTATGCTTCTAAAGTAGAGGGGGATTCTTTAAACAAGGTGCAAAAGATCCTCAGATTAGGTGCAGCAAACGTTAACACTTAAGAATAAAATACTTAAAAGTGTGCTGCCGGCCTTGGTGCAAGATCCTCGGGGCAAGACTGCTCGGTAGCTGTACTCACCCTTTTCCATATTGACTTGAGATCAGTGGTTTGTTTGAACTAGAGTCAGAAATACTTGTTGGCAAGGCAAAGACGGGCCTTACTGGCTGCCAATCACAGGGGCTGTTGCTGCACAACCTTATTCCTTTCTGCACCTGTACAGGAAAGCCAGAGGCTCACACTACAAGCAGCCATCAGGGGTGGACTTTGGGGTCTCAAATTTCAGGGGTGCCCTGGGTGATGCCACCTTCCATTCTACATCATAGTTGTGGCATCCCCAGTGGTGCCCCTGATGCTCTGTGCCCAGTGCGGCCAAACTGGTTGTGCTCCCCTAAATCTGCCTCTGCAGCCATTGTCAGGTACCCGATCAGAATTGGGATCCTGGCACGGGGTGGTGTAACATTTTACCCACAAACACACACACACTGTGGTCCCAAATCTGGATTGTGGGGCTCACATTTGCTGCAATTAGAGTCTCCCCACATATGTGATTGCAGGCATGGAGGTCCCTGTGTGGATTTGGGGACACGGGGTGGGGGGTGTCCCAGTCTGGGTCCCAGGCCCTGTACTGATTATTTTGAAAAGAAAAAGCTTGCACTTAGGGTCAAAAATGACGGACATCATGCTTAATTTGGTAGATCGCTAAGCCCCAGTTTGAGATAACGAAGTTTCCAGTTTGGGCTGGGACCCGAAATTCCCAGATGTGGTCAAGTCCCAGGTTATTTTTGACACTCTCCGTAAGTCAGAATGTCTGTTTCACAGAGCTGGGGAGCTGTTTGGAAAATAAGCACAAGCGTGCTCCCAGGAACGGATAGGCTGAGTGTCCAAAGGAATTTTTGTTTGCTTGTTTGTTTTAAACATACATGCTCCTCCCTAAATAAATTTGATTTAAGGGTGGTTTGCCATCAGGGCAGTTTACAATTTGTAAAGAAGGGCTTAGCCCAGTAGAGAGCACACACTTCGAATGCAGAAGGCTCTGGGTTCAATCCCTCCAGGCAGGACTGAGAAAAGCAAATGATTGCCTGACACCCTGGAGAAGGCAGAGGAAGTGGAGTGAAGAGCATTATGTGGGCTGACTGGGGTGGGCTGTAACAAAGAGACAGAGAGCATGGTTGATTTCTCTGTTCTGAGACCAAAGCCTGCTGAGCCTATGGGAGAAGCCAGAGATCTGGAAATGGGAATGTTCTGAACACTCTCCAACTAGAGTCAAGTTGTATATCTGCAAATAAACCACATATCCAAAGGACACCCCAGTCTCCTCTTTGCCCCATTTCCAAAGGAAACACAGACCCTGGGTAAAGCACACCTAGAACTCCTTCAATCATCATAGGGATTGGGGTGGCGTGTAATAAGGCTTTTAAATGTATGGTGTGTATCACACTTGACAGTGATGTTTTGGTGTGAAAATAAAGTGTCCCGGTTTTCATTTCTGCAGTTTTGGAGAGTTAATAGAGGCAGTGTTGTCAGGCTGTCACAATTCTCCTGCACATCCCCTTAGTACAAAAAAAAAAGGTAAAGGACCCCTGGCAGTTAAGTCCAGTCGTGAAGGACTCTGAGGTTGCGTGCTCATCTTGCTTTACTGTCCGAGGGAGCCGACGTTTGTCCGCAGACAGTTTTTTGGGGTCATGTGGCCAGCATGACTAAGCCGCTTCTGGCGAAACCAGAGCAGCACACGGAAACGCCATTTACCTTTCCGTCGGAGCGTTACCTATTTATCTACTTGCACTTTGACGTGCTTTCGAACTGCTAGGTTGGCAGGAGCAGGGACAAGCAACGGGAGCTCACCCCGTTGCGGGGATTCGAACCGCCGACCTTCTAATCAGCAAGTCCTAGGCTCTGTGGTTTAACCCACAGCGCCACCCGCGTCCCTTAACCTTGTGTATATCAGCCTGCAATTTAAAACAAGGCTTCATGCATCTGATGAAGTAGGCTGCAGTGCTCAGGAGCAAGGTTGGCAGGAGCTGGGACCAAACAATGGGAGCTCACCCCATCGCAGGGCTTCGAACTGCCGACCTTCCAATCGGCAAGCCCTAGGCTCTGTGGTTTAGACCACAGCGCCACCCGCGTCCCATCCCCTTAGTACACACCTGTATTATTATTATTATTCCTACTCTGGTCTCTTATTGCACTAATACAGCAATTTTGCAATTCTGACTTTTCAGCTTTACAGCCTAGGCATCTGAGATGTGATGATTCCAGGGTACCATCGACAGTTGGGCTACACAAACTCTAGGGGGAACAGCTCCCTATTCTGTTCCTAATCTAGGTACTGCCTTGTTTTTCTGTTCTCGCTCTCAGCTTTTCCTAGGATAGGGAAGGCAAAGGGTGAGGACGGCCCTCTGTTCAAAACTTTCACTGCAGTTCTTATCCAACGCTGCTGCACTATGGATTAACTATGGATGCTTTTAAAAAGAGTCAACAAAACAATTGCCCTCACTCGAGTTCTAAAAATCTGGTGGTGGCAAGCTAAGGTCAAGGTTTCAGAGCAGATGTGGGGAAACCTCTGGACTGCTAAGCGTTGTTGAACTACAACTCCCATCATCCCCAGCAAGCATGACCAGGGGATGATGGGAGTTGTAGTCCAACAACGTCTGGAGGGTGAAAGGTTCCCAGTTTGAGAGGCTTGGTGTCAAGCTATTGGCTGTTTAGGGCCGGTACAGGTCAGTATGGCCGGAGACACCTGGGGCAGGAGGGTCGATATCAACACATTCATGCAACATATGCCCGTCTCCCAAATTCATGGTCTGCAAACACTTCATCTGCCCAGCCACATGCAGCTTCTGCCTGCCTATCTGCTCCCTTACTTATCCAGCTACTTCAATTTTATCCATTCATATTGCTCACCTGCTTGGGTCTGCTTCCTGCTTTTCCCTCCCTCCTGCTTTGCCTGAATATTTAGCTGGGGACCAGGATGGGATGAATGGGAGTAGCAACTGAGGACCACCATCACCTAGAGAGCCTAGAGGGAGGGAGAGAGAGAGGCAAATGAGGTTTTAGTGCTAGGAATATCGGGGGGCTTTGGCTGACACGAAGGACTGACAAAGGCAAGAATTGGGTGCTTTTACGGCCCATGCAAAGGGAACCTGCCGGAGGTATGGGATCAGGTGGTGCTGGGTAGCCAGAACAAAAGGCTGGGCAGCCAGACCCTGTTGATACACCCTGGGTCTGCATCTGCAGCCGCTGCTTTCAAGGACACGGCAAGCGGCTCTTGACATGTTGAGAACAGCAGGTCCCTGCGGTGGAGGAGATCTCTGGCTGTGCAGTGTGCATGGATAGAGACACATTGCTCTCTCTCTCTCTCTCTCTGTGGCCTCTTTGAGTGCCCCACCACTAATAAACCTGGCATGCGGTAGCCATGCATAAAAATGGGGGCAGGGTAGGAAATCAGAGGGAAAGACACACAATTCTCAGACCTTACATGTGTCCCTATTTTCCAGGGACGTCCCTGACTTAGAGAAGCTGTCCCGATTTCTGATTCGATCCCAGAATGTCCAGCTTTTCATTATGACGTCCCTGTTTTCATTGGAGGAATGTTGGAGGGTATGGGGTTATCTGACCCCTGAGCTGTCTGAAGGCGATCCTGTATAGGGAAGGGTGTTTTTTTTTAATGTTTAATGTTTTATTATGTTTTTATATATGTTGATAGTTGCCCAGAGTGGCTGGGGCTACCCAATATGATGTGGGAGGGCTATAAATTATCATTATGTAATGGGATGTCTCTATTTTCATCAGAGAAATGTTGGGGGGGGGTATGCAGTTTATAATTCAAATCCAGGGCTTTTTTTCCAGCCGGAACTCACCAGAACTCAGTTCTGGCACCTCCTTGGTGGGTGCCATTGCCATTATAAGAGAACAAGGGAGGTGTTCAGGGTGAAGTTCCAGCACTTCGCTTTCTAGAAAAATAGCAATGCCCAAGACTATATACAATCTTTTCTTAGTTCAAATGTTTTATTGCCAGAGACCAAGTACAGTGGTACTTCAGGTTAAGTACTTAATTCGTTTCGAAGGTCAGTTCTTAAGCTGAAACTGTTCTTAACCTGAAGCACCACTTTAGCTAATGGGGCCTCCTACTGCCGCCGCGCCGCCAGAGCACGATTTCTGTTCTCATCCAGAAGCAAAGTTCTTAACCTGAAGCACTATTTCTGGGTTAGCGGAGTCTGTAACCTGAAGCGTATGTAACCTGAGGTACCACTGTATACTCTTTACTTCTTCCCCTCTTTCTTGAGTGGTGGGAAAGAAAGGAAATCAGTTTCCTTCAGCCCTAGAGACTTTCTCTCTCTAGGCAATGACTATTTTGTGTATGTCCAGTTGATGCACGACCACTGACAGGCGCACCGCTTTTGACCCCAGAAGCAGCCGGGGTGGGGCGGAACAGGGCAGAATGGGTGTGAAATGGGCTTACACATGACCGCTCACCCTGTGAAAATGGGGAGTTTCCTTTATATTCATAAGCCTCTGTGTTTGTTTGTTTGTGTGTGTGTGTATCTATGCAGCTGAGAAGGAATGAATTCATGATTATTAAATTTACACCACACCTTTTTCCCCTCAAGGAGCTCGTGGTGGCAAATGTGGTTCTCTCCCCTCTCCATTTCACCCACACAACCACCCTGTGAGGTTGGTTAGGCTTCGTGGCCGAGTGAGGATTTGAACTCTGGTCTCCCAGGACTTAGTCCAACACTCGAACCGCTACGCCACAATGGCGTTCCGAGTGAGATGGTTTTCAGCAGCTCAGGGAGAACCTGAGGCACCAATCCTCTGCAGCTCAGCGAGCTCGGAGCGTAGAAAGACAAGCAGCATCTCAAGCCTTTACAGTACAGTGGTACCTCAGGTTAAGAACTTAATTCATTCCGGAGGTCAGTTCTTAACCTGAATTTGTTCTTAACCTGAAGCACCACTTTAGCTAATGGGGCCTCCTGCTGCCGCCGTGCCATCGGAGCACGATTTCTGTTCTCATCCTGAAGCAAAATTCTTAACCTGAGGTAATATTTCTGGGTTAGTGGAGTCTCTGACCTGAAGCGTCTGTAACCTGAAGCGTATGTAACCCGAGGTACCACTGTATTCTAGTAACAAACCCCAATACTTCTGCTCCTGAGAGCTTTGCATTCCAGGGATGAGGAACCAGTCTCAACCTGAGGGCCGCCTTCCCTTTCACACAAGTTTGTGGAAGCCGCATGCCCCTGGTGGGCGGAGCCAGAGGCAGGAATGGGTGGAGCAATGAATTTGGCATTTGTTCAGTAGGCTAGTTTCTACACACATGACTCTGTAACCTCTATCCAGACAACTGAGAGGCATGATCAGAGTTAAAGGGCACATTCTAGCTAGGCAAGAACCATCAAGAAGGGTCTGAAGCTTCCTACCCCTGGGGTATTCCATGAACAGTGCAAAACAGGCTTAAAAGAGTGTGTGTGTGTGTGTTTAGTTAATAGCCATATAACCAATTTGCCCAACATAAGGGCAGGGAACAGCCTCGAGGGTGATTCTTTTATGCAGCCAGCGTTGTCAAGTGGGTTTTATTGCTGGACTTGAATTTGGTAATCTTGGATTCAAATCCCTTTTCTCTGGGAAAACAACTCTTATTCCTCCTCATTCCCTTCTCTGTAAAAGGACGTAACTAAGACCTTATTACGACACTTTCCATTTGCATCCTGTCTTTCTTCTGAGGCATTCAACACAGCATACCTGGCGTTTCTTGCCCATTTTGTCCTCACCTGTGACGTAGGTTAGAATGAGGGCCGGGAACCGGTCCAATGCCACCCTGTGAGCAAACTCTAGGGCTGGCCAGGAATTTCAACCTGGGTCACCACAGGTCCTAGATCCGCCCTCTAACCGCTATACCACACTGGCTCTCGGTCGATCGGGGATGGCGGGGACTGGTTGTTGGCATTAGTCCAGGGGTCAGCAAACTTTTTCAGCAGGGGGCTGGTCCACTGTCCGTCAGACCTTGTGGAGGGCCGGACTATATTTTGAAGGGGAAAAAATGAACGAATTCTTATGCCCCACAAATAACCCAGAGATGCATTTTAAATACAAGCACACATTCTACTCCTGTAAAAACACCAGGCAGGCCCCACAAATAACCCAGAGATGCAGTTTAAATAAAAGGGCACATTCTACTCATGTAAAAACACGCTGATTCCTGGACTGTCCATGGGCTGGATTTAGAAGGTGATTGGGCCGGACCTGGCCCCCGGGCCTTAGTTTGCCTACCCATGCATTAGTCTGTCTTGAGAGACAATGGAGTTTGCCTGCAGGGGTGAAGTCAAACTGCTGTGTTAGTAGCACCAAAGTGACCTCCCTGGCGGAGCAAGGCTGGGCAGTGTGTATGAGGGTCCTAGGCTGCCCGGACAACAGGACCCTCCTCTCGGCCTCACTGATGTGGTCCAAAGGAAAGCAGAGCCATACATTTGGCACCAGCTTGGCTGTAGGAGGTGCTGGAGTGAGGTGTACGAGGTGCCATCCAACCGTCTTGGGGACACCACTCTGGATTTGTTTAGGGTTTACGCCTTAGCCTTTTCTTCTCCTGAAGATGTCCCACAAGGCAGTGGAGGTTTAGGATCAGAATTTCCTTTTCCTAGATGGGCTACCTTCCCAGGTGGACTAGTCCCCTCTGCCCATCACTTCCCCCCACAGTACATGCAGAAAACACCTTCTTCTTTTGTATTGATATAATTATTACTTTTTCTATTTTACAATTTCAAATAAACATTTTAGGTACTTTAAAATATCCAGTGGCTTCCCTTTTTCTCTTTCCATGGTTCATTTTGCCTATCTTACATCCCTGCATATTTTACAATAACCATTCCAATCGGTTTTCCCAAAAAACATGTTTAGGGGTACTCTCATTTTCCTACTCATATTGAAATACTGCCCCTCAATGAGGCCAAACTTAGATTCACAAAATGTTTAGGGGTATGCGTACCCCCTGCCTCCCCCGCCCAGAAAAAAGCACTGATTATATCCATCAAATATGTTTTAGTCTGTTTGCTTTATCTTAAAGCTGCCAGTGTTTTCAGCTGTACACAGTTGTTTTCCGTATACTCAATAAACGTTTTCCATCTTCTTTAAACCTATTCTTCTTTCCCTCTTATTCTGTATGTTCCATCTGCCAGTTGCGCATATTCTGTCAACTTAAGTTGCCAAACCTCTTTTAGTTGGGACCTCGCTCACTTTCCGTTTTGGGGCTAACAGAACACCTTTTCTGGTAGCTGGGGATTTCTGGCACCTAGGAAAATGCCTTATTTTTATTTTTTAAAAATTTTGTTATTAAAGATTTATTAGTTTACAAAAAAATTGTGCATTGTCTCTTTTTTCAAGTTGCATTTTCTACAGATCAGTTTCATTTGTTGTGAGACATTAGCATTACAGTGTTCAGTTAGGAAGAAAATAGGGGGAAGAGGTGAGGAATCGTAAGTGGGGTGGGGTCAGGTGGCAATGCGTCTATTCTTCTACTTCGTGTATGTGTGGGGTTTTGTGTCAGCGTCACTTGTGTGGGTTCTCTTACTATTGTTGTATTTTCTTGTTGTATTTTCTTGGTGGTGAGAGAGGTTGGGGGTGCCCTAGAGTGTGGTTGTTTGTCTTTGATTGGCTGTAGTGAGATTTGTTTTCGTGTGTGTGTGTGTGTGTGTGTGTGTTTGGATCAGGTTATTGGATCAGCAGATTATTGCTGTTGTCTTGTTGGACTATGTATGTGATAAAGGGGAACCATACTGGGGTGAAGGCGTCTTCTTCTATTTGTCCCCATGTCAGTTTCAGATTATTGGTTAGTTTTTCTAATAAGGTTGCTTCCCATACTATTTGATACCAATGGTCCATGCTTACTCCTGACAGGTCTCTCCAGTGTCTGGCTATGATGCTTCTGGCTGGGTTATGAGCTCTTTGTGATATGAGTGGGCATTATTATCTTGGAAAATGCCTTCTAGACCATTGGACTGACTCTTGGTCTCTTCCGCTCACTCCACCGAAGCCTGGTACAAAAAGCTGTGTGTTAAAGGTGTTGAACGTGGCCGCCTATACACCATACATTTAAAGCACATAGCATCTCCCAAAGAATACAGGAAACTATAGTTCACCACTGCAGACCTACAGTTCCAGGCACAGTCAACCAACTACAGTTACCAGGATTATGATGTGCTTTAAATGTATGGTGCGTATGCTGACTTAGTGGGTGAATTCCTGAATTCTAGGCCCTGTAACTGCATCCCCCTTTAACCTTTGTATTCAGCACCTGTGGACTAATGGTTTCTCTCTCATTCTTGTCTTTCAGGTTTATCTGGGGCAGGGCGTGTGCCCTGCAGCTCGTGTCCCTCCAGGTGGGGGGCATCCATCCAGCAGCCCCACTTCCCTTCTCCCTACCCCTCTGGCCTTCAGCTCCATTCCATGGGGGTGGATGGCATGTATGAGAAGAGCAGAATGCTGAACATACAGAACAGCACGTGGGGCAGTCGCCAAGAGTGGTACCAAGACAGTTTGGTGACAGGACCACCCAACCCTGGTATGAAGGGATGGGGGATGAATTCGATTCAGTTTGCATTTACTTGCTTAATTTGCAGTTTCTAAAAGGATACCTCATCATCATCATCATCATTATTTATTGAATTCATATACCGCCCTATACCTGGAGGTCTCAGGGTGGTTCACAGAATAAAATCAAGGTATAAAACCACAAAATTACATAATAAAAACAAAAAACAACCCAATAGCTCCCCCCCCCAAAAAAAACACATTTTAGAAGGGCATAGGTTGTAAAATCAAGGTATGAAACCACAAATTACATAATAAAAACAAAAACAACCCAATAGCTTCCCCCCCTCAAAAAAAACACACATTTTAGAAGGGCATAAGTTGTAAAATTGGAACCACCAAAGGCCTGGTTAAAAAGGAACATTTTTGCCTGGTGCCTAAAGGTGTATAATGAAGGTGCCAGGCGAGCTTCCCTGGGGAGAGCATTCCATAGACGGGGAGCTACTGCAGAGAAGGCCCCGTTCTTGTGTTGCCACCCTCCGAACCTCTCAAGGAGGAGGCACACAAAGGAGGGCCTCAGAAGATGATCTCAGGGTCTGGGTAGGTTCATATGGGGAGAGGCGGTCCTTGAGGCATTGTGGTCCTGAGCCGTTTAAGGCTTTATAGGTCAAAACCAGCACTTTGAATTGGTCCCGGAAACTAACCGGTAGCCAGCGCAGTCAGACCAGGATCAGTGTAATATGCTCAAACTGTCTTGCTCTGGTGAGCAACCTGGCTGCTGAATTCTGGACTAGCTGAAGTTTCCAAACCGTCTTCAGAGGCAGCCCTACGTATAACGCATTGCAGTAATCTAACCTTGAGGTTACCAGAGCATAGACAACAGTAGTTAGGCTATCCCTGTCCAGATAGGGGCGTAGCTGGGCCTACATGAACAGAAACAAGGCCCGTGCTTTCTTTACCCTAAAAAAGTACCGGTACTCACCAGCAAGCAGGCAGAGGGGCCAGCATGTGGGGAAGGGACATGGCCTGAGGCCAAGGCTGGGTGGTGAGGGCGGATTAGCTGATTGATGCTCCCTTGTCCACCCACCCACCCACCTACTGGGGTGCTGCCGCGCAGGTAAACACGCTTCTGCCGCCCAGGAAGGAGGCAGCAGGGCTCCAGGAACCTGTCAAAGCATCACGTCTCTGTCTCTAAGGTCAGCAAAGGCTTCCCGGGCTTGGGGAAGGAGGCATGAAGCTCTGACAGGCCCAAGAACCCTCCCGCCTTCCCCTTCCCAAAAAGGTGACGGTTCTGCGTACTGTTGCATACTGCCAGGAAAAAAGCCCATCCTTTGATCTTTGCAGTTCTCTGAGCTTTGCAGTTCTCCAGCCGTGCAATGTGTACATAAGTGCATATACTAGGGTAACGTGCATTAAAAAATATACCAAAAGGGCAGGGTGTCATTAGGGAAATTGCTTTGTGAAGATGATGATGGTGATGATGATTTATTTCTTCTACCCTGCCCATCTGACTGGGTTACCCCAGCCACTCTAGGCATTATAAAAACTAGGCATTATAAAAGCAAGACATCAAACATCAAAAGATGTGTATGTTATGCGGAATAGCATATAAACATGTATGTTTGGAGAAATTAGTGCTAAAATGCTGATAAATTTTCATGTGTGTGTGTGTGTGTGTAAACTGAACTGAAGGTTGGAAAAATGAGAAACTGAGATTGACAGATTTGCCTGCCTCTTTCTGTCCGTATAGATCTAGGTATTAACGTTTATTTATGTGCCTGCTCTTCCCAGGACCTCAAGGTGGTGCAAATGGTTCTTCCCTCCTAATTTTATCCTCACGACAACCTTTGAAGGGAGGCTAGGCTGGGAGAGAGTGAGCAGCCCAAGGTTACTTACTGAGCTTCACAAACACACACAAAGATTGCCCTTTCCCGCAGTCTGGAGAGTATGAGCTAGGCTTCCCGAGGGGCTAGATCAGGCGTGGAGAATCCGCGACCCTCCAGATCTTGCTGGACTACAACTCCCATCATCCTCGATTATTGACCAGGTTTGCTGGATCTGATGGGAGCTGGAGCCCAAGAACTTCAGGAGGGGACACAGGAGAGTTCCCCATCTCTCGGCTAGCTAAATGTCAGTGTGCTTACATCTACGCCATACATTTAAAGCATATCCCCGCTCCCCAAGAATCCTGAGAACTGTAGTTTACCCCCCAGGGAGCTACAGGTCCCAGGATTCTTACCAAACTACAGTTCCCAGGATTATTAAATTTTTTGGGGGGGAAACCATGTGCTTTATATGTAAGCGATAAGAAAAGCGGGTTTGAGAGAGGCAGATGTAGAATAGAGAAGTGGGATGGTGTTCATGCTTGTGTTCTCATCCCTTTCTCCAGTTTAAGCTGTGTCTCCTTTGTGGCTTTTGCTCCTTTCAGGTTCCCAATGCTCTGTTCTGGGTTTTGATATCCACAACAAGTAGCTAGTCCCCCAGAGAAACTCGAGACAGCAGTCATGGGAAGAGGGAATATCTCAGGACTTGGCAGTCCATTGCAGCTCCCAACAAATCAGGGCTGCTTGTTGTACATCTAGGGCCAGTGTCAACAGCTGGCACCCTGGCCCACTGCCCTCTATGTGCTGACACCTGCCCAGGGCCAACAGGTGCTTAGGTCTAGCCACCATTTAAATGTCCCTGCAATGTAACATCACTCCCAAGACTTTGTGGGATGCATTTATAGTGGCTGAAGCCCAGTCCTGCTCAGAGAATTATTGTTGCTTCTGGAACTGCCTGCATATTGTATCAAATATCAGTGCCGGGTTGTTTTGAGGCAGAAGTTCAGGTCAATTTGCTTTTTAATACGAAACTACCGAATTTGCCGGAAGAAAACGCAAGCCAAAAACACAGCTATTGCCCGAAACTTGCATTTCTCTGAATTTTGTGACGCAGCTTTCGCATCGAGTGATGTGCATAAAAACCTGCATGTTAGGGGGTAAATTGCGTTTAAAAAGGCACTTAAGTGAGAACAACATACGAAACATGCATGGAGTTAGGGGGAGATTGCTCGGGGAAATGTGCACTCTCTACGTTTTTGTGAGGACTTGCAAAAGACATTGCAAGCTGATGCAAAAATGTGGAGAACTGAACCGAAGATGGGGGAAAGCAGAAGCTAAAGCTAATAGATTCACCCATCCCTAGATGTGGGTATACTCTTGATAACAATAGGCAAGCTCTGGGTTTCCCTCAAAGTCCTTACCTAAGGAAGTGATGCCCTTTTACCTTGCAACATTTTGGGTTTTCAGTCTGAAACCTTGGAGAGCCACTGTCATTCAGTGTAGACAGTGCTGAGCTAAGTGGACCCAGTGCTCTTCCTCTGTATATGGGCAGTTTCCCATGCCCCTATCTCAAGGGGTAACCAGCTTGCCTCTGTGCATTGGATGCAATGTGGCATGTTCACAGAGAGTCCATAGAAGGCATGCTCTGCAATCCCACAATTCAGTTATGGGGTCCACTGTCATAAGCTGCGGCAGTAGCCATTGGTTCCAGTGACCACAGTCGGAAGTAGTAATGCTTCTGAATATTAGTCGGTAGAAACTGCAGGAGGGGAGAGTGCTGTTGTGCTCGGGTCCTGCTTGTAGGTTTTCCACAGGTGGACCACTGTGAGAACACGGATGATGGACTCAACAAGCCATTGGCCTGCTCCAGCAGTCTCTTCTTATGTTCTTGAACTGGGATTGGGTTGATTTATGGAGGAGAGGTCTCTACAGTGGCTTTATGCAGCAGTATGCCTCTGTAGAAGAGAAGGCAGTGAGAGATTTTACTTTCTTGGGCTCCATGATCACTGCAGATGGTGACAGCAGTCCCGAAATTAAAAGATGCCTGCTTCATGGGAGAAAAGCAATGACAAACCTAGACAGCATCTTAAAAAGCAGAGACATCACCTTGCCAACAAAGGTCTGTATAGTTAAAGCTATGGTTTCCCCCGTAGTGATGTATGGAAGTGAGAGCTGGACCATAAAGAAGGCTGATAGCCAAAGAATTGATGCTTATGAACTATGGTGCTGGAGGAGACTCTTGAGAGTCCCATGGACTGCAAGAAGATCAAACCTCTCCATTTTTAAGGAAATCAGCCCCGAGTGCTCACTGGAAGGACAGATCCTGAAGCTAAGGCTCCAATACTTTGGCCACCTCATGAGAAGAGAAGACTCCCTGGAAAAGACCCTGATGTTGGGAAAGATGGAGGGCACAAGGAGAAGGGGACGACAGAGGACGAGATGGTTGGATAGTCTTCTCGAAGCTACCAGCATGACTTTGACCAAACTGCGGGAGGCAGTGGAAGACAGAAGTGCCTGGCGTGCTCTGGTCCATGGGGTCACGAAGAGTCGGACACGACTAAACGACTAAATAACAAATGCCTCTGTAGTTGCTGGGGAAGTGGGATGAAGATTGGCACCTTCACATCTCCATCATGGACTTCTCAGTGGCATCTGTTTGGCCACTTGGGAAGCAGGATGTTCGACTGCACAGACCTTTGGTCTGAGCCAGCAGGACTTTCTTTATATTCTTTATACCACAGACTTCAAATTATTACCCACTGAATCCAATTGCAATAATATGGGATAACTACTCCATATTGTCCTATCCATTGAACCTAATTGGAATAATATGGGATACTATTCCATATTGTCCTACCTATTGAACCCAACTGGAATAATATGGGATAACTATTCCACATTGTCTTCCCCATAAGGGTTCTTCAAGCTGAGTTCCATTGCAGTGCTTGCTGTCCCTGAGATCTTTGCTAAGTTGCTTGCTTATTTAGCAATGTTACCTCTAAACAACTCTTTAGAGGACTTTATCCAATTTCTGATGAAAAAACAAAGTTGGCAAAAGGTCAGGAAAGTAACACAGGCTCGAGGCCCATTCAACATCAAGTCCCAAACCTTTGATGCTCTCCTGCTCCCGAAAAAAAGGAAGATGGCTGCCAAACACTTGAAGCAGGGTTTTGAGCTCTAAGGCCAACTCTAAGGCAAGTTTCTGCTCTATAACCAACCCTTAGCACTTGTTTTTATCCTCTCTTCCATTTTACTTCTTAACTCCTACCCATAAGTAGACAAATATTCTCATTCACATCTCACATACACATCCCAGAAGTGGCGAACTAGGGTCCTCCAACTTATTATGGTAACAGAATCTTCCTTTTCATATATATTTTTTTAATTAAATAAATAGTATGTTACTAGTCCTCATCACTAGAGATCTGTTTGGAAAGTGGCTAGAGCAGCAGTTCTCAACCTGTGGGTCCCTAGATGTTGCTGGATTACAACTCCCAGCATCCCTGAGCTCTGGCCTTGCTAGCTAGGGGTAATGGGAGTTGTAGTCCAACAACATCTGGGGACTCACAGGTTGAGAAAAGCTGGGCTAGAGGGACACTGCACTCCTCAGTGAATCACCAATCTCACTTGAGCATTTGCCCCTCGGTGGTGCTGTTGGGCGGCAGCAATCTTTGACAGCAGCAGACTGTTCCTTTTTTTTCTGATGCTAGATCAAATGTACTTAGTACCGCTAAGTTGTGAGGCATTCATTCATTGGGGTGGATGAACATCCCCAATGTTTGGATTTTTTTTGTGGGGGGAGGTTGTTGTTGTTGTTTAGTTGTGTCCGACTCTTCGTGACCCCATGGACCAGAGCACGCCAGGCACTCCTGTCTTTCACTGCCTCCCGCAGTTTGGTCAAACTCATGCTGGTAGCTTCGAGAACACTATCCAACCATCTCGTCCTCTGTCGTCCCCTTCTCCTTGTGCCCCCCATCTTTCCCAACATCAGGGTCTTTTCCAGGGAGTCTTCTCTTCTTTTGAGGTGGCCAAAGTTTTGGAGCCTCAGCTTCAGGCTCTGTCCTTCCAGTGAGCACTCAGAGCTGGTTTCCTTCAGAATGGATAGGTTTGATCCTCTTGTAGTCCATGGGACTCTCAAGAGTCTCCTCCAGCACCATAATTCAAAAGCATCAATTCTTTGGCGATCAGCCTTCTTTGTGGTCCAGCTCTCACTTCCATACATCACTACTGGGAAAACCATAGCTTTTACTATACGGACCTTTCTTGGCAAGGTGGAGGGGTCCTTAATGAAATCCTCAGCCCCAACCTCCTGACTCCTCTTGCTTTTTGCTAACCCATGAGGTTCTGCAGCCTTCTAAAACGATGAGAGCTGCCATCGCATAACATAAAGGGGGCTGGACTGGATCCCTTACCACTTGAGCATCGAACACTCCTGCCTAGAGCCTCAATTCCCACACCAGCTTTGTGTGCCGCCCAGCCTAGTATCTAGATGAGATATACTGCTCTTTCCTCCCCCTCCTTTCCCAGGCCACAGAGTTTCAGGAAGTCCATCCTGTTTATTGGGAGAGTTTATCTATCATTTGTAGATGAAAGAGGAAGTGCCCCAGATTGACCCTTGTGGGGAGTGATTGGTAACATCTGGAGACGCTTTGAGTGGTTTCCTATGATGATGATGATGATGATTAAATTTACTTAAACTTATTAGTCGCTTTTTTAATTTACAAAAAGTAACTCAAAGTGACTTACAGGCATACATGCATATGTAACAGAGAATTTTAAGACAGCATAAAATTAATCAGAGGATAACTTTAAGACAATTGCTGCTGAAATTCTAAATCACCTCCACCAAGTTTATGCCTGTGGCTTATTGCTCTCTAATAATGAAACAACTCATGTTGTGATAACCCCTGACAACTGCTGCTATCCTTCATGTGGTTGAGTCATGTGTCACAGATAATAATAATAATTTATTATTTATTTTCCCCAGCCACTCTGGGTGACTTCCAGCAAAATATTAAAATACAATAATTCATCAAATATTAAAAGCTTCCATAAACAGGGCTGCCTTCACATGTCTAAAAGTCAGATAGTTGTTTATTTCTTTGACATCTGGTGGGGGGAGGCATTCCACAGGGCGGGTGCCACTACCGAGAAGGCCCTCTGCCTTATTTCCTTCCAGCAGCTAAACCAGTCGTTGGTGGGTGTAGAACTGATAAGATGCCTTGTTAGTGACCTAGCCTTCTGTCCCCACCAAGACATCCAGGAAGCAAATATATGGCTTTTCATCTATTGTCTGAAAAACATGTCCAAATTATTTGATAACCAAATAGCCTTTGATTTCATGGAATTGTAGAGTTGGAAGGGACCACAAGGGACATCTAGTCCAACCCCCTGCAATGCAGGAATCTTTTGCCCAAGGTGGGGCTCAAACCCACAACCCTGAATTTAAGAGTCTCATGCTCTAGCAACTGAGCTAACTCTAAATATGCTGCACAATCTCTGTGGCCCATATTGTGCCCCTGTTCAGCCTATAGACCCACCCTGGTTATGTTACTTCTGATCCCCTTGATCCGCTAGATCACCCACCCGGTCTGGAGGAATCCGGTTTTGGTTTCTCTCTTCCAACCTGCTTCCAACCTTTCCGTTCATTTTACTCCGTTTCTGCATCGGTTGGCAAACGTTCTTTTTCCGAAAACGTTGACGTGGAAATTCATGTGCGCTTTCGTTTTCCTTTTCTCTGAACAGATGCGCCTTCTCAAGCAAGTTCCCCAAACACAATGCATTTTTATCAATTCCCCCACCCAAAAAACACACCCACTGTTATGCATGCTTTCGCCAATATACAATCATACCTCGGGTTGAATGTGCTTCAGGTTGAGTGTTCTCAAGTTACACTCCGCGGCAACCCGGAAGTAACGGAGCGCGTTACTTCTGGGTTTCACCGCTTGCGCATGCGCAGACGCTCAAAATGATGTCACGCGCATGCGCGAAAGCAGCAAAACGCGACCCACGCGTGCGCAGATGCACACTTGTGTCTTCTGTTCTATTCAGGATGTGAACGGGGCTCTGGAACGGATCCCGTTCGCATCCCGAGGTACCACTGTATGCCTCTTTTTTGGGGGGGGTGCACATTCTTTTGGGTTTGATGAACTGCGTTTGAAAATGCAGAAAAGCACAGATTTTGAAGGACAGCTGTGCTTGGGTTCGCAGTGCAACTTGGATAGGGTCGCGTCTAAACACATTTCTGCCCTGTCCCTAACAACCCACACCACTTCCATCCCGGTGTTCCGGGTTGTGTTATCGTGTGGTCCCTGTCTACAAAGACAGGCCATGCTACTGCTGTTTTTCTCTCTGTGTGTGTGTTTTTCTCTGTGTGTGTTCGTCCATCTGTGCTGTTTTTAGATCCTATGCATGGACTCCCCTCTTCTGACTTCCCTTCACTCCTCAACCTCTCCCCCCTCGGCCCCCCGCATCAACCACCACCATCACCGCCCCTCCCTCCCGCCTCATTTCCCCTCCGGGCTTATACAAGTGTGTTTCCTCCTTCTGCATTCTGCAAAGATCTCTCAGCAAAAAAATAGAGAGAGAGAAAAAGCAGAGCTGATGGGGATGTGGGGAAGGAGCCGGGGCGAGTCGTGGGGGGTGTGTGTGCGTTGGGGGCTGGGGCGGAAAGTGGAGCAGCGGGGAAAGGGGGAAGGGATCCTGACAACACTATGTCTGGGCCCGGGCCAAGCAGAGACACTCTTCACCAAGGGGGCCTTTTGGATCTCATTGCTTCGGGGGCTGCAAAGGACTCGGGGAAGGGGGGGGCAAGGGAGCAGGCAGTGTCGCCTCGCATTAGAGCACTGCGGCTGATGCCGTGGCTCTGCGTCGCCTGCGGAGATCTGAGTGCCTGGCTTCGCGGCGGCAGAAGAAAGGTCACCGTTCAGACCACATCTCCCCTGGGATAAAAAGGTTAAACCCTCGTGGGCTCCCCGAACCCGCCCACTGTCCCCCTCTCCTGGAGACCCCGGTCCCCAAACCCGTGGTGCCCCTCCAGTCCCTTGCACTGCGCCAGCCACAAAGAAGTGTCCCCCGCCCCTCCGTGCCCAACTCAGGAAACGCAAGAAAGACGCTTCGCCGAATGAGAACTTTTCGTTTGCAGAGGCCTCAACTCTTCAGCCTCATCAGCTCAGCCTCTCTCTCCCCTTCCTGCCTCCATTTGTTGGCTTTCCTCTCCCTGACTCTTAACCCCATATGTCTTGGGGTTGCAGTGGCAATTTCTCTACACACACAGACACCCAACGCTGCAACCGGCATCGGTTCTGCACCTTGAGTGTGCAGCGATGGATTAACGAATTCTTAACACCGACTAATTAATCATTCATTAACTCTTTATAAACTATTAACGAACAGTTGTCACTGTGAACAAGCACCATACCAGTTAGCCCTGGGGGGAAGAGACAGGATGAAAGAGGAGTGGGGGTGTGTGTGCGGAAAGCAAGGCTTAGAGGTCAGTAGCAGAGACACTAACTTCTCTGGAGGTTTGAGGGGGCCGGACGCGATGTCGTGACATGGGGCCCTCTGAACATTGAGGGGGCCGTGTCCCTCAAAAAAAGATTGGGGGATTGCATCGGCCCCCCGGAGCTAGAGCTCTTGGTCAGTAGGATGAAGGCATGTGGGGTGCAGGCCTGAGGTGGAAGATGTGGGGTTCGGGGTGGAGGAGTTTAGGGGTGTAACCCCCTGTGGCCTGGCTCTAGGTGTGAGGGTAGCCTGGGCATGGTGCCCTTCACTGGCCCGGCTTGGTCAGCAAGGCCTTGGCAGAGTTAACGGGAGGTGAGTAGGGGAATACGTTTATATATTTTTAATAAATTTATATGCCACCCTTCACCCGAAGATCACAGAGCTGTTTATAGTATTTAAAACACATCATAACCAAAGTAACCAAGTGGATCCAGCTGCCGTTTTAATGTCTCATAGTGCGCCAGAGAAATGGTACACTAGAGCATCATGGGGGGAAAAAATGGAGCGCCTATTGGGGCAACTGCCCAACTGTGCCAGTTTTTGCAGAGGCGATCAGGGCTTTCCTTACGTTCTAAAATCCGCCCCTAAAATCTCCCCTTTTGAGGTTGGAATAAAAATTATGCAGGTTCGATTCTGGTCCGACTTTGGCGAGTCTGCCAAATGTTATTTGGATAGGCTATTTCCCCACCCGACATGGGAAATTTGTTTTCGTTGGGGAGGGTGGGTGGGAACTGGGGGAAAAGTAAGGTGTTTGTGGGATGTGGTGGGGAGACACACAGTGCACAGTTTAACTCTGGGATTGGCTCCTGCCTGTGACAGCCTGAATGGCTTTCAAAGAGGATCGGACAAATTCATGACTGTGCAGGGTTTCAGACAGGCTTCTCTTAGGCCTAGATGAAGATGCAGGGGGTTGAAACCGGAATCTTCTGTATGCAAATGAGACGCTGTGCCAATGAACTGTAGCCCTTCCTCAGAAGTCCAGTGGGTCACTGATGTGCTGAGAGAACCGGCACAGTTTAGTCGTTTGAGCGTGTGGCTAGGACTGTGGATCCTTGGCTTCAAATCAGTGCACAGCTATGAAGCTCACTGGGAGACCTTGGGCCAGTCACTGTCTCTCAGCCTAGCCTCCCTCACAGGGTTGTTGTGAGGATAACATAGGGGGAGGTGGGACCATGCGCACTACTGACTTGAGCACCTTAAAGAAGGGGTGAGATATACACCTTTAGACGCCGGGTGAAAACATTCCTCTTCAACCAGGCCTTTGGCAAGAAATGTCCTTTTAAATGTGCTCGAGGAGGGGAATTACTGGTTTGCTTTTGTTCTTATTTTTATTATGTATATATATATATATATATATATATATATATATATATATATATACACACATATATATATATGGTGGTACCTCGGTTCTCGAATGTAATCTGTTCCGGAAGACCGTTCGAGTTCTGAAATGTTTGAAAACTGAGGCACAAAGGGCTGTCTGCAGATTCAATTGAGAAAATTGAAAAACACACAGCGGAAGCCATTTGATTTCCGAGGTGCGTTTGAAAATGGAAGCATTTACTTCTGGGTTTTCGGCGTTTGGGTTACAAAACGTTTGTCAAGGGAGACGTTCGAGAACCAAGGTACTACACTGTATATTGTAATTTTATGTTGCGAACTGGCCTGAGATCTGCGGATGAAGGGTGGTATAATGATGATGATGATGATAATAATAATAATAATAATAATAATAAATAAAATAATGATAATAATAATAATAATAATAATAATAATACAGCTGACCAGGATTTGAACCTGGATCTCCCCAGTCCTAGCCTACCATACTACTAGTTTATTCTCAATAACAGTTACAACCACCTTGCACATTTATCATGCAATAGGAATCATGATTAATAAATGAAGATGAGGGTAAATAAATGAAAATGAAAATGTAAGGGTGTGTGTGTGTGTGCCTTCCTTTCTTCATATCTCCATTCTGCAATCCACCCACCAGATAGTTGCCAGCAGCTGGAGAGTGGCTTGGACCCTGAGCACCCGCAAGGCGCAAGCACCCAAGACCTAGATGAGTCCCAAATCCGTTTGCAGCTGAAGCGCAAATTGCAAAGGAACCGGACGTCTTTCACCCAGGAGCAGATAGAGGCGCTGGAGAAAGGTGAGGAAGGGACGAAGGGGGCTGACAACAGGTGAGGTTGCCAGCTGGTTAGAATTTCATCTTTCTAGTTAGCAGCCCGAATCAGAGCATTTTGAGCGAGAGAAAGAAAAACGGCGTCCGCTGTTTGCACTGTTAGCAGATGCGTGTGCACATCGTGTGTGCACATTAACTGAGGTGCAACTGAGAGAGCTTTTCTTAAAGGTAAACAATGCAGACTCATCCATTCCACATTGAACACATGGCAATTGCCTCTGATAAACGGTGGGCAGAGGTGGGCAGCACCACTTTCTCTCTGCACATATGTGCCGTCGCCACCTTACAATTCATAGCTAATTATAGTCCAACCCCCTGCAGTGCAGGAATATGCAGCTGTCCCGTACGGGGATCAAACCTGCAACCTTGGTATTGCCAGCCCCCCAACTGAGCTATTCAGAGAGCCATCCAGCTGGTTAGGCTTGGAGTCCAATACTTGAGTCTGCTTACCTTCACCCTGAGGTGCCTCTCAGCTGAGGGGCTGCCATCCTTATCAGGCAGGTTATGGCTGGAAATCTTATTATTCCATCCATATTTGATTTCCTACTTGAATAGACTGCACCGTGTACATGTGAATTAGGAAGGGTGCTAAAGATCCATGAAAAAGATTGTGTGTGTGTGTGTGTGTGTGCGAGCGTGTTTTATGGATGTGGGAGACCCATGAACCGCGCTAGCTTTCCATGGGTATAGCCTCTCAATTCTTCCCAAGTTGCAGTTCCCTCCAAATGGGGTGTGTGTCATCATGACGCTAAACAGGGTGACTCCTGTAGTCTCTTCCTTCTGTTACCTACACTGACTTGTTAGATGGCAGCAGATGAAGAAGATGGAGAGGGGGGAAACCAAGGTCTTTTTGATGCATCCTGGGATGCGGGTGGTGCTATAGGTTAAACCACAGAGCCTAGGACTTTCCAATCAGAAGGTTGGCGGTTCGAATCCTTGCGACGGGGTGAGCTCCCGTTGCTTGGTCCCAGCTGCTGCCAACCTAGCAGTTTGAAAGCATGTCAAAGTGCAAGTAGATAAATAGGTACCGCTCCGGCGGGAAGGTAAACGACGTTTCTGTGTGCTGCTCTGGTTCGCCAGAAGCGGCTTGGTCATTCTGGCCACATGACCCAGAAGCTGTGCGCCGGCTCCCTCGGCCAATAAAGTGAGATGAGCGCCGCAACCCCAGAGTCGGCCACGACTGGACCTAATGGTCAGGGGTCCCTTTGCCTTTAAGAACATCCCATTCAAACAGGAGTTGCAGATAAGGCACCAGTGCTGCCACGAGTGCAGCTTTTAAAACTCCCCTGGCGCTGTTGGTGGCGGCAGAAGAATTTTTTGTGGGAAGACACAGTTACGCTCAGTATGGATCGTACTAAATCTCACACAGTGGATATCCTTAAACTTCCGAACAACTGGACAGTGTGATTTAGATTGATATTTTGTTTTCCGAAAAACCAGGCCCCTCTCATGAGAAACGGTAACTCTGCGTATGTTCAGAGGCACTTCGCTGACAATGTAATAAATTTTTTTAATCAGTTGCGGCAGTCTTGTTATATCAAGATGGGATCTAAGAGGAGAAGATGTGTGTGGCCATCTGGTGGCCAGAGTGGTACTGCAGCCTTGATGCACAGCTTGCTTTCTTGACCTTGCATTGCAAGTGTGCCACTTTTAAACAATAAGCTGGTCTGCAGGGATAGGGGACCATTTTCACCCTGAAGGCTGCATTCTCTTCTGGCCAACCTGAGCATGGTGGACAGGGTCAGTGGGCAGAACTATGGATGTGGATTATGTACTGTAGGCTAGTTTCCACACATTCCCCGCTCTCTTACTCTCCATCTGGGTGGACAAGAGGCAGGAGCAGAGTTCAAGGACACATTCAAGCCAGGCAAAAACACTCAAGGAAGGTGTGGAGGAAGGCCTGAGGAGAGCAGGGGGGCTGTGGAGGGGTGTGGTCAAGGGCTGGACAGATTGGTCTAGAGCATCCTTTCTCAGCCTGTGGGTCCCCAGATGTTGTTGGACAACATCTGGGGACCCAAAGCTTGAGAAAGGCTGCTCTAGAGAGAGTTGTCTTTGCCCGCCAGGTCCTCCTGTATCGGAAGCAGAGAATCTGCAGCCCATGCTGCCTGCTTCTGGTAAAGGTAAAGGGACCCCTGACCATTAGGTCCAGTCGTGACCGACTCTGGGGTTGCAGCACTCATCTCACTTTATTGGCCGAGGGAGCCGGTGTACAGCTTCCTGGTCATGTGGCCAGCATGACTAAGCCGCTTCTGGCGAACCAGAGCAGCGCACGGAAACGCCATTTACCTTCCTACCAGAAAGGTACCTATTTATCTACTTGTACTTTGATGTGCTTTTGAACTGTTAGGTTGGCAGGAGCAGGGACCAAGCAATGGGAGCTCACCCCGTCGCGGGGATTCGAACCGCCGACCTTCTGATCAGCAAGTCCTAGGCTCTGTGGTTTAACCTACAGCGCCACCCGTGTCCCCCTGCTTCTGGTAGTAGGTGCTAGTCTTTCTGTTTAACAGAAAGCTTCTGATCCTCTGCTTCTGATCAAAGGGGCCTTGCCTGCTTCGGCAGCTGTAGATTTCTACGGCACAGGGAATGTTGGTTCTTGCAGAGCTCCTGGACCAGAGTCCTCGGAGTCAGAGAAGCGATGCTGCTTGGCAGAGTGGCTTCCTCCTGAACTGGTCCAAGCAGGCCTAATCATGGCTAGCGCCATGGGCAATTCCTCAAAGACCAAGGTCTCATCCCCTGAAGAGGGGAAGTTAGATCCTATGGGCATGACAGTAGGTGACGCAGTGGATGACATCTGCAGGGCTGTTAAACCCCAGCAGAAGATTGAGAGCATCTCTGTGGAAGTGAACAGCAGGTGTGAGCTACCTGGATAATGCAATACCCCTGTGCTCCACTAGTGGGCAGGACGGAGATGATTCTACGCTGCCACCCTTCCAATACATACCCTACTTGTTGTGTTCAGTTATAGTCAGAAATAGTCACGAGCCTGTGGTCCAGTTTTGCAGATTGATTCAGATATACTTTGCTGGCGCGATAAGGAATTTGAGTGCTGACAAAGTAATATGGCAGTCCTGTGCCCCTTAAGGGGACGCAGGTGACGCTGTGGGTTAAACCACAGATCCTAGGGCTTGCCGATCAGCAGGTCGGCGGTTCGAATCCCCGCGACGGGGTGAGCTCCCGTTGCTCGGTCCCTGCTCCTGCCAACCTAGCAGTTCGAAAGCACATCAAAGTGCAAGTTGATAAATAGGTACCACTCCGGTGGGAAAGTAAACGGCATTTCTGTGCGCTGCTCTGGTTCGCCAGAAGCGGCTTAGTCATGCTGGCCACATGACCTGGAAGCTGTACGCCGGCTCCCTCGGCCAATAAAGCAAGATGAGCGCCGCAACCCCAGAGTCGGTCATGACTGGACTTAATGGTCAGGGGTCCCTTTACCTTTTATGCCCCTTAAGGCATGCTATAATAGGGTGTAAGAACATGGGAGTAGGTTCTACTTCACCAGGGGCTATAAATGATGGGGAAACAGAGGGAACATGTCTCCAAAACTCTGACTCCCTTGCCCTCCCATCTTCCTCAGAATTTGAGCGCACTCACTACCCCGACGTCTTTGCCCGTGAACGCCTGGCAGCAAAGATCGACCTCCCGGAGGCCCGGATCCAGGTATGGCAAGGGGATCCGCTCGGCTGTGGGACAGGCCAACCTACGCTTCCTTCTCATTCCCCGTTCATTCCATTCCACTGTTCTTCCCCCCTGTCCAGGTCTGGTTCTCCAACCGCCGAGCTAAGTGGCGCCGGGAGGAGAAGCTGAGGAACCAGAGGCGCCAGGCGGGGGGCACCGGGGGCCACCTGAGCATAAACAGCAGTTTTGGCTCTGCGGGCAGCACTGTCTACCAGTCCCTCCCCCAGCCGACGGGGTCAGGTGAGGGCCGTGGACCCGGCTGACTCGTTCCCATTCCCCCATTCTTTCTTGGCTAACCCATCCCTGTCTGTTTCAGGGAGGCCCTGTTGAACATGGCCCTGGCCCCCAGTAAGAAGGGCTATCCACCATTGACAACCACATGACTTCTCTCTCTGTTACAGGCACCATGTTGGGCCGTACGGAAAGCGCCCTCAGCAACAACTATGGCGCCCTTCCGCCCTTGCCCACCTTCTCTATGGCCAACAGCCTCCCTATCCAGGTAAGCTTCTCAGAACCCCTTCTCAGGCTGAAGACCACATTCCCATAGCTGTCAACCTTCCCTTTTTTGTGGGAAATTCCCTTATTCCAGCGCCGTTTCCCGTTGCTATCTCAGATTGTTAGATATCCTGTAGACTGTCCCTAGGACAGGTGAGGCTACTGATCCCTTATTTTCAAGGCTGCTGATCCCTTATTTTCAAATCTGAAAGTTGACAGCTATGCATTCCCTTCTTGGCAAGCTTCCGAGGGCCACATGCTGGGGCGGGTGGGGCCAAAGGCAAAAAGTGGGTGGGGCAACAGATGAGAATATTTCCTATTGTGCTAGAGGCGATAGTTCAGAGGTTCCCAAGCTTATTTGGCCTACCCCCTGCCCCTTGAAATCTACCTTCTTTAAGCGAACAAACAGAAAGATGCAGTGACAAATGTGCATTCTTTTATGTATCTGCATTTCTACCTACGTCCTGCGACGTAGCAAAGGGAGATATTGTAAACCAGACACCTTGAAGCCGCAGCCTGCCTGCCATTGGACAAATAGGCAGGCAAGCGGCGGTCCGCTCCCTAGGCCTGGGTGAAGCCAAAAAGGGTCCACCCCATCCCAGGAAAGCCCCTCACCTCCAGCACGACTGCAGGATCCAGGGGAGGCGTTTTTTGCCATCCCGCAATGGCGCCTCACCTGGCGGTTAAGTGTCATTACACAACAGATAAAAATGGTTTTTCCTAATTTTCTTTTCTTCTTTTCTTTCTTAATGCTTCCACTGCCCCCTTATTTTTATCCAATAAGAATAAGAATAAGAATTTATTATTTATTCCCTGCCCATCAGGCTGAGTTTCCCCAGCCACTCTGGGCGGCTCCCAATCGAGTGTTAAAACCAATACAGCATTAGATATTAAAAACTTCCCTAAACAGGGCTGCCTTCAGATGTCTTTTAAAGATAAGATAGCTGCTTATTTCCTTCACATCTGAAGGGAGGGCGTTCCACAAGGCGGGCACCACTACTGAGAAGGCCCTCTGTCTGGTTCCCTGTAACCTCACTCCTCGCAATGAGGGAACCAATGCTACGCAATTGCACCTGAGGCTACTACTGCCCCCCGGATCATTCCAGTGCCCTCGCCCTGCCCACTTAGGGAAACACTGGGCTAGTTTATTTATTTTATTATTATTATTTATTGAATTTATATACCGCCCTATACCCGGAGGTCTCAGGGCGGTTCACAGAATAAAATCAAGATATAAAACAAAAAAAAAATACCTAATAAAAATAAAAACAACAATCCAATAGCCTGCCTGCAAAAAAACCAAAACATTTTAAAAGGGCATAGGATGTAAAATCGGATCAACCAAAGGCCTGGTTAAAAAGGAACGTTTTTGCCTGGCACCTAAAGGTGTATAATGAAGGTGCCAGGCAAACGTCCCTGGGGAGAGCATTCCACAGATGGGGAGCCACTGCAGAGAAGGCCTGTTCTTGTGTTGCCACCCTCAGGACCTCTTGAGGAGGAGACACATGAAGGAGGGTCTCAAAAGATGATCTCAGGGTCCAGGTATGTTCATATGGAAAGATGCGGTCCTTGAGGCATTGAGGTCCTGAGCCATTTAAGGCTTTATAGGTCAAAACCAGCACTTTGAATTGGGCCCAGAAACTATCGTAATTGGTGGCTAGTGCAGTTGGACCAGGATCGGTGTAATATGCTCAAACCGTCTTGCTCCGGTGAGCAACCTAGCTGCTGAATTCTGCACCAGCTGAAGTTTCCGAACCATCTTCAGAGGTCTTCCATCCAGACGAGGAAGAGGCATTATTGGAGTTAATGATTCCATGTCCTAGCCAGGCAAAGACAGCTGGGATGTGAAGCAGGACCAGCGAGGGGTGTGGCCTGGGAGAGGGGCGTGGCCTGAGGTGCCACACCCTGGAGCTGAAGACACCTGCCTTAAAGACACATGTTCAGGGCCAGGCAGGCAGGAAGGCTGATTGAGATCCTTTGCTGCTGCTAACCTCCTTTCCTCTGTTGCATCTTGTCTGCCCCCAACAGCAGGCCGTGCCCCCCGTGGCCAGCCAGACGTCGTCTTACTCCTGCATGCTCCCCGGCGGCTCGTCAGTGCGAAGCTACGATTCATACACGCCCTCACAGCTCTCCTCTCATAACCTGAGCTCCAGCAACGGGGCCTCTACTGGTAATTGAAGGGCAGGGGGAATGGCTGGTGTGGAGCGAGGGAAGGGCACCAGGGATCTGGGATAAAGCAGGGTTTGCTGCAACTGGTGGGGAAGAGGAGATGGGGCATTGGTCAGCCACAGTTGCTTAACAGCCATGGGAAGTAACACCCCCTCCCCAAAAAAAAACCCATATAGAGCCATGTAAGAAGAAGCACAAGGAACGCTGGAATCCTTCCTGGGCAGTGATTATATTGTAAAATGCATAATGTGGCTTCTAGTATGCATTTTTAGAAATCCCACCTTCTGCATAAAGCGTGAATAAAATAAGTTTCCAGTCCTTGCCATGTTGGAGCGCTAGTTAAAAATGTGTGTTGTCAGCTTCTGCTAAAACAAACGCAGTGTGTTTTTCACTCGTCAAGGCTGGTGTGCACATACGCCTAGCATAATTTCAGCTACCGCACTCTGACTTAGACTCTTCCTTTATAGAGACCACAAGCCAATAGTCAGCCCCAGGAAGGAAAAGATACTGAACATGAAATTTCGAATTCTGCAAAAGGCTCCCCAAAGCCAGGCAACTGGGTGAAAGCTGGAAGTGACTTTTTTCTTTCTTTCAAATGGTCGGACATAATCCACTCCAGTTTTGGGATTTGGGGTGTGGCTGTCCAGCCCTGTCCTACTGCACAGGAGCATAAGAAAATATATTCATTCAGACCATGATTGGTCCACCTAACGCAGTATGTGGCCGATACATTCACTGGCAGCAGTTCTCCAGGATCTCGGGTCAGAGTCGTTGTCACTAAGCTACAGCTTCAGAATAGAACTGCATCAGTGCTTTTGCTCTCTGCCATTTGAGCTCTGTGGGCATCCACCTTGATCTTGCCATTCCTTGTGTGTGAAGGAGCTTTGCCAGCGAGTGGGCTTCCCCTTCCCCTCTGGCCCCAGCTTTGTCCCTGCAGTTTCCCTTTGCTCTGGCAAATGCTGAAGCACAGAGCAGCTCTCTGCATGCCTTGCTGCTTGCACAGCTGCAAATAAGCCCTGGAATGGAAGCTTCTCATGCTGTGATGTTTGGACACTTTTGCCACAGGACTCTATTGTCTGCCTCCCATGCAAGCAGAATATATTATTTGCAGAAGTGTACTCAGTACGCAAGTTGGGACGCGGGCCAATAAAGCGAGATGAGCGCCGCAACCCCAGAATCGTCTGCGACTGGACCTAATGGTCAGGGGTCCCTTTACCTTTACCATACTCAATACGCAGGTCATATCTTCCCTGTCTTTCTTGCCCAATAGTCTGCAGGCAAGATAGGATAAGTTTTTATTTTAATTTCATAAGGATAGGGAAATCTCGATCAAACCTGAGTGACACAGAGAGGACAGACATAAGAATTGGGGTAATGTAACATAACCTCCATACGCACTGTACTTTGAAAGCACATGGCATCCTGCAGATAATTCTGGGAACTATAATTTTTTTTGGTAGGTGCTAGGTATTGCAGCGTTGTCAAGGATAAGCTACAGTTCCCAGGATTCTTTGTGGGGAAGCTATGTGCTTTAAAGGTATGGTGTTTATGCATACCATGTGAGCTATGACCCTCAAAAAACAAGAACTGCAATATTGAATGCCTTTATTAGACTCTAGATTCTAATCTAGATTCTAATCTAACCTTAGAGCCACCTGTGTTTAGAAGCACCCGCGTCCCCCAGAACTCTTGCCTGTTAAAAAGCAAAGTGTGGACTTTTATATTGTTTTAAGTTCTTGCTTTTTCCTTCCAGCAGCTGCTGATATCTCTTGAGACACCCCACTCCCCCCCCCCCACAGGCCAGAGTGTAAAAAATTAACAGCTGTATTCTTGTGCACATTTACCTGAGAGCAAGTTCCATCGAGCACAGTGGGACTTAATAGGACCACTCTGCAAATCAGGTGTATACATAAGCTTTTGGGGGGGAAAAAGCAAGCTAAGATATTTCAGGAATCAGATAAGGAGTACCTAGACCATGGGTAGGCAAACTAAGGCCCAGGGGCCGGATCTGGCCCAATCGCCTTCTAAATCCGGCCTGCGGACGGTCCAGCAATCAGCGTGTTTTTATGTGAGTAGAATGTGCCCTTTTATTTAAAATGCATCTCTGGATTATTTGTGGGGCATAGGAATTTGTTCTTTTTCTTTTTTCAAAATATAGTCCAGTCCCCCACAAGGTCTGAGGGACAGTGGACTGGCCCCCTGCTGAAAATGTTTGCTGACCCCTGACCTAGACTGTGCAGCAGAAAACCCTCTTCCACCTAGTGAAGCCATGTCTGTCTATAACCTCTGGATTCTCAGAGCAGGAGGCAGGCGTTTGTGTGGAAGTATTGAGCTGTTGGGAGGGGACATTTCACCTCCTTCCTGGCTGTCTTGATTTAGACAGCAGCGGGTAGTATACGGACCTGCCCTTCCTTTCACAAATTGCCGTTAACAAGGCAGTTGTTGAAACCAAAGGAGCAGGTCGCAACGTATCTTTCAGGGCCTCGAAAACCTCTGCAAGGAACTTCTCCTTCCTTAACCTTTGTCAGAATATTAATTCTTGCGTCGCCTTCCTTGCAGTCAGGGTAGTTCACTAGGGCAGAAACTTGGTTTGCTCCTCAAATCCTAAATGCTTTGCCTACAATAGGCCACTGACTCCAACATGTTTCGTTTTTCAGTTTGGCACAGTTGGTTCATGACGGTTGGTACCCAACGTATTTACTTCGTCCGTGCAAGGACAGATGGATGCTTGGGCAAATCCAAATTTGCTGCGGAGGGTTGGGGGAGCCCCTGGAACAGATTGGGGCGGGCATGCAGCAGGGAGAAGAGTAGGCAGTGTTCATACCCTCCAACATGTTGAGTCTCAAAACTGGGACGCAAGGCTTCCTGGCCGTGCTCCCATGGGAGTCATGTGACCTGTGGGAGATCAAAGGAAGCACTTTTTTCTCGCCATGCCCCGAAAAAAGCACTTGAGGGTGCAAAATCGTGGCACCCCAAATGGTTGCCACGCTCTCGTGGGGGGAGGGGAAGTGTGATGTCCCGGGACACTTGTGGGGTATGAGAATTTGGTTGTGCAACCACTTTGCACCATTGAAACAAGCTACTTAGTGCTGCAACCCAATATTTATACAGTGGTACCTCGGGTTCAGTACTTAATTCGTTCCGGAGGTCCGTTCTTAACCTGAAACTGTTCTTAACCTGAAGCACCACTTTAGCTAATGGGGCCTCCTGCTGCTGCTGCCCCGCCGGAGCACGATTTCTGTTCTCATCCTGAAGCAAAGTTCTTAACCTGAAGCACTATTTCTGGGTTAGCGGAGTCTGTAACTTGAAGCGTATGTAACCTGAAGCGTACTTAACCCGAGGTACCACTGTACATTTATTTGCTGAACTGAAAAGACTGGGCTTTGCAGCCTGTAACGTTTGGAGAGATTCCTTCTATTTCCTGACTGTTTCCCTCTTCTCTCTCTCTCTTTCTCTTTTTCTAGGGTTAATCTCTCCAGGAGTGTCTGTTCCTGTCCAAGTCCCTGGTGGGGACCCTGACCTTGCCCAGTATTGGCCAAGGTTACAGTGAGGAAAGAAGTGGAACAGGCTGGGGGGGGGGATGGGGCGGGGGTGGAAACGGACGGCGGAAGGAAAGGGGGAGATGAATCGACTGCTTACACGCCACACATTTAAAGCGCATGGCTTCCCCCAGAGAATCTTGGGAAGTGTTAGTTCATCCCTGCCGGAGCTACATTTCACTGCGCCCTTAACAAACTATGATTCCCAGGATTCTTTGGGGGACATAATGTGCTTTAAACGTACAGTGTGTACAGAAGGGACTTTCCTTCCGCAGCGGGGAGGGGAATGGCAATATCTGGGGGAAGGAGCATTGGAGAGGGCCTTCCTTAACTTTGTGTATCTATGTTAGGCAACAACGTCTGTGTGTTTGGTGGCAGGCCTCCTCTGCCCCAGTGTGCGCATCATGCGTGCGCCATCGGGGGAGTGGGGACCGTCCTTTGGTCATCTTGTCTCTTTCTTCCCAATCCACATTCCGTCTCGCGACTTTCTCCTTCCCTCTCTTCCCTTTCCACCTCCCACCTTGCCCTTTAGATGGCACTAAGAGCTAGGGGAGTGGGGAAGGGGGAACTGCCGGAAGTATGGCAGGAAGAGAGAGGAAACATTGGGGATTCAGCACAAAGGATTGGGGGCAGACCGGGGAGAGAACCGATGACCCTTTGGGGAGCTGGAGGAAAGACTGAACCTTGAAAAGGCCGGACAAACCTTGAAATCTAAAGCAAACATCGGGGCAAGAAGAACTGTGGCAATGGCCACATTGGAATCCTGTGAAAATAATTGTCGAATTGAGTACCGGCGAAGGATCACATGGGGAAAATGACACACTAGTCCCCTTTCAAGCTGTTGCAAGGGGTGGAGGGTGGGCGGAATAAAACTGCAACCATTTGGAAAAAACACCACCATCATCTTAATATTGATATGCCGCCCATCTGACTGGGTTTCCCCAGCCACTCTGGGCAACTTCTGACAAAATATATTTGTTATCACAGCAGCATCAGTTTTAGACCTCCAAATCCACTTGTGTCTCCTTGGCCGCTCTGCCAGCTGAAGATCAGACGGCTCCTTACAGCTCTTCTGCATCGCTCTCTTTCTCTCTCTCGGTTGGACAGGACTTGCCAAGGGACAGTCTTCACCCACGGCGGCTAGAAAGAGCGCAGGGAGCAGCTTAACCGCTCAGCAATGCCCACTATCGCCAACAGACTTTGTGGTCGCCGTGATGTACCATGCGACGGAAGTTTTGTAAATCTGACCCTTGTCAGTTGGTGCCAAGCACTGACCCTTCCCATTTTCTGCCCCCCTGTAGAGTCTTATGGGATAGATGGCGTTTATACAAGGCCTTGCCCCCCCTTGCAGATTGGGGACCGTTGCCGTAGCGTTACTTCCTGGGTGCGCGGAGTTCAGTCGCTCTTCCCCTTTGCAAGCCAGTCCTATAAACCGCTCCCCACCTGTCTCTTTGTTCACTCTGCCTCGCCTTCTCCGTTCCCCTCTTCTCGTCTCCCCGCATGGATTTCACTTAGCTGCGTTTTCACACGGATCCCGGAGGGCTAGGGACCCCCCTTTCTCTCTCTGACCTGCACAAAATGGCCCTCTGACCACCCACACATGCACGATACCACCCGTAGGCGCAAACTGTTTTCACGTGTGTTAATAAAGGACCCGTGTAAATAACGCTGCGTGTGAGTCTGTGTGGTTCTGAGATGCGATCTCAGTTGTGGCCAGTGTGGCACAGTGGCAGAGAGACACCCCCCTGGGAGGAGAAGGTGGCCAACCTATAGATGTGAGGTCTGGAACAAGCTGGAACTCAACAAGAATTCAGTTCCGGCACCTGTCAGGTGGGCACCATTGCTATTATAAGAGATCAAGGGAGGTTTTCGTGGAGTTTCGGAACCTGTTTTTTTTTAAGGAAAATTGCACTCGCAGTTGTGGCTGCTGGCATGGTCATAGGCAATATGTATTTATGCAACAAAACACCACCACCACAAACTGGCTTATAAGTATAAAACCAAATTTACTAGAATAGAGATAGACTTGTAACCATTCAAGCAACAAACATACTAAGGTGCCATGTGCAAAACAAAGCCTGGAGATACTGTAAACATGGAGTGGATAAATGTACAACTGTATCTTAACAAATTACATGTGCAACAAACGTTATACAGACTGGATAAATGAACCATTCAACAAGTAGCGTAAGTCCAATCACAGAACGGCAACCCCGTGCCGCCACAATGGCAAGGGTAGCACACTGGAGACTATGATAAAGTTGTTCAAAGCCACCAACTTGAATAATAATAATAATTTATTATTTATACCCCGCCCATGTGGCTTGGTTTCCCCAACTACTTCAGGCGGCTCCCAACAGAATATTAAAAGCACGCTAAAACATCAAACATTAAAAACTTTCCTAAACAGGGCTGCCTTCAGATGCGTTCTAAAAGTCAGATTGTTGTTTATTTCTTTGACATCAGATGGGAGGGCGTTCCACAGGGAGGCCGCCACTACCGAGAAGGCCCTCTGCCTGGTTCCCTGTAACCTCACTTATCACAGTGAGGGAACCGCCAATAAATAAAAAGACATAGCTAACTGAGGTTCTGCCCCCCACAACAAAAGGCCTGTCCCCCTAACAAATGGCCTCCTCACCCCCCACCCCAAAAATCCTATCTACACCCATGGCTGCTGGGTCAAGAAAGGTGGTTATAAATTTGGGAGAAGCACGCCAAACAAAACAGAAGTTTGTTTGGCAGTCATTCTGATTTACTTGCACAGAGCTTAGTTGGAGGTTTGACTATCCTGGTCTTTATTGAGCATTCTCTCTTGTTTGTTTATGGGGCAGTTCTATGACAATAAGCATTCAGCCTCATTTGCTTACAGGATATTTACACATCTTCCCACTAATTGTTTCATTTGTTCCACAGTTTCCCATCTGCAGATTGTTCCTTTAAAAAAAAAAAGCAGGTTTGTTGCACTTTATTCCGCTTTAATTTGTCCAAAGCTTAAATTTCTGTGCTCTGAATCCCTCCTGTGAAATAGTGGCAGTTTGTAGGCACCCTGAGTGTAAATACGGGTGAGGGAAAACTTTGACTCTCCAGATGTTTCAGGATTCCATCTAATATCAGCCCGAGCCAGCATGACCGAAGGTTATGGGTGTTGTAGTACAGCAATGTTTGGAGGGCAGAAGGTTCCCATCTCTGATACAAAGGTAAGGGTAAAGGGACCCATGACTGTTAGGTCCAGTCATGTCCGACTCTGGGGTTGCGGCGCTCATCTCGCTTTATTGGCCGAGGGAGCCGGTGTACAGCTTCTGGGTCATGTGGCCAGCATGACTAAGCCGCTTCTGGCAAACCAGAGCAGAGCACGGAAACGCCGTTTACCATCCCGCCGGAGCGGTACCTATTTATCTACTTTGATGTGCTTTCGAACTGCTAGGTTGGCAGGAGCAGGGACCGAGCAACGGGAGCTCACCCTGTCTCGGGGATTCGAACCACCGACCTTCTGATCAGCAAGTCCTAGGCTCTGTGGTTAACCCACAGCGCCACCCGCGTCCCAAGATACAAAGGTACTGATGATCAAAATAAGGATGCAGGAGAAATTTGATTCAGTTTGCATTTGAAGCAGAATCGATCAAATCTGCGCTTGCCGAAACAATATGAGAACCAAAACATACCTATTCTTCCAAATTCGCACCTATCTGAATTTTGTGATGCAGTTTTCCAACCAGAATTTACAGAATGTATATATAAGGGTAAAGTGTGCATTAACACATCCTATTAAGAGAAACTGCTTGCAAAAATGTGCACACTTGTCACAATTGCATACAAAAAAATGTATTTATTAGGAGATATAATGCTGAATAATTTTCATGAGCATTTAAAAAACCAAACCAAATTGCATATTGTTGCCAAAATGTGGAGAACTGAATTTCAGATTGGGGGGTGGGGAATGAGAAATGGAGAGAACTCACATTGGCAGATCATTCCATCCCCAACAAGGTATGGTAGCAAAGCAGATAAAACAAGGGAGGCAGCAAAATTTAACAAACACAAGTTTTAAGATTTATTAAAACAAAGCAAAACTCAAAAGCTTTTGAGATGGATGCGGTTGGATTATAGCTTTGGATATCATGTGTGAACTTTGAAAACCCTGTCCGTTACATGCCGTTATTACAGTTTGCTGCTGTTCTCTTTCTGATGCCTTCTTGTGCATCAACACATTTATAGCTATTTCAAGGGTGTTTTCTGTTTGTCCTATGCTCTTTGCTCAGCAAGCATCCTGCCCCTTACTCCACCCACTTTTTGGGGTGGTGTTTTTTCCTTGAGCGCATGAGAAGGAAAAGCAACTGTGCCTGTGGTTTTGGGGTGCTAAATAGCAGTGAGGGCTGTGTGTCTCATGGCTCTGGACCACGTGTAGACTTTGATAGGTTGAAGGCATTATATATATATATAATATCACACACAAAAAAGAAATATAGAAGGAAAGAAATATCCATCACCTCCTAGCAACTAAAAAGGAAAAAAAAAAAAACAACAATAATGCATTTAATAGTTCTCACAATACATTTAACATAAAAATGACTTTTTTCTACTTCTATTTCTCATCAATTATTCACTGCCATATTATAACATGTTTTGGTTTTGATATTATTTATTCTATCCTAGGTTTTCCATCAGACTTAAAACTCCCACTGAAGTTATTCAAATGCTGCTACAGACTTCATGCTGTCATTACTATTTTTCAGATAAATTTTATAGACTTCCAATTTTGAGACAAATACTTCCTTTGATTTATTTTTTATTCGGCATTCTCAGGAAGCTGTGCAATTGAAGAATCCAGATTTTTTCAATTCATTGGGTTATAACCAACTCAGTTTCCCGTTACTGAAATTGATAGGCCTAAGTCAGTTGTGTCCATTAATTTTAACGAGTCTGCTCCGAAAATGACTAGCATTGGATGCAACCCAGAGAAGCTTTGACTGAATTAGGAAAAGCAAATACAGACCATTGAATTGTGCAAATTTCAGTTTGTACCCTGGTTGCAGGGGTGTTTGTTTCTAGGTTTCACAGAGGTGACAATCGCAACTCTACAGTAACACAACTGCCTGTTTAGCTCACTGTGAAGACACAAACAAGAGCTTCAGTGTGACAAGAGATATCCATAACACCCCACTGGTGCCAGTGCCAGCTCCAAGCTTTGGGGCAGCTATTGGGCACGATGCCCTTAGTGGGCCCTCATCTCATACTCATGCCCAGCCCTGCTGCCCTCCATCTCTACCTCTAAATCTTGGCCATGGAACCACCCAAGGCAAGTAGATGATGCCCATCCATCTCATTCTTGTCAGTGCATGATTAGAGAGGGCAGGTAGGCAGGAAGTGACAAGACAGAAGAGAAGCAGCAGGACAGGAAGTTCCAGGGGTTGGCCACTTGCAGCTGTATACGCCTTTGCTGCTGCTCAGTAATGCCTATCCCTGGCGCCAACCTCAATTGCTGCTTTGATTTTGGACACTAAAGTTTTGATGCTAAATGGGTGTAAGGAGTACGTTACTTGGAACAGCAGCTGGTATACAAAACCTATAGGTATTATTGCGAGCCTTCATCTTGAGAATATTGCAAAAGAGTTTGGGGGGTGGGTGTCACACACTTTCTAGGACAGTTGCTTGATTAAAGACATCTTTATCAGTGAGTTGTGTGAGTTTTAGTTGATTAAGAAGTTTACTAGACTAGTTAGCTGGTTAAATTTTCCAAGTGAGAAAAACGTTTTTTATAGAAACATTTATTTGCTTTTCAAACGCTCTGTGCTTGCGTTGCAACAGCCATTCGGTCAGAAGAGCCATCTTACAAATACACCACTTTTGTGCCCTCGGGTAATCAGTCGTAGGCTGTGACATGACCTCAATTAAATAAGCCTTGACAAAATAGGTGATAACTTTAAGGGGATTTTTTTGGTCAATGATCAGCTACAGTAATAAATTTTAAAATGTTTTGGGCAACTTTGAAAAAGGGTGCCCCAATTAATCAGGCAGTTTGCAAGATTCGTAGCAATTATTTTTAACACAGCTGACATGCGCTATCTTTAAAGCACGTTTGAAGTACATTCACGCCCCAGTCAAAGAATTCTGGGCACTGTTTGTTAAAGGTTGCTGGGAAGAGTAACTCTGCGAGGAGCAGTAAACAACTGAAGCAGTTGGAAGTTTCTGAGTTGTCTTAAATCGCAGCATACCTGCTGCTTCCAGGGGAATGGGGAAAATTGCATCATTCATTCATTCATTTCACAAGATTTGTATGCTACATACAAATAAAGAACCCCAAAGCAGTTTACAAAAATGACAACATTGTGATGCAGACCATGAGGCAAGCAAGGAAATCTGTATAAGATGTTATGCAGGAAGGAGTGGGATGAAAGGAGGGGAACATCTCCTCCCATCCAATCCCCATTCTTTTTGTTCTATAAGGATGTAATCTATTAGGCTTCAGCAGTCACACAACAATCAGAAGTTCAATAAGTGAAGCTGTTCCCATCCCTGCTCATCCATGCTGGAGGGAAAACTGTACTT